ACAAGCTAGTTGCAAATGTATAAATACTCTTCTTTTTTTTTTTACCCAATTCCAGGATCTTCAGTTCATTTTATACACAAATAAAATACAGTTGATTTCTATTGTATTTTACTATTGCTTTATTTTTTTGTGAAATCCATTAAACCTGATTTCACTGCAAAATCTATCTAAACCTGATTTTACTGCAAAAACCACTGTTATTTTTACCCTCTTTCCTTTGCTCAATGCTGTCAACGTTTTCTTTGAATGACGGCTTGGAGCTTCAGAGATTCCACTAGTTACTGCAGACTTTTCATGCAGCCCATGAATTGTCAGTAGTGTCCATACTAACTTTATTAAATATAGAACGCAAGAAAAGAGCATAATGAACGATAGTGCTATGACTTGCCACCTACTTTCCATAGGCTTCAAACGCATCTGTTACTGTACTGCTGTATAAAAAGGGTATTGAGTTTGCCAGCCAGCCCCACCAGCCAAAATTGATTCAAACCCAGGTTCATAGTCTGTTCCAGATTGGACAAATTCTGATGGTTTTCGACTCGATTGAACTATTTTAGTGGATTCGACTAAGTAAAACATACTGATCATCCTATGCTTCTTTAAGCTAGTCCCTGGTGGTAGGGCGAAGTGGTAGAACTCCCGTATGCCAACAGGAGGATCCCCGGTTCAAATCCTGGTGAACGCAAGTTGTTTGATTTTTTGACGTAGTACTGATGTCCTCGTTTGGTGTTTTGTACTCTTATCCATGATCTATATTTTGACGATTTCCGCAAGACTGTACTGGCTCTAGGAGTCGCACCTTATTAGTAGTAGATTTCTTTCCCAACTTAGTTCAAAATATCTTATTCCCCTTCATTGCAGACATTGGGTCCACCAACAGTCTTTTCTTTCCCTCAGCATGACATTTTAAGGACTTTAAATAAAACCTGGAGCTCGACTCCCCTACAAAAAAAAAATGCTTCTTTAAGCTTTCTTGGAGTGCTTCTCAAGGCGCATTCAATGGTACCAAGTTAGATGGATGTTTTCAACAAACTTATTGAGTAACTTACGAAAATATGAAAAGGAGTTTCTGGCCAAAATGTCGAAATTTTACATATCAGAGTCCCACAAAGATGATTTCAGGAGCTACGTTGGATCGATAGAAACAATTTGATTCAATACATACCATAGTAAAAGTCTTCATTATCAAGGTAAAAAACGTGATCATTTGATTTTCGATGAAAACCACGAGGGATACCTCATGCTTTTTGGTCGAGTTTTGGCCATGTTTTTTTGGTCCCCAAAAAGTTGAGCAAAAGCGTCAGCAAGTTGCCGCTAGGCAAGAGCAACTGTTTGGTACTATTCTGACAGCTTAGAACGACCTCTAACGCAAGAAAACGCGACTCAAATATACTCATTTTGCTGTGTCAGGGACACTAAGAACTAAAAAGGGGAAGTTCCAGTATGCTTGCTCGTATATGAAGGAGCTGCGAGTATATGGATGTAGATCATCACATAAGAATTAGATCCACAGGTAATATAAAGTGTTTTCATGTGTAAGTGGAGGGTCAACATGAAAGTAGCAGTGCTTTGGTAAGATACGCAAGGGCAATTGGTAGTGTGAGCTGCCGCTGCGCAGGTTGGTTCTCACCAAAGCGACGCGAAGGTAGAGAGCCATCCAGTGCATAAACACTCGTTCACTATAATCTTTTGTTCTGTTCATGTCGCTTTCGTTACTCAACTGAACTATTAATCGATTGTCGATTTTGTCACTTTCAACATCCTGCTTCAGATGCACTTATTTGGTGGCTTTTAGTAGAGGTAACCATTAGCGACAGTAAATCGAAGTGCATGCATTGTCACTCGCCCTGAATTCAGCAATATTGAATAAATGTTCAGGATGAAAAAAGCATCTGTATTACAGAAATATAAATATTTAGATATGATGTTGGTGAGCAACATAGTTTACATTAAAATATATGTAAAAAAAACTATCTTGAATTGCCGGAATCAAATTAACATTCTTTTGTTTATCCCTCTTTTTTTTTTCTCTATGAGAAAACCAAATTCATTTTTGGCAAGATGTTTAAAGAGAAAGGAATGAATCTGAAGCAAGATTTACACGCATTATTGCATTTTTACAGAAAACAAATTGACAAACTGAGCCGCTACTAATCATCATCATGAAGATGAATCATCTGGTGAGTATACCATCACTATTATATATCGTTGCATTGATTGATTGAGAGCTGAAACCATAGTCGAAAGTGTTGTGATACTTACTTTGATAGATAATCAGCATATTTAAGGGATACTATAGCGACAGCAACGGTTGAAAACGTACTAATCTTGTCATTGAAGCTAGCCATGTCAAATAAGTTCGAGAGAATGGCGCATGAAAAGTCTAATTTCATGTTAATACTCATAATAGCCTTCAACATGAGGACGAAACTTAAGGCATTAGTGTTGCATAAAGCTTTCGAAAAATTCTCTGCTTGTAATGTTGGCATTTTACCTAATAAGCATAAAATATGAGCTGATGATGACAATATCAGAAGATGTCATAGACGAATCAATCTGACGCAAATTGCCCACTTGTTCCGTTGCGTTGAATACGCTTTACAAATGGGATCAATAAATTGTCGTTAGAAGACGGTTTATTCTTTGGCAAAAGGCCACAACTGAAAAAAATTTTATCATCTATTTGGTTGCCAACACTGCTATTAATGAATCAAAAGCCATGTTTTCACAGCCTCACTGCTACGAATTTACTTATCAAAAACAGCTTATCTTACTTAGATTTTGAAAAGAATTATTATGACTTCAAAGGTACGGAAGAGCAGAAGCATGACTGCAATGATTGCGCGAAAAATCGTGGCTTAATTACAAATGGATAGATATGAGCTGGCAAGCACTAAATTTGCAAGTTACGGATTGTTGTCATGGAAACAAATTAGTGAAGTAGATAGACTCGTTTATCTTTATGCAGAAAGTAACGTCGCACTAAAAGCGACATATTTCCAGTGTCATCATCAAAGATTGACAATAAAAAGGATCTGATAACGATCATTAAGGTTTCAAAGGCCATGAACTAGGAAAAAGCGGGGTGAATCATAATCTAGGCCTGTAAAACATGTAGCAAATGATTTGGGAAGAATTGACTTGAAGCAATCAGCGCATTTATATTTCTCAGGTTGCTCTCATCAGTACTCATTAAATATTTATATCGTTTTCCCAGCAATCTTAGCCTTCGATGCAATCATACAATATTCAGTGCACAGAAAATGTTGTGCCTATTGCAAACATTTGCTCCGTAAAAGAGAGAATTTCTCTATTAATGGTTTATTCCTGCAAGGAAAGAGCAAGATGTTTATTTTAAAAATGAGAATAAGATCAATCTCAATGTTTGTGTAAACAAAAAATATCGCAAGCAAGGATCTGATAAGAATTTTCGTTTTAACCAGACTGGAGAAGGTGGCAGATTCTTTGATCAAAAAGATCAAAAGATCTCTGGCGAGACAAAATTAAACTTTAATTTATTTCCGCTCTTGCATTCTTTAAAGAAAAGGGAACCATACTATTTATCAGATCTTATGCAATCATTAATCATGTGGGGGTTCATGAAAAAGATCTGATAAAGAATTTTTTCATGTATTTGGATCAACTTCTGAGGATGACACAGGATAAACTATCCATATATTACACCATCACTATCATTTTAGAATACAAAAAAAAAAGATCTGATAATTAATTTAGCTGGAATTCCTGGAACATCTACCTTCTGAATGCCATTCCTTTATGTTTGAGATTACAGCTTTGACTCTCTTTCAACATAAACTTACATCTAACGATGCACATTTATACTAGCAAAGTAATATTGCTTGATCATCAAGCATGCTTTCATTCATCTATCCAATATAAACATCATAAAAAATAGATTACATGGGATGATGTATAAGGTTCAGCCTCAGTGTTTTAATAATGTAGTACTAGATTACAATATGTGCTTATTTCGGGAAAAAGGATTTATCAGATCTTTGATGGTTGGTTTAATCATCATATTTTCAAACATCCCACCTTCTCCCCCCATATTCCAAGACAAACCAAGTTAAAAAACAGCATTGGCGTGTGAAATCTTTATCTTTCGATGACGATGTAGAGCGCAAGGATGCAGCGACCTTGATTTACAAACGTAGATGCGTTTCGTGATGGTGAAATCAAAGTTGATGTGATTATGACATGTCCAACAGTATTCCCTTCTTTACCAGATCTTGAGTTGACATATAGCATTACCGTGCTTTTCCTTCCATTTGAATAGTAGTTACTTTAGTATAAGTGGGCCAGAGTAAGATAAAAAAAGAAGTCTCTGCAAGCCCCCCCCCCCCATAATTTTTATCAGATCTATTTGATTATTCATTCAGTAATCTTATTTTAACATTCCGTTATAACATTGGATTGTCGGGTATAATCGTTAATATCAAACGTGGTTACACGCTTCTTCTTTTTTTATAATGACTCATGTACAAGAAGGCCATATATTTTTATCCTCCAATATGACACATGAAAGGATCTGATAATATGTTTTTGCTGTACCCGGGCCCCCTTTTTTTATCAAAAAAAAAAAAAAAAAAGTCTCGTAAAATTCTTTATCAGATCTTTGGTAGAGCATAAGTGAAAAATCGCACCATCAAAATGTAAAATGCAATTAGTGTTTAGCATTTATTTATTAGCTTAGTGGATTGAAATTTAGTAAACACTTGATGGACTGATGTAAAGCAGGGGGCCGGAGCTCTAGAATCAGATAATCAAAACAAGACGTTTGAACTTTAATTTGTTGTTAGGGTCACCTGTTAGGATCAGATATACACACTTTATCTGATTGGCCATATTCTAATAAACATCATATTCATTTTGTTATAAATAGACAGAACAAATTCCTTGTTCATCTTTAGTTTTTTCTCTTTAATCAACATCTCTTAAAATAATTACACTTGTACTATAAATCATCCATAATGCAAATCATGAAAACTACATCTACATCCAAGGCTACTACTGCTGCTCTTAACCCTCACAACAAACACACATCTCGTCGTAACAATAAGCATAAGCAACAATCACGTCGTCGTTCTTCTACAACATCTACCAATAGCATCTCCTCTGTCACCCTTCCTGCTCAACAGAACTGGGAGCATCAGAAGCATGACCTGCTCACTAAAGCCACATCAGCGCGATCTCATCACACTCCAGACGAGGAAAAGGAAGAGCCCGTCTTCAACATTGTATATAGTGCGCCTACCGATATGATCACTCCTCCTCCTTCCCCAAAATCTTATCCTCAAGCTCCTATGACCTCTCAAGCATTTGAAGCAAATGACCGCATCTTGACTGTGAAACGTCATGGCCAACTCAAACTTCTCATGTCTGAATATGCTGCTCTTCAGAAGGAAGGTCTCCTATTCACTGATCATACTTACAACCTCATCTTTGATTCTTATGCCAGTCTTCGCCGTGATGGCACTCCTTTGACCCCAATGTTGAAAAGTAAGTTTGAGTGAGAGCCTTGCACTGTTTAATCAGATAACTAATGTATTACAATAGTTTACGATGAGATGCTCCGCTCTGATATCCAGCCCAGTAGTTCCACATACACTATACTCATCCGTACCTTGTGTAAGCGTGATGTCGAGGTCCAAAAGGTGATTGCCATGCTGAAGCGCCAAAATGCTCGCTCTTCCAGCCATCAAAACAAGTCGAATAACATGGCTGAATTGGAATCTGAGGAAAACTTGCAAAAGGCTTTGGTTATCTTTGACGCTGCCGTATCTGAAAACCTTGTGCAATTCTTTGATGTCGAGCTCTATAATCAGATCTTACGTGTATTGTCGCACTATGGTAATACTGAGCAATCACTCCATGTCTATCAGCAATTAGAGCTCCATTCCATCCCCACATCTGCTACATTTGCTGCCCTCATCAATTTGTTTGGCCGTGTTGGTGATTTACCCTCTGCTTTGGTCTATTTTGATAAATACACGCAACTTAAAGACAGTGTTGGTCCTCATGATGCTTCTTATGTTTACAATGCTCTTGTTGATGCCCACCTCAAGTGCCACCATCTTGAAGGTGCTCTCAAGATTGTTCAAGAAGACATGTTATCCGGCGATGTCAAGGTCTCTACTATCCCTTACAACTCCATCATCCGCTACTACTGTATCAAGAACCAACTGGATCAAGCCAAAGAGCTCATTGCTTCCATGAAGGCCTCTTATCCTCAGCCTGATGCTAGCAGCTATGGCCCTGTCCTCTCCTCTTACTGCCAATTGGGTCTCTACAAGGAAGCTACTGAGATGTATCAAGCTCTTATTCAAACTGATATCTCCAAGTCTTATGGTAACTTGGCCAACTATGCCTTGTTATGTCTCAAGGATGCTAGCAACAGCAGCAAGGTAATTGAGGTAGTTAATGATATGCGTCATGCCGGTCTTGAGCCTGATTCCATCTTGGCTGAGCGCATTGTTACTCACTTTGCCAAACATGGCCAAGTTGCTGATGCTATTACTGCTCTTCATTGTGTTCTCGAGGCTATGAAGGCTCGCTCTCTTTCCAAGGGTATAGCTCAAATCAAGAATGCTTCTATTCAAGTGGCTGCTGCTGCCAAGGGCTGTTTCGAACAAACATTGCAAGTTGCTCGTATGATGACTCCTCACTGCCCTCATGGTTTGCCTGTTCAGTTAGCGAAGACTTTGATTGAGGACTATGAGTTTGATGCTAACCATGGCATTGTCAACCAATCTGACTACGCCATCTTGTTTGATGCCTCCATCACCATTGCCTCTGATGCTTCTCGCAGCAAGTCTTCTCTTTCTCCTACCAACATCTTTGTCTTTTGCCTTCAGTCCGAAATGACGAACAAGAACTTGAAGGTGTGCCCCAGTATCAAGTCTCGTGTCTCTGCCTACTTTAATCGTATTGGTGACAAAAAGGCTGCCCACAAGTGGGATGCTCTTTTCAACAAGGTGGAAGGTTTTGCTGCCATTGTTGCCAACCCTGCTTCTGCTGGCACTGTCTCTGAATCTGAGGATGCTTCTGCTGCTGTCATGAAGGCTGCTATCCACGGTCAATTGGAAGAGTCGCTTGATATCTTCCGTACTCGTATTATTGATGCTCACTTGGTGCCTACTGCTGAGCCTCTTCGTGATGCCATTGCTTTTGTTGGCAAGCAAGGACATCTGGACGTTGCTGTAACCATGTACCGTCTTGCTATCAAATGCTTCAAGGAATCTGGTTTGGACTCTCAACGCATGGAACGTGCCATCTACATGATGACAAACAGTATTCTCATTGGTTATGCTCAGCAAGGCGATATGGTGAATGCCAAAAAATACTACGAACAAATCAAGTTGATGGGTCGCTATCCTGATGGTAACGGCTATGCTAGTTTATTGCTTGGTAGTGCCAAGTGTGCCACTGATGAAGCCACTGATGCTTTGACCATTTACGATGAAGCCAAGCGCCGCGATGTCAAGCCTACTACTTTCTTTTACAACGTTGTTATTTCTAAGCTGGCCAAGGCTCGCAAGTTGGATGCTGCCATGAAGCTCTTTGAGGAGATGCAACATTTCAAGGTGATGCCCAACTCTATTACTTATGGTGCTATTATCTCTGCCTGTGTCCGTGCTGGTTCTGAACCCTTGGCTCGAAAACTGTTTACTGAAATGCTGGCTTCTCCCTCCTTCCAACCTCGTGTGGGTCCATTCAACAATATGATTCAATTCTATGTTCGCCAACAACCTGACCGCGAATGTGCCTTGGAATACTTTGCTGAACTGCGTCGCCGTCATATCAAGCCCTCTGCTCATACCTACAAGCTTTTGATGGAAGCCTATTCCTTGATTGCCCCCTATGATATGCCTACTGCTCACCGCATGTTGAGCGATATGGAACGTTGCGATCACATTCGTCCTCAAGCCACTCATTATGCTACGTTGATCTACTCTTATGGAACTCTCCAACGTGATGTCAAGAGCGCTGATCGCGTCTTTCAAGATATGGATGACAAGCATGTAGCCAAGGATGAGGTTGTGTACCAAGCTATGCTCGACACGCTTGTAAGCAATGACCAGTTGACTCGTGCTGAGCAACTTTATAGCAAGATGCAAACTGTTATTGAAAAGAGCACTTCTCCTTATATCGAAAACGTCTTTATCCGTGGGTATGGGCAAAAAGGCCTCTTGGAAAAGGCAAAGGCTATGTTTGATGCTATGACAGACGACAAGATCACCAATGACCAACCCTCCTCCTGCACTGTGATTCGCGAACCTAGTACCTATGAAGCCATGGTACGTGCCTATGTTGATAACAAGATGATGGCTGAAGCCAAGGAGATCTTTGAGTTGATGCTCAAACGTGAATTCCCTGAAAAGGTTACTGCTTTGGTAGCTGAACTGATTACCGCCTAAATAACTTTATATCTTGCATTATTGTATATACTTAACATTAACAAACATTTAATAAACTCTTGTACATATTATCTATATTTATTCTGCTTATAAAGTTTATCAGATCTTCTGCTCTATCCAAAAATCATGCCATAAGTGGTCTACGTTCGGTTGCTTATCAATCTTCAGATGAACATGCGGGCTGATGAGCTTACTGAAACTCGAGCACCATTTACGTGGTACAAGATAATGATGCCCAAAGCGGCCAGGGAGTACGATCAAAGCTAACAAGGTGGACAAATTCATTCAACATGCAAAATGTTTAATAGATAAAACGTTAGTTATTTGCTTATCATTAATATGATTGAACTATCGAGAGAGAAGTTGATGTGTACAAGTTTATAATCTATACCACAAGGTACAATGGTGTTGGTCCTAAAACGAGGGCATTGCTGGAAGGTTGAAGGAGGAATCAATTGATAGAATTCTTCCACGCCTTTGCTTCTAGTAGGCATGTAGGAACATAGAATCAACTGATTCAAGTCATTCTTAGACGTTTGGCCGTATAATCATGTTTGTATGCCATTTGTTACTATACCCCCTGAGTATCTTGGCCACTTAATAGCCACATTGCTTCCCGAGAAAACTACAATCAGTTCGTAAACTATTTGACAAATATGCCATGTACGAATGCAAGAATTGGCCCGTGTTGTTGTACCATTGCAACAGGAAAAATCGAATATCAAAATGCATGTAACAGTTCCAAAATGCGCCTCATTTTTTGCCTGTGAAAAAAGAATGAAAGAAATCAAAGTCGGTAGGAAGAAATGTAGATGCGATTAGCAACATAGTTAAACTATGCATACACTGCTGGTTTGCGCTATTCAAGCCATTTCTATGGCCTACCTTGGGTCACACATATTCCAATATTGTCTTGTGGACGCACATTAGGGATTTGATCGGATTTTGGCATCACAATTCATGGTCGTTACGCAAAAGGATACTAAATGAAGCTATGAGGATGGATAATCTTATTTTTGTGAGCCTGAATTACATCATTGAGGAAAGGTTCAAAAAGTGGATCTACTCTTTTGTGTTGGCATATGATCTCATGTAATCTATACATTGGGATGTGGTATAGTGTCCAATCCTGTCGACAGATATATACTAAAGTGATCCGAATCTGATGTAACACGGACACTTGCATTAAAGAAAAAAAAAAAAGTAAAACCGGGGCACACACACACACACACACACACACACACACACACACACACAATCAGAACAAAAAGTGAGGCGCGCGTGTAATTGTTTGTTTTCTTTCTTTACCTTTTTTCTTTGCTAAAGATCATATTTTATAGTCATGCCAACTAAACCTGTAGATAGCAGAAAACTCAAGAGTGGAGGGGCAGCAGGACCAAGTGGATCAAAGGGAAAGCGTGCCGAAAGTAAGTAGTATCATGCGCATGTGATTGTCGAGAAAATGGGCTACATGTATATTAACATGCTGCTACGTAGAGAAAAAGAATGTAACTATTCACTATGGATTTTGCTGCGACTAGAGTTTGGATACTCATCACATCTGCTTGTAGGTACCATCCCCATCGAGTAGTCCATCCTTTGGTATCCAAGATGCTCAAAGAGCTCAAGCTGTATGTATATTCATTAATCAGGAATCTTGCCTCGATGAGTTGACTCTTTCATCCCTAGAAACGCAACAAGAGTAAGTCTCTTCGTCGTTTTCTTTCGTTGTCACTGGCCAGCTATCTCGGCTATAGCTTCTTTTATGCTTGCGGCTCTCCTTTCGATGATTCTAGTGATAAACCAGCCATTTGCGGAGGTATTGATCCCATCAAATTAGATTTGTACAAAGTGTATAAATCAGACTACTACCAATCCAACATTGATCCTCATGTGGCTCCTATTATCTCAAAGGCATCTAGTTTGTACAGCGATTATGGAGTACCCGCTCAAGTTAAAGTGGTGTCCTTGTATGATCAACACGGAAAACCGCTAGTGAAGAAGGGTTATGAACAAGCCTCACATGTGTATGCTCAGCATATTGAGCCCAACGTGTCCCCTCTTGTCGCCAAGTCCAAGATCCACGCAGATCAAGTCAAGATCCAACTGCAACCTTATTATCAACAAGCATCCAAGCAAGCTACTCAAGTTCAACTCTTTGCTAAGCAGCAATGGGACAATTTGCCTCCTCCAGTCAAGCAAGCAAAGGATGAAGCTGTGAGAAAGGTACTCGAATACTATCACCGTGCAGAAAACACAGATATGCTCCCTATCTTGACTGAAATCTACTGGAATATTGTTGACTTTTACCAATACCAACTTATACCATTCATTCAAACACACCCTACCACAGCACATGTCAACAAATTCTATGACGAGAACTTCAGAAGCTTTGTGGAGACCAACATAAAGCCTTTGTTGTTACTGGTCAAAGATCGCACAACACACGTAAGCCAGTTATTCAACCATGCCCTGACTCTGTTGCCTCAGAGACCTTTGAGCAATGAGCCATCAAAGTCGACTGTCGCATCGTCCATCGTAGAGACAAAAACACCCATTACTGATGCTACCAAGGCCACTTCTGACATTCCATTGACAACTACTGCTGCTACTACTGCTGCATCTGCGACCACGCAAACTATCAAATCCAAAGTAGAGGCCTCTTCATCTGCCGAACCCGCATCTACTGCTGTTCCCGCAAAGGAAGAAGCTGAATCCACTTTAGTCAAACATGCATCAACTGCATCAGCTTCCACTACCAGTGCTACTAGATCTATCAAGACTGAAGCCACCATTGCCAAAGATGCTGTTGACAATGACCAAGATATCGTCAAGCCTGTCTCTGTTCGTCCCACATCTACACCCGAGTACGTTGAAATGGAGGTGGAGTCTCCCCAAGCTGATAAGAAGGAAGCTGTTTACTGCCCAACATGCAATGCTGCAGAAGAGCAAGTGATTGTAGCTCCCACTGACAAGCATGTTGTGCCTGTTCGCGATGAAAAGGAAGTCTTTGAGATCCACACTGACAAGGACGTGTTTGAAGTCAACAAAGAGCCTGCCATTGTTCCGCCTCAATCATCTGCTCATTTGGATCAAGAAGGAAAAGAACAGGTAAATGCTGCTGCTCCCATCAAGCAAGATGCCTCCAAGGTCAAGGATCAGACTGCACCCATTAAAAAGAAAAAAGACGAGAAGGAGGAAGAGGAAGAGGAGCAAATGTTCAGTACTCAGGTTGAGCATGATGTTGAAGACGACGGTTTCCCTGAGCCTGCTGTTCCTCTGAAGGAAGATGACAATGAAGAGGAAGAAAAGGTCAAGGAAACGCCTATTGTCACGGCAGTTGTTGACAAGCAGCAAGTCGAAATACCCTTACCTGTTGCTACTGAAAAGGAGAAAGAGGGCCCTACTGTACCTAATGACGAAAGTGGATATGAGGATATTAAAGATCAGATTGTAATTCAAGCACCTGCTGTCCATCAAGAGGAGGAACCTGTTGTCAAAAAAGAAGTTATCGACACTGAGCCCATCTTGAAAGAGCCCATTGTGCCCAACGACGAAAGTAAATTTGAAGCAAAGTCTGAATACTCAAATCAAGATGCAGATCCACCAGTTCGTTATCATCGTGTAGAAAAAGCTTTGAGTTAATGTCCTTGTTAGTAAATAAAGTACGATTCAGAATTGAGACATGTATGTATAACATGTACTGTAGCGTATGAAAAATAGTCCAGAGACGTATGAATTTATTATATGATAAGCTTTATTACCATACTGCTCAATCCTCTGAAGGATCAACGACGCTTTGGTTTGATGCCATTACATACTGATATTTATCGCATTGTTGAGGAAGATTATTTACAACATTTCAGCAGATTGTCTAACCAATCTGGAAACCTTTTTCTTGAATTGAGGGTAGTCATCGCGATATTGTTTCTATTTAAAAGTGATCAATGGATGATCGTGTCGTTGCGTGATGCATATACTTACAGCAGCTTCTATATTTGCTGGAGACTCATCATTTGGGCTTGATAACATGGATATAACAGACAGCAGAATAGTCTCAACAGTATGTACTGGAGACCATCGCTCGCTAGCTTGTTCATAGCCGTATTTATCATCTCCTGGAGGATGCTATCAATAGCTTTAGTCACTTTGTAACACTAAAAATCAGTGTTTGCTTACAAGAATAGAGATGCACACTGTGCCATCAGGATAAACTATTAAGCCTAGTGAGAACAATGCTGCGATATTTTTTTTTTTTTCTAATTACCGTTTGGGTGATACATCTCTGTTAAGAAAGTCATTGTAGGTGGGTCAATTGGATATGACTGAAAGCAAATGCAGATCAATACAAGGATGCCATATTTCAAAAAGAGAGACTTACTCTAGGAAAAGAAAGTTTTGCTTTGAAAAAACCACCCTCACTACGTAAAATAGAAAGACATGTAAATTTAAGGTTTCTCAACAAGAGCAAATGCGTTTGAGCTGTCAGATCAGAAAATAGATACTTTACTACAGGGTGTCTTGAGATCCCATAACAAGGATTTCCCACTACAAAGAACAAAGGCAAGTTGCTGAGCAATGATTTCAACGATAAACAAAATAAAAAAGCAGATAAGGGCTGGTTATTTTGTAGAATGTTACCTCATAAATGTTATCGTCTACCAATCCTGCAGAAAACCCTTCAACTGGGTTCTTTTGAAGGTCTACATTTGACATGGAAATCAGGACATTTTAGCTTTTTTTTTTTCTGAGAAATTAGATAAAAAAAAATAAATCGATAGAAAGGCAATGTTGATGATTGCATTCAGTATACATTGATACATTTAGTGTGTAAAGGGAAAGGGAAAAGGTATAGAAACTTGCCTTTTAATTGCCTTTGAAGCAAAAGTGCACTAGGTTCTGTTTGGCTCATGTAAAAAATACGAAAAGATAAAAAGTATTTGGGCAAAGGAGACTTTCTGGAAACTAAAATGTTGGTAGTGCCTATAGCTTGTACACCATTCTCCCTCCTATGACCGCTTTTGATAAACCAAAGCGGGTCAGGACCCCCCTCATCTGCCTCCTATCAATCGCTCTGTATTCGATGTTTAGACTTACTAGACATTTACCAAAGAGATTATATACCACCAAAGGTACATTCGATAAAATTGACATGGAGTTTATACTAACGCTCTCATCTAGTTGCTGTTGACGAGCATTGCTTGGTAAATTGCTGTTGTTCATCTCTCGACTTTTTCATTCTAATACTCAGATTCTAGCCTCTCAAGCCAACATGGTCTATCAAATCACTGCTACAAACCTCAGCAGAGCCCATTTCAGACAAACAATTCAAGCATTTGCTTAATCTGGCCCAACTTTCTATACGAGATAAACAGCATGAATTGAAACTAAAGGCGGAAATTGATCAACTCACACAATTTACAGACAACATCAAGCAATGGAATGCTTCTGTCGATAAACCCTTGACTCACATTTGGAAAGAGGATGTTGGACAGATACTACGAGATGATGATGAGATAGAATCAGGCACAGAAGCGCGTGGTAGAGATCTGCTGAAACTGGCACAGAAGAAAAGCGGCAATTTTTATGTGGTGAAAGGCTCTATGCCATCTTCAGAAGACTAATAAACAACTACTACTCACCCATTGTGAACAATCTACTACGAGCTTCAATGATCCACACCCATTTTTGATATCCCTAAAAGACCTCGCTTTGTGAAAACATGTGAAAATTGCAAAGTACTTTATTTTTTGTGTATGTATGAGTGTATATACTGTTTTTTGAGTATGAGTTTGCGTTGAGATAAAAATTAATTTGCGCTGACATTATAAGAATATTTATGTCAAGGTAAAAATAGTTTTGCGTTGCTTAGTAATAAATTTTGCGCCATATAAAATAACCTAATACTTGCTTCATGATGTTAAAATCTCAGTGAGCATTCAGAGTGCGTCTGTTGAAAGCTGCACTCCTACTGACTATTTTAAAGATTTCTTTCCTCATTCAAACACTTTTGGAAAAATGACATTGAATGCTTAATCCATCCTTCACAATCTTTTTTTGTTACTTTTCCAGCCGATTCACATATACGATCTGTGAGACGATCATCTGTCGTCAATGGTGTTCTTCTAACACCAGCTTTTACTTTTGACCAAAATTCCTCGATTGGATTCAAGAAAGGAGAATATGGTGGCAAATACATGCACTTATGTCCTCGTTCTTCGATCGATGCTTTGATTACTTTTGGCTTATGAATAGGCGCATTATCCATAACAATATACTGCCCCTTTATATTATTTTTATCTAGTGTATCCATTACGTTGTTTAGATAAGCCAAAAAGTGCTCAGTTCTTGTCCCAACTTTGCCATTTATTTTTACTTCCTTACCATCTGCCCTTCTTTTTTTTTTTAGAAGAAGCTGATTCTGGTTTTTTAACTCCAATATTTATGATACCTGCTTGAGAAATTGCACCTAAAATTGTAAATGTTACATCTTTTCCAGTTGGTACAGTGCCCTTTGCAGGTGTGCCTTTTAATGAACGGCTGTGGTTTCTTTGCGTATGCAAATTGAAACCTGCTTCATCGATAAAAACACAATTCTTAGAAAAATCCATATCTGCATCACTCTTATATTGTTCAACAATCGCTTTTCGTAATGCTATTACTCTGTCAGAATTTCTTGCTGCTGGTATTTTTTCAAGTTTCTTTAACGTAATGTTATGCTTATGTACTAAATGTTTGTGGATGGCAGAAATAGAGATTTTCAAACCCTCAAATTTCTCACAAAGTTTTAACTTTAACTCATCTAATATAGCAGTGGTATTCTTTTCGATATAGTCAACTAGAAATTTAGAATGCTCCTCAGTCAACTTATTACGAGGTCTTCCACGAGGTTTAGAATAAGATCCTGGAAGTCGTCTCTCAGGATCATTGTTATAAGTTTTAACGTAATTCTGGGCAGTGCGTACATTAATCCCAGTGGCTAAAGCTGCAGCTTTTGTCGTGAATTCTTCTTCGATTATTAAGTCGAAGAGTTTCTCAACTTGTTTAGGAGTATATTTTCTGTAAGAACCTCTTGTTTTAACATTCAAAGCCGTATATCTTTTTTCTCAATGGCATTGACTCTGCGAAGAGAAAAGCATCTCCAAAAAAAACTTCATTCTCTTCCTCTATTAAATCTACTTCCATATATTCACCTACATATGATAGAGAATCATTCCCAATTCGTCTTATTTTCTCCATCCATTCTTCGCTCAAACTGAAATGCTCAATTTCCATTTCTTCCTGCTCGTCATCTTCCATATAATCGTCAGATGAAGTGTCCATATCGTTATCTGAAATAATTTCACTATTAGTAATAAATTCACTAACGCTTTGCATGTTTGTTCTAATATTTAAAATAAAGGAGTCGAAACCTTTACGATATTTTAGGTTATTTTATATTTTTTTTCTAATCTTTTGGCGCAAAATTTATTACTAAGCAACGCAAAACTATTTTTACCTTGACGTACAGGATTTTTCCTCGTTTTAGGCGGTCCATTTTTTTCAACATGGCGCTGGTTTTTTATAATTTGCTGCCCAAATGCTTTTTACTTGGTGGCTAACAACCCCAGCTGTAGCAATTCTTTTGTAGCATGGAAAGAAAAACTAGACAAAAAGTTGGTTATTTTTTTTTAATGATAAAGAATAAATGATGATTTTAAACACAATAGTAACTATAACATTTTTCTTCAAGGATACAACGAAGAAAATAAGACATTGCATGACGTATCCACCCTTCACAATCTTTAGCAGTAACTAAGTATGCTGACTGGACAATACGAGGTGTCAAAGGACTATTTGTTGATAAGATCTATCGTTCCACACCGGCCTTCAACTTGGACCAAAATTCCTCTATGGGACTCAACATTAGTGAATAAGGAGGAAGGTATATTGCTGATAAAATTGTAGATTTTTGGCAATCAATCGCTCCACGAGACTTATACGTTTCGTAAACGTAACTCATACTGTGTAAAAAGTATAACACCATGTAGATACATAGTATAGAGGTTTCAGAATGATCATATTACATAATAATAATGGCAGTCAGTAAGCTCCTGGTTTAATGAGTCTGGTGTATTAAAAATTCTTGGAAATTTACTGTATGCCCTCTGGAACAAGCATCTGCTATTACTGTTTAAAAAGCAATAATAAACTGTTGTTATAATAAAATGTGGATATGAACAAAGGAAGATAACAACACGAAACTATACATATATTCTTCGTAACAACGAATGAAAACTTGCCAGTGACCACAGCATATTATATTATCACCACGGATAACGGCAAATTCTTTCCTTATTGATATGCATATTACACATTCCAATACCACACCTAATCTCGATCCAAATGAAAAAGTCAAGTAATACATAAAATTACAGTCAACGATACTTCCAATAGCTTGAACCTTGAACGATTTGAAAAGGTACATTTTGATATAGTAATTTTAAAAAAGATTTATTACTATAAAATAAACAATAAAGAGGTGGAGAAAAGCTAGTACACTCAAATATAACAGTTTGTAATAAGACAGGAAAAGGGATACGACGTCAGAGAGTGGAGAAAGTAGATAAAAGTAATAAGACCATCAAGAACAGTAACCAACTGTGAGGAATTTTGTAAGTCATCACTGCTTCGTCTACAAAAAAAAAGAAAAAAAATAAGTTCAACATATCGTTATACACTGCTTCCTCCACCTCGCATGAGAACCCAAGCCAATGATGTTCATCCGAAGACTACTACTGCAATGGTTGGTATCATGTTGTTCATCCAAAGGACTACTACTACAAGCATCTCATGCACAATCAAGAACCCAAGCCAATGATGTTCATCCGAAGACTACTACTGCAATGGTTGGTATCATAGTGTTCATCCAAAGGACTACTACTACAAGCATCTCATGCACAATCAAGAACCCAAGCCAACGATGTTCATCCGAAGACTACTACTGCAATGGTTGGTATCATGTTGTTCATCCAAAGGACTACTACTACAAGCATCTCATGCACAATCAAGAACCCAAGCCAATGATGTTCATCCGAAGACTACTACTGCAATGGTTGGTATCATAGTGTTCATCCAAAGGACTACTACTACAAGCATCTCATGCACAATCAAGAACCCAAGCCAACGATGTTCATCCGAAGACTACTACTGCAATGGTTGGTATCATGTTGTTCATCCAAAGGACTACTACTACAAGCATCTCATGCACAATCAAGAACCCAAGCCAATGATGTTCATCCGAAGACTACTACTGCAATGGTTGGTATCATAGTGTTCATCCGAAGACTACTACTGCAATGGTTGGTATCATGTTGTTCATCCAAAGGACTACTACTACAAGCATCTTGTTTGCTGAGGTGGTTAGGAAGCCAAAAGTGTGTAAAGAAAATAAAGAGACTTATCAAAAATAGCAGCATTATAGAATTCTTCGAGGCACCCATTGCTTTCGCCTATAATAGAAAAAGAAAAAAAAAGTTAAATATACGGTTGTTTATAAGAGAAACCGAGTCAAAAAGTATGGTAATAAACCTGCAATAAATAGCATCAAGGTGTGAGTGGGGTGGTAGTTCAAGCCAGACTTGGATCTGATGCCGTGGGAATGGGGATGTAGGTGTGGTTGTGGATGAAGTTGGCGTAGTGGGAAGGGTTTTCTTTCACCCAATCTTCAAAGGCAGAATTGTTATCAAATATTTCTTCTACAATAGATGTAGAAAAGTTTGGAAGAACACAGATGAGGTACCCAAGGTCATCAGATGTAGAGGCCATGATAATGATAATAAAAAAAATTATAACAAGTCGTGAACTAAAAAGTATAGGAGGCTTTATTTATTAATAACTGATGTGACTGAGGATTCAGAGTGAGGATGACGTAGTTTTTCCTAGTGAATAATGAATTCTGTTAAAGCCAAAGTTTTTAATAACCGAATTCAAGCCAGTCGAATCCTTTTTTCCCACAGCGCGTTCGATTACTTATTTTGATTGCTTTCGTAAAACTCCCTTTGCTCTTTGAAATCCTTTCACTACTACTACTACTACTACAGTCAATGCCAAGCAAACGAAAGCGCACTTCCAATGACGCACAATGGTGTCTCAACAATTCCAACACTCTTACGGCCAAGAATTTCGCCATTGAATTTGGTCTCACCGATCGACAATACACAGTGACAAGATACCGAAACATTTGAGTGCACACTTTAGTAGAGACAGAAGAGAAAATCTTCTTCAAGATTTGGATGGATGGAAGAAGTCCCTTGATGCAAAGATTTTTTGGAAAGAACAAGCAAGAAAACAAACAATAGCTGAAACTCGTGTAAGATGCTCAGCTTTTGTTGATGCAATAATTCACGAAGAAGGTCTACAAGGATCATCAATCAACAACGATGACAGCAATAATAATGTTGAAAGCAGCAGTAGCAGCAGCACCAACAATCGTGATCGTGGTACCAACATTAATAATTCTGATGATAGCAACCATAATGATCGTAGTATCAGCGAACGTAATCACAGCAGTAGCAACAACAATATTAATAGTAACAATGAAAGTAATAGTAACAGTAACAACAGTAATACTGGTAGTTGTAGCAATAATAGTGGCAGTAATACAAGCAACAATAACAATAGTAGTAGTTCAGAAAGCAGTAATCCGGGTACATCAACACCAACCGAAATACATACCCCGTTCATCATTAAACACGTCAATGTCACTGACACATTTAAACAATACCAAGAATACATTTCATCACACTACCCAACATTTACAATTGAAAAAGATCTACAAGAAATCATGGCAACGGCAAATATCTTGTTCTTGGCACCCGATGACCATAGTGATTGCCAAAAAAAAATATTCCAATTGTCCAACCTTGACTTGATGTGCACAGAAATGTTACAAGAATTAAAAATTCTCGATACCCAAGAAAACGAAGAATTATTTAACGACGACGAATTTATCAAGGTTACAAGGATTATCAATGAAGTTGCTGAGAAAACGAAAACCATCAAAACGGCCAAATTGGAGCTACTCACATTGGCGGCTTCCATGGAAGGTGGTAATAAAGCAAGCGTAGTTGAAGGAGTAGCAAACTTGTAAGTGTTGATATGGGAGTCATTGAACTGTGTGTCTGTGTGTGCTTCGTAGCTACTGCTCACTGCACTGGTTTATATATTAGATTAACAAAGTTGCCAAGAGTCGAGATCCTCAACATGGATAAATTGGGAGAAGTCGAACTACAAACAACATATTATGATGCCTTGTTATCCGAGCTTATTGTCGATCAAGATAAGAATGTTGCATTACGATGGCCAAATAAATCAACAGATGAGGAGCAAACTGATATACGTCCGGATGCAATTGTTTCAACGACCATGCAACACGACTTTGGCCACCCTGTTGGTTTCGGAGAAGTAAAGCCTGGCAACAGTTCTACAACAAAACATTCAGTATCACTCGATGTCTTACGCTTAGGAATCGCTTCAAAAAGGGCAATTGACAAGTGGAAACTGAACTCGTACTTTGGATTCATGATCAATGGATTTGATCTAACGTTCTTTATTACAAAAAAAAAAAAAAAACACGAAAATTGCTACACAATGCTGGAAATTGCGCAGTTCACTTATGCTTCGTCCTTATCGAACCTACATTCTTTTGTATCAATGATGAACTTGAACAAGCTGACAAAAGTCGGACGATGTTTCTGGAATGAATGTCATGCTACTCATGTTACGCGAGATGATGAAGCTGGTGCTATGGCGAATGATGACGCTGGTGTTGTCCCAGTATCCGAATTATATGCACTGATCAGCAGGACTTGCAACCGAACACTTGGTGCCTCGTCTAGATATTGAACTTCAGTTGATTACTACTATTCCTTTTTTTTATATTTTAATGTCAGCGCAAATTAATTTTTATCTCAACGCAAACTCATCATATTCAAAAAACAGTAGAATCTAATTGCTGCCATTATCAAGAGGAGAAGTACCGACATTTCTCTTCTCGTCCAAATCCTTCTTGGTTTGCTCTTCAATTTCTCTGATATCGTCAATAGTTAATCCGTACCATCTATCAGTCCAGCAAAAGAGTTGTCTACACAAGCAAAAGATGTGTTACTAACTCAACACATGTGTTACATGTCAATTTTAGTCCTTACCTGTGGAACAAGGTGAATAAATTATGAACAGTCTTTGCAATAAAAGACTCAGTTCTGCTTTGAATGCCAAACCACTTGAATTCGATATAGACAAGCTTGTAGCAGGTCATGACAGGCTCACAGGTCTTTTGCCACTTGGGGTCCACCAAAGGACCACGGCCAGTTTTTTCAGAGTGATATTTCTTGGGATCTTCATCAGCCTTGTAATCCTTGGCATCGATCTTGTCATGAGCAATGTCAATGATGATGACATTACGCTTCTTGAGGTCTTCTTTACTGATATTGAGAGCATTTTCTAATTCACCGCGAGAACCATCAACATGGAGAGTCTCATAGACGATGGAGAAGGCATCCTTCATGTAACCGTTCTATTGACGTAATAAATAAACAGACGCACAGATGCAAGTTTATAGTGAGCCGGCTTACCTTTAAAACTGTACATGAATAATGTCAAAATCAAATTAACTGTTAGCTTTTATCTTGGCAAATCCATCTCTTGAAAGAGTTTCTTAATTAACTCCTCCTCCCCTTTCGCACCCAAATCATCATTGGAATCCCGAGATTCCCGTCGATTGCTATTTTGTCTCTTCCCCTACCAAGCAGAGAAAAAGAGAAGCATTGATACACTATCGTAGCAACGAATAGGGAGGTGCAACCACATTGATATTCCCCCCTTTCAATTATCTCTATCCCTGAATGTGTGTCTGTCTCTCTCTCTCTCGCTCGCTCGCTCTTTCCTTCTCTCTCCCAAAAATGAAATGGAAAACTTACCAGTTTTACAGTAAGGATAGGCGTTCCAGGCCTAGTACGTTTATACATTAGATATTGACGTCCATACTTCAATGGCTCTGTGACATTACCTCTTCATAAAGATCAAGTGCACCAGCGGGGGCAACAGCGCGGACCCAACCAGGAACACGAGATGCCAAACGATAGATCTTGTGAGTGTACTGACCCTTTTCATTGGGCTTTTCGTAAGGCTCGTTTTTCAAGACTTCGACACCTTCACCGCCACCGGTAGAATTCTTGGATGCCATAGCAGTAGCATATAATTGAGCTGTTTCATCGTAACGTGTCAAAAAAAAAAAAAAAAAAAAAAAAAAAAAAAAAAAAAGATAAGCAAACAAGAGATGAGACTTACCAACTTGGTATTCTTGTTCGGTACAGTTGTTGATGACACGGTATTCGTTAATGATCATTGTTGTAAAATGTGAAAATATAGAAAGAGAGAGAAGAAAGAGAAAAAACCAAGTTTTTTGAGAACTGGAAAATTTATTTTCCCAAAAATAAGTTTTTGGTATTTCAAAGGACGTCTTTAACCCTTCTTTCTGTGCACATTTCCCTGATTAAGAAGCTTGCAAAAGTTACCAGCTTGGTGCTTGGCTGAGGAGGGGATACTTTGTCTTGTGTGCAATTTTTATTAAATACAAAGAAGCTCGGTATCTTGGCCCGTTTCATTGATGGATTTACAAGACATGACATGTCATTGACATTGGCATGATTTGACATTTATAATTTATAAGCAGATAACGTGTCATGTGCAATGAGGGCTATTTTGCTTATCTACTCCTCCTGTTCTGTTGTATCCACTGGTGCATCAGTTGTGTCATCCACTGTTTCTGTCACTATGTCTTCTGCTTCATCCGCCACTGCTTCTTCTTCCACGGGTGTGTGCTCAACAACATCTTCCGTCTTTTCCTGTTCCGAATGTAATGCGGTAATCAATTGCTTCTTGTCTTCCAGAACCAAGATCTCTGAGGGCTGTTCCTGGGATTTCAACCAGACGTAAAAGATTGGGTATTCAATAATCTGCTCACCCTTCAAAACATCCTTGAAAATATCGTTGATTTGATGTGTTACATTGACGAAATGTCCTCGAGGCGATTTCTCTTTTTTCAATGCAATATTAAATTGGTCAATACCCGCATCAATGAATACTTTGACTTGATGGCGAATTGTGCTGTAAGCGCCTTTGCCTTGAGGGTTCTCTGCTAGCAAGAGGTTTTCAAAAAATGCAGAAAATGGCTTGATTTGAGGGAACCTATGAGCGTGATGGTAAGCATGCTGATTCTTGCATGTAGTACAACAGAACTACTTACGAATGTTCCAAATATCTTTCCTTCTTATCGTTGAAACAAAAATTCACTTCAATGGACCAGAATATTTGTTTCAGGCTATATGCAGTAATGAGTTTAGATGATGCTTGCATTAATTAACATGTTAGCCTTACTTTTTACTATAGTTGCTTTGATTCAATTTGTTTCTGCTCATGCCAACGGGTAGTGAAGAGTAATGAATACCCAATTGATGTGCTACTTTGCTGAATGCTTTTGCTCGATTCTCGGCTGATTTCACTTTGAGGTCTCTATTTGTTTCCATTCTACTTCTTGTTATATTATCAGATTGTCTAGATACATCTTCTAAATAGGTGTAGTCTATATACAATATACATTGAGCAATCGCATTTCTCTTTCTAATTCATCATCTAGGGTTTACCACTCATCATGTGTGTTTCGGTATATTTTTGTAATGGTACATAGGCTGTCTTGTCTCTTTCTCCAGAGCACGACGTTTCTTTTTTGTGTTGTTTGACGCATTTTAGTGAACATGTGTGAGCTAAGCAGCGAGGACAGGTGTAAATCCAATCTCTTTCTTGACATATTTGACAAAGTTTGGCTTTTCTAATCTCTTCCTCTGTTAATTGGGGTATTGGTGCTGGATCCTCTACTTTGTCTTGTTGTTGAACCAGGGTAATTCCTGCCTCTTCCTGAAGAGCCAGCTCTATATCTTTGCTTTGATCGTCAGTAGACATTTGAATGAAAAGTTTCTATGCTAAAACAAGAATGCTAGAAAAAAATTTATTCTTACACTGGTACTGGTGGAGAGCTACTGCCTTTAATTCAACAAGCGATAGTCTTTGATAGTTATATGCCAAGTGTAAATGGATGTAGCCCGCATGGCTGGACAGCTTGGCTATGTTATATTGAGAACTAAACCGATTAACTGGCATTTGCGTGTTGGTACTATTCTCGCCTGAAAAGTCGGATGAAGCGACTCACTCTAAAATGCATCCCTCAAATGAAGGTCGAAAACACAATAATGAAGTACACTCGACATGCGTCAAGAGGCTAGGGGCAAAACGTACGTCTTTGTTTCTACACAAAACAACCTGAGTTGCTGCAGTTTTTATTCATCAAAAGTGTTGATGTTTCCTCCATTGAAGACTTAAAAGGTGGGGATTGTTCAATGTTACGATGATAACTTTGATGACTAGAATTAGTAACATGAAACTAGTCAGTCTATGCTGTATCAAGCTTTATACTACAATAGCCAAGAACTCGAGGTACCTGACGTATCCTGTTTTTGAAGGTTCAAGCTCAAAGTATAGAATCATAAACAGATAGACATTTATAAATTTCGTGTTAGGATTGGTCTTTAGAAAAGCATTTCGCAACGATTAATTTCAGCAGGTCAGGCCAATACACAAAACTTGCAATAGAAACTAGCCATAGCATGCTGCGGTAGTTTTTATTCTGTAATCTATTTTCATTAGCATCACAAGCATCGAATGCCTTCATACAAAAGATATCCTGGCCACTAGCAAAGCAAAATTACACTCAGCCAATTCATCCACCTAGATTGGATTAATTTTGATGTTTTTCGACTTGATCGATCTGTTTTGTGTAATTCGACTATGTACGTTGTGCGAATTATCCCATACACCCTTAAGCTTTCTTGGAGTGCTTTTCAAGGCGCATCCAATGGTACCAAGTAACATAAATGTTTTGAATTAACTTACTGAGCAATCTATAAAAACATGAAAACAGGTTTCTGGTCAAAAAGTCAAAATTTTACATATCAAAGTCCCACAAAGATGATTTCAAGGGTTACGTTGGATCGATAGAAACAATTTGATTCAATACATACCATAGTAAAAGTCTTCATTATCAAGGTAAAAAACGCGATCGTTTGATTTTTGATGAAAATCATGAGGGGTACCTCATGCTTTTTGGTCGAATTTTGGCCATTTTTTTTTGGTCCCCAAAAAGTTGAGCAAAGGTGTCAGTAAGTAAGTGCTAGATGAAAGCAATTATTTGGTGCTATTCTGACGATCTAAAACGGCCTTGAATGCGAGAAAGAGCAACTCAAATGTATTCAGGTTTTGCTGTATTCGGCACATTCTTGACTAAAAAGGAATAATATCTGTATGATACTTGCCCGTATATGAAGTAGCTACATGTATATGAATGTGGAGCATCACATAAGAATCAGATCCACAGATACTATGAAGGTTTTTTATGTGTAAGTGGAGGGTCCAAACGTAAGTAGCAGATACTCAAGGGCCATCGGTAGCGCGAGCTGCCGCTGCGCAGTTGACTCTCTACTTTCGCTTTGCTTCCGTGAGAACCATCCGAAGCGTAGACACACTCCAAACGATTAATATTTATATTCATGAGGCTTTTCGAACCTCAAAGTTTGAAATGCAAGCCTTAAAACTTGGCTTTCTGTATTATTTAAGGCTGAAATGCAACCAGATCACAAAAGAAGGAGCTTTCCATAAGCAAAACCACAATAAAGGCGTGTGTAGCTATATTGACAGTACTCAACTGTCGAGCTTTGACGCTTGGCATCTCACCATATTGAAGAGAGAGACGCTACTATTATGTTGATATAATTTTATTACATAAAAGATGAATGCATTTTGAGAGCTATAGATAAATGCACAGTGTATTGATAACCTTTATTTCTTTTCCAGATCTGCCAGTTTTTTATATTGGTTTTTAATGACAGAAACAGTAGTGTCTGTATCATACACTGAATACCAACCACGGGGCTCATGAGGTGGATCGCCAAGGAGATACATTCCGTATTGATTAGGATCTTCATATGGTCTACCAACACCACCATAGGCCCAGAAATTAGAGCCAGCATAAGGTCCACCAGCTTCAACTTGCTTGTAGATCTCGCTAAGCATGTAATCGTAGTACTTATCCTTGTGTTCAGTACTGGTTTCAGGATCCCACTTGGCCCACTGGCTGTTGGGCTGCTTCCAGGCGTCTCTAGCCATACCGAACTCTTCCATGACAATAGGCTTCTTGACCTTCTTGGCCCAATCAACACGAGTAGAAATGTATTCCTTGGCATAGTCTAAAGCAGCTTGAAGACCATCCTCTTTGAAGGGGTCATAGATACCCCAGCTACATAGAGTTTGTTAGAGTCTGCACAGACACACTATTTATATATACAACAATGCCTTTACTTTTCAACCCACAAATGACTAGTACAGTAATCAATGTACTTGGAGGCATGAGCATTCATGAAATCTTGCTCATCCAACTTGGATTCAATACCACCAGTGACGAGTTGCTTGGGAGCATTCGACTTGATGAACTTGGCAACATCATCAAACCAGTGAGCAGGAGCAGATTGAGGTTCATTAGCGATCTCCCAAGCCATAATGGTAGAGTCTTCATTATAAGCCTTGCCATTAAAAGTGTTCTTATGATTTTGGATCTTCTTGATATTGTCCTTGAACAACTTATCGGCCTTCTTGGCAATCTTGGGATCAGTGTAGAACCTGCGAGTCCAGTTGGTGAACTCATCGTAGGTGTAGGGGTTGTTAGTGGGATAAGGAGGAGTTTCACCGGTAATCCAGTTGATGTATTGAGAGAAACTATCAAACAAAGGTATCAACATCTTCAGTCGCGTAATACAGATATGGACCCGTGTGATACGTACCCTCCACTCCAATGCCAGAAGTTACCCAAAGTGGCTACAAATGGACGCATGTAAATACAAACAAAGATCTAATCAAATGTGTTGTGTGACAATAAACAGTGTATACATACCAACAGCTGTCATATTACGCTTGCCCAAAGCATCGATAAAATAATCAAGGCCTTGGTAAATTTTTTCATTGTATTTGCCAGGAGAATCCATCAAGGCAGGACGCATACGGAAAGGCTCACCGTCAGGGCCTTCAGTGCCAGTAACAATACGAACATTGTTCACACCCATAGCAGCAAGTTGGTCAAGTTCAAGGTCCAAGCGAGTACGGTTACCGCCGTCCAAGCTGCCCATGTTGATACCGTGCCAGTAGTTGACGCCACGGATAAAGTAAGGGTTGCCGTTCAAGGTGAAGCCAGTTTCAGTGGTCTTGACAAACCCATCATCGCCATGAGGGTGGTGTTTGTCGATAGCCTTCTATAAGATGTAGGAGGGGTGATTAACGCTGATGTCTCCTCTAAGATGACACGTTTCTTACACCATAAGCAGCTTGAGCCAGGAGACCGAAGATTGCGACAGAAATAGAAGATTTGATCAGCATTTGGATTGCTTTGAGTTTGATAAAGTTTTGTTAGATTGGCATAAATATGCCTCGTATTTATACTTGATGAACATCAGTAACACATATGCTATTAGAAGGGTATGGTTATTTTAATGTAAATTGTATTAACGGTAGTGGTAACATGTATAAATGCCATGGGAATAAGTGGGCGGTGAGCATTTCTCCGCGGCTACGAAGGTTTCTGTGAGAGATGAAGGGAGAGAGAGGGCAAGTGAATGAGTGAAAAAACTGGTAAATGGCAGGATCTTTTTTTCATTTGGTTTTTTCCCTGAACTGAAATCAGGGTTACAGAATGTAACACGAAGAAACCGAGCATCATATTGATTACCTAATCTACACAGAGTTGATATACATGGTGAGCACAGTCTATACTGATGGGAATGTCACCCACACAAGGTAGCCATATTCAATCCATTGGGCGTACAAAAGTGCAGTATGAGATCAAATCTATCTCACCTGTATACTTTATCCGCAGAAAATTACCCGCCTTTACACAACGTACAACTTGAAAGTATTTTAGTTCATTCTGAACTGGTTTCTTTTAATCAAATCTGGGTATTGCTGCGATCGGATAGCTGATAAACTTGTATTTGGGCATATCCTGCAGACCCAAGTTGTACCAGGCATATGCAATTGGCCTGGCTATCTCCACATGTGTCAAAACAGGAAAACTTGCTCGAATATGGAACAGATTGCTTCGACATTGAACGGTTCCAAAACTCTAAACGCCATTGCACTTTATTGGCTGTAGACCGTCTTAGTCCCCTTCACTTCCATGGAACCAGAACACAGGAAAGAGTATTCCCAATAATAATGCTTGAATTTCCGAGGAAAGGGCATCCTGTCTTGTACATGTGAGTTTGTACTTTGCTTATCAAATTCGCCAAACAGATTATGTTCGTATGTGCTCTTCTAATTCCACTCAGATCAACCAGTTCTGACAGTGCTCCTTGGCGATGCATTTTATTTAAAGCGTTTGTTACATGTGCGCAACTATCGTGCTGTAGATTGATTAATCATTTTCTCAGGATAAAATTCATGACATAGAGTCCCCGTATTAATTTTAGATGATTGTTGATCACATCGCTATTAAAATCCACTGAAAATCTATTTTTTCGCCTATTACTATAACGTGAATTATCCTAAAATCATCCTGTAATTCTAGGTCTGATTCTTTTATGATGCTTCTCGTCTGTATCAATAGAAACAATTTATATACAGGCCTATAGCATAACAGCATTACCTCATATTATTCCAAAATATGCAAACCACAGCAAAATCTGGATTCATATAATCCGTGTTTTCTCGCATTCAAGACCGTTTTAGATCGTCAGAATAGCACCAAATAATTGCTTTCATCTAGCACTTACTTACTGACACCTTTGCTCAACTTTTTGGGGACCAAAAAAAAATGGCCAAAATTCGACCAAAAAGCATGAGGTACCCCTCATGGTTTTCATCAAAAATCAAACGATCGCGTTTCTTACCTTGATAATGAAGACTTTTACTATGGTATGTATTGAATCAAATTGTTTCTATCGATCCAACGTAACCCTTGAAATCATTTTTGTGGGACTTTGATATGTAAAATTTTGACTTTTTGACCAGAAACCTGTTTCCATGTTTTTATAGATTGCTCAGTAAGTTTATTCAAAACATTTACGTTACTTGGTACCATTGGATGCGCCTTGAAAAGCACTCCAAGAAAGCTTAAAGAAGCATAGGGTGATTAGTATATTCTTATAGTCGAACCTGACAAAATAGTTCAATCAAGTCGAAAAACTATTAGAATTTGGCTAATCAGAAACAGACTAAAAGTCTGAGTTAGAATTAATTTTGGCTGGTGGGGCTGGATAGCAAACTCAAGGCTTTCTAGTCAGAAGCAATAATAGATGCTTTTGAAACTAATGGAAGGTAGGTGGCCAACTACATGGTAATAACGTTAACCATGCTATCTTCTTTCATAGTGTTGTATATAATAACGCGGCCCATCAAAATATTTGTATAATCAATTTCTTTTTATTTTGAGACTTTGAAAACGTCTAGTAGGGACTATAAATTTAATAATTGTGTAGTATATTAATTTTTATTAGAGTGGTATCAATGTTATTCTTCCTCGAAAATCTCAGAATAGTTTTCTAATATAGTTTGAACGACTTTAGCTTGCAATTGAGATTCTGCAATACGCTGACTATCATGAACGGCCACTTGAGATTGTGAGCCAGCTTCACTACTCATCAATGTGAGGCCAAAAATAGTCGCTAGATTCGCCGCACCCATTTTGTTGAAACGTTGATAGGATTGCACCCTTTTGAATGTGTAAGTATTGATCGCTTGCTTATATAAATATGGGGTAATGAACTTACTTGTGGAGATGGCACATCAAGTACTTCAACGTGGCATAGTGAGCGTCTGACAAGTCATTAATGACAGTGTGTAGACCAATAACTCTGTTTCTGTCATCAGGCAATTCTATCGTGTACTTATGAATAAGCAACATGCTATCAAGATTACACGAGCTGAAACTTACTTGCTGCTTCCAGGAATTGATGATACGAAGCTGAAGGGAACAAAGGATCAGGCAGTTCTCTGAACCACAGTTTTAACACACTTGTAACATTGTTGATATCCGATAAATCTTCTTCTGATATAGGGTTAGGATCGCCGCTCTCAAACTTGAACTTGATTTTCTGAATACGACTGCTAGTCCCTGAGAGTCTGTAAATGCCCACTGAACTGAGTGCATACTGCTCTACAACGGTTGCGCATTGTTTCAGAATATCAGGCACCATATCCTCAGACATCTCTGCTTGCTGTTCTAACGATACACCAAACACTCGATTGTTGTTGAAATTGGCATTTGTAGGCAACTAGATGACTGTGAGTTTGTGTCTTGTAAGTTACTTTCAAGGTCTCCTTACAGCATTCTCTTGTTGGATAAGTTCATTCTTTTGAATTCTTCCACTTCTCTCGGTGCACAATCTCACAAATTCCACCCAATCTGCGTCGTTTCTAATCTTTTTTATGAGTCCTCTTAATCCCGTTCCTTGGTCATTATCCAATGCTAGACCGTCTTCTGTCAATGCTTGTTCAAATGTATAGGCGTAATTAGCCAGTTGATATCGAAGTGCTACGTGGCATTCATCATCTACTGCTTTCAATTCCTACATTTGGCATAGATTAATCTATGCATGCACGCTTAATTCGAATGTGGAGCACATACCTTGAGCACCTTGGGCAGGTGTACTTCATAATACTCTGCATGTGTTTGAATGGTTTTCTTTTGTTGCATCTTGTATTGAGCATCAGCAGCATCCATTTTATTTCTGCAGTCATTCTCTGTTCTATCCAGCTACAGAAAGTTATCAATACACTGTAGGCAAACTCTGTGTAAAAACTTACTTGGGCAGGCGTTCGGCTAGATCTAAAGAGGTTCTTCTTTGGCGTTTGTGTAGGCTCTTGATTTCTTTGTGACACAGCACGGCCCCACTCTTCATTCGTATTCTCAAACTTTTGCTTGCTCTTTTCTAGCTGTAAGTCAGCATCTGTCACTAGTTTCTCGTAATGCATGCCTGCATCTTTGATCTGTTTCATCATAAGTAAAACCACAGCGCATAAATCAGGCTATTATCAGTACCTTCTTTCTCTCCTTTTCAATGCTTCTGCCCACAGACAGTAAATCTTCTGCTGAATCAGAGATAGTAGCTGCAAATTTAATACGTTGATTTCCAATGTTTTCGTGCACTTTCAACATGGAGATCCACACATCACCAAATGTCCTTAATTAAGCAGCAGTTTGAGTAAACAACCATCTCTTTTTGTTACATTGTGTCACATACACACACACACACACACACACACACACACACACACACACACACACTTACCCTGATTTTGGATGTGCCTTGTCAAAGGCTTCGGCTGTTGCTTGGGCCACTTTGACCATATCTCTGCCGTAACTTTCCTCCAGAAACGCCCTCTTCTTCAAAAATGTAGAAATATCCTGCGACATCCATTGAGTTGTTTTGATCTACAGTCGTTACTACTGACTACTACCTTGGTCATTTGTGAATCGCCCTTGACTTTTTCCAAAAGAGCATGCAAACCGCCCTGTGATAGTTTGCATTGTGAACATCTCGCAAACGCAACAATGCACCAAATGTTACCTCTAATTCTGCCATTTGATTGATAAGATCGTTTGGTTGGATATTGGTTCCTTCAGCAAACATGTCGACAGTCATCATTGTATATTACCTGAGAGAGATAAAAAAAAACAAATAAAAGGAAAAGAAAAAATGCTCCGTAAAATCAAGGAGAAATGTTGATTTAAATACAATCATTTTACAAAAACGGGCTTCAGGTTAAAAACTAATTGCCTTTTATAGATCCTAAGAAATGTGTGGTGTCTATATAACATGACATAATATTGCAATTTTATTTGAATAAAAAGTACTTTGAAGCACCAACACGGTGGCCAGATCTATTAATAAGGGGCTCCTCCATCAAAGGCCAATTTTGAATGAAGCGCTCATGCATTTCCTGATCAAACATCATCTGTCGTTTGGTCTCCACCGATAATTTAAACTCAACGCCAAATCCCCCTGAGTGCTTGTTGTTGGTCATGTAGCGTCTATGTTGCACTGGAGTGTCATCTACAAGGTCTTCAATAGCGTCCAGCTCATTGAATTCTTGCTGAGGCCCAAGAGCAGAGACCCATTTTTGCTCGTCAGCATTGAATATCATATTATTGCCCATCAAAGCAGCATAGCGACTAGGATTCTTTTGTTGGATCTGAGTCATCAGCATTGGGCGACGGTACGTCTTTTCTTGAAAGCCTGCTAAACTCTGTTCATTTCCCTTCCAAACTTGAGCTATTGGATCAAATTCCATGCCATCGTATCTTTTCTTGACGGGCTGCTCGTTGGGTTTAATTAAGCGAACATTAGCCTTCTGAATAATGAAACAATGTTAGCAGAGCTCTCAATTAGGATACAATCAAATGTTACCTGTTGTGGTTGTTGAGATTGTTGCATATTTCGGCGCCATGGACGTTTCGGATCCACTCCATTTTTGTTACTACTGTTATTCTCTTTCTTTATTTGTCGAGAGAACTTGGGCCGAAGGTCGTTTAGATTGTCGATATTGTCTAGTTGAAAACAATAACTGCCTTTATTGGTCTTTGGCCGTGAGATTAGAGTGTATCCATTGGCACTCTTTCTTTCGGTGGGCTCTTTGCTGGTCAAAAGATTTCTGTTCAGGGTAGGTCTTTGTTGCTGTCTTTGTTTAGCTGCTGTACCATCAGCCTCACGGCTCAAAGATGACTGTGTGCTGGTCAAGACATTGCGTCTCGTCGATACGTGTGGCCAAGACGATTGTTGAGGAATCAAAGGTTGCCGCTTGGGTAGTTCAGGGATACGGCTTTTGGTAGCAATGGAGGGCCTGGCTAATCTACTGGTTGCTGCAAGGTTGACTGGAGATTTTCCTTTGCTGCTGATAAGAGATTTCGACTGTTGCAGAGAAGATATAGACGACCTACTGGATACATCCATGTGGAAGTTTCTTTCATTTATCTTCAGTCCTTCAGTGAAATCTTCGTCATCCTTTTCACGCATAGATGCCAATAGTTTTGCTTTTGGAGAGCAAGTGGGGATTTTGCTCTTGTAAATTGTAGGTTTGGTTGTGCTTGCAGGAGTAGATGGCGTATTAATACCCTTCTTTCTTTGATCTAATCGCACAGGAAGAGAAGCCATATTCGCCGGAAATTCCAGACCAGCCATATCATCCTGATCATCATCTTGCTCGATCTCGTACCTGAATTTTGGAGCAGCAGAGCCTGCGACCGAAGTAGGAGGCTTTGGAGAATGAGCTACTCGTTCGCTCACAGAAGGGCCGATATCACTGTCAAAGTCAATTTGCTGTTCATATTCTTGTCTTTGTGCTAAGCTTAGCGAGAGTCCTTTGGATGGCATTTCAACATCATCATCCCAATCATCAATTTCTTCCACGACATTTTGATAGCGAAGACCAAGCTTCTTTACGACACCCGGTAGGTTTTGTTGCTGCTTTATAGTCATCTCATTAGGTTGGAACTGAGGAGGCGTAACCGGATCATCAAACATGAACTCATCAATATTATGATGGAGAGACATTTCAGAAAATCTGCTTGAAACGACGCTGCTGCCTGCAATACTACTCAAATCGTCGTTTAAATAATTCTGAGGGTACTGATATCGTTCACAAGCCAATGCTAAGTCTTTGTCAGGTTCATACGCCAAAATGTCTCTTTTGCGAAAGATATTGTGCATTGATTCTGGACCTAAATTGATGTCAACTTCCCAGTCATTGTCTTTCATTGTGTAGAGTGTATACTGTATTGAAAAGATAAAATGAGAAAAAGAAAAAAGAGAAAAGGAAGATGGTCGAGATACAATCAGGTTTAATACAAAAAATCCACTAATAATGAAACCAGACACAACAATCAAATTGAAAAATATACAACCACGCATTGATAGATTTGATTCTTTCTCTCTGCTTGTCTCCGCCCTCTCTTCCTGTCTCCTTTTTTTGTTTTTTTGTTTTTTTTTTTTTTACCTTTTCCACGTTGTGCTCTCGGATTGACATGTAGCAACAAATGAGTAAGGGTTAAATGTATAAATAATGAAAGAAGAAAAGTCTTCTGGTGATCTACTTTTTTTCTTTTTTTTGGTTCTTTTTATTGGCATTATGTGATATACTGTGAACATTTTTGTAATCTTGATATGTTTAGTTGTTTTCCTTTTCATATTGTTCGATGTATTTCTCTAAATCAAACTTGGGATCCTCAATGTCAACTATAAAAGCCGCCAAATGTCAATAACCTTTCGCGCATGTCCATTAACAAAACTTACATTCAACAGTCTTTACGGGAGTTTCAGTAACGCCAGATTGCTTCTTGGCGTATGCAAGTCTAGCTTGTTCAATCAAGAGCTCCTTACGATGATATTCAGACTCGACCTTCTTTTGTTCGGCTTGCTTTTGCAAAGAAATGTTGTGAGTATAACCATAGAAAAGACCAAAGGCTAAAGCGGACCAACGTCCAACCTGCAGTCAACCAAATGTCAGTTTTAACATGCCATTTTACGAGACGTCAAATATCGTCCTGTACGTACGTTTGCGACAGCACTGTTAACCATAGTGTATACTGAGTATTAATAAATAAGAGAGAGAGAGAAAAAGAGAGAGAGAGAGGGGTGAAAGGTGGAAAGAGGGGGGTTGGATTTGAAAAAACCTAGGCCGGTAGCTGGGGCAAGTACACCAACCCTGACAATAATTGAACGAGCGAAGTCCATCTCTCTCTCTGTATACAGACATTTAACCAATCTGCGATGTCATCAAAATCTATAGGTGGTTTGTTTGTGTAAGAAAAAAAAATAGAAAACATTTATTTCACCTTTTTTTCTTTGGAAATAAACAACATCTCTTCAACACATTTGGGTCAAGTAACAGCCACTTCCACCTCCACCAAAAAAGAAACAAAACTTACATTAATTTGTTTTTTGGCATCATGATGTGGACAAAAGTACGACATTTAAATCACTCGCAAAAGCAACGGATCACCAACAATCTTTTCGTTGCAGTAGCTGTTGGAGCAGTTTTGACAGTGGCAGGCCCCGCTTTATTACCTTGTCCAGCTTATGATCAAAATGACCGCTCAGCATTTTTAGAAGATCAGAAGAAGCAATCCAGTACGAAAAAGAAGGTTATCGTTGTCGTCAAGAAGCGAAGAGATACCACATCACAACAGCAATCATCTTCGTAATACGGGGCAACGAAACATTCGATAAAAATTGTAAATAGACAACCTCCACCCACCCAGAAAAGAAAAAAAAAAAAAAAGAAAAAAAAAAAAAACTTATTTATCTTGCAAATGGAAAACAGAAATAATTTGACACTTCCCTTGACAAGCAAACACACCCCTTCAGATCCTATCCCTTTAGTTAATATCCATGTTGTTTGTTTTTAAATGCTCTCTTCCGCCACAACTAATCTTGAATAGACGTGGTTTATGTATTGAAAGCAATAAACTTTTCTTTGATTCATCAAATCGATTTCGAGGACGCTTTAGAATGACATTACTTTCAGGACGATGTTTCGATTGTAGGCATAACACGATTTGGGTATTGTTCTCGGAACATAATTGAACGTAATGGATGTGCCATGTGTAGTTTCCTTTTGAATTAAATATTTCAACGTCTTGCAATGCTACCAAAGTTTAATGCTCTGATGAGACCAAGGTGATAAGTGTTCTTGACAGAGACAACATTTACTATTATGTGTTTCCATATTCTTCATGCCATACAGCCTTGCAACCATACACCCATTGTGCCTTTCTACATAATAATAGCATCTTTGAGCATGCAAAAGTGGTCGCTCATAAGTCGCTCATACAAAATTCACTCTCAAACTTTGACATCCCACTTTTAATCTTTCATTCCAACGTGAGAAATCTTGAGACAAGAGTCTTTACTGAGAATCCAACTCACTAACAATGGCCCACGTCTGTAACAGTAAAAACAATTTATAAGCTAGCAGATAGCATACTAGCAATTCCTCTAAACACTCAAAAGTATACAAAGCATAGCAAAATTATATATATATCTAAGCAGTGAATTCTCGTGCTGGAAGCCATTTCAGATTGTCGAAATAGCACCAAATAATTGCTCTTGCCTAGCGGCAACTTGCTGACGTTTTTGCCCAACTTTTTGAGGTCCAAAAAGAATGGCCAAAATTCGACCAAAAAGCATGAGGTACCCCTCATGGTTTTCATCAAAAATCAAACAATCGCGTTTTTCACCTTGATAATGAAGACTTTTACTATGGTATGTGTTGAATCAAATTGTTTCTATCGATCCAACGTAACCCTTGAAATCATTTTTGTGGGACTTTGATATGTAAAATTTTGACTTTTTGACCAGAAACCTGTTTTCATGTTTTTATAGATTGCTCAGTAAGTTTATTCAAAACATTTACGTTACTTGGTACCATTGGATGCGCCTTGAAAAGCACTCCAAGAAAGCTTAAAGAAGCATAGGGTGATTAGTATATTCTTATAGTCGAACCTGACAAAATAGTTCAATCAAGTCGAAAAACTATTAGAATTTGGCTAATCAGAAACAGACTAAAAGTCTGAGTTAGAATTAATTTTGGCTGGTGGGGCTGGATGGCAAACTCAAGGCTTTCTAGTCAGAAGCAATAATAGATGCTTTTGAAACTAATGGAAGGTAGGTGGCCAACTACATAGTAATAACGTTAACCATGTTATCTTCTTTCATAATATTGCATCTAATAATGCCGGCCCATCAAAATACTTGTATGATTAACTTTTCTTTCCTTTTCAAGACTATGAAAATGTGTAGGGACAACAGAGTAATTATATTATGATACTAGTCCATGAGTCTCAGCATCTGAAAAGGAGGGCATAGTACCAAGCACTCGTGATATTCTTTACTTGTCTATAAAATTTTGGTGCGTCATTTTACCACAAAATTGAAGGTTGATGCAACCTCGTCATATATGACGAGCAAGTCCCGGTTAACTGGGAGCTTTAGACCATGTAGCAGGTCATTTTGATAAAAAAAATTGAGGCGTGAGGTAAGCTTATTACGATTTAAAGAAAAGGATATGGTTTTTCTGCCCCTTATCGTCGTAGATATTAAGATTTAAGGGATTCTGCATTGGTCCCTTTGCTTGGTGTTTATATCGTTATAACCATCAACATTAGCACAAAGCCATATTAATCAGAGATTCGAGAGTATCAGAAACCTCCTTTTATTGATTCTTGAAACGCCCAAATTAACTACTTTGTGTGTGATCATTGCCGTTGATGCAAACCTCTAATTGTTGTTGCAAATTTTAGGCTCGTAATTTCTACTAGATGATACGACTAATGGTGGGATGTAACCACTATAAACAATAATAACAAAGAAGCGCGCAGTGTGTGCAACATTTATGAATAATTTCTTTAAGAAGCTAGTAAGCTCCATCGTAGAGTGAGGTACTTCATCAACGATTCATGGAATGTAAATATCAGAAAAGCTTCATTGATGTCATGTGTTCAGAGAATAATCCGAGATACAGCAAGGCAAGGCCATATTGCAACGCGACGCATCACATGCAAGAAATTCAATATGATGGCATGGTGCTTTGTCAGTGTTTTCCTTTCATTAGTATATGATTCACTAGTAATTCATTCTTCTGTCGATCAGCGAATTATACATGCGATAGATGATTTCTTTAAATCGTTCATGTCGATCGAATAATAAAGGCTTTGCAACTGATTGTTCAGCAAAACAAAGAGAGAGCATCTACAGTGCTGTAGCATTATACACAGTTTTGTATATTTTGCTCGGTCAAAATTCGCATCACTTGAATAAACAAAAAATCTTCTTGTTATATGGAATAGTAATAGGCTTCAATTTTAGTCTTGTATACCTCTGATTCGGAGACATTTTTTACTAGATGTGAATACAGACTACTGAAAAACAAACTGTTTTCATTTCTGCTGTAAAGATGCCCTAAAAAAAAGCAGTTGATTCTATCATGGCTGTTAGTCGAATGGATTTCACTTGATGTAGTGCTCTCTTTAGCACGGAAAATCATCAATGTACAGCCACTAGTTGCTCGTTTTAGTTCAAGAAAAAAATGGCAGAAACTAGAGCCAAATTATGATATGATTAATAAGGCAGAGTCAAATTTCACTGGCATTTAAAAAATCTGATACATTCAACAATAATCGAGCCAGCGAGTCATCATATCATTTCAATCATAACTTGATCCATTTCGTTCAGGGAGAAGTAGCAAGGCAGAGAACAAGCAGAAAAAGAAGAATTGTTGTATTGCAATAACAAATATTTATTATATCCAAATAGTAAATTTATCGTATTCCTTTGTGGGCTACTAAAGTAATCTAAATCATAAAATGGCTCTAAACTGTAAACTTCCGAAACTGGTTTTATCTTGATTAGGGTTAGCGTTGTATCTCCATTTTTACAATTATTACTCGATTTATCTGGCAGAAGATAGAAGATAATCTACATTTATACATTGATGGGAAACTATTCTCGATTGTATTCTCTCTTGTCGAATTGAGCACTCAATGCATCATCTAAGGAGTTTAATAACGATAAAATCTAGTTTTTACGGAGCTAACTGACAGTTGAGCTGGGGGTTTTGTTTTAGAAACCTCTGTTTTTTTCTTTCAGCAATACTATTCCTGTATTAAGTCTAGACAACTCCGTTTAACTGTATGCCAATTCGACTCTGATTTGGCTCTTTTTAGGGATTGCATGATGTCATGTCACTTCGTTAGTATGTATCATATATAAATAATAGACAGAGAATCCAAATTATTCAGTTTCATTACTTCTTTCTTTCTCTTTTCTATTACGGTGATAATAAAAACTCTGAAAAATGGCATCTTTACACTCGAAGCAACCACTTGATCTCAACCAACACCGCAACACCATTAAAACTTCAATGTCCCGAGAGGATTTGATGCTACTTGCCCAGAATGAATATGCTCGACAATTATGCAAATTTACAGAAGCACAACTGAAAAAGAAAGTGCCCTGTTACACTGAACAGCGCAAAATTGGAATGGAGGCAATGTCTTCTCTCAAAGCAGCATCTCATCATTAAATATAGTCCATTACATCCACAACTCTTGTATATAATTTCTTTTCTTTGCTTTCACTCATTGTAGCCAAACATGATATATAAACCCCTCCCAACTACAACACCTCTTGATAAAATTTCTCTCGATCAATTTAATATCCCATCATGCTGTGCACTATCTAGCACAATTCTCATACAATCTTAATAAATTTACAACTATAAATGAACAGTTTATAAACATAAATTTAATAAACATCTATTTGACAACAATCTTTTTATCTTTTAATTAAGTGTGCCTTATGGGGTCGGCTCTAGTACCTATATATATATTCCCACTATGCAATTTAAGTTGAATACAAAGAACATTTGAAAATGAAAAAGCTCAACTGTAATTAGAATGGTTTTGCACATGCATTAACATCATTGTAGTCGCTCTTCAAATATCATTTCGCTGTCTCAATGGCACAGTTTTACTCTCAGGGCCATCACTATTAATTTGAATTCTTGCTCTTTCAATAAAGGATCATTGTTTATTCTGTTTTGCTATAGTGTTACTATATATGTCGACCTTAGTATCAACACCACCTGCACCTGCAACACCACCATTGTTGGAGCTGTCCCCGAGTCAGAAATCACTTGTAAAAGCATGGTGGAGAAAAGTCAATAGCAATTTGTCTAGCGAAAAGGCCAATCGACATGGTAAGGTTATTTACAAACAATCCACTTTTACAGAAAAATAAACTTTTCTTTATTTACAATACAGAAAAACAAGGAGCAGTGTTCGGCATTCCTTTGATAGACTCACTAAAGTATGCACATTCAAGAATATCATACTTTGATGAAAGAACAAGCAGCCATTGCAATGCAATCATTCCAACCATCATTGCGAAATGTGGGGCTTTTTTAAAAGAAAAAGGTAACTAAAAAAAAAAGCCAGTGAATGGAAAGACCACATCTAATGTAGCTTTTTTCATAGCTATTTACACAGAGGGTATATTTCGTTTGTCTGGAAATGCAAAACGAATATCAATGCTGCAAATGATCTTTGATACACGGGCAGATGATTACGGGCTACATTTGGATTGGGATGACTACACTGTTCATGACGCATCAAATGTAATGCGACGTTTCCTAAATTACCTTCCAGAGCCATTGATCAACCTACATTACCAAGCATTATTTAAGGCTGCCTTGGGTATTTCTTGATTGCGATCTTAATTTCAGCTCATAAACTAACACTATTATTATACGAGAACAGATGCTGAATTTCCTAGTTTGGAATCAAAAATCGATGCGTTCCAGAACCTCATTGAGAGACTACCAATTGCACATCAATATCTTTTGTTGTATCTGTTGGATCTGCTCTATTTATTCTCGCAATGCGTAGATTACACTCGAATGGACTCGTCGTCGTTAGCAACAGCGTTTTCGCCGGTATGTTTCTGGGAGAGTTAATGTAATTTCACATCATTGACATGTATATTAATAGGTGATTTTTCCGGATCCCAGCCATGCCACGAATCCGGCAGGTTATAAGGAATCTCAAAGAGTGCTTGAATTCCTCATCTTGCATCAGTATAGGCTCTTTATGCCAAATATATCACAGAATGATATTGATCAAATATTAACCTATCCAAGTAAGTTGTTGATCATTGTTACTAATTAAATGTACTAAATTAATCATGAAACAGCAAATTATGAGAAATCAACAACCTCGTCATCATCGCCATTGATATCATTGCCGTCATTCAACAGACAGCGCAGACATTCAGCCACGACAAACTCATCATTTGAAAGATCCAAACCTCCATATTCATTACCATACACATCCTCGTCAGCCTCTGATCTATTTTCGTTTAATAAAAGTAGTTTGACTAACACCACCATTGGTAGCACGAGCTCTGCCACATTGCCATCATCGACATCATCATCACCCTTGCCCACTACACTCAAAAGATCCAAAACAGCTCCTAGCAGCAAAAGAAACAATAAATTTGGAGACGCTGACTCACCGCCATCATCCACAGCATCTAAATTCACCTTGGGCGATGCTAATAATAGTTATACATCACGTAAAGTTCAATTATGCTTGGTGTGTGAAAATTAAGTGAAGTGTATTAATGATGACATTCTTTCAATTCTAGTAAATCAGAATAATCGCACTTTAGGTAGATGGAAATCAATTAAACGTGTCGTTAAAGAGGAAGATGAACAGCTTCCACCTTTATCACCACCACTACCAACGACACCGTTATCAATCTAATATAACCAGGACAATAAAGCTTTGATGCCATATGCATGATTGTTATTCATTTCTCAAGATGGCCTAATAAGGAACGATTACATCTAAAATTTGCTTTGTCAATGTGTCACCATATTTTGCTCTGCATCAAATCCATCAGCAAACCGAATGTGCAAGCATAAACGTGCATGATGTGCATCGTCTAAAATATATATGAGTTGTGAATAGCAATTCATGTCATTAGATTAGAAGTGCGAGTTTTATTGTAAATATTATATCTGCTCGTAGAGATCATGTGCAGCATTGAGCAACATCTGCAATCTACCCCTGGAATCTGGCCAATGTCTACTATTGTGTGGCACCTCCAAAATCCGAGCATTTTATTGCGGTGATACTTTTTTTAGAAGAATTGTATGCTTTGAGTCAGAAATAATCTTATTCCGGCAGTGTGCCCTAATAAATACCCCCAAAAGTGGAAAAAATAACTATTCAACAAGATGGATATTTCTTGATTGATATGGTTGTTGCAGCTCTTAACATGTAGACTTATAGTAGAAAACAAAATAATATGGCTAAATTGAGCTGTTGTATTCTTCAATCTGCTATTTCCTCTTAATGAGCTTCACGACTTCTTTATGAGAAGGGGCATTCTAGCCAGCCACATGTAATTTAAAATCAGACAAAAAATTCATTTGGATTGGACAAATACTTATGTTTTTTTGACTTGATTGAACTATTTTGTTAGGTTCGACTATAAAAATATGCTAATCACCCTATGCTTCTTTAAGCTAGTCCCTGGTGGTAGGGCGAAGTGGTAGAACTCCCGTATGCCAACGGGAGGATCCCGGTTCAAATCCTGGTGAACGCAAGTTGTTTGATTTTTTTGACGTAGTACTGATGTCCTCGTTTGGTGTTTTTGTACTCTTATCCATGATCTATATTTTGACGATTTCCGCAAGACTGTACTGGCTCTAGGAGTCGCACCTTATTAGTAGTAGATTTCTTTCCCAACTTAGTTCAAAAAATATCTTATTCCCCTTCTTTGCAGACATTGGGTCCACCAACAGTCTTTTCTATCCCTCAGCATGACATTTAAAGGACTTTAAATAAAACCTGGAGCTCGACTCCCCTACAAAAAATGCTTCTTTAAGCTTTCTTGGAGTACTCTTCAAGACGCATTCAATGGTGCCAGATAAGATAGATGTTTTGAATAAACTTATCAAGTAATTTAGGAAAATATGAAAAGAGGTTTCTGGCCAAAATGTCAAAATTTTGTATATGATAACTTCATAAAGATGATTTCAGAGGTTGCTTTGGATCGAGAGACACATTTTGATTTATTATATGCCTTAGTAAAAGTCTTCATTATCAAGGTGAAAAACGCGATTGTTTGATTTTTGATGAAAACTATGAGGGGTACCTCATGCTTTTTGGTTCAATTTTGGCCATGTTTTTTTGGACCTCAAAAAGTTGAGCAAAAGCGTCAGCAAGTTGCCGCTAGGCAAGAGTAGCTGTTTGGTACTATCCTGCAGGTCTAGAACAGCTTCTAACGCAAGAAAACGCGACTCAAATGCACTCAGAATTTGCTGTATCAGGGACACTAAGGACTAAAAAGGGGAAATACCAGTATGCTGCTTGCCCGTATACAAAGTAGTTACATGTATATGGATGTAGACCATCACATAAGAATCAGATCCATAGATAATATGAAGGGTTTTCATGTGAAAGTAGAGGGCCAACATGAAAGTAGCAGTGTTTTGATAAAATACGCAAGAGCAATCAGTAGCACGAACTGCCGCTGCACAGGTTTGTTCTTACCGAAGCGAAGCAAAGGTAGAGAGCCCATTCGAAGCATAAACACTCGTATATGTTAAAAATTATATGATATACATTAGAGATAAATATTAAAGATATTATATGATATATGTTAGAGATATATGTTACAGATAGCATCAAGTCATTTGCAAGGATTTAAGACGCAAACCAATAAGAATTCAATGTGCATAGTTCATTATGCACATCATTTTAGCCCATAATCAAGATGATAAACTCATTTACAGGTTTTGTTGATTATTTCCTAATTAATGTCACAATATGGTAATGAGCTATTGATGATTTCAAGCCGTTTTCGTCGAATTTAGAGAGCATTAGGAAACATGCCACAAAAAATAGAGTTAGACCCATTTTTGAATCTATCGTTTTCATAAAGACATGATAGTTGCAACAAAGTGTGTACTCCTTTTTTTTTGCAAAGAGATGTGCCTCCTTTATTTAATTTTGGATATGTACCACAAAATACTAGGTTCAGTGTTGTGAGAAAGGCAGACAAACACACAGATGTGGAGAGCTCAACAACAACAACAACAACAACAACAACAAGCCAATTTCACCGGAGTTGTACTCAAATGACATGCTCATACCCCTTTTGTATGATGATAGCTCCTTTTATTCTGAATTGTAGATAAATTGGTATTAAGTTTATGTCGTAAAATGGGTTTCTAGGAAAACGGATGGGTTGACATTATCTGTGCTAATGATTCTAGTGCAGTCGCACCAATTGCCTAAATTGAGGTGGTAATGCTAAAATGAAAATTGATGTAAGTCATTGATCCAATGTACATTTGACATGCTCTATTCATTTAAGAGGCGGCAGCAGTAATGTATGTGCGATAAATGATGATTTACTACCATAATATTAGTGGATTGGTAGCCGTGTTGCGCAACGAGACAGTTCTTTTGATAAGGAGGGAGCGATTTCAAGGAGTAAGGAGTAGAAAATTAAGCAGAGAAGGGGCAGAACAACAACCGGTTGTCTGTAATAGGCTAGAAATGAACTATTGTCTCTACCACAACAACAACAACAACAACAACAACAACAACAACAATAACAGGGGATTTCTTGACTGCATACACTGTCTACCTGATTTTGTTTCTTAATCATAAAGAATCCCTTATTTCTTTCCTTCCTCTTCTTGCTATTCTTTCGTCTTTCTTTTTCTCTTTCCTTCAAAGTTATCACATCTTTATATTAAAAATGGGTTGCTGTCAATCTAATGAAGTGCACGATGGCAAAGCTCGTAATGAAGAAATCGACAACCAAATCAAGCGAGACAAACTAAACATGAGAAATGAGGTCAAAATGTTACTGTTAGGTACTAATATACAACTAGATTGACATGGCAGATATCTAACTATTTTACAAAAAGGTGCTGGTGAATCTGGTAAATCAACAATTTTAAAGCAAATGAAACTGATCCATGATGGTGGTTATTCTCGTGACGAAAGAGAGGCCTTCAAGGAAATCATCTTTTCCAACACAGTGCAGTCCATGCGAGTCATTTTAGAAGCCATGGAGAACATGGGCGTATCGTATGCCACATCGCAAAACAGACTTCATTCGACAGTGATCCTCGATTTGCCATCACAGATTGAACGCGATTCGCTGCCTCCTGAAGTAACTCTTGCATTGAAATCGCTGTGGAAAGATGAAAATCTCTTGAGTGTGTTTGATAGAAGCCGTGAATATCAATTGAATGACTCAGCCAAATAGTAAGTTATGCAACATCTTGAGACGAGTCCCATCTCTTATTCATTTACAATAGCTACTTTGATTCAATCGATCGCATTGGCGACATCAACTACATTCCAACAGATCAAGACGTCCTGCGCTCTCGAGTCAAGACAACAGGTATCACCGAGACCACATTTGTTATTGGCGATCTTACGTATCGCATGTTTGATGTGGGTGGCCAGCGATCAGAGCGTAAAAAGTGGATACATTGCTTTGAGAATGTGACAGCCATCATCTTCCTGGTTGCCATCTCTGAATACGACCAAGTGCTTATTGAGGATGAAACGGTGGTAAATATGCACATGCAGAAGAGAGACGACCATCGCGCTCACTGACCCTTTGTAGAACCGCATGCAAGAAGCACTGACTCTGTTTGACTCTATCTGCAATTCTCGATGGTTCATCAAGACTTCCATCATCTTGTTCTTGAACAAAATTGACATTTTTAAAGAAAAGTTACCCAAACACCCTCTCAAAGAAAGCTTTAGCGATTTCGAAGGTAAGTGAATGACATGTATGCTATAACAAACAAGCCAATTAAGCGCAGTGTATAGGACCCGAGAGCTATGAAACTGCTAGCGATTATATACTAAACCGATTTGTGTCATTGAATCAGTCAGATTCCAAACAAATCTACACTCATTTCACATGTGCAACCGATACTCAACAGATCAAATTTGTGATGGCAGCGGTCAATGACATTATCATTCAGAACAACCTGCGTGATGTTGGTCTCTTATAAGCAGTTACATGTGAATAGCAGCCCTATAATTGAAAATAACAGCAAAAAAAAAAATCCCACCTTAATGATGTACATCTTTTCTATCTCTCCCTCTTTGATCCGCCTTTGATTCCCTTCCTCCTCCTCTTCCTCTTGCTCTCCGTCCTAATTTCCCAGCCCCTTATTTCCCTTACTAATAATCTCACCATCTCATTATTTCTCTTTTATCATATATTACATAAAAACTTGATAAAGATATTCGTATAAGCTTTTCTCAATACCGTTCTTTTGATGACGATATTGATTAAATCTATTACTACCCAGTGAACATTGCAATCCGCTCGAGCGCTCCGATGCATGTTGCCTCCATGTATGAATTCCTTAATTTACATGAACATTATACTATTGCGGTGTACATGATGCAAGTATGGGGAGTAGGTTATTCACAGGAGACATGTAATCTGTCGATCAGAAACAAGATTTTCGATTCATGTACCTTATCCCGGCAAAACTAATGCGGTCAAAAGAGTCACTCAAGTATACACCCTCGCAAATCAGAGACCTCTGATTCCAATCCCTCACCGCCCAGACACAGGCTCATTCTCTTATAACTTACACACACACCCCTCCCCCAGCCAAGCTAGACAGACCCTGACCTTATTTCTAGTCTGTCAAACTTTTTTTTTTTTTTGTATATTCTTTTTCTCTTTAGCATATACACTCACCCACACACATCTACACATCATGTCTTTGTTGCAAAGAGTCAGCCGCTCTGTCAATTGGAGTGTAGCTTCCAATGCTAGTCGTTCCATTTCAACATCTAGAGTCGCTTTATCTGCAGAAACATCCTCAGCCACCACTACATCCAACACAACAAAATCAACTGGTTTATACCAATTCTTTGAAAACAACGAGACCTTACCGAAACAAAACTGGACAGGTTGATATGAATACCGTACGGAATATGTCGAGGAATGCATGTACTGATGATTGTGTCGCTAGGCCGTGCATGGAAGGCACAAGAGCTTCGTCAAAAGTCGTTTGATGACCTCCATAAATTATGGTATGTCTTGTTGAAGGAGCGTAACGTACTCGCTACCCAAAGAGAGGAAGCAACTCGCTTAAAGCTACCAAAGCAAATCTGGACAAATCAAGGCCGCTTGAAGAAGGTAAGTAGCCTTTGTGTATGTGTGTGTATGTGTGCCCCAAGTGCCTAATATGATACATGTTAGTGTCAAAAGTCCATGGCTAGAATCAAGTTTGTGTTGAACGAGAGACAAAGAGAATACGAACAACATTTGCTCAAGCAACAATCCTAAACAAATCTCGTATATAATGTATCATCAGTAGAATCCATGCCTTATGAAAACTCACCACAAAAAAAGAATAATAAAAAAAGAAAAAGCTTTACACATTTGACATTTGAAGATGGTTTTGACACTGAACACATGGATACGGTAGTTATGAGATCAGTTGTATGGTGTGCATGTGTATACTGCTTGATGGCAGCCCTTCCTACCAAGGCGACTTGCGTGATCTGGGCATGCTATAGCCTTCAATGAGCAGTCAAGCACACACATCAAAGGGATTTCTGTGGTGGCATTGTATCGTTGGTTGAAAATTAGTTGGCCTAAATCGCCTCTTCTTCTTGTGCTTCAACTCGTTTCAATTCATGGTGCCTGACAACAACAGCAAACGATCTTGGAAGAGCTCATTGACAGCTATTTCGACAGTGCTACTCGTCGCTTCATCTGCAGTAGCAGCAGCAGCCGATGTCTTACCTGTCACTGCAGGTGCATCCAACTCTTCCCTCTTATGGGGGACCTATAGACCCAATCTTTATTTCGGCACTAGACCGCGTATACCAGAGTCTGTCATGACTGGTCTTATGTGGTTTGACGCAAGCGATTTTCAAGGATTCCAACGTAATGGACCAAGCAGATGTCTATGTAGCATGTCATACTGATTCTTATGTGTACAGGTGTTCGTCATGCGTGTGATCAAAACGACGGCATTGCTGGTTATGGATATCATAAGCATGATGGCCGAGAATTTGCCTCGCAAGAGATCAATGATAGACCAAGCAACATCAAATTGACAACGGATTTCATCAAGGTACCTGGAGCAGGAAAGCATGGTGGTGATTGGGGCGTTCGTATCAGAGGTACTCCCATAAGCAACCACGGTAAGAGCGGTTAATATTACGCAAAGCAGTGATGATTAACTGTGCTGTTATCTAGCTGATCCAACGACATCCGTCATGTTTTACATTGGTATTGAGGGTGCTGGTGGTATTGATATAATGAGCAAAATGTCCAAGAAGGTAAGTGTGTGTTATTGGAGAGCAGCATAAGGAGTGTCTCATATGTGGTGTATCAGGGCCTTCAATCACCCATCTCATTGGAAGGTGACACACCTGAATTGGGTGATTTCGAGATACAGATTGTGGATGGTATGTGAAGGTATCAGTGGATGAGGACATGTCTGACGTGAGATACAGGTCCTTTAAACACCCATCCTGGCGAGGGCATTGATCAGGATCTCGGCTTGACACAGTGGTGGGGTAAAGAGGTGCCTCAAGGGCAAATATGGAGATCAAAAGGTAGGCTGCGTCAGTGAAGTGGATCAATAGCTGGATATTGACGAGTATATACAGATATTGTGATGGAGAGTATCATTATGGGCGCCAGAGACCGTCTGGGTGGTGATCCTGCCAATCAGCAAGAAGCCATGACCAAACCCTTCAAGTTCTTTACACTCACAAATGAGCTATCTGAGCAAGAAGGTGAGGTAGCCAACTTTTACGTCTTTCAAAAAGTGTTTAAGGGCGAATTTCAGGTGAATATGATCGTTGAGATGGTCATTGAGGATGAATTTACCAACATTGATGATAGTTTGACGTTCTTTTCCGCTCACAAAGCTCTGATGAACCACTTTCAAGTGAGTGCCACTACACATGCTGGCTTGCAATCACTCATTGACAACCTATATAGGCGAATCGCTCGGCGCAAACTTGATCAAGAAAGAGAACGAATTCAATGCTCGATTTGAAAAGACCTTCCATTTGAAAAAGAAGGGGTTCTCCAACAGCGAAGTTGAATTTGCTCAATATTTACTGAGTAACATGCTGGGCGGCATTGGTTATTTCCATGGCTCATCTGTCATTGATCGCTCTCATCCTCCTATGCAAGACGAAGAGGATTTCAAGGGAGAGCCTATTCGACCTGAATTGTCTCGTCCTCAGAGCCTGTTTACTGCTACACCCAGCCGTCCCTTCTTTCCTCGTGGTTTCTACTGGTAAGATGCACTTGGACTTGGTACACAGAGCACGTTATTCATTTTAGTATCTAGGGACGAGGGCTTCCATCAGCTTTTAATTGGAGAATGGGACAATGACCTCAGTCTAGACATCATCAAACACTGGACAAACATGATTGACGAGAATGGTTGGGTTGCTAGAGAGCAAATCCTGGGCGAAGAAGCTCGTAGCAAAGTGCCCGCTGAATTCCAAACACAATTCCATCATTATGCTAATCCTCCTACCTTGTACCTCTCCATCAAACGGTACATTGACCGTCTCGAGAAGCATCAGCTAGACAGATCCATCTTGAATGCCGCTGACAGTCAAATGAAGATGGGCACTTTGGACGACACCGAGGTTCTTCGTAACTTACACTTGGATAATCCAGAATTAGCTGATCAATGGCTCAAGTCTATCTACCCCAAGCTTCGCCAAAACTGGCTCTGGTTCCGTGCTACTCAGCATGGCCACCTTGATAGATTCGGCCGTGAAGCACCCAACAACGAAGCCTACCGCTGGAGAGGTCGTACACCCAACCACACTCTAACTTCTGGTTTGGATGACTATCCTCGTGGCGAGCCCAGTGTCGGTGAGCTTCACCTGGATCTTCACTCATGGATGGCATTCGGCACTGGACTCTTGAAGGATATTGCAGCCAAATTGGGACCCGATTATGCTGGTGACAGGGAAGAGTATATCAAGGTGCAACAAGACATGCTTACCAATCTCAATGTGCTCCACTGGAACGAAGAGGAAAACATGTACTGCGACCAAGCTCTGGAAGACAGCAAGCCTGTGCATATCTGCCACAAGGGTTATCTCTCATTGTTCCCTATGACGCTCGGTTTGTTGCCTGCTGACTCACCTAAATTGGGCGCTATTCTGGATATCATTGAAAAGGAGGATGAGCTGTGGTCACCTTATGGTCTTCGCTCTTTATCCGCCTCAGATCCCATTTTTGGTACTGGTGAAAATTACTGGCGTGGTCCTATTTGGATTAACATCAACTATTTGACCCTGCAAAGTTTATACAAGGTATGCAACGGTAATGAGATCATTTTGTGGAAGCCTTATTGACTACAATGAAACTAGAATTATATGCATGTCCCTGGCCCATATCAAGATAGAGCAAACAAAATCTATACCAAGTTGAGAGATAACCTCATTCGCAATGTATACAAGGTAAAAACGGCATCCAGAGTGGACGCTGGCGAATAATGGCTGACCACTCTCCCTTTCTTTTTTAATAGAACTACAAGCAAACTGGTTATGTGTGGGAGCAATACAGCGAATCAGAAGGAAAGGGTTTACATAGCCATCCCTTTACAGGATGGACCAGTTTAATTTTGCTTATTATGGCCGAAGAGTATTGATACAGTTCGCTCATTGTACATTTAAATGATATAAAAAAGCGGTATTTTCAATGGACGTTGGGATTAAATGGGGTCTATAAGGTGGTATCATCGACATGAGCCTGGTATAGCCTGCGTAGAAAGTGTTGGAAAGCTCTTTCTAACTTGACGAAATGTATATCTGATGCTATCAAGAGCTTTGTTTCAGCGTTAAGATGAAAACATGATTGTTATTGATCGCACATGATTCATGCTGGCCATGTAGTGAACTTCTCGGTTTATTGTGTGGTAAGGGCTATTTGTCCTTTATCAGTTTTTCTTGAAAAGAGAAGCTCAACTCGTATCATTCATGTAAATGATGCGTCCCTAAACTTGCCCAATTGACCTAAAACAAAGTGGTTTAGGTGGATCAACAAGTAAAACTGCTTAAATCTGGTCCTTGTCAATGCAGCTGCTGGGCCCCATTCAACATAGTAATACGTATCATAATAGCTCATATCTTCTGTGCTGCTTTTCTTCTTGTTGAGCTATATATAATTTGCTAGCTTATAGTACTATTGATTAGGATAATCTTTGGTTTAGATACCATGGAAGAATGGCTCCGAATCATGCTTATGTTTTGCCAAGGTTGACCAAGTAGAATATAGGCAAGTTTATGATTGCACTACTGATGGCTTTATGATAGGAAATCACTGGCCTCGCAATTGCATAGATAAGCTGTATCATATTTAGATTAACAACACCATAAGTTTGAATAATAACATTTAACAGAGTTAAAAAACAACTGTATTGCTATTCACTCTTTAGTTTGAATCTGCCATCATCAAGAACCTCTTGCCATGCAACTTCATTAAGATATGTGGATAAAGATGTTACATTTATATAAATACAAGCTTTGTATATTATAACAATCCAGATTTCCTCCACAATCATTAGAAATGCCCACAGAAACTTCATCATTCCAAAAGCTGTCTGTCAAATACAATAAATTATTTGCACTTATCAACGTCTTTGAAAAGCAAGTCGAAAAGTATGCTGATCAAGTCTATGGTCGTTACTATGGTCGTCTCGACAATAGCGTTCTGGACCACAAGACTCTTTGGTGCTCTGATGTAGATCGCATTGGGACAAGCTTGGCATGTGAATGTAGTAGCAAGATTAAAGGCTACGACATCGTTGCTTTCATAGCTGATCAATCTGTCCAGTACTTTCTCTGTTTCTTTGCATGCTTAAAGTTGCGTATTACCTTCCTAGCTCTGTCTCCTCGCAATTCTGAAGCGGTTGTTGTCAATTTATTGGAGAAGAGTGATTGTCGCTTCATATTCTCCACCACCAAGTATGCTGCGTTGGCTCAGCGTGCTGCAGCTCAAGTTGATGGCACTGTCTACCTCATGCTTCCACCTCTCAACTTGACAGGTCGTATCAAGTAACCACTAAATCCTATAGCCCTCAAGGTTTTAGACAGAAATTTTAGCAAGAAGGATATTGAAAAGACGTGCGCCATTGTCCATAATTCCGGCTCAACAGCTTTCTCGAAGCCCGTCCGCTTCATCAATAGATATCTTATTTGCGGTATTCAAACCATCTCTAGGCAAGCTTATAGTCAAGATCCTCCTACTGGAGAAAGATTGCTTTTGTGAGTAGAGGATTTTTATTGTTGTTTCGTGTCGAAAAAAAAATGGTTTTTTCAAGAATTTTTTGGCTGTATACCGCCGTTCGCTTAAGCGATATATATAGTGTCAAAATACCACCCAACTCGATAACATAAGATAGCGGTGGCTATTCCATTTCAATAAAGTGTTTTTAAACGGGCGGCTCTGTTTCATTGCTCTCTATCATGTGCAATACTATCTCTGTCTCAAAGACTATTGGATTTAGATATGTCTGTATACACCAGGCACAGTCCGCACTCGTAGATCATCATCAGGATTGCTGATGATGAGAGTAACAGCTTGCATTTCAAATTAAGTTTTAATTTATACCACAATAAGCAACAATTGTATTTCACAAATAGGATAATTTGTGGCAGAAGCAAAATGAAGTAATTTTTTTTTGGCTGTAGTACTCTCCAAGTCGCAATCTCCTTCTTATTAAGCTGAAGAGCATGGATTACTGATGCTAAGAGAGGCACCATTGATTTGCCAACAGCCGCCGCCAAAATTGATTTAAGCTCAGATACATTTTTCTATCCAAGATTGGCCAAATTTCGTCTTTTCTCGACTTGATTAAACTATTCTGTAGTATTCGACTATATAAACCGTAGTGATCATGCGATGCTTCCTAATACATTATTGCAGCGCTTTTCAAGGCGCTTCCAATGGTGCTAACTGTAATAGGTGTTTTGACTGAAATTATCGAGCAATTTAATAGCATTTGAAATGAGGTTTTTAGCGAAAATGGTCATGTTTTGCATATGAAAACCTCATAAAAGTGGTTTCAGAGGTTACTTTGAACCGAGAGACACATTTTGATGTGATATATACCATAAGAAAAGTCTTCATTTTCAAGGTGAAAAACGCGATCGTTTGAATTTCGATGAAAACCATGAGGGGTACCTCATGCTTTTTGGTCGATTTTTGACCATGTTTTTTTTTGATCCCAAAAAGTTAAGCAAAGGTGTCAGGAAGTTACTACTACACAAGTACAATTGTTTGGCGTTATTCCGGTGGCTCAGAAAGATCTACATGTCAAGATATAAAGGTATGAAAGCAATCAAATTTGGTTATATTTATGCTTTACAGCTTTTATTTACGCTTCATGAATCACATCTTGGGTAGCTGAAATTTTCTGGAAGGGTAGTTGCGCAGCCTGTGCAATTTTTAATTCGAATAGGAGGCATATTGATTTTGTCAAAGCTATTTCATGCAAATTTTGATGTGTTATGTTGCTGGTAATAAGCTTATTAACAATTGAAATAAAAACTTGAAATTGCTGCTTACTACTATATACTATGGTTTTGCATATTCCCTTCGCTACAATCAAGCCCTCATATAGATCGATGTTTACCAAGTGTTGGATTAGACGCCTGATTACCATGGCCTTGCACTTTTGATTTGCTACGGTAAAAACCCCCTATATCTCAATGCTACCTAATGTTGGATTAGATTCTTTACACCTTTGCTTCGCTAAGGTAAACCTCCCCTATAAATCAATGTCATCAAGTGTTGAATTAGATGCATTGTTATGCTCTTGGTGGAAAGGATTAGTGATTAGTGATTAGTGATTTAGATTTAGATTTAGATTTAGATTAGATACAATGTATCAGAGCAATTGAACCTCTTTTATTTTTATCCAAACTACTTTTTGACATTGGGATTTTCACGCTCTGTTAATGGTTTGATATACTTGGCATGATAAGGAGCAACACCAGTACTTCTAGGTGCAGCAAGAAGCGTCTCAAGGTAAGCTATGGATGTGCGTTAGTTAATGCTTTCCTGGAGCATTGATAGGGATACACTTACTTTGATAGATGTCACCATCATATTTGGCAATAGGAGCCTTGAGCACGAAATCAGGGAATCCAAAGGCATCTGTCAGACCAATGACTTGCTTACGAAGCGATTTACAATGCTCAAGATAGGCCTTTTCAATGCTGTTAATTTGGTCAGGAGTCAAATAACCTTCCTTGAAGCCTTGATCGCCATATGTATGGAGGACATGAAGACCCCACAAGGCTGTCAACTTCTTCATGATGGCCAAGACACTAGGTTCGATACCTGCTGTTCCAACAGGCTGACCATACTTTTCAGCACACACACTGAAGATGAAAGCAGCACAATGCAATTCAGCCACACGGACAGAGTCAAGCAATACATCATTTTGAGTGGCACCGTTCTTGAGTGCGGTTTGGATACTATACAGCTATACACAACAAAATTAGACAATGCACGCTCTCTTTGCGACACTCAGCATGCAACTTACTCTCTTGATCAAAATGGTGTTCAGCGCCTCTGATACCAAGGCGAAATCCTTCAAGCAATCATGAGCATCGTTGGTGGGCCAAGTCTTGTTCTCGAGGTACTTTTTGGCATCCTTGATGTAGATGGTGGAACTCTTGAACTTGAGATCAGGGTACTCATCGTATTCAAGCTTTTGTTCAAGTCTGTACAACAAGTAGCGAGCACATTGCTGCAAGAGCACTACATTGTCACCACCACCCGTGGTCATGACGCCCCAATCACCAATGATATGACCGATAGCGTTGTAGGCAGAGTAAGCATGGCCACCACAGCTTCTACGGCATGTCTCAAGAATGTCAGTTGCATACCAGCCAGCAAGGCCCTTGAGAGAAGCAGACATAGCATGCATATCGCCCATATGATTCAGGTACACAATGGGATCCATCTTACCGCCGTCGGTCAAGACAGTGAATTGGTTGTTCAAGACGTCAGATGTCGATTGCACCATGTACATGAAAGCAATACCAGGAATGATTTTTACGTAATGGGATTGATAGTCCATGATTTGCTGATCCTTGTTTCCTTGGCGACGAACCACACCGTAACGAGTAGCAATTGTCAGCGCTTGAGAGATCATTTGGGTCGTAACAGTGACAAGCGAGAGACGTTCAGGAATCAAGGTGGCGTACATGACAGCTGGATTGGGAGCAGGTGTGTAGTTGCCTTGACGATCCAGACTCACCCATTTTGCCAGCATGTCGGCACGAGGAATACGCTTTTGACGGAACTGGATCCAACCGTTATCCACACCAGCATGTCCCACCTTTTGACCGATATCACCAATCATGACATTTGGCTCCAGTTCACCCGTGTATTTACTGCGAAGTTGAACCACAAACCAGTTGAGGCCAACATTCTTGCTATTCACGACAGTTTGAGCGATAACAACAGTGTGAGTTGCCGTTTGACCTGCCATGCCAATCCACCATTTTGTAGAGGTTACAGTGGGCGAATCCAAGATGAATTCATCTGTATTTGCATCATAGGTAGCCACCGTTTCGATATCACGCAAAGCTGAACTGTGGCCCAACTCGGTCTAAAAGCGCGGTTGTAAACATTAGGGCGCTTATTGCATGCACCATTCACTTACCATCGCAAAACAACCAAAGATTCTGAAGTGGGAGATATCATCATTGTATCGATCTTGTTGTTCCTTGTTACCCAACATATTCACGACATTACGAAACAAGGAATCATGCACAAAGAAGCGCATAGAGAAACTCTCAGAGTATACATTGGTGGCATGTCCAATTTCATAGGCAAGCTCCTTGTCTGTGAATTCTGGATCTGTCATGATTTGGATCACTCTGTAAATTTGGCCCATTGTACTACAATGACAATAATGCTTAAAATCCAACAGGTATCACAACACCCATTTCCAATAGCAAATACATACAATTCACGCATTTCATCTCTCGACAGTTCCAAGAAGTTGCGAGGAGGCTGAACAACTAGCTCTGGATCATTCTTGATGTATTCGTTGGCCCTTTTGATGAGATTGTATCTCTTTTCTCCGCCTGCCCACAGGGTAGCAAGAGCCTCAATATTGAATTCTGCAGCAGCACGTTCGGCAGCCATATCCTTGGGAGCTTGGCGGGACATGGGAGATGAAGACAAGTTGAGTTGGCTCTTGATTTGCTCGATACGCTCAAGCGCTACTTTGGCCTGAGGATCTTTAGAGTCTTTCAGGGGAAGTACAGTCATGATGAAGTGGTGGTAGTGGCGGTGTTGTTGTTGTTATAGGTGGAAACAAAGAAAGAGAAAGGAAAGAAGGGCACGAGAGAAATTATTTTTATATAGCACGATTCATGTATCATTCTGAAAACTGTGGGGATGTTGGAAAAGAGTGAAAGGCTGGACGAATACAGTTAATTTAAGCTGAGTCAAGGAAGTTTAAATGCCTGTAATGCCGTTTGATGTTGGGATTTTCCCATCAACTCGCTAGTTTTCCTAAACGAGCTTTATAGCCATTACCATCCAATGCCATGTGAATTTGCATTGTTTTGCTGGATAAACTATTTACTCTGAAGTATTCAGATTATTCGGTCTTGCAGAGAGACAAGAACAGAAATCTCAAAGTCAACCTACCCTCTATACATAAATAAACAAAGCTCATTCCCCGTTAGATACTGCTTGAAGAAATGATGCATTATCAGGTTAAGGAGCTTGCCAGAAAACAAGGAGCCGAAACTATATATGTAGGAGAAAAACCAGCACTTCAAATTGCCACTCTCTTTTCTTCTTTTTTTTTATCAAAACATCATGAGATTATGTACAAAACTTGTTGGTATTATGGCTGCCTATGGCGCCACTGCTCTGGCTTTGGAAGCAATTGATATCAATGACTGTCCGCAACTGCCTCCTCGAGAGCGGCCCACTAGTGTGCATGATTTAAGAGTAGATGATATCAAGGTCATTGCTGCCATGGGTGATAGGTATGCAATTAGCACCGCGATGTGTATAATGGCAGTTATTAACATTTGGATCAGTGTTTCGGCTGGTATGTTGGCAAAGAACATCAATTCCACTTATATTTCAATGAGTGATTTCATTGAATATAGAGGAGTCAGTTGGACAATGGGCGGTGTAGGTGGCTGTATTCTATGAAACTTCTGTCTCTGGATACTAATCCTTGTGTTCAATAGGACCCAGATGCGCCATCCATTGCCAAGTATGTTAAACATTTCAGCCCTGATCTCTATGGTGCTTCTGTTGGCCAGAAACCAGCTAGGCTTTGTCCAGGTAATAAGCTACTCCCTATTTCTGTAGTCTCGGTGTAACTGACATTTGCATGCATAGACACCTTCTTTTGCCTCGACGCTGAACACACGTAAGGCTATGAAAGCAGAATTGGTATGATTCTTGTACTAAACCACGTTCAAGGCCCGAGATCGACGTTTTAAATGCAGCACAATCAGGGGCAACCAGTAAAGAGCTACCAGACCAAGTGGAATACTTGATACAGCATCTTGGTCAAGGCACCGAATTAGCCGATAAATGGAAAATGATCAATGTGTTTATTGGATTCAATGATGCCTCTGTATCGTGTATGCCTGGGCGAAATGTTACAGAATACAGAAGCAATGTGAAAGGAGCCCTAGAACAGTTGATTGAGCAAGTGGATTATGCATTCATCAATCTTAGTAAGTGGTAACACGACAGATGATAGTCAGATGGCATCAAACTAACCCCAAGCATAAAAAAAAGTTGGCATGATGCATTACAACGACTTGGTATACTTGACAGACACCGAAAACCCTTCCTATAGAAAACGGTTCGAAAACGACACCGTCAACTTGCTGGATTATGAATGCTACTGCTGCAGACAGCCTTATGCAGGCACCTCCTTCATCGGTGATCGTGTCTCCATGTATAACCAAGCCTTGAGCCGTGTTGCTGAAGAAGTGAGCGGTACACTACTGTCTGATTTTCTGGCACCCATCATGGGCAGACCTCTCAAGAACATTGCTGTTGTGTACCAGCCTATGAATACCCTCATACCCACTGTGCCCTATAATTCGTTGAGGTTTGTAACGGCGGCAGTGTCGATAGTAGTGCTTTCTCACTCATGCGTCTTTTGTTAGTAATGTGGATGGATATCATCCCAATGTTATTGGTTACAGCTACTTGTCAAGAGAGTTATGGAATCAGATGTTTTTAGCAAAGAATGAAAAGTTGCAATCTAGCCCCTTTGATGCTGCAACACCATTGCACTGTCCCAGTGTCAACGACAGACTGAAAACGTACAAATCCATTCTGTAAACCCATGAATAAATAACACACTGAAGCTTATAGATCAAAAAATGTGTTTATTTACATGTATACAATAAAAAACGAGCTTATTCTTTAAAGGGCGATGAAGCGCCCATATAGGTGGATATAACAGAAGCAGGCGTTTCAATCAATTTAGCTCTGATAGTCTCTCTGCCTAGCTCTTTGCTTGCTGCCCAACGATGGCAGCCGCCAAATGCAAAATAGTAATCCTGGCCCTTGTGTTTGACATGATGAACATCCTATAGACACGACGATGAGCTAATTATCTTTACGTTATTGAACCAAATGCACTTACAATCGGTGTCAATTCCTCTTCTCTGCCTGGGATCTGCAATACTTGCTTCATATTCTCTACTTTTTGCTTATCTAATTGTGATGGAATAGGCCTGTTGATGGCAGACATTGGCACATCATACACCTTTATATTTGTTTAGTGATGCTACCAGCTATATTTACATTGGTGGACTCACATCTTTGATTGAGTTTCCGTGAATGGAAAAGTTATCAATTTCTTTAGCAGTAGTGTTCTTGCTGTTACTGGACATTGCTCTTTTAATGATGTGTCTATACATTCAAAATGACGGAAAAGCTGTATTTGGTGTCCCTTTTTATACCTTTCATTTTATCCTCTTGCGTAGTTTTTACACCATCATTTAATATCAGGTCCAATTAGTATAGCTTAATAAGCGTCTTGCCGAATGCAATTGGTTGATTCCTTGGGTTCTGATTTTCTAGATAAAACCTTTGTCATGCTACTAAATTTGATTATCAGATTGCAAAAGTGATAAAATTGGGGAGGAGCTGCTTACTAAAGACGTCGTTATTTGGACCACTACATCTTGTTACTGAATCCGCCACTTATAGGACAACCTACTCGAATCTCAGAGCTTTGTTTATTGAACCAACTATTTAATGGGCACTGGGCGTTTTCCGTTTGATTTCAGTAACCTGAGACTGGAAATAGGAGCAGCAGGTTGTTGATCTTTCGGCTGTTTTCCGATAGTGGTGTTATATATAGGAGGCAAAAAGAGAGAACAATAAACAGTAGTACAATTGGAGTATCTGAAACAGCGAAATTTGCCGTATCCATAATGTCACAAATGAGCCCCTCTCACTTATAACACACACTGCTCACTAAATGGTTCAGTATGGAAAAAGGACTCCTTAAAACAATATCTGATGTTATATATAAATGTGTATTTAGACATATAATTCTTCTTTCTTCTTGATCATTCTATTTCATCATTAAACACAATATGACTCAAATTTTGCAACAACAGCAGCAGCAGACATTTCACAATTTCGATGCAAAGAATAACAGTGCTGTTTCAGCAGGACCGCGTAAGAATGTGGCTCGTAAGTATTCAGGGTAGAGCGTTCAAGTGCCGTGATACTGAATGTTTGGTATAATAGCTCCATCACCTCAAATGTCTCAGGATGATCTGGTTCGCAATTTGGGCATCATGGATAAGCATGAGATCAGCCCTACTACATCAATTGGCTTACTGTCGCCTTCTGTATGTGAATCGCCCAAACATCAAACATCAGGTGAGGCGATGGAGGTAGTAGAGGATGAAGAAGAAATTATGAATGGTAAATGAGGAGCACAACATTGCCTCAATGTAGCCCTAAGTGACTTGCCCTACAGACATTACACTTCTGATGTACATGGAGCTCATGGATCTCATTTACTGGGAGATTCCTGGCCGCAGTGGTATCATACTTGTTGGCATCTTTTCCAGTCTCATATTGACTCATTACTATTCATTGCTCTATGTATTCGCTGCATCGCTTACAATTTTGACTGGATTCAATTTGATATTCGTCAATGCTTACAATGCGATTCGCACCGTTTGGACAGGACTACCAACCAATGAGTTTCTGCATCCTTATCAGTAAGCGTAACATCTCAAGTCGTCTTGTAAGCAAAACTCACCATCTTTGGTAGCATTCATATTCGCCAACAGCGCTCCAAGTTAATACCACGCGACATCATTGACTATTACGTTCACAAATCAGTGGACATCTTAGAGCTGGTTGCACAACAAACAGCTAAAATTGTGTTTGTAGAAGATACAAAGATAACTGGTTTAGCTTGCTTGGTATCAGCCGTGATTTACTTATTGACTAGCCTTATTCCAACGAAGGTCTTCTTTGGCCTCCTTGTAATGGCCTTGTTCACGGTACCTTATTTCTATGAGAAATATCAAGATATAGTAGATGAACAGTTGCAATTACTGCAAGAAAAGTTTCAGACCTTGATGGACAAGTATGGCACCGTTGCCCGTCAACATGCCACTGTTTATACAAAGCAAGTCGTGGGCGCTAGCGTTGGTTTGGGTGGCATGTTGCAGCAGCAAATCCAAAACCTCAAGGTAAAAACCGGTAGTGGTGTTAGTACTACTGCAACAGAAACAGGTAATGACTCTGTTGACACGAAAACGGAAGAGCAATAGGCTGAAATCAGCATTATTTCGCTGTTATTTCCACATATTTTTGACACCTTTCTCCCTCAAAATCTACCAACAAAAAGAAACCCCCCTATTGTATCTAGCCATGAAAATAAACCCCTTATTTTATTCCAATGTTGAGAGGGATACTTAAAAGGCTATGTAGTTGCCATGGCTCCAAAGTAACATGGAATATTCTTGACTGGCAAAATGGAGAGAGAGAGAGAGCCTACCATTCATGTTTTGCTTGGCTATCGCATTTGATTTTATTAAATGGAGCTCTAGCAGATGTTTTGATATGCTGCAGTGTGCATTATTCAACCCAAGCTTCTGATAATATACGCAGGAGAATATTGTTTCTTGCGCTTGAGTATGCGCAAAATACTCAAACTAGCACCCTTAGAAAGAACAAGACTTTTACGTCCAACCATTCTCAAGAAATACCTTTGCTCATCTTGTCACGGCAACAAATATTTGTCCAAAAAAAATCCGTGCGCATCCAAGCCTAGCAGATCATACAATCCATAGTCTAGATCCAAAATAAATGGCAATCGCGGCCGTGTATGTATACCATACCTCAGGTTTTATCGTCAGTGTTTTGGTCCGTGGTTTAGAGGAGCGTGTAAGAAAATGCATAGAAACCCTGAACATTTAGTGTGTTTCCAAGTGTCATTCAGAAAATGTGGCATGCTAACATAACTTATATATGCAGTTTGTCTCTTTCATGGCAAGCTTTAGGCGGCAGATATTGCACACACATATTTCGCACAAGGGGCCATGGTTCGAAAACAGAAATAAGCATGCAAGATATGATGCCCAAATGCCATAAGATCTACCGAAAATGATATGTTATGCAAATTCCAACCAGGCAATAATGTAAATAATACACACATACTTGACAATTTTGTTTACAATAATCCATTTTTTTCAATCAATGGCGATCCAACTTGTTGTTTTCTGGACATGCACGTGTAGGATGTCGCTGTTGTATACAGTGTTCCATATGAGATATGTATTGGGTATGGGATTTACAGGAGTTGGCATTGTATAGAATGGCAAAGGGGGGGGAAGGCAGACACGTAGTAGAAAAAAAAAGAAGCGTTTAGATCTACTCTAAATCAACATACCGGGAGAAACGTATGTACATAACTATTAAATGATAGACTAAAAAAATCTTTAATTGAGACATGCCACAGAATACACAAATAAAATATGGTCTGTATAAAGCAGAGAAGAGATGGCAATTGAACATATCCTTTCAATCTTTCCTCTTTCCCAACACTTTTTTTGGTTTCACATACACTTGTCATAAATGCACGCTAAAGCTCTTGTCACTATTGCTATTGCAACCCTCTTGGTTCAAGGTATAATCCTGGTAGATGGTCATGCATGCCCAGCCATACACTAACACACATACAAAAAAAAAAAAAAAAAAAAAAAAAAGTTCATGCCGAGCCTGCCGAAGCATCCGCAAGCCTTGCTGTTGCCGAGGCCAATGCCTCTGGATTAGCTCACCTTGCCACTTCTATCGAAGAAGAAGAAGAAGATCCAGAAAAGGAAGAAGAAGAGGAAAAAAAGGACAAGAACAAGGATGATGAAGAAGATGAAGAAGTTGAAAACGACGACAGAGTCTTCCAAAAGGCCAAGGAAGCAGCTTTAAAGGAAAAGAAGAACACCAATGGAGGTCCTGATGATATCGAATATGATTCTGACAAGGAGCGTATTACTGTCAAAGATTTAGAAAATGCCATTAAAGCCAAGGCCGAGAACAGAAAGGATTCTTTCTCTCCTGCTGCTGCCAAGATCAACAAGGATGATGATGAAGAGGCTGAAGATGTTGAAAAGAGCGAGAAGGAGGAAGCTAACGAGAAGGAGTCCGAGATAGATGCTGATGCTGCTGATGATGAGGCTTCAGTTGCTTCTCCTGCCGGCGGCTCTGTCTCTGTGTCTGCTCCCGCATCTGTTGCATCTGACGTTGATGCTGAAAATGAAGAGGCAGAGGCTACTGAAGAAGACAAAGATACTAAGAAGGACAAAGATACTAAGAAGGACAAAGATACTAAAAAGGACAAAGATGCTGAAGAGGACAAAGATGCTGAAGAGGACAAAGATGCTGAAGAGGACAAAGATGCTGAAGAGGACAAAGATGCTGAAGAGGACAAAGATGCTGAGGACAAAGATGCTGAGAAGAACGAGGATTTCAATGCTGCTGCTCAGTCATCTTTACGCAGTGGTAGTGCCAGTGCTTCTTATGGTGCTTCCAGTTCTCTCTCTTTGGCATTCGGTGCCTCCAAAACACCTGTCCTCTCTGCCAGTGGTGCTTCAGTAAAGGATGCCCGTCCTTCTGGCAAGATGCAAAATGCTAAATCAAGCGGCTCTATGGTCACTGTCAGCATTGGAGCAACCCTTGGTGCTGTTGTCTTGGCAGCCTATTCCCTTTTCTAAGTTAATAACTATATACTATTTATTTCATATATTTATCATATAAAAAAATATTTACATTCCTCTCAAACATTGAAAGAATGCATGATTTTGGCTTTATTGTCCTTCAAGACTTCAAATAGAGTCATACTAATGGCCGTGGTTGGTATGCCCCAAGCAATGCGAGCCCAGAGGCCTCTTGTCAGTGCTCCTTTTCCTTCTTTGAAGAGCATGTCTCTGGCAATGGAGATTGGGCCTTGTCTAAACTGCTGTCCTTGCTCTGCTGCCGAAATTTGCCATCTTGTTTTGATAATGTCAAGTGGAGTGGATATCAGGATACTAGTAACGCCCGCCACGGAGCTACACAACATGTACATGGAAGCGTCATTGTTGTTGTTCATGCGCCATTGCTTCATCTTTTCGTACGTAACGAAATAGGCCATGGAATGAGGTACAAAAACAACCAGGCCCATCCAATAGCCTTTGTAAAATCCTCGCATGCCTTCGTTTTTGAGGATGCTTGTTATCAAGCATCGGTTGCTGTTGTTTGTCTTTTGAGTCTGCAGTCTGTTCTTCATGACCTCCATAGGTGTGAAGAGGAGTCCAGCAGAGATTTCAGCAGCACAACCTGATATGAGATGGCTCCAAACGGAACGACGTTGAATGTGGTATCTTGAATCTAAAAGTTGTTTCGACGCTTCATAACAGGAGAGATAAACAGATAAAGCAGGTACAGAAAATACTAATGTCACAGGCAACCCTCGATACAGTGAAGTCAATTTGATGTTATTCCACACATACTTGGATGCAGTGGTAGATGACTGAAGCCTGGTTTTGATGGTATCCACTACAAAACGCTTGGTTAACAGGTCCACCATGTTATGATTTCAAGTGGTTTCTTACTTGGATATGTAATACATCTTGCAATCAGTCCAGCTGTGCTTGATGCAAACAGATAGTAGCCATCTAAAGTGCTGCTATTCGACATTGAATGCTCTCAAAATGTTCTACGGATGTTCAAAACCAAATTTAAGGGTGCTGAATCCCTCTCGAGAAAAAAAAACGCCACTCATTCTGTCTCGTTTTTAACCAAAAACAGATACAAGAGCGATATCTACATGCTTGCTTTTCAGGGCTTTAAGAGAGGTCCAATGATGCTGATCATGCATGTTGATCTTCCCCTCTTTCCAGCGTTGTAATGTTGACTGTATGCTTGTACATGTCAATGAATGAAGAGCAAGTACGTCATCAGCTACGCTTTTCTCTCCTGCAGTAGTCTCCTACCGCACACACACAAATCCAATACAGGACACGCGAGCGCGCGACACACAGCTTGAATGAATATGAAATTTAATTTTTTTATTTCCACTCTGTTGCATTAGTTTCTCTATCATTACAACTCTATTATTGCATTACAACATGCCCAAAATCAGGACGACACGAACAAAGAGAGCCCCTGAGGGCTTTGATGAAATTGAGCCTACATTGGAAGAGTTCGCCAGAAAGATGAAAGAAGGTTTGCATTGAGATGTGTGATTATGTAAATTTCAGCACTGACTGAAAATTTTTTTTCTTCATCGCTCTAGTTGAGAATGAGTCTCATGAAGGCAAACGTATTGTGGAGAGTACATGGCCAGTGTTTCGAATTCATCATCAGAGATCACGATACATTTATGATTTATATTACAAGAGAAAGATCATTTCTAGGGATTTATATGATTATCTGCTGAAAAATAAATATGCAGATGGCAATCTCATTGCAAAATGGAAAAAGGTAAGTCTTCTACACATTCAGTCAAGGATCACAAGCACACCATCTCCTTCTAACACATGTGTGGATCATTGTTTTTTTTTTTTTTTTTTTTTTAGCCTGGATTCGAGAAGCTCTGCTGTCTTCGCTGTATTCAACCCAAGGACACCAATTTCGGTACAACATGCATTTGTCGAGTTCCCAAAGAAAAGCTAGAAGATGGTAAAATGGTTGAATGTGTTCATTGTGGATGCAGAGGCTGCGCAAGTGGAGATTAAGCCGCACACACACACACACACACACAATTGCTCCAGTAAATATAGAAGATTTGGAAATAAAGGAAATACAAGAAAATATCCCGAAAAGAAGAAAGTGATCTTCGTCCATCACAAATGCTGGAAGCGGATTTCGGCTTTAACAAGCAATACAAGGGGGGAGAATGTTCTCAAACTTCCAGTTTTATGTACTGTTTAGATTTAGAGGATTTCTATTATTTAATCACACACGCATTAATGTTATATACACAAAAGAGGGGTTGGGGGGGTTAAAGGGATATTTCCCATATATAAAGAAGGGTTTTTCTTGATTTCTTTTTCCCTCTAACCTCTCTCTCTCTTTCATTCAAATCCATCACAAATGTCTCTTGCCATCATTCAAAACAACAACAAATACACCGATATCAACTTGGACAATGATCATGCAACATTGGATGCTCATCGCAGACAAATCATCAAAAGAAAGGTGCTGGCTATTGGTAAAATGTCAAGATCATACACTGTCTTGAAGGAACACCCGCAACTTGTACAGCAATTAAAGACGTTGAGCAATGGCAAATTGCCCCTTGGTACATTGGCTACTGGAGAACAAGGCATTAGAGATGGTAAGTAGCAACGTTTTAAAGTTCAAAACGATTAAATTGTGTGTGTGTGTGTGTGTGTGTATGATTGAGGTATAAACAAACTAACCTCTGGTATGATAGCTATTCTTCAGAAATCAATGTCTCAAGAACTATCAAAATTAAAAGAACAAAAAGACCATTCAACATTATCGCATCAGCCTACTCCAAATTACAAGGTCGCATCAAGAGGTGAAGGACATGTCTAGTGTAATTTACAAGGATTGTGTGTGTTTGTGAATCATCTCTTTCCAACCTATATAATCTCTCTCTCTCTCTCTCTCTCTCTATTTTGTATATAAGCCCACAATACATAGCATCAAACAATTTTATATACACAAATACAAATCACACAACTCTTTCTCTCTTTCGTCTTTTTGCCCCTGATCTGCTTTAAACTTTATATTCTAATAAACAAACAAACAAAAAAACATACATGTCCGTAATTTTCCATACGTTTTAGTATAAATTTTCTCAATTTCAAATGATGCTCTCTGTTGTTGTTACAGTGTCAGGGATAATATAAAAAATGACGAGATTTATTATACAAAAAAAAACACACACACACACATACACATACAGGCTACATGATATTGTTGTTGTTGTTGTTGTTGTTGTTGTTGTTGTTGTTGTTGTTGTTGTTAGTGTGATTATTGGGTTGACTTGGACTTCGCTGCATCATGGGCGACTTCTGCTGTTGTTGCTGTTGCAATTGTTGCTGTAATTGCTGTTGTTGCAACTGTTGTTGCAGTTGTAACTGTTGCTGCATTTGGACAGCTTGTAATCTTTGTTGTTGTTGTATAGCTAATTGCTGTTGTTGCTGTGGTGTCAAATTCAACATGGGTTGGCTTTGAGGAGAATTAGTTGGGTTATTTGTATTATTAGTAGTGTTGTTGTTGTATCTCATTTGTAATTGAGCAATGTATCTCTGTAAATTGGCTTGTTGATTAGGTGGTAATTGATTCACGGATTGCGGTTGAAACCCAAGTTGTGCTATTTGTGCTGCTAGGGCCAATGCATTTGCTGTTTGTTGTTTGTTATCATTGCTGTTGTTTATCACAGGTGATGAAGAAGAAGGTGATGAAGAGCTTGCTAAACCTGTGATTGCACCTCTTGTTTAATATATATATATTTATAAATTACTTGGAAATCTCATTTACCTTGTGCTGCTGCGACTTGGGAAGCCAATACATTGGCAAATCGTTGTTGCATGGCGCCTGACATGGGAGGTCTGATTTGACCTTGCTGTTGTACCTGCTGCTGCTGTTGTTGTTGGGCTGCGGCCGCCATGAGTGCCATTTGTTGTTGTCGTAATAGTTGGAGTTGGGCAGCTGGGTATCTGTTCTGTAAATTAGCTGCTGGTGTGGCCCCATTACTACTATTGCCAGCAGCACTGGCGGCTGTAGCTGCATTCAATTGCGTGCTTAATTGAGCTCTCAATTGAGCCTGTTGTTGCGGTGTAAGTGAAGCAAATAAAGCTGCCTGCTGTTGCTGCTGTTGTTGCTGTTGAGCATGTGCTTGGGCAATCGCTTGCGCTTGTGCTTGAGCCTGTGCTTGTGCTTGTGCTTGTGCTTGTGCTTGTGCTTGTGCTTGTGCTTGTGCCTGAGCTTGAGCTTGAGCTTGTGCCTGGGCCTGGGCCTGTGCTTGCGCTTGAGCCTGAGCTTGTGCTTGAGCCTGAGCTTGTGCTTGAGCCTGAGCTTGTGCAACGGCTTGAGCTTGAGCTTGTTGGGCCTGCTGCTGTTGCTGTTGCTGAGCAATCGCTTGCTGGAACTGTTGTTGAGGTGTGGGCGGTGGCATTGGTCTAGGCATGTTGTTGCTATTCATCATGCCTCTATTAGCCGTGGAAGAGGCGGCGGCAGCAGCAGCGGCAGCAGCGATTGCGGCGGATGCAGCATTCGAGTTTACTGCTGTAGGGGGTCTCATTTGCGATGCAGCAGCAGATAGAGGCGGTGCTTGAGGAGGCATTGAATTACCCTAAGATATGAAAACAATGTGAGATAATGCAACCTCGCAGTTTGTTTGTTTGTACATGTGTACACTTACAAGTAACATGGGTTGTGAATTTGGATGTTGGGCTGCTGAAAGCTGGCGTTGCTCAATCAATGCTTGAGCCATTTGTCTCTCTCTTTGTATCTTGAGTAGACTAAGTTCCATAGCAGAGGGCAATCTCTGTCCCTGAGTGCTCATACCATGTGTCTCTATCACATTACGAGGAGGCACAGCAGGTGCTGCATTGGCTGATGATGTAGCTATAGATACTCAGTTGGATTGTTTGTTATTTTTCTTACTCACATTCTACACTTACATTTAGACTTGTTGGAATCTTCTCTTTTCTTTTGTGTCTTTTTGATAGCTTCAAACAGATTGTATTGTCTCTGTCTTTTCCTTGCAGCATCAAACTTGACTGTTGCTGTTGTTGATGATTTCTTGGGTAGATCTTTCTTTAGTTTCGATACATAGGCTATAAAAAGAATGCCATGTTAGTGTCTAGGAGAAGCATTGAAGTGAGAGGGGGGGGCTATTTAGACTGTCTAGTACCTGAATTTATTTGTCCTGATAATGACGTGAGGTTGTTCTGTTTCCATCTTTCATGACAATCCCATGGTGTTCTTTTCTCTCCATTGATGGATGATCTGGTGGCATTGAAAGCATCGCAAATGAGGTCCCAATTGAAGGAATATTGTACAATGAGCTGAATCAAGCAGAGGTCGTCTTCTTCAGACCATGATGCTGAGCTGCTGCTGCTAGTTGACACGGGTGCTTTTGGTATAGGAGGCTGAATCGCTGGTGCATCTTTCAATTTCTTGGGCGCAAACAATGGAGACACTTGTGGTGTATCATCATAACGTTCATGCCGAGGTAACACCTTGATTTGTTCTCCAGCTGCATTCCGTTTTCTGGATAGTGTTTGAGTAGTGCTTGAAATTTTAACTCGCTGTGTTGATAATTTAAATGGCACAATGCGGCTGTATTCGGCTTCGTCAAAGTAAGGATCGTTTCCAATACAATCGGGATCAGGGGCGGTGTACAGTAGTAAATCTGGGAATAGTAATGAAATCATGTCATGCTGATATTGCTCGTCTATCGAGAGGGTCAATTGTTGGGGGGTTAGCGATTGTAGCAGCTCTTTGTAGGTTTGAATGATCTGAGGAGAGATACTGTGCTGATGGTCTGTCCCTTCTTCTCCCTCATCGTCCTCATCGTCATCGTCATCACCGTCTGAAGCAGTGTCTTTTGTTTCTTGAGATGTTTCAGCCGTAATAGACTGTGCTTCGGCCATGTCAATATCATCAGATGTTTCCATGTCTGTTTCTACTATTGGAGGTGGTGGTGCCGCACGATCATTCAATACGCCCTCAACACACGATTTCACTTTAACACACACAGTGGATTTGTCCTCTACTTGGTGCCACTCCATCACAGCATGCGCCATTACATATGCATTCGCCATTTTCCACTTTCGCTCTTCCTTGAAATCCGTTCTCATCCATTTCATCTCGTCTAACAGTAAATCCCAATGCGTCTTGGTTCGTGGTATTGCCTTTTGACGCTTCAATTGCCGTTGACTCCACATGTTCTTCTTTTTCAGATTCTCAATGCTAGTGATGGCTTTGATGGATTTCAATTCATCTCGCGCAAGCATCCAATCCTGCGTTGTCAGTACTTTTCTGGCCTGTTGGAGTTGCTTGTACAGCGGCTGCGACTGAGCTTTCAATTGCCAGGCGTATAAATCGAAGCCAGAGGGTTTGTCGTTACGTCGATCGACAAATTTATGGCCGTTGTATATCTGTACAGGTCGATGTTTCGATTCTATATGTCTGGGTAAGGTCGTGGTGAGATACATGATGGGTTTTTTGCGAGTATTATCAGTATGGTTTGTCTGCACCTAGAATGAGATTATGGGTTAGTCAAAGACATTGAATGCTGTTGAGTACTAGTTTACGTTGGATTCTTCAATCACATCGGCCGCATTGGGTGCTGTCTCTGCTGCACTTGTCAATGCTTGGCTCTCCAGATCTGGCGCTGGCTTCCCTGCTGTATCTTGAGCTATCGCCACTGCTTCTGTCTTTTCATCTATGCTCTCCGTCGCCATGTGCGTTTTATCGTTTATGGTCGGTAATTCAGGTACAGTGTCAGACTGTATGTCTTGAGGCTTGCTTTGCTCAATCGCTGGAGGCTCTTCGTTCTCTTCTTGGTGTGTTAATGAGGGCGCTTGGAGTTCAATTGAAGGCGCAGGTTGAGCTTCTACATGATGTGATGGTGAAGGCGGCGTAGGCGAAGAAAGCAATGTTGGATATGGGACAGTCTCAGCTAATGTCAGCGAAGGAAATGCATCGTTTCTGGGACATTCACAATTAGCCACACCCAACGCTATAAGAGAACAGCTACTTACTCTAGCGCATTGATTCTGAGAAACTCCAGCTCTCTGGCCAAATCGACTTTTGATAGAGTTTCGCTTGATTTTAGAAATGTAATAGCATCTTCCTTTTCTCTTGTCAGCAAGAACAGTTCTCTGAGCAACATGTCTCTGTGGTCTTGAATCAATCTGAACGGCATCAGATGAGTTGAATGATCGTTGCTGGAACGTATTGCACACATTACCTTTGCCGCTGTCGCCTCTCTTCTTGCGCTTGATGCCTTAATTCGAGTATCTATTCAAAAGTTGTCAATTCGAAGGCGAATGCAAGACAACTAAATAACATACAGAGATATCAGACAGTGGTAAGTCATCCTCTGTGGTTGCTGTAGATGGTGATGGTGATGATGATGATGGTGTACAAGTTGCGTTGGATATGTCGGTAGCCATAGCATAAAATTTGATGGTTGATTTCAAATAGTAAAAAGCTGGGCCAGCCAGGTAATAGATTCAGTCAACAAAGCAAAGAGGAAGAAGATGAAGATAAAGAGAAAGAAAGCCCTAATTCACGATAGAAAAAGATGAGCATTGTGCAGGATAATCGAAAGGTGCGTTGTTCCTGAATTTCACCTTGGAATTTTTCTAGGTCGTATGTAGGATTCAATAACTATGGAATCAATCAAATTAGACACAGATATTCAATGAGGGATCATATAAAACGCGCGCGCTCTCCGTCTCTGTCTATCCATCCAGTCTACATTGATGGCTTGGATGGACATACAACAGCAAAACAAAATGCCAAGGGAATTTTTCACCCGAACAATGAACAGGGATTTCATTGATAAATGAACATGTATAAAGCCGGTTTAATTACCTTGTGTGCCTGTTCTCCGTGCGAGTGCTTGTTATCAAATGATACAGTAGTAAATATCGAGATGTTTATTGCAATCTATGGTCGATATAAATGTAGAAGGGGAGAGAGTTTTTATATTATGTATATAATGTTTGTGTGTGTGTGTGCGTGTGATATGAATGGTGTTTGGATGAGGAAAGAAAGCTAGAAACACCCTACCTACTAACTACTACCAACTGCAACTTGCTGAAAGACGTCACTTTAATATGCCATGGCTACACAAAATGCAAGATGGTTGGGGAGATCTAGCGACCTGAATTAGCTCCCAAGATGGGTAAAAACTAGAGAGCGTTACGTTAGAAGTCAATACTACTATATGACATAATATTATGGTCTTACATTGCCTACGATAACACAAGGCAGATCAAAAATATCTCTCTTCAGTGTGAAACAGAAACTGCATGGCACGGGACGATACGATGGACTCATCAGAATGACTGACATGTAGACGCCTAATTCAGCGTTATCAAACGCATGTTGAGAAAACTTTTCCCAGTATTCTACAGCAGAACCATTGTCCATCAACTACATTATGTTAGCATCTAGAGACTGCATGCTTGAGATAGACCAAATACCTCATATATGTAAGTACGTTTGCCCAGCAATGTCTCTTTGCTCCACTGTGTTAATAGCAAAAACTCCTTGCCCACGAGCACAATCTCGCCTGTTCTTCTCCAAACAACAGTAGGTGTTCCAGAGAAGCTAATCAGCTTTTCGAACTCCAGTAATGTGCGCTGAACACACTTCTCCATGTAGATTAGATCCTCCTCTGTCAAAGCAGCGACTAGCGACATGTATGATGGCCGGAACAAGACCAGTGCACGACTGATGCGGATCAGCTGATCTCTGCCCATACGATGCTTGACGTACTCTATTAAAAAGTGATAGCTTTCCGCATAGTTGTATGGACGCTGTACTCGGGCATAAATTTCCTCAGGCGTACTGCCAATACCCTTTCTTCGACGCAACACTTGCTGTGGATCATGATTGTTGCTGTTGTTGTTGAGTGGATGATGCTGTAGTTGTGGTGTTAATGAGGAGATGCTAGGCGATGTATTGGCAGAGCTCGCATTGTTGAGTACAATATCTTGCTGCTGTTGGGTCCAGTGATTTGCATTATTAGATGTAATGGTAGTGGTAGTAGCAGTCGGCGGCGTGGTGTTGTTGATGGGAGTCATTGAAAATGGGCTGTTTGTATCCACCAAGGGTATCATTTTTGATAGCATACCATACTCGAGGCCCGCAGTATCCGATCCAAATCCTACGTGATGATGGTTGCTGTCCTCCATGTAGTTCATCATGTTGGGCGGTGTCATGACGTTGGACTGAAAGCGTTGATCTGAATCTGCTTACGAGAGAGAGAGAGAGAGAGAGAGAGATCATGAATATTTTTAGACTATCAAATCAGGTCGATGATGCAACTCACCATTCTCATCTTCCCGTAAATACTTTGCCTTCTTTCTAGCGCCATCAGTGCAAGTGTCTTCTAACCCACGTTTGACACATCGCTGGCAAGGCCGTGCTAAAATTAAAATGTTGCGTTAGTGTCGTACAAGCGAGATGTATTCGGAAAGATAATGCGAATCAGATAAAGAAAATGCAACTTACAGTCATCGCATGTCAAATGAGCCTATTACTACTGATGAATATGGCATGTTTACAAACACTGGACATTGACTACCTTTTGACAGTGGGAACAGGCTCGAGACGCCTTCTTTCTGCGACGCTTGACAGTGGGATCTATGCTGCTGACAGGTCGCTGTTGTTGCTGCTGCTGTTGTGGCATTATGTCTGTATCAAACAATAAAAAGAAATACGCTCCAACTATTCGCAGAGTTCAAATCAAAAGGAAAATAGAGAAAGAAAGAAAGAGAAGAATTTTATTGATGTGTTCTGGATGTGATACTAATAGCCAAAAAAAAAAACGCCTCATGAAAATATTTTGAAGACCCGTAAAACCATGGCTCGAGTGTAATAAGCTGCTTTCGACCTGTTTCCTGATCAATTGCGATCACAGAAAGGGGATCTGTTTGTTGTCATTGAATCAAAGCAGCCAAACGAAGACACAATGCCAGATTCCATGCTGGCTTCTTGTACGGGAGCAGCTTCCATGTGGACTGCCATGGACACCAGCATCAGGATCAAGGTAGTAACAGAAATGATGGATTTCATGCTGATAAAAAGAGTGATAAAGAAAGAAAGTGAGAGAGAGAGAGAGAGAGAGAGAGAGAGAGAGAGAGAGAGAGAGACTGTTCCTTTGTTCATTCTAATCAAATTGCAGGCTCCTTTATATACGTTTTGGTCAATCAAAATCTAGACCTAGGGAGTAAAGCCTCTTGCCATCATGGCAATGATCGTGGTTGAATCAAGAATGTGGCATTCAAACCCAGGCAGACTGAGGATGCTCTTTGCTCTAAAGAAAAATTTTACCAGCATTTCTTTCTGCGTTTTGCATTGAAATGGCACAATCAATTCAACGTTCAAGGGCGCCATTGGTGTCAGTGGATCCCAACAAACATGTGGTCGAAGAGGGATTTCCGTTGTATCTGTCCAAAAATAAGAACCGCTGTAAGAAATAGCATGCCTGATAGAGCCGCCCTGATGTTCAGTTTTTGTATTGACAGTTTATCATCTCTATTAGATGTGCAGTATTTTCCAGAGGAACAGGTGGTGCAGAGAACAAACGACTTTAGACCTACGCCAGTGGTGCGAGCCAAGCAGCTGAAAGCGACTGTAAGTAATGGGATACATGGGCTGAATTGTTGCTGATGGAGCCATTGCTGTATCCTGTAGACCATCAAGATATTCGCATCTGCTCCAGAAATAGCAGACTTATCCAAGCAAGATTTAAAGGCCATCATGGTGGATGATTTCGCTACGGCAAGGACATTTGAGCAACTGGATCCTCTCAAGGGAAACGGTATTGCTGTGGTGGATTACTCGGATGCATCTGAATTGTGTATATTTGGTGCTGGAGCATCTTTGTCCAATTTAGGTAGGCAACTTTGGCATGAGACATGGTATCTATAGTAGGCTCGAGCTAATTACCATGTGCACAGTGATACTGGTGTCAGAAAAGAAGCAATGTGATACTGTAGACTACCCTGTAGCTTTGCCATTCGATTCCATGGATGTGCGAGAAACCATTGATCTGAGATACCCAGTGCGACAGATCAGCGTGTCACCGCTCTCCACAGCACACCACGTTACATTCGCAGTGAGGACAACATCCACCATTCATTTGTTCACCTATGATCACAAGGGAAACCTACGACAACTGCATTACCTCCATTTAGCAGAGGCCACTGCTGCTGATCCTAGAATTGACTACTCCATGCCAATCCATGTGGAGACGAGTCCCTACAACAAGTACGAGTATGTCTACACCACTAACAATGGATTTACGGCAGTCATGGATGCTGTCAACAACAAGGCAATATTCTCTGATGTGGATCCAGTGCCAGAGACTGCAAACTACATTTCTCGATGGAGATCATGTGCTTATGGAAAGACACCCTTCACGATTCTATTAGCCTCTCCTGAATGCATCAAAGAGTGGAATTACAGTGTAAATAGTAGCTTAATGCCTGTCATGGGTGGACAAGTCTAACTAACTTGGTAAATATAGAACGACATGATTCAAGCAAACACCTTGGCAATATCAAATGACCGTATCGTTGCATTTAAAACTTCTTACAAGGCTGAACTGTACTGTTTTGCAACGATTGAGTCTGTTATTGTTATGGACAGCAAACGGCTGGATAGTCCAGTTGTCGAGTGGCTGCACGGTTTGAAAGATGGGCTACCGTCGACGCTCTTTTTAGACGACTTGTCGAATCACAATTGTAAGTGTTTGTTCTGTGAATAAGGGGAGGGAGAGACAGTATTCAGGAGCTTGTATGTCTAATATAGCTTCTATATTCAGGGCGCGTTGTTGCATTTTCAAATGAATCGCAACGTGCTACCATGATGGAATTCCAATACACAAGAAATGCATCCAAGAGGTAAGCATTCAAGGAGTCTACGTGGATGCAACGACAACTCAAAGAAGCCTTGTAAATAGCATGGCACCGACTGTTAGAGTGCTTGGCGTGCATCAGATGCCTCTGTCTGTTTACCACTTTGATGATTTACACGATACAAAAGACAGCCGAATTCGATCCATGGGGATTGCATTCAACCTACGCACATCTCAACAGCAGGAGGACACAACCGAAGGATGCGCCATGTTTAGTGCCCTGCGTGTGTTTGAGGACGGATCTGTCAAGATTCAGTATTTAGCACTGTTGCCCACCAAACCAGACACCATAGACAGCGGCCGTTTTCTAAAGAAGCCTCGGCTTGTGATGGGTTCGTTGCATCAACAGTTCCAGAAACTGCAGAGAGAGGCGAAATTGGCCATGCTACCCAGCGGAAAAGGTGTGCATGTGGGAGAGGCCGAGTTATTCACCATTGCTATGAAAAACTTTGAATCTTATGTGGAGCAGAGCATTCAATGTGGATCAGCTGCACTCACAGAACAGTTCAAGACGGCTATTTCATCTCGTGTACGGCAGTTGACAGTGCCCACCACATTGTAAGTAGAACAATACACACACACCTAAAACCAGATGTTGATACTTCCACTCTTTAGCCGCGCATTGTTTGATGACGAGACTTTTAAAGAATATGAACTGGAGGACTTGACAGACTTCCTGTTAGAAATGGAAACACATGAAGACATCGAGCGTGGACGACAGATCACTATACCCGGCGTATTACACCACTGCAAACCCATAGATCAAGAGTTGAATCGAAAATTGAAAGAAGCGCACGAGAAAGAAACGCAACTCTCCAAGGTCATCATACATCCATTGCCACATCAAGACGATCCTCACACATTTCAATACCTCGGCCGACAGCCATACATCAAATTTGCATCTACTACAACTACAAAAGTGTTATCCAACTGCTGGTCAATTGATGATTCAAGATTTGATAGTCTACCGTTCCCTACCTACGATACATCAAGTGTTCCTCAGCCTGAAGTATTCCCCTCTGTAAATATATATAAAAGAAGACGCTCATCTGGCACGCTGTTTCCCGAATTCAGTAGCAACAATCTCGAGACGGAAACAGCAACGATACCTGCCATTGTCAAATCCACGCCGCATATTCCCAAAATCAAGAAAACCAAGGTTGCTTCATTGCCAAAGATCTCCAGGGAGGCTTCAACACAACCACAGGTCCATGCGACCACGCAAATGCTGTCTCCGCATCGCCCTACCAGTACGCAATCTTCAAGCCAACATTTATCTGTGCCTCAAAGTCCTACAAACTCATTTGCACAAGTATCTACGCAACCTGTGGAAGGTGCTTTTGCTTCTCGAAAGAAGGTGGTTCAGAAAAAGAAGAAGAAGGCCAAGTCTTCTGGTTTCAAGTAAACATTGTGTATCATTGTACAGTTATTCCTGCTAGTATAGTGGCATAGAATGACATGGTTTTTATTATAAACTTTGCTTTGATCAGTTCCTCTTGTCTCGTTATAAGCTTTACATCAACAAATGGAATTTACAGTGCTGTGATCAGGCTACACTTTTAGCAGGTACTGATCAAACTGAGGATCAAATCATGTTCATACAAGACAATGCAAAAATAGGCAGTGAATTGCTTTAATGTAACAGTAGTATCGACTCTCTAGGCTTGTGGATGGCTGTTTGCTGGTTATACTACCATGTCCAACATCATTCTACGCTACAAATTGCTTGTATTTCATGAAAAGCCTATTTTATTATACACATTTTGACAGTTGATTGGCCTATAATTCAAATTATGCTGATCTTAAAAACGCTTCATTCTGTTCTTTTGGTCATAGAAACGATAGCCGACAAATAGAACACCAACAAGACCACCAGCCAAGATCATTTTAAACAAAACACCAAGCACACTACTACCAGAGCCAGACTTCTTCTTGGTTTTGACAGGTTGAGGAGCAGCTTCTTTGACAGCAGGAGGAATAGATTTGGTGAGGACTGAAATGATGTCGTGGTTGTCTGTAACTTCACCAGTGTGTGCACTGAAACCGAGATAGATTTGTTCAGGAAGAGCAATATCATGTACCTTGAAACACTTGTCCCATTCATCCTCTTGACGCCACATGAGATCCAATTGAAGGTAGTTCTTTTTGTGATAGGTTAAGCGAGCACGAGTGGGGTATCCCTTGGCTCTGAAGTCAGCCTACAGGAGATGTATGTATAAATTGTATTGGCCTCAGGGGTACGCTCTCTTGATCGACTTACCTCACAGCCAGCGAGTTCAGTATCACTGCCATCCTTGTTGTTATCATAAGATTTCATGCCGTCACCGAGCATTGCCATAACATAGGGGAAAGTATGACGCTAAACAAAATACTCCATCAATACAGTGCTTTCCTGACTCAGAAGCACAACAGAGACTTACGTGAGCTCTTTCATTATCATAAGTATCAAAAAAGACACCAAGGCCCTCAAATCTATCGACAGAGCCGAAAACGGGGCCCTCAGTCATTCTTTGCTTTGTGAGCCACACTGTTGGATATACAGTTTAGTCCTCTGAACACTTTGGAATCACTCTAATCACTCTACTTACTAGCAAAGCCATCGCCATAAAGATGTCCAGAGCTACCATCAACTCTAAATTCGAATTCTACTTGAAAGTTATCGCCAATCAAAGGCTATGACAGAGTGAATACCATTGCATCCAAATCTAAAAGTACTGCTTCTTTCTTTACCAAACGAGACCATAGATAGCCCAGTTGCGATTGCTTTGTTGAGGTGAGACGGATTTGATGGTTGGTATTAATAATGGTATTTCCAGCAAAATCGAACCATCTGTTCTGCAATTCATCGTCTACACGTACACTATGAGTATCACAGTAACCAGTGACAAGGCAAAAACATTACCAATATAAGGCATGGAAATGGAGTGCGTTCTCATGGACGCAGTTCCTTGAGCGAGCACAGATGTGCAAGCTGCAATAACAGTTGAAAGCACTACGAAAATAGAGCGCATCTTTCTTGTGGATATAAAGAATAAAGAGAGAAAAAAGAAGAGCAACTGTACAGCAACAAACGAAAGCGCGTTTTATAGTAAGCAAACCAAGACGGAAATTCAATAAATCAAATGGTAACAGTGAACCGCTTTATTTGCGGTTATTTAGTCTCTCTACAATTTCCTTTTGGATTTGTGCTTGCTTTCTGCTTTCCTCCAAGGATCCCAAGCTTCTCAGATCATTGACAATATCCTTGGTTTTTCCAAAGTAAACTTCTTGTAATGAGTTGCGCATCTTCATCTCCATGTCTTCCACCATGCGTCCAATGTTGGCAATATGAGCAGCTGGATCATCGACAGGGAAATCCTGCTCAATCTGTCTCGTCATGCTGCCACTCAAATTCAAATTACCGAGATCTTGGTTGTTGGTGATCATGTACAGCATAATGGTGGATGTCAGTTTGTATTGTGCATTGCGTCCACGCTCTTGGACTTCGAACACATGGATAGAATCCCAGGCACCCTTCATACGTCTAGCGCCATCACCAACTGCTCAGAGATTTAGCACATGTAATCATGAATACTGATTGAAATTACCTTTCTTAATCAATACTACAACAGCAAATTTATCGTCAATCTCGAATGCATAAACTGATGAAACACCGCCTTCATAGTACATTTCACGATAGGTATCAAAGGCTTCATTAGCAGCAACTTCTAATTTACGAAGCGCAGGCGAGGGGGCAGCTCCATCAGACAACTCAGGCTCATACTCATTGCTCCAAGGAGATCTATGATGACAAGGACACGTATATATCAGGTTTCACTTTTGCCTATTACAACGACACAAAAGCTTTACCTGTAAGAATCGCCATCTCGGTTGTAATCACATACGAGGTAGTCTTTTCCAGTCTTTGCACAGCGCTTCACTTTTAAAGGTTGATCGATAGCCGACAGTAATTCATCTGCCAAGTCAGGGCTCACCAAGTGAAAGAGTTTAGATAAGTTCTCTTCCACATTTTGAGGAGGTAAACGACGCATCAAATCCAAAGCACAGTCAAATTGGTCACTCTAGGAGTAAAAAAAAAAAATAAAAAAATAAAAACAGTTGAGTGGTAGCATAGCGTGCGTTGTGTTTTTCTTTTATTTTACCATTTTTTTTAATTATACAATCAAGTTGAAGAGGGGAAACTCGAGTTCTTCCTACAATGAAATGAAATGGAGAGCTGAATTGGCTAGTCGGGTGTGTATAGTAGAAAATAGCCCACGTCATTTGAGATTCAGGCAACCAGAAGTGTATGTGTACCTGATGCCAACAGATTATATTGTAGAGTAATGGAAATACAAGTAAATGTATAAAACACAAGCAAATTCAACGGCTTTCAAGTCTTCCTATCTTGACATGTAGACCTTTCTGAGCCACAGGAATGACGCTAAATAACTGTACTCGAGTAGCAGTAACTTTCTGACACCTTTGCTCAACTTTTTGGAGACCCAAAAAAACATGGCCAAAAATCGACCAAAAAGCATGAGGTACCCCTCATGGTTTTCATCGAAATTTAAACGATCGCAATTTCCATCTTGAAAATGAAGACTTTTACTATGGTGTGTATTAGATCAAATTGCTTCTCTCGATCCAAAGCAACCCCTGAAACCACTTTTATGAGGTTTTCATATACAAAATATGGCCATTTTCGCTAAAAACCTCATTTTGAATTTTATTAAATTGCTCAATAACTTCGATCAAAACACTTATTACAATTAGCACCATTAGAAGCGCCTTGAAAAGTACTTCAAGATTGTATTAGGAAGCATAGGGTGATCATCACAATTTATATAGTCGGATATCACAAAATAAATTAAAGAAGTCGAAAATTGGCAGAATTCGTCCAATCTTGAACAAAAAAAAGACTGAATTTGAATTAAATTTGGCGACGGCATTGCTGCTGGCTGACCTAAATGCCTTTCTGTTAATGACAATGATAATTGCGATGCTGATTAAATGAAGATAGCGAACATGAAAGAACAATCGCTTAGCTCGAATGCTTTTTTTTTTGCTTTTGTTGGGGGGGTTGTCTTTTGCTATGGCAATCTCTCTCAAAAAAAAAAAAAAAAAAAAAAGTCGCTGTAGATCTTAAACAAGACTTGTTTTTACGCACGACCAGCTTTATATCTTCATCTCCAGAGCAACATCATCAAATAGTATGATAATTCTACTACAAAAAAACAAGGCACGAACGAAGAGTGTGGTGTGTAAGTGCTACATAAAACTTGGACTTCGACTTAATAACAGCTTTTGTTTGAGATCAGTTTATAAGCAAAGGGGGATGCCCAGGCGGATATCTTTCCTTCATTTTTGATTGATTGTTTAAAATACACTTGATATACCAAATTCTTATTGTTTCCGATTTGAAATGTCTTTGGTAAGGGCCCATAGGGTGTTCCTGTCATTGAGCTAGCGAGGTAGATTGGGTAGCGAGCCAGATGTTTGATTACACTGGTAAAAGAATATACACGAGATTGTCGTAACTATTTACATCTTTTGTTACACAAGTCAATTATTATAAATATTAGAGCTAACTGTCAAACTCAATAATATATCTTATATTATTATCACGACAAGATAAAAAATGAGGTTTATTATTTTGTCAAATGATTTGATGTTTATACTAATTAAAGAGGTTACGCACAACGTCTGTGAGTACCTGACACTACCAATACATTACGTAACACTGCAACATCTCACGCCATCACAAAACAAAAAATAGATAACCTCTATTCAGAATCGAACATCTGATGACCTTTGTTACGATATTATTATACCAATCGAGTAGTATAAATATTGGAGCAAACTGTCAAAGTCAATAAAGTTTGCCTTGTAAGTAATTTACTTTATACCTTGTATTATTATCACAAAATTAGTCGTAGGTAACTAATTTCAGAGTAAGAGGAACGATATACCGAATACGATCTCCATTATCAACAGTATTTGTAATAACGTCTCACACAAGAAAAATAACGCAAAAACGTTGCGCATAATAGGGATAGAACTCGAAACCTCCTACTAAAAGCACAAACGCTTTACCCACTGGACTACAGCCATTATTTATGTCGGACTTTCAATTACTACTATATAAAGAGAAAAGTAAGACAAAAAAAAAAAAATTGAAAATTAGGTAACTTTTTCACGCATTGAAACTACCTAATTAGTGAGATAGTAAACAAAGGAGATAACATTGTTAGGAGGAGAGAATATGCAATATTTAAATCGAATGCGTATTGTAACCAAGCGAACTATGCTACCATCGTCTGATTTTCACAGAAAGCTTTATGTCTCATTATTGTTGTCATCTTGGGTATTTAAGGTGCGTGTTGTGCCAGAAGGGCTACAACTGTCTATAAAGATTAAGGTATTCTTGATGGGTAGATATGTCTGTGTTGTGCAACAACATGGACAAGCTATGATAAGTGAAGTGCATCTCAGCTATCTAAATACTGAGGTTCACCAGATGTGATAAGCGTTGTACAAGATAAATTGCTACTTTGGCATTGAGAACTTAGTATAAATAGAATAACTCTTGTCTTCATCAATAAATCTTTAGTTTTTGTGTCTGATCTTATTCAAATAAGTCTTTTCTTGTTTTTATAATATCGAACATTTTTTATAAGCTACAAATAATAATCCTTTTATTCTTTGTGCTTAACAGTGCGATTATTTATCGATCTATTTCGAAATGCGGATATTACTGTAATTCTGAGAGGTCGCATACCTTACTGGAATCGTTATAGAATCTAGTTACATGTCACAGTCTATGACTTGATGTGGTCTATGCTTGAACTAATGAGTGTAACATCGTGGATAGACTTTAAGTCTAGTTTTACAGTTAGATATGGCATCTTTGTTGTGGGCAACCATTAAAAGTGTCCTGCTAATAAGCTGATAAGCACCTCATTCAACTTGAGCAAGTTGTTACATTCAAATATGCTTAATACCATTGACGGTCAAGCTATGAAATTACTGTATTCGCACATTTCAAAGAGAAAGATCTGAGCCTCAGAATTAGAATAATACAAACGTCGATCGTTTAGGTGTTGAGTTTCATACAATGCAGAACATCAGAGACATCGGAACGAGTTTTGATATATTTACTTCTTTGTCAACACAATCTAATTCGTCTTATTTTTGGTCAAATCCTGTCCAAATTTAGCCATTTCGAAGCACGAATAACTCATACTACAAAGCGTCGTGGACGCTCGGAATGGGGCCAAACGTCTCTCCTTGTCCACGCTTTGCTTACTGATGCTTTATCCCAAATTTCTTTAGGCCATTGCAAATCCATGAAAATTCTCATGATTTTCATGTGTACTAGTAAAGGAAAATTCTTGAAAATCAAACGATCGCGTTTTTCACCCCAAAAATGACGACTTTTTCTATGATACATACCGGACCAAATTAATCGTAAAGATACAACGCAACACTAGAAGCTGTTTACATGAGGCTTTTTTATGTTAGAATCTGACATATTCACAGAAAACCTGTTTTTATATCTTTGCAAATTTCTCATTATTTTCGGTCAGAAAGCTGAATGAAATCAGCATCATTCGATGCGACTTTTTTAAATCTCCGAAAATGTATTTGAAAGTTGGATGTGGTAACGACAGCTTTCACAGTTAAATTTGGCAAAAACGTTCAAAGAATGTGAAATCAAGTCAAGTTTGAACACGAAAATACCCACTGTACAATTGCAAATTAAAGTGCAGCAGTTACGGCTACCACGAAGGCAGAATACTGGGGCCAAATCTACTGGCCGTGACGTTGAATAGGACACTCTCTCATTTTTCCATACCCTCCTTTTTTTTTACCCTTTTTGCAAAACGCGTTTAGTATCAAACCATATGCGTTTTAGAACACTTTTGATTAAAAATAACACTCTAGCTTCTGATAACACGGCCTTGCACTGTTAAAAATGCTTAATACTGCTTCTTTAAAGTGGAATATAGTAGGTACTATTCGATAACGAGCACTAGAAGACGTAAAATCAGTACTAATCGAATTTGTTTATTAGGTTTCGATATTTTTCTGCCTGTTTGACGTCGGTGCTGCTGCCATTACTTCTCTGCTATCTTTGCTATTTGCTTCTTTGGTTTATTATGTCTGGTGGTTGCTTCGTTGGTCTTTATCTCTGGTGGTCGCTTCTTTAATCTTTGTCTGGTCTCTGGTGCCGTTCGTTCTTTGGTTTTTCTATGATGCTGGTGTTGCTGCTGATGTTGCTGCTGCTAGTCTGGTCTTTCTTCTTGGTATGCTCTCTCGGTTGTATGTTTGTTCTCTGGTCTATCTCTGGTAGTTGTCTATTCTCTGCTGGTCTATCCGTGGCTGTGGCAAGTGGTAAGTAACTTTTTTTTCTTTTGGTCGCAATGATACAAAACTTCTCTGGACGTTTGTATTATTGCTTTTTTTTTCTCGTGATAATGCATTCATGATGTTTGCTTTGTTACAATTTCTTTTTCTTTCGTTGGCTGTGATATGATCAGCTCAACGGATGCTTGCGATGTTGTTGCTTCGTATGTACGAACAACAAGCATGATGTACTGCTATATGTCTGTATTGCCGTTGTAATACTACTTTGTTATATGGCCGTGGGTTGTTGTTTGTGTTGCCTCTGTCGCTTCACATGAAACAACATTAGTCACTATGTTGTATTGCACACTTATAATACTGCTGTTGCTCATGCAATTGTGCGTGTTTGTGTTGCTTGACATCCGACTATTACCACCATGCACGTTGCTCATGCATGCATTTTTGTTGCAACAACAATGAGCTGTTCTGAACATCTTTGATGTTGTATTTGTTGTTATGCTTTCCTTTTGATTCACTTTTTTGTGTGAGTGTTCCTTTTTTATCTACATGCTACTATATCCCTATAGTAGTATGTTCTTTTCTTCTTTTCCTTTTTTTTTAATTATGTTTCTTTCGAAGCATACCTCTTTATTACGTTGTGGTGGATGTGCCTATCGCTGAAGCTCAACAAGACTTTATCCGAGACTAGGAGATGGATAGGCTGCCTCCACTTGATTATTGCTACTTACTTTAGTGATGATTGAGAGTCTCAACTCCTGAATCTAAAGCTAGGTGGTGTAAGTAAGGCATGCTCTAGCACCTGAGGGAAATTTGATGATAGTAACAGCTATATTGCTATTATAGCGGCGCTTAAAATTTTGCCTCACATCAAAACAGAGGGAAACCCTCGCAAATTTTTTTTTAGGTCGGCGGAGTTTTTGAGCAATCTGATTGGCTGAGGGATTGAAAGAGAAACGGTTTACAACGGGTTGGTTTTCTGTTGATCTGTCATTTATCATGATTTTGTCGTTTGTAATAATAAAAGCGTAATTTGATAGAAACAATTTAAATCCTTCTTTATTCAAGAGTAATATAAGGTGCAGTCATTGAGTTCATTATCAGTAAATAATTTTATGTGAGCAATGTTTTTTAAAATGTACCGGTATTTTCCAGGGAATATTATATATTAGGTGGTACTACAGTAGTACGGTACATTAGGTACAGGGTTCTCCCAGTACCAAATGTCCCGCCAAACATGCGATGTACCTGCAATGTAACAGCCACCCAAACTCAATTTGATTGAAAATCAAAATTCATCGAATAGTTCTCATTCAAATTCATGTTATTTGGATGTATTAATAAAAGCGCTCAAATGTATATCAATAACCACTTAAGCATACTAAAGTAAAGATGCACACTTGTCTCTCACATCGAGTGAATGAATCACTCCTGGTCACAGTGTACTCAATCACACCCGTGGTGGTCGTAATAGGTGATTTATCAGAAATAAATTATTTATAAAAAAGAGTATGAAATTAATCAGGTAAAGAATGTCGTTTATTACATTGGAAATAACAGGGTTTATATACTATTTGAATTGAGGGGTTTGATGTGAGGATAAGGTATTAGATGGGTTGATTTGGGTGATAGGATAATAGACCCAATATATTATCCTGAACATTGTTGCATACAAGTATGCATCTTAGGCTACATTCACTTTCTCCTCAAGCCACCTTTTATTACAGTGTAGCAGCATAGATTGTAATGAAATAGCCACCCAAACGCAACTTAATTGAAAACCAAAGTTCATCAAATAGCACTCATTCAAATTCATGCTATTTGGATCTATTAATGAAAGCGCTCAAATGTACATCAAAAAAACCATTTAAAAATACTAAAGTAAAGATACACGCTTATATCGCACATCGTGTGAATGAATCACTCCTGATCACAGTGTATTCAATCACACCCATGATGGTCGTAATAAGTGATGGTATCTTTATCCAAAAAGAATCAAATCAATAACAAGCATATTCAAATATGACAACTATGCCCTGCTGCCATAGTTGCACAATATCCCAGATAAAGGATTCCATGCTTCAATAACAAACATCACACTTTAAACCATCAAGGTTACATTAAATCATGCTATGACGATAGCTCACCCAAGCCCATCAAGGTTACTCAAATCGACCCTTATTATGGCCAGTGCTCTTGCATTGATTACCACTTTAAATCAAACATCAACAACATTTGCCAGATATCGCAATAGCAGAACCTATTGCTCTCTAACATCACTAATCCTACAAGCTAGATGCAAATGTATAAATACTCTTCTTTTTTTACTCAATTCCAGGATCTTCAGTTCATTTTATACACAAATAAAATACAGTTGATTTCTATTGTATTTTACTATTGCTTTATTTTTTTTTGTGAAATCTATTCAAACCTGATTTCACTGCATAGATGATGTTTATCGTATCACATCACATCTATGTTTACAAGTCCAGTCAATTGTGTGTGCACAGGTGCCTCAGGAACTACAATACATTCAATCTCCCCAATGTCAAGATATCGAGATCCACCTACACTACATGAAACATATCGACTTAGGTGACCTCTCAACAAGCTATACCAACAGTCCATAAGGCCTCAGTGGCCTACTATTTATATACCATCTCAACGTAGTAGTCATTGACCAGGGATCTACCATATTTAAGCAAGCTAGATGCCCTATAATAAAGAAGCTTTTTGCTTTCGTTTTAGTGACGCAGCCATGAGTTGCCCAAAATCCGATCAAATTTTGTATCAAATACATAAGCTTCCATATCATCCGTATAATCACTCAATTGTAAAGAGAAAGTGGCAATAGATGAGATAGCAGATTGATGGCCATTAGCAGTTTCCACGGCTTGACCTTTAACAGCTCTTGATTATGTAACCACGGAGGACAGTTTCGGACTAATATAATTAGCAGAAGCACCAGAATCAATCAATACGGAGCACAAATGACCATTCACCCAACCATTGTACAGGGGCAATTTTGTATCAATTTTACCAGCAGACATCACAAATTCCAGATCCTTCTTGATTAGAGTATCGACAATTACCAGAAGTTCAACATACGACTTAGAGGTAGGTAAGACACAATACAAATAAGCAGAGTAATCAAAGTCTTTATTGTCTTCAGAAGCATCATCAAAGCCATGATCAATGTTGCCAGCCTCGGCATAATTCAATTGCTGTCGAGGTTCAGAAGGACAATCCCTCATGTAATGACCGAAACCTTCACAGTTGTGACACTGTACATTAGCACGATTACCATTACGAGCACGGCCACCACGGCCACCACGATGCTGTTGGCCGCCACGGCCACCAGAGTTGTTCCAAGATTTCATGATGTTGTATAATTCACGGCGCTCCATCACCGACAAATCCATTGGATCATCCACCTGAAGATCCATAGTATCCACCGAAAAACCCCGAGAAATAGAGGAACTGGAATCTAAACGATTTCCTTCATAGTTATGAGCAGCACGGATGGCCTCAGTTAAAATAGGCTCTTCCATGTAAATGCTGTCCTTGATGTGAATTCGAGCGTTGGGATCTCGAAGACCAGATAAAAACTTGTCAACTGCTTCTTCGTCTGTCATTCTTTGAATACTGAGTTTGATAGTCATGAATTCTTGAACATATTGAGCAATGGTAGACTTCTGTCGTAAGGCGCGCATGCGATCCCGAGCAACCGAGATAGCATTATCCGGTTTAAAAAATGCTCTTAATTCGGTCTTGAAGTGTAACCAATTAGTAGGCGCAGAATTTAGCAAACGCAGATTTTGATACCAAACTTTGGCAGCACCTGTCAAAAGAGTGATACCTAATTTGGCAATTTTATCATTATCAAACTTCTTGATATCCGCAAAGTCTTCGAGCGTCTGGATCCAAGATTCAATAATGAAGGGATCCCTTGAACCATTGTAACTTTTGGGCCGTTCCAAAAACTCGAAATCGTCTTCCTTGGATGTCTTGGCAAGGATTACCTCCTTCAAGATTTCAGCAAGCTTTATAATGTCACTACTATCACCAGTAGTACCTAATGGACTCCCATCTTGTTCAGTCATATTATTGTCGTTATTGTTATTGTCTAAGTTAATGTTGTCTAATCCAAACCACTTTTTTGCGATACTTGTGGCTAGTTAATTCCAATGTTCTTGTCTAGCTTTTGATGATTTGATTCTTTCTTCTTGAGTAAATTGACCCGGCCTTGTTTTTCTGAACTTGCTGTTATAAGCTTCGATATCACCTTCAAATTTTAGTATTTGAACGACTCTTTCTTCTATTTCAAATTGGTTCTTGAGTTTTTTTGATTTCTTCCTCAGTCAAGCTATTCATTCACAATAAATAGTTTCAAATAAATGATCAAATGGTTCTGCTGCTACCAAATGTCGCTAATAGAGATATGGTTATTGAGTAGACCTTGGCAAATGTATATAAAAGAATAGAATTGAGATAAAAAGATGATCTTTACTGTTTTGCAAACTGATTTGATATTTATACTAAATTAAAAGGTTACACACAAAGACTATGTGTACCTGACACCTGACAACAGCTGTCGTTAATAGAGATACGGTTATTGAGTAGACCTTGGCAAATGTATATAAAAGAATAGAATTGAGATAAAAGATGATCTTTATTGTTTTGCAAACTGATTTGATATTTATACTAAATTAAAAGGTTACACACAAAGACTATGTGTACCTGACACTACCTTCCTCCCAAAAGAAAGTACGGGTAGGCAAAGAAAAAAAAAATCTATTTTGCTCTAGCAACACGAGGAATATACCAAGATTTTTGGGGTTTGGCACCATCATACTGGACAGAATGGAGACGATCCGTGTGAACCCAGGAGTTGTAGACTTTTCCTTCGATTTCTTGAATTTGGTAGATGTTGTAATCCAAATTTGTTTTCAAAATTACATATGGACCCATCCAATTGAACTCCAAACCCTTCTTGGATTCATGCCTCAACATGACATAATCCCCCACCTCAAAAATTTGGGCCTTGTTGCTCTTGAGCGCAGCATCCCATCGTTCCTTGTCCTTGCGAGCCTGTAGTATCATCTGTTCCTTGGCCTCAAATCGCTTTTCCTTGAGATCACGAATGCGAGCAAGAACATCTTCAGCAATCAATTCAGGGTCTTCCTCAGTTAAAGGATCCATAAAAGGACGACGAGAATCGCCAGGCAACACAGGCTCTTGACCATAGACCAGGTAAAAAGGACTATATCCAGTAGTAGCATGCTTGCGGATACGACAAGAGAACAGTGATGAATCCACATATTCATCCCAAGAGTGAACCAGTCCTTTGACATACTTAGTTAACATATGTTTGAATGTTTGATTCAATCTTTCACACTTTGAGTTGGTACGCGGATGGAATGCAGAGGTAAGCATGTGCTTTGATCTAATCTTGTGCATATATTGCTTGAGAATCTTGCTGAGAAAATTTGCACCACGATCACTGACAACTTCAACAGGACAACCAAATTTCATCACAATCTCTTCATAAATGAACTTGACAATTTCATCCGCAGAAGCAGATTTTAGAGCACGAGCGATAGGCCAATTTGTAGCATAATCTACAGCCATCAGAATCCAGCGATTACCATTACCAGTAGTGGGCAGTTCACCAATGAAATCAATGTGCCAACGAGCAAAAGGAGCAGGAACTTCAAGTGGCTTCATGGGAGCATGATGGGTACCTTTCTCGTTACGAGAGTGCAGTTGACATTCAGGACAAGTCTTTAGCCAATAATTAATATCTTTGCGCATAGAGGGCCACCAGACACGTTGCTTTATCAAATGATATACCGTTAATTGACCCGAATGGCCAAAACCACGATGAAAATCTTCAATCAGATCAGCACGACGAGCAAAAGTGATAAATTTCAGTTTGGAAGCCTCTCTACCCGTAGCCTCAAGGTTCAGCCGATATAAGACATTATCAATTATTTCAAAATTGGATTCCTCCTTTTCCAGTTGAGCACGCCATTTTTCGGGCCAATCTTCCCGCTTCTTCTTATAAAATATAGGCCAATCTTGACAAGGATCAGTGAGCAGCGAAGTATCAGAAGGTTGTAACACTTTGTTCAAAATAGTGGTAGACATTTCATATAGGAATTCAGGTTCCATTGACACCGGATCAGGCTCACAATCAGGACCTTCACGACGACTCAAGGCATCCGGAACGACATTATCAACACCCTTCTTGTAGACCAAAGATGGCTGATACATTTCAAGATCTTGCATCCAGCGGACCAAACGAGGAGACACTTTACTTGACGACTTGTAATACTGCAGAGGACGATGATCCGTAAATACTTCATACCCAGACCCTTCCACAAAACAACGCCAAGTCTTGCATGCGAACAAGATAGCTAGCAATTCACGCTCTTGAGTTGGATAGTTCCTTTCAGCATCAGACAGCTTTTTCGATATAAAAGCAACAGGTTTCCAGGCATCATCACACTTTGGATCTTGTTGCAACAAGACAGCACCCACAGCATAATCACTAGCATCACACTCAATGCGGAACGGACGAGACATATCAGGCATTAGCAGCACAGGAGCAGAAGTAATCAGAGACTTGATGGTATCAAACGCCTTTTGACAAGCATCTGACCAATCAATCTTGCGATTCTTAGGACCAACACCTTTAGTCAAATCAGTAATACAAGCAGCCACAGCAGCAAAGTTGGGCATGTACGTAGAGTAGTATTGGCAGAGACCCATAAATTTACGCACATCATGCACAGTCTTGGGCGCAGGCCACGAAGCAATAGCATCTACCTTCTTCTGAGACGGCTTGATGCCTTGACCAGCAACAATATCATGACCCAAAAAGGTGATTTCCTTGCGATTAAACTTGCACTTGGCTTTGGACACTACCAGACCAGCTTCCTGTAACTTCTTGAATACTAGATGTAGATGTTTCTTGTGTAGTTCAATGTCATCACCCTTTGTATAAATCAGACAGTCATCAATGTAGCAAATCACGAAATCATCAAGATATTCCTTCAGGACATCATTCATTAAATACATCCATCTTGCACCCGAATTTTTCAATCCCATCGCCATGACCGACCAAGAAAATTGACCATACCTGGTGTTGATCGCACTCTTGAGCGAATCAGAAGGAGTTAGTCTTTGCTGCCAGAAACTACTAGTCAGATCGATGGAGCTCATGAAGGTGACACCATGTAACTGTTCCAAACATTCATCAATACGAGGCAAAGGCACCCGTTGAGCCACCGTCTTGGCATTAAGAGCGCGATAATCGCAGACCATTCGCAATGAACCATTGGGTTTCTTGACAAAGAGTACAGGACTACCCCATTCCGACACACATGGTTCAATGAATCCTTTACTTAGTAAATCATCCAATTGTTGTCGCAATTCCTTCAATTCCAATGGAGACATCCTGTAAGGTGCCCGAGAAATAGGCTTGGTACCAGGCTCCAACTCAATCATTTCACCATCAGTACGACGAACCGGAGGCAACGTATCCAATGATCCCTTGAAAACATCAGGATAGGCTTCAGCAAACTCAGCACACCAGGCTTCATTCTCCTTGTCTTGATCCGTCAGCACCACATCCACATTGTTCAAATCCAAAAGACCATGCAATTCCCTTGGGGAGACCAGAAAACACTCCTCCACTTGTTTCTTTCTCAACAACCTCTCAAATTGTCTTGCAGTAATCACAAAATTACAATCATCAACATCATCAATACCCTCAGATCCAACAGTAACATCACCGTCAACTCCTGCATCAACCCCAGAACCAATAAATTTACCCTTAGATCCCACAAAATTAACATCGGCATCAACCATATCTGTACCACGAGTAGAACCAATCTTATTAGTATCAGCATCACCAAACGTAGCATCCATAGCAGCACCAGCATCACCAGATTCCAGAACCACCTCTTGATTGTGTAGTAGATTGTTGGGCTTCGTCTGCGTTTGAATTGGCATAATTAATGTAGAACCACCATTGGGAAGCTTAATTGACCATGAACTATGGAACCAATCAGGAATAGGTTGAACCTGACGCAGCCATGAGTTGCCCAAAATCAGATCAAATTTTGTATCAAATACATAAGCTTCCATATCATCCGTATAATCACTCAATTGTAAAGAGAAAGTGGCAATAGATGAGATAGCAGATTGATGGCCATTAGCAGTTTCCACGGCTTGACCTTTAACAGCTCTTGATTGTGTAACCACGGAGGACAGTTTCGGACTAATATAATTAGCAGAAGCACCAGAATCAATCAATACAGAGCACAAATGGCCATTCACCCAACCATTGTACAGGGGCAATTTTGTATCAATTTTACCAGCAGACATCACAAATTCCAGATCCTTCTTGATTAGAGTATCGTCAATTACCAGAGGTTCAACATACGACTTAGAGGTAGGTAAGACACAATACAAATAAGCAGAATAATCAAAGTCTTTATTGTCTTCAGAAGCACCATCAAAGCCATATGCATGATCAATGTTGCCAGCCTCGGCATAATTCAATTGCTGTCGAGGTTCAGAAGGACAATCCCTCATGTAGTGACCGAAACCTTCACAGTTGTGACACTGTACATTAGCACGATCACCATTACGAGCACGGCCACCACGGCCACCACGATGCTGTTGGCCGCCACGACCACCCCGAGAGCCATTGTAACTTCCACGAGTATTGCCACGACCACCACGAAAGCCATTAAAATCCCTACGACTGCCGCCTCCAAAACCTCCACGAGCACCCATTGCAAAACCACCACGACCACTAGAGTTGTTCCAAGATTTCATGATGTTGTATAATTCACGGCGCTCCATCACCGACAAATCCATTGGATCATCCACCTGAAGATCCATAGTATCCACCGAAAAACCCCGAGAAATAGAGGAACTGGAATCTAAACGATTTCCTTCATAGTTATGAGCAGCACGGATGGCCTCAGTTAAAACAGGCTCTTCCATGTAAATGCTGTCCTTGATGTGAATTCGAGCGTTGGGATCTCGAAGGCCAGATAAAAACTTGTCAACTGCTTCTTCGTCTGTCATTCTTGGAATACTGAGTTTGATAGTCATGAATTCTTGAACATATTGAGCAATGGTAGACTTCTGTCGTAAGGCGCGCATGCGATCCCGAGCAACCGAGATAGCATTATCCGGTTTAAAAAATGCTCTTAATTCGGTCTTGAAGTGTAACCAATTAGTAGGCGCAGAACTTAGCAAACGCAGATTTTGATACCAAACTTTGGCAGCACCTGTCAAAAGAGTGATACCTAATTTGGCAATTTTATCATTATCAAACTTCTTGATATCCGCAAAGTCTTCGAGCGTCTGGATCCAAGATTCAATAATGAAGGGATCCCTTGAACCATTGTAACTTTTGGGCCGTTCCAAAAACTCGAAATCGTCTTCCTTGGATGTCTTGGCAAGGATTACCTCCTTCAAGATTTCAGCAAGCTTTATAATGTCACTACTATCACCAGTAGTACCTAATGGACTCCCATCTTGTTCAGTCATATTATTGTCGTTATTGTTATTGTCTAAGTTAATGTTGTCTAATCCAAACCACTTTTTTGCGATACTTGTAGCTAGTTGATTCCAATGTTCTTGTCTAGCTTTTGATGATTTGATTCTTTCTTCTTGAGTAAATTGACCCGGTCTTGTTTTTCTGAACTTGCTGTTATAAGCTTCGATATCACTTTCAAATTTTAGTATTTGAACGACTCTTTCTTCTACTGTAGGGGGAAAAACTGTCCCGTTCGTTCAAATAATCTTGACTTTTACCCAGTATATTGCCAAATCTCAGAAAACAAATCTACCCCATACTGCGTTCGATAGAGCAGCTTATAGGAATTACAGCAACATAAAAACCTTATGGCTGGACTATATTTTAATCCCAGTATAACCAGCTAAAGTGAGACGTGGCAAAAATGTTAGTTGGATAATTCTAGAGAATATAAAATGGTTGATATCTTTACTTCCGATAAACGTATCGGAGAGATCTAAAAAACTACCCGCGGTATGCTCAGACTATTTAATACCCGAGGAGCATTCTAAAAGTATAAAAGAAGCTAATTTCTTCATATTTTTTTCTTTATTTCTTTGCTTTCTTATTTTTTTTCAAAACTTTCATTATGCCTGCTCGTTTAACACAAGATTTGCGCAACACTCTACAATCTTTGCTCCAACGTGGTCTGTCGTTCTCAAAGATAAAAAATTTGTATCCAGGAGTGGGTAACTCTACTCTTACAAGGCTCAGAAAACTATATTGCCCTGACCCAGCTAGACCTCTTGGCGGAAGACCGAAAAAACTTGGTGCTAAAACTATGTCCCTAGTGTCAAGAGAACTTCGATCAGGTGCTTTAGATGGTCCCCGAGCAGCACAAGAAAGTTTAAGATTGATGGGCCATGATATGTCAATTAATGGCATCCGCAAGTCATTGAGACGAAATGGACTTAAATCTCGTAGAAAAGTAAAGACCAATTTTGTTAGCAAGACAAACAAGCGGCTTCGATTGGCGTGGGCTAAAAAGCATAGGCATCTTACTATTGCTGATTGGCGTCGTTGGGTGTTTTCGGATGAAACAAGAATAAACCTTTGGGGCTCAGATGGTAATTCTTTTTACTGGACGAATGGTGACCGAACCATGCAGCCTCATCAAGTCAAGCCTCAAGTGCAGGGAAATGACGGTGGGGTCATGTTCTGGAGTTGTATAACAGCGGAGGGGCTTGGTTATGGTACTACCATTATTGAAGGCTCAGTAAACTCGGACTTGTATGTCGATATTTTGAAGACATCATTGGTCGACACTCTTGAGCACTTTGGGAAGACACCATCTAATGTGCGATTTCAACAAGACAGAGCAACACCGCATACATCGGGCATTACTAAACAATGGTTCACCGACAATGGGTTTAACCTAGACGAAATCATGGATTGGCCACCCCAAAGTCCCGATCTTAATCCCATTGAACATGTCTGGCATCTCCTAAAGCTTCGTCTTAATAAGTATCCCACTAGGCCCTCTACAAAAGAAGAATTGGAGCGGCGTATTAACATTCAGTGGTACAAAATAACAGAAAAAGAGTGCCAGAAATATATTGATAGTATGCCTGCCCGAATCAAGGCTGTCATCAAGAGCAAAGGTGGTTCAACTCACTATTAATGATTTTATAATAAAATGTACATTTTTCTATATTTATTTTTTAACCAATAAAATCATTGGATTTTAGTTTTTGAAAAAGTTATAATTATGTATAGATAGCACTACTTTCTCTCATTCAAACGATATATATTTCGACTTTGTATACAAAGAAATGACCAAAAACTTGTGCAAAAAGACAAAATTCTAAACGAACGGGACAGTTTTTCCCCCTACAGTATTTCAAATTGGTTCTTGAGTTTTTTGATTTCTTCCTCAGTCAAGCTATTCATTCACAATAAATAGTTTCAAATAAATGATCAAATGGTTCTGCTGCTACCAAATGTCGTTAATAGAGATACGGTTATTGAGTAGACCTTGGCAAATGTATATAAAAGAATAGAATTGAGATAAAAGATGATCTTTATTGTTTTGCAAACTGATTTGATATTTATACTAAATTAAAAGGTTACACACAAAGACTATGTGTACCTGACACAGCACGCAAAAGGAAGGCAGAAAGCTTTTCACTAAGTACACTACATTTGTGAGATTGTAAAAAAACTCTCCGGCGGGGAATTGAACCCCGGTCTCCCGCGTGACAGGCGGAGATACTCACCACTATACTACCGAAGATCTTGATTCCCTCCAATGTCGGTTACATCCTGCTCCTCCTGTTTCTCCTCCTGTTCTCCTCTCTGCTTGTCGTCCTTCACTCATGGTTGATCCCATCCTGTATCTTCCAATGTCTGTGTTTGACCGTAGTCGTATTCTCCGTTGGCGTATGGGATGGCTACCTGCTAGGCCAGTTCCATGTCGTTGTGGTGCTCCTCACGCTAGCCGCAACCATCTGCTAGAGTGTCTTGGTGTTGCTTCAAAGCTTTTGTTTACTGATGATCCTCTTGGTGCTGATTATTTGCCCAATCCTCTGGACTTTTGGCTCAATCGACTACCTCGTATGCAACCTTCTGCCTCTAAACTCGTGTCGTCTCGCTCCTTTTGGTCTGTTCGCTGGCCTGTCATGCTCCAAATCTTTTTGGATATTGACATGATCTGTCATCCTGATGCTGAATTTACTGGTAAAGCTCTGGACTTGTCTGGTTCTGCCTTTCTCGACTGGTTGACCCCGGTTTCCTCAACTACCTCTGTTTCGGGTACGCCTTCTATTTCTTCCTCAGATAGTGCTGGTATTACTGTCGCTATTCCACATCTTTTGTCTCACTAAGATGCTGTTTCTCTGCTGTCCTTTTCCAACTGTTTTCGTTTGCCTTTTTTTTGAACCAAGGATTTAATCTTTAAATTTTTTGTTATTTTTTTTATATTCTCTTTCCGAATTTATTTCCAGCTGTCATCATTTTGATCCGCACTATAATGAGCACTTTGCCCTACAGGGACGCAGCTCCAATATTATATCTTTTTGTTAAGCACAAAGAATAAAAGGATTATTATTTGTAGCTTATAAAAAATGTTCAATATTATAAAAACAAGAAAAGACTTATTTGAATAAGATCAGACACAAAAACTAATGATTTATTGATGAAGACAAGAGTTATTCTATTTATACTAAGTTCTGAATGCCAAAGTAGCAATTTATCTTGTACAACGCTTATCACATCTGGTGAACCTCAGTATTTAGATAGCTGAGATGCACTTCACTTATCATAGCTTGTCCATGTTGTTGCACAACACAGACATATCTACCCATCAAGAATACCTTAATCTTTATAGACAGTTGTAGCCCTTCTGGCACAACACTTTTCAATAAACATTTCAACTATACTACCGAAGATGGTGATACTCTTGTCGTCTTGATAGATAGATCCAATGGTAGGAGTTAACAAATAACTTAGAGTGTAACTATTAGATTGAGATTATGTTCGAAGATGCTGTTTATTGATTGCATTTACAACTTATATTTATACTATTTCTACGATCGATAATTACTTAATCAATGGAACTTTCGAGTAGATATAGTACTTGATATAGCAACTGATAATCAGATCAATGCCTGCTATCAGTTTCCAGAACCTTCGAGTATACGCTGGCGCCTTTTAGTCGCTTTCTTCAAATCTGGCTTAAACCTAAATTTAGGCACGGTATAGTGCATTAGTATGTATATACATTATAGAATAACAGTATTTTTTGATTGTCACGTGATCTTCGTGAAATGATCATTAATTTACCTTTTTCTCATCAGAATGTGCAAGATTTATGAAATAAAAGTTAGCTGCTTGATGGATATATCCAAGGCACAAGCATATGCTTTTAGTTTTCTGAAATTATGCCGATTTCCAAAGATTTAAATTGAGTACCAAATGCCATGGTGATCATCATGCAAAGTGGTCATTTACTATTATACACTACTTGATGTTTGATATTAGGTTTCATATTTAAGTACAAACCATCACAAATTAAGTGGATTAAACTATGCATATATGATGTTTTATTTGATGAATTATCTTTTTCGTGGCTAGGTCATTAAATAAGTCAATGCTGCATGGCCCGCAAAATTTTGGCCGTTTAGTGGAGGTAAAATGAAGCCTCCTTGTCAAATATGATTTAGAAATATGTAATCATCAAAAGTAAATTGAATTCCAACATTCCGGTATGATGGCGTTAAGGAAAAAGAGCTATAGCATGTCAACCATTATAAGAAGAGCAATTGAGAATAATCTAGGTTACTTTCAACTGAAGATGTTTGTCATTACAACCAAGCTTTTACACTTTGTGATGTACCCAACTTTTGTACCTATGGTATCACATCATTGTCATTGCCGGGTTGAGTTGCAGGAGCCATTCTCTATTTCGTGATATCAACAAAAGGCCTACCTAAAACTTAGTCTTATTCAAGTATATCTCTTGGCAAAAAACTACAATGTCCAGCACAAGAGGTTGGAAATAAATATACGGGTGTCAAACATTGACTTTTCATTACCCATGTATACGAGAATTTCTTCGTACAATGATGGGGCTCAATGGTGAGCTTCATCAAATATTGTTTTTGATTTGTGTACACTTTTATATGGTCATTGACATGTTGTTTGATGGGATATAATTTCTGCTGCCATACAGAGGGGGAGAAAGAGGTTGTACTAGATATTGATGTAGATAATGCAATATTGTTTTACTACTATAGTTGCTTTTACTGGTGTATACAGGTAAATTTAAACAGTCGCCTACTAGTGCTAGTAAGACTACGATGGGTACATCCATTTGCAGGCTGGCCCTTTATAGACAGGCCATTTAATTCCAACCTTGGGTATATTTGAACTCAATGGCGAACGCGAATGTTTGGATGTGATATGGAGGCACGCACAGGGTAATATGTTTACTGTGTGCTGTATACACACATCGTATCTCGTTATATAGACAGTGGGGTGGTATCGCTGATGATGGCGATGTCAGTGCGATTCCATGATGTAGGTGCAATTTGTTTGCTTGGATGGATTTGTGTATATTATGAAGTAGGTACCAAGTTGTGTATCAACAAGAACTCAATGAAGCAATACACCAAGATTCTCGCTATATAAAAAAAAGGACGTATGGCATGCTCAATTAACACTAGATTTGCAAAAGCATTCATCATTACACAACGCCTTCAAGATTAAGCACATCTTGGATGCCAATCTATGTTTGCAACCCCATTGAGCATTGTACATGTCATTTATCGCCCTTTATAGAACACATCATTCACTTTTTGTATTGAAGTCTTCTCTTTCAATACGCTTTTCTGTTTTTTACAATTCACCAGCATAAAATAAATGAGAATACCTCAAAGCAGTATCAGCAACGGCAATTGAACAGGATTACAGGAATGCTATGGCTGATGCTTACACTTAAAAGGAATGTTTCCAAATGACAAATATAGAAAAATGGTGACACTATTCTTGTATTTCTTGTGCTCTAGATCAAGATCTCAAAAAGCTTATATGCAGTATTCTTACCCAAAAAAAAAAGCGCATTCTTATCCTTCTGATCCGCAGGTTGACAGACAAAGTAAACCTCACTGACAAATCCGGTACATTTTGTATTTCTGCTGCCCTCTAATGTCTGAAATGCTCAACACTTGTACTCTCATGTTGTATTTTATGGATCAATTTCAAATCGCACGTGGTCTGATCGTTCTGAATGTGATGGTACAAGAACTCTCAATGAGGTATTTGCATACAAGATTCCTATAAGGGTGTTAAAATCGCAAACTAAAGATTCCCTCTTATTGGTTGAAGAGCAACAAAATACAGTGTATATTACGTTTTGTGCCACTGATGACACTACTGCTCTTGGATTCTTGTGCTACGTTCTACCGATTCTTTTTTATGAATTGGAAGCTCTGTGTGTTTATTTACATGATTGCCCAATATCAATACATAATGAAACCATTATTATAGCTGTTCGTTTGATGAATGTCAGATGCATCTACAAGATACCGATATCTCGGAGATTCCTTGCAACATACACACACTCTCGATATCTCTTTCGAGACGGTACGTTTGATCCAGTAGTCTGCTGCTGTCAATCTTCGTTGAAGCATATCAAGGCTTCATGTGTATAATAAGTAAGCTGCTCTGGCATATGCCACACATGAATATTTAAAAACATCAATGTCATGTTGAAAATCAAGTATACAGGAATATAACAAGAGTGAAAAAAGGGGCAGAATCAAAAGCACAGACTTTCGGGAAATATCAAATAACTCTAAACATGGAAAAAAGTAATAAAGTGTGTAATGTGCTATGGTATTATTTTTCAAAAGGTGAACAGCTATAATAATATTGGGTATAACGTGGGAATTAAATCCCCAACTTGATATCATTTCAAACGTTGGAACATTAGCCACACACAGCATCGACAGGCAAATCATAGACGGATCCATTAGCTAGATCCAAAAGATAGTATATTGTTGTTGATAGGACAAACAAAAAGCCTCATCATGCAAGGGTTCACCATAAAGATGCACATCCAAGTGAGTTCAATGTTTGTCCCCTTGGATCTAATCCAAGCATGTCTTTCTCTTAAGATTCCGCATCCCAATGTAACCCTATGCTAGCGAGAGCATGTGACATCATTGGTAGATTGAATTTTAATGAGGGAGGGTATATTTTATACCATACACCAAAGCTAAATATTATAGCTATATCCATTACTCAAGCTGTCTATGATTGGAGGAGCATCTACACCCAGTGACTGCAGCCAACAAAAAAGGTATATAAGCAAACAACATTTCGTCCATCATTTTATCTTTTTTCTCCACAAACAACATTTCTATTCACAACAAACTAGAAATATTTCAACGATAAAGATGGCTGCCTACGAAACCCTCGAATTTGAACAATTGAAGACCTCTCCTTTGGGTCAATGTATCGGTACGAGCAAACATTTGATCCAACATTTGGCCACTGAAGATGCATCGACATTAACATCACACACACTCTCTTCTTGTAGATCTCGCTTCTTCTGCTCTCGGATCCACCATCGTTGCTGTCACTGATGAGTTCTTTGCTCCTGCCACCAACATGATCAATCCCGCTCCTCCAATTCATGCTCCTGGTCGTTTCGTTGGTAAGTACTTAACATTGCATCTTCTTGAGTTGGACATGTGATCTGACAAGCGCTTTTCTCATGTTAGACACTGGTGCTTGGATGGACGGTTGGGAGACCAAGCGTCACAACCCCAACTACGATTGGTATGTATACACTTTGAATTTGGATTTTATATGTATAAAAGTGGGGGGAAAAAGGGGTATAAAAAGGTGCATTTGAACTCAGGAACTGACTGTGCAATGTCTGTGATTCTAGGGCTATCATCAAGCTCGGTTTCTCTGGTTCTTTCAAGGGTTTCGACATTGATACTCACTACTTCACTGGTAACCAAGCTCCCTTCGCTTCCGTTGATGCCGCTGTTGTCCCTGTCGGTGCTGATGCTCAATCCGCTGAAATCAAGTGGACTGAAATCTTACCCAAGGTTGCATTGCCTCCTACTCAACACAATGTCTTTCTCTTGAAGGAAGAGACCGCTGTCTACACCCATCTTCGCGTCAACAACATTCCTGATGGTGGTATCGCTCGTTTCCGTGCTTACGGTAATGTTTCTCCTATCTGGCCTGAGGACAAGTCGTAAGTATTGCATGAACCATGATAAGAAATAGATAAGCTGATAAGAATTATAGTGCCATCGTTGATCTCGCTTTCTGTGGCAACGGTGCTCGTGCTGTCGAGGTTTCCAACCAACATTACACTCCTGGTTCCAACATCTTGTTGCCTGGTCGCGGTCAAAACATGGGTGATGGTTGGGAAACCAAGCGTTCTCGTACTCCCGGACACACTGATCACGTCCTCATTCGTCTCGGTGATAAGGGCCACCTCTTGAAGGCTGTCGTTGATACCTCCAACTACTGTGGTAACTATCCTCACAAGATCATCTTGAAGGCTACCAACTCTACCCAAGAGATCCCTGAAGCTGATGCTGAATGGACCACTTTGATCGAGCCCGCCTCCACTGGTCCTCATGACCTCTTCTACTTTGACCTTCCCCACACTGACAAGGTCTTCTCTCATGCCAAGATCATCATTGTTCCTGATGGTGGTCTCAAGCGTCTCCGTCTCTATGGTGTCCGTGAGGGTGCTACTCTCCCTGCTCTCCCCATTGATGTTGGAAATGCCGCTGCTCAGTAAATACTTCATGTACAAAAAGAAAAATAAGTGGAATCGTGCCTACAAGTTGACGATCATGTCAATACCCGAGCTTTTCTCATCTTATTTGTTTAAATCACATTTAACTACTACATACCTTTTTTGAAAAAAACTGTAGATATAAAAATAAAATCATACTGTACCATTACCACCATTAAACCGCTTGCTAGTATTGTCTACAGCATTCTTTGGCTACAAGTACCCACATGGCTTTTTGCATACAAAATGCTGCATCCGTACAAGCAACAACACCTATGTCATGCATGTAGTATAGATTCAACAAAATTTTCGTTTGATAATTTATTAAATGTGTGAATGCATAGTAGAAATGAAAAAAAGGGGGATATATAAATTACACAATATTGTAATATCTCATCAGTAGCGTGGAAATGATACAAAATATGAGAATGGTGGTGATAATGCCACCAAACCAAGTCAGATCTTCCTGGTATTGGCCTGGAACTTGCACGTTCATACCCCAGGCACCAGTGACCAAGTTCATAGGAACCAGAATACTACCCAGAGCCGTTAATTTAGACAAAACATCATTGATCTCATTGTTTGTTTGAGTCATTTCAATAGATATCTGAGCCAAATAGTTTGAATGTGATCTTGATGAAATCTTCTCGTAATGGTTCAGTGACAGCAACATGGAGATAATGTGATCTTGTACATCGCCAAGGTACAGTGCTACTTCCTTGCTCAGGGCAGGTCGAGTGCCGTCTTCCGGCGCAATTTCCCCTCTCTTGATCAGCGTCTTGACCACATCTGTCTTTGAGCTGAGCAATCGCAACAACCCCATCATGCGCTTTCTACAATAGCCAATACGCCGCAGCATGTCTGATTGTTCTGACTCCTTCAAGATCAGCACGAGTTCGTCAATAGAGTCCACTTCGAATTCAATGGCCCTGATTAGTGGAGCAAATGAGTCTGTGATGTCGTCCAACAAGCCGTAACAAATCCAGTCTATCATGTGCCGAGTCATTTAGAATTTTTCTGCAAGAGACGTGGGTCAGTGGCCCGTACATACCTGGTGTCACATTGATATAATCCTTCAGCTGCTTGATTCGCTTGCGCACATTGTGAGGATGGGGCATTGATTTGAAATGAAACTACGTGCCATGGTCAGGCCAACGCTCGTTTTCGAAAGCACACGCTGACTTACTGTTAAAACACCTTCTTTCAATATAATGATATAAATCGCTGATGGTTGCATGTACGTCGCAGAGAACTCGTCCTGATCAAAGCTCCTGAAACAAACAAAGTAGTAGTTCATGAACACTTCGCACTTTTCTCTCTGCTCCTCCATACTGATATCCTCAATGGTCAAAGGGTGGATTCTAAATACTTTAGATAACGCCTTCATTTCGCTGTCTGTTGGATTGTGAATGTCGATCCAGAAACATCCCTTCTTCATCATGTCCGTCAACGTTTCGTCTTGGTTGTACTCTGGGATCTCACCGATGGAGCGAGCATGTATCGTTGATGGCTCTGCGGATGAATAATAAGTGACACGGTAGTGATCTGTTTCATTCTTGTCTGCTGAATTCTAATACGACATCAGGTCAATCACTGCAGCCAAAAAGAAAAGCCCATGTTGCTCCATCAACTTACCATCATACGATCGCCATACATGCTGTACCGCCTACTCTCAGAGGCTCCCATGGTGGATGATCGACGTCTGTGTTGCGTCTTTTCGTGCTTGTGCTTAGCTGCCTCCTTCTTTTCATTCTCAATGAATTCCTCCAACGATTCATAGTCAACGCCTCCTTCCTCCTTTTTGTTGGGTGTTGGAAAACACACATCTACCTCGACAGAGCTCATGCGCGAGTTGCTTGATGTCTCAATGTCGGAATGGTAGTTTGCAGGTGTGTTTGTGCCAGATGTAGGCATATCTATCATGACATCATGATCGCCTAATTGATGGGGCGAGCGAGAGAAATAGCGATCATTGTTGCTATCTGTCAAGTTTTCCTGTACAAGAGTCAATTAAACTACTAAGCGTGTCCACAGTCCATGAAGCCTTACAGTGGATGGAATGGCTTGATATCCTGCATTGCGAGAACCGCCAAAGAACATGTTCAGTGGTTGAAATGAAGACGTTTGGCTGCCATTGTTCATTGCTTGTTGCTGTCTTTGGTTAGCAGAAGCAGCTATAGCAGCTGGTGTTCTGCCGTTGTTCTTTTGAGTATGGCGCTTCTTTGATTTAGCCATGTTGTTAAGAGGGTGATAAAAAAAAAAAAATAGAAGAAGAAAGAGGAAAAAGAAAGAGAAAAGGAATGGAGTAGGTTGCTCCCTTTCATTAAATTACACCACTAATCCGGGTTATGTTTTAAACAGAGATCCCATCTGCGGCTCTCCTTTTCCACGCTACACACTCAAGCCTACTCCTCCCCTATGCATTTGATGCGACAAATCCCTTTTTTCCTATTAAAATCGTCACATTGATTCATTTGATGATGACAACCCTTCTTCTGGATAAGCTTGTACATAGGTTTGATAGATGAAATCGGCAGTGTAACCCTTGGGCTTTCATCATGATGTCACAAACGTAACTGTAAGCTTTTCACATCACAAAATAGATGTAGCATTTGTGATTCGAATCTGCGAAGATGTAGACTATTGCCAAATACACAAACAAGCTATTAAATCAAGCAATATTGCTTCGGCTTATAAAAAAAAAAAGCGCGCATAAAGTCTATTGTAGAGTAACAAATTGCCGGCACAGTGTAGACTCATCAGGATTTGCACAGAGTGTCGCAATGCTACAGCTGGACAGCCAAGTAGCTTATCTTTAGCCTATGAGCTTAGACATGCAACGCCATGTTAAAAGCGAGAAATGGCAGTTTCGAAAATGATTGAACATCAAATGCCATGCAAGCAACCTCTGCCATTTCTCTACAAGGTTTAGTCAGCACCATAAACAGCTATTGCCTGTTGGCTTACCATTGAAATTGCTCTTCCTGAACGAAAGTCAATGGCTGATTCAAACATTCCTTGAGAAATCTCGTTAAAGAAGCTATTGTTTCACCAAAATCGCATAATTTTGACTTGAAAGAGCGCATATCTCGCTCATTGGAGCTACCCCTGATGCTCCCTATACATCAAGCGACAGTGCTATTCCGCAAGCACCTATTTACCGTTTTTCGAGATCACTCACTAGTGCAAATGTGGGCGCTTTGATGCTTCACGCCCAAGAAACTCTATCGTTTCGACGTTTAGCACCAAATGTACGTCAAATTTTCTTGGATTGATAATTATAGGGAATCAGATCATGATTAAATGTACGTTAAAGATTGCAATAGTAACTGAGGGTTGCGGTAGTCAATAAACATAAATAGTTTGAGAGCCTATTGAGAGGATCTTCAAGCAGGCTGTCAATCTGATCAAGGCCATTCAACAATATAAGGACGACCAGTCGCTTTCTCAAATCTTACGGGCTTCAAAACGCGCAAGGCACGTCTCTTTCACGGTCTCAATGAAATTTTGATGTTGCTTGTTTTCTTTCACATTTCAACATGTACAAGAAACGACAAAGAATCTACAAGAATCTCACACTAGATCCAGAAGATGGACATCATGATCTAGCAGATGACGATGCCATTGGACAAAAAGAGCAACACACCAATGATGATGGGAGTGTAGACAATACTAGCACTCGTGAACACAGCGAGATTGCAGGCGAACATGCTGAAGTCATAGGTGAACGTAATGATGTTGCAGTTGAAAGCAGTAAGGCTTCAGATAAGAGTAATCCTGTCAATACGCCAGCATCGACACCTACCCCAACGACTGGGAACAAGCAAGACGAACCAGCTTATCGTCCTCGCTCAAAAAACGCCCGCATGAGAACTGACAAACCTGTGGAAATTGGATATCGAAGTGCGATCATTGATTCACGCAGACAAGAAGATGGCATCAAGAGAGCGAAATACGATCCAGGCAGGTGATGCATTGAAAACAGTATGACGATCTATCTAAATCGGATTGTTATCTAGATACGGAGAAGCTTATACCCAAAGGATCCGAGTGGCAATTGATGCAAGATTCTGTTCGAATGCAAATGAGACAAATCCTTAGTGATGATTACAGGTATTGACATGATGAAGCACACTTTATTCTTGGTCTAATCACAGCTAACGATAATGCGCTTTGGACAGAAAAACATTATCAAATATTGCTGGATCCACGACATTTGGTGACTTGAGCAGGCAGACACAACACAAAGGCCAAAAGCTCCTTCTTCCCATTGCCTCTAAAATCGACAAAGAACTACGACTCACATTGATCCCGGGCAAAATCGACACCAAGTTGCTGGATTCTGAGATACCTGCATCCTATGTAAAATATAATCTCTCGTTTGTAGAGGAAGCTTGTATCTAAGGTTGTGTCTAACATTTACAAATTTGCTTACAGAGAAAGCTCAATCAACAAGTAGAGGATAGTCTCAGAAAGATTGCAGACTTTTCGACCAAGGTGGATGATCGAGAGGCTGGATTGATACCATTGAAAGCAGAACTGACAGAATTAGAGGAGAGATATAGAGTCGCAAAAGAGAGACATGTAGGTTTCGTGCATGCCATTTGTGTGCCGGCACTGACCAGGTTTTATTGACAGGATGCACGAATGAAAAACGACGATAACCCAAGAGACTATGTACAGATGCTTCTCCTGCGCCCTTCATCTGAGCAATACTGAATAGCTGGTCTAAATTTCTCACTGTCAATGTATAAACACCATAGCATACCATCTAATATTCAATAAACATTCATTATCATTAAATGAGTACCTAAGCGCTTTGAGTGTTTCTCTACCTTTGTCCATATCTTTGAAAACCCGTGAGATTATCAGGTATCCTGTTAATACAGACTTTTGCGCTTGCATCTTTACGCAAAGATCCAATATAGCTATGGATCTGACTCTACTCAAGTGCTTTACATCTGTAGTAATGGAGTACAGTCAGATAGAGCACACAACACACTTGCATCATCTCTTACTACTCCAAAATATGCAAAACACAGCAAGATTTGGAGGTATTTGAACGGTCATTTCTCCTGTTGGAAGGCGTTTTAGACCACTAGAATGGCACCAAACGATTTCTTTCAACTTGTAGTTACTTCCTGACACATTTGCTCGATTTTTATGGGACCTTGAAAGCATCGTCAAAAACCATGAGGGGTGCCTCATGGTTTTTACCAAAAAATTAAACGATCGCATTTTTTATCACAAAAACGAAGACTTTTATTATGGCATGTATTGAATCAAAATGTCTCTTTCGATCCAACGCAACCCCTGAAGCTTTGTTTGTGAGACCTTGATATATAAAATCTCGACATTTTCGCCAAAAACGTCATTTCATAATTTCATAAATTGCTCAAGAAGTTCATCAAAACAGCTATAATAAATAGCACCATTGGATGCGCCTCGAAAAAATCTTCTAGATAGCTTAAGGCTGTAAAGGATGATCACTACAACTTTCATAGTCGAATTTGGTAAAATGAGTCGATCAAGTCGCAAAAGGATCAAAAATCAACGAATTGTGATAGAATGTCAATCGAGATTTTAATTCCTTCTGGCTGGCAAAAAAAAAAGACTCTCCTTGATTGCTCAAAGCCCTATAATATAACGGCAATGATACCCACAGAAACGATTATACGAGAAAGCGAGACTCCTTCTCAAATGGATAGCGTATCCAACGTGAGACCCAAAAAGGACAGGCTGGTGACATAATCCATAGCAACAGAATAGCACACAGACAAAAATGATATTGCAGGTGAAGTTTAATTCAGAAACCTCCTTTTGGAAATCCCACGGCCTTGTTTGATGAATTTCGCAATGTGTACTTTACTTAGAACCCTGAAAATAGTACCATTGGATTCCTCAAGCGATTTGCTTTCTAATGATGTACATACCTTCTAGTAAAATATCCTCTCTTTGACCACAAATTGGCCATTTACTTGCTTATCTCTCTTCAATTCATGTCCTTTTGTTTACTTTACATGTGATTTTTTTTAAAGCTTAATTTTGCCTAGCAAATGAATTATTTTGATCTTGCATGATCCGAATACCTTCTAAAAGAGGACGATCCCTAAAAAAAATGATATGAAATGTGTTGACTCTTTATGAGATGCATGCTCTTGGCATAAGAACTAAAAACAGGTTGCAGGAATGATACACGAGAATGACCAACTCACTATGTAAATGTGGGCATATTGATGATATCTAGTAGCGCAAACACTTTGATTGACATCATTGACAGCAACCATGATAGTTGGAAACAAGATGACTTGCACTGGTTCGAAAACAATCCATTATGTTCCATTCCATGGAGATTGCCGCAGTAATATTTATATGGCACGCTTGTTTTCCGAGGTGTACACTTGTTTCTTGGTCCAGAATCAGTTATGCTGGCTCCGATGTGATGTAAACGACAAGTAAGCCAACCTTAACACTTGTATTGTCCGATTAGATGGACAGTTTATGACTGATGTAAACAACAAGAGAGATGGATCGAGAACCGTATGACCTTGGAGAGAGAAATTAAGGAGAGGTAAAAAAAAAAGATTACTTAATCAAGCAACCAGCTGCATCTGTTTCAGTGTCAAATGACATTTTTTGTTTACTTTTTGATGAGGTTTGAGCCAGTGAAAAGTTGTCTGTTAATTACATCTAGGAAGAGATGGGGGAACTCGTTTCATGTGAAGGTGGAAAAAGGGCTTTTTGAAGTAGCAAAATGGACATAACTCGAGACAGAAAACAGTTGAAAGCCTCGGACGAAGCGGATCAAATAGAGCAAGTGTCAAACGTCAAAATGGTACTATTTTCACGCGCTCAAAGTAGTATATCGTGGAGAAAAGTAAAAGGAAACGAATTTGAGTGTGGCAAGGATACTGGACTCACACAAAAGTCGATGAGAAGGATATAAATAGGGATTTGTTTCAACAGCTTTTCCCTCTTCTTCTTCATCTCATCTCTCTACAACAAGCAAAAATACTCTATACATACAAACTCTCTACAAGACATTTGGGCTCTCTCTCTCTCTACATATGGTCAAGTAATTCAAATACTCTACTGTCTATTGGCCTCTACTACTGCTACATACAATGCCTTACAAATCCATGGTCCTCTCTACGTCTCTTGGTCCATGCTAGAAAAAGGCCACACTATCTTTGATACATGCAGACCTTGGTGAACTGTGCGAGTGAGTTATTATCTTGTTGGACGTATGAGCCATGTTGACTAACCTATTGATTATATAGTGCCGAAAAACTACTTTGTAGGGACTGAGTAGGATCACCGCTTCATAATCATGGGTAGACTGCAGGACAAATCCATTGGTCATGCTACGGGATGATCACAAGCTTTATTGCCGACGAGAGTAGGGTTTAACCCTACGATCCGGAGATGGAGGCGGCTTGAGCGTGTCGATGATCTTGTGATAGGTGAAGCAAGTTTACACCTTGGTACCTGTTTATATAGTGTTGGTTCCTTTTATTGATGATCAATTTTCTTTGCCCAAATGGTTTGTTACGCACTCATGCCACAGTACTTGTGTACTCATCTCATCTTTATCTAGTTACCTCTACCATCTCATGTTCTATCTCATCTAAAGCAAGCTGTCCTCTCCAAATGCTATCAAGCCAAGTTCTCTGTGCCTCCTACAAGCTCCTAAAATGACAAGACTGTTCAAATATACCATCTCTACATCTATACAAGGTCAAGTCCTACTCTCATCTGTGCTTCCTACAAGCTCCTAAAATGACAAGACTGTTCAAATATGCCATCTCTACATCTATACAAGGTCAAGCCCTACTCTCATCTGTGCTTCCTCTTACTCAATCAATTATCAAGACAATTAATGCCTGACATCTATACAAGGCCAAGTCGTTCTTATATCTCTGCTACCTCTATCTATACAAGTCAAAATAGCCTCAAAAATCTGAAATATTTTAATCCATCAAGTATGGTGATCTCATAAACTCAAATACACATTAATAAAAAAAACAACCACGTCTTGTCATTAGCTTCAATATTATGCTCTATTAAGATTACATCTTCTTTCAATGCTTGTACTGTCCATCAATTGCTGTGACCAATGTATTTTAAAGCTTGTACATAAGTTAATCATATTCATATAATTCAACGTCAAGAGATTTTGCCGGTATATACTATCATAACATAATAAATTTATGGTCCCTAGACACTTTCAAAGCCTCAAAAAGGAAAGAAATTGATCTAGCAAGTATTTTGATAGACTGACGTTATTAAATATAGATTCAAGAAGAGCAGCACGACTAGCGATAGTGATATATAATTTGCCACCTACTTTCCATACGCTTCAAAAGCATCTATTGCTGTATTGCCTTCATGATGGAAAGGAGGGTATTGAGTCTGCCAGCCGGCCCCACCAGCCGCCAAAATTGATTCCAATCCAGAACATTTTTTCTGTTCAAGATTGGACAGAAAGTGTCTGTTGTAAGATTCGACTATACTAGTTGTGATGACCACCCTTTGCTTCCTAATAAGTTTATTTGAAACAACAATTATAATTAGCATCGTTGGATTCTCCTTGAAAAGTACTCCAGGGAAGCTTAAAGGGGTATCGCAAAATTCGTACAACTTACATAGTCAAATTTGGGAAAATAGTTTGAGCCGAGTCGAAAATGCACAAAATCATCAAATCAAACAACCATATCTAACGAAGAATGAATAAATTTCGATCTGTGGCAGAATCACTGATGTCGTCCCTCTCATGGGTAATTGGAGCTTTTGGATCTAACAAGAAAGGAATTGCAGATGAGAAAGGTAATATAGAGTAGCCTGAATATATTATTTCTGCGTTTGTTGCGCGATTTTATATCTGTTTACGCCAATTAACCTGTCTTATCATTGGAATACACGTAAGTCCAGTCTCCTCATGACAGCTTTGGATGTGCTAATGCAGCGACAATAAATCAATTGTTTGATAATAGCCAACGCCATAGACGAGTTTTCATAGGCAAGAAAGTTTATGATTCATGCTCACTAGAAGAAGCGTAGGCTCACTGAAACATGGTATTATTGAGATGCGCGATTAGCACTCGCCCTTTTAATCTTGAAAGGGAATACATTTTGCTGTGTCTGTCTCACCCAGAAATCGAATCTTTTTTTTTTTTTTTTTCTTTCACTCCCACATCACAATTACTACTAGCAGCTGCGCAAAACGTCAAACATGCCCATCGAGATACCCAAAGTGAAAAAGTTGGATGAAAAAGTTGTCAACAGAATAGCAGCTGGAGAAGTCATTCAACGACCTGCGAATGCTTTAAAAGAATTGATAGAAAACTGTTTGGATGCTGGTTCAACACAGATACAGATATTGGTCAAGGATGGTGGTCTGAAGCTATTGCAGATCCAAGATAACGGACACGGTATACGAGTGCGTATTTGAATGAATGGGTATACGCATGCAACACACACTGATGCTTGATGTCACATAGAAAGAGGACATGCCAATTGTCTGTGAACGCTTCACAACTAGTAAATTAAATCGATTTGAAGACTTGACAGGTATCTCTACACACGGCTTTCGAGGAGAAGCACTAGCGAGTATTTCTCACGTCGCCCATGTCACAATCACAACCAAAACCGCAGATTCTCCTTGCGCTTATCGAGCACTGTATTCAGATGGAAAGCTGGTGCCTGCGAAGCCAGGTCAAAGTGCGGATCCAAAAGCTTGTGCTGGAAACAATGGAACACAGATCACTGCCGAAGACCTGTTTTACAACGTGCCCACTCGAAGAAAAGCATTCAAATCGCCCAGTGATGAATACAACAAAATATTAGACATTGTCAGTCGCTATGCTGTTCACAATGCGGGTGTCAGCTTTTCATGCAGAAAGCAAGGATCCAACATAGCGGATGTTCAGACCTCGACTGGCGCAACGATTATAGACAACATCAGATTGCTGCATGGATCAGTTGCGTCTGAATTGCTGGATATCGATAAAACGTTTGATGAGCTTCGATTCAAGATGAATGGGCATATATCCAATGCAAATTACAGTGTGAAGAAGATGACTTTTCTACTGTTCATCAACCGTACGTGAATATCTGTGTGTGTGTGTGTGTATATATATAACTTTGTCGCTTACAATTCATTGTAGACCGTGCTGTAGAGAGCTCCTCCATCAAGCGAGCCATTGAAAACATCTATTCTCTTCTCTTACCCAAGGGAGCGCATCCCTTTGTATACCTCAGCCTCGAAATCGATCCTCAGAATGTCGATGTCAATGTCCATCCCACAAAGAAAGAAGTGCACTTTCTGCATGAGAATCGTATTATTGGAGCCATATGCGACACATTTCAAGAGACGCTTGAAAATGCAAACCACTCTCGAACATTCTACACGCAGGCACTGCTACCTGGAGCATCTGATCCTGCAAAAATGATTGCCACTGACGAAGACGGGGAAGAACAGGGACGTGATTTCACAGAGCCAAAGAGCACTTTCAAACCCATGACAGTACCAGAATACAAATATGTTAGAACAGACAGCCGAGTTACCACACTAGATACATTTGTATATAAACCAACACAGCAGCAACAGCAACAACAGCAGCAATCGCACACTGAAAATGAGAATTTCATGGGGGTTGATACTGACGAGTCATCGCACCTGTCTGTTGAAACCAGCCAAAAGCCTCGAGTGGAAGTGCGTCTCACGAGTATACTGCAATTGCGTAAAGACATCAAAAAGCAGGAAAATGCAGGTTTGTGTTGGTTTACGAGAGATTTATAGGTAATAGGCGTGTTGACTTTGTAAACGATAGCTACTACCAACATCCTTTCGAATCATACTTTTATTGGCTGTGTAGACGAGACATTTGCATTGATTCAGTCTGAACAAAACATCCATCTTGTCAACTACAACGTGGCAAGCGAAGAGCTCTTGTACCAGATCATTTTGCACGAATTCTGCAACATGGGCCATTTAAAGTTATCTGCTCCTATATCTATCCGAGAATGTTTACAAATAGCACTAGACCAGAATGACTTGCCAGAAGATGTGCAGCCTGAAGCCGAGATAATTGAGGTAAAGTGTCCTATCGATACGAACTATGTATGTCTTGTATTCACACGCAACTCTTCCAGTCCATTGCAAACACGCTGATCTCGAGAGCAGACATGCTGACAGAGTATTTTTCTTTGGACGTCTCAGCTGATGGTAACCTGATATCACTGCCCATGATCATCAAAGATTACGTGCCTTCCATGAACAAGTTGCCTCTCTTTTTACTAAGATTGGGTACAGAGGTGAACTGGGAATCCGAGAAAGACTGTTTCCATACATTGGCAAAGGAGCTTGCCATCTTTTACAGCGCTGAGCCTCCTTTGAACCAGGATGATCTATGGAAGGTGCAGCATTACATATTTCCTAGCTTTAAAACTCATTTTTCTGCTCCCACGACCTTGAAGAAGCATATTACACAACTGGCTAATTTAACAGACTTGTACAAGATATTTGAACGATGCTAAATAAAAATGTTTATTATTGATTTAACAGCCAAGTTCGTTGGGGATATCAGATGCCTTCATAGTAGCAATATCTCTGAGGGCACCAGCAATGATCTCAACACCTTGCATCATCTCTTCTTCTGTAATGACAAGAGGAGGTGCCAAGCGAATGATGTTTACATGTGTGGGTTTAGCCAACAATCCTCTGGCTTTGAGCAGTAAACAGAGTTCCCAGGCACTTCTTTCGGATTTGGATTGATCGATCACAATGGCGTTTAATAACCCACGGCCACGCACTATATGCACACATGTGAGATAATGATAAGATATGTCACAGATTAGCTATCTGCAATGATTTACCTGTCTCAATTAAAGGTGAGTTCAATTTGATGAGCTCTTCCCTGAACTTTTGACCCAATCTTTCGGCATTCTCGACCAATTTCTCTTCCTTGATGACATCCAAAGCAGCAATGGCAGCAGCACAACCAAGAGGGTTACCACCGTAGGTAGAGCCGTGCTCTCCAGGCTTGATACATAACATAATATCGCGATCTGCTAAAACGGCAGAAACCGGGTAGACACCTCCTGAAAGAGCTTTACCAAGAAGAACCACATCTGGACGGATTTCATCATGATCTACACAAAGCATTTTTCCTGTGCGACCAAGACCAGTTTGAATTTCATCAGCAATGAACAAAACATTGTGCTTTTTACAAAGCTCATATGCCTTCTTCAAATAGCCATCGTCGGGAACCATGATACTGCAGGATTCAATTCATGAGTTTGAAATAGATCCCATGTTTTAATGTAAAACACTTACCCAGCTTCGCCTTGAATGGGCTCGACCAAAAAGGCAGCCACTTGCTCGCCGACGATATTCAATACCTTTTCGAGATCTTCCAAGTTGTTATAGCGGATGGTGGTCTTGGCTTCGGGGACAACAGGGCCAACCAAAGGCAAATAGGGGCCGAAACCAGCGTATGAATCAGGATCAGTACTCATAGAGATCACACCCACTGTACGGCCGTGGAAATTGTTTTCACAACTCAAAACGATAGCTTTGTTCTCTGGAATACCCTTCTTGACATAACCCCATCTACGGCCCAATTTGATGGCTGTTTCAACAGCCTCGGCACCAGTGTTCATAGGAAGGACCATGTCATAACCAAAGTAGGCGTTCATGTACTTTGTGTATTCACCATAAACGTCATTGTAGAAGGCTCTGGATGACAAGGTCAATTTTTGAGCTTGATCGCACAAAGCTTTGACAATCTTGGGATGACAATGACCTTGATTGACAGCAGAATAGGCGGACAAGAAGTCCATGTATTTCTTACCCTCAGGATCCCATACCCAGATACCCTTTGCCTCTGAGAACACGACTGGGAGAGGATGATAACTTGGGTAATTATGAATACCACAATTGACAGATTGCCGTGTGTCCCCACATTTAATAACACTTACTTGTGTGCACCGTAGGTACTTTCTAATTCAACAGCTTCCTTACTAGAGATTTTGGTCATTTTGATGCTTGATTTGATTTTAAACGTAGTGTAGAAAAAGAAGAAGAAGAAGAAAAAGAAAAAGAAGCTTGATTCCAGTAGCAAAAATGAGCTCAATTTATACTTGATGTTGATAGTTTGATACGGGTCACATGTACAAACCAATCCGCTTTGTTTGTCATCTTTCCCACGGTACACGAAATGCTCATTATCAGATAAAGTTAGTGGTTTATCTTGCTGAATCCCGACCAGATTTCATTTCCACGGGAATCCTTAATATATCTTATATGCAGGAATCAAGTTGCTACGAGTCGGATGGATCATATAGTGGGGTACTTGTAGAAATGTGTCTTGAGCACGCAGTATTTTTCTGGTCTCTCTACAGATAAATTGGTGATTCAGGGGGGGGGGGAGCAGATGTTCCCTGAGAAACACTTATACTTTTCAGTGCGGAAAAGGTCCTTTGATAGCAGCATTAGAAATGGCAGCAAAAATCAGCTACATCGACCAGTGGTATCAGCATACTTGGATCTTTGTTGGAGTAGCTGGATTGGGTAGATTGAAAGCTTTCTAACCACATGGAAAGGCTACTGATGAGCTTTGCCTTAGTTTTTACCCCAAAATTCTCACAGTGAAATTTCCCGATGATGGTTTAGATGTAAAATAGGGCAGGATCAGCGACGCTTTAATCAGACATGGATCTTCTGTTTCCTGGGATTTGAAGATCCCACTTGTAATACTAATACCCTTCGATGTAAAACCCGATAGCGCACTGAACAGTAGCGGTGTGCAATTGCTCAGTACATTTCTGTTCTAGAGAATAGCCATCCATTACGTTTTGTATGTGAACATGGATAGAGATCTTGAGCAGGGAGCTCTCCATTCCACCATCACGATCTTTTAAATGCAATTTAAAGACTAATTCTCCTAAACAGCATGACAACGCATTGGGAAATGGGCCGTCTTTGTTTATTACAAAGCTTCCCAACTGATGATGCCGGTGACACTAGAAGAATACGTAATTTGAGGACGCGAATGTATATTTTAACTTTAAATTTCTCGCAGGTTGCATCATTTCACATCCGCATTCAAATTCCAAGTGTTTAAATGGTGCTATCGCTTCTCTGACCCAGGCTTCTAATTTTACTAGGCATGCCTGACTAACACGCTGCTCATCATCTCAATAATGCGTAGACGCTTGCTCCTAGATGAGGCATGGCAGCTCATGTTGATGGAAAATAGGCATTCAAATCACCCTTGTTTTATTTAAGCGCTCTTTCTTTCTGCTGTATATTTATTGTACACCATCCAAGATGAACCAATAAACATCTACTGAGACGCTCACGGATGCACTTTTCTGCAGTGCTGAATCTTTGCCATGCGCTTGATTTATGCCCATTTGGCCCGGCTTGAGCTCCCATGTTGCTATGGATGAACTGTCTCAGCATTGCATTTGCTATTCCAGCAGAGGGATGTTCACACCAGCGATGGCTAAACCTTCCTGATGACCGTCCAGGGCCTCACAAATGCCATCATTTTGTGCAAGGTCAGTGCAAAAGATTGCCATATTTAGGTTATTTATAATTTTGATCCAGTCATCACCCGTTTTGCCTCCCTCTCATTGAATCATTTGCACCCGGAGATTTAGGAAAGAAGCTTTTTTTTTTTTTTTTTGCTTTTGTCAAGTTTGTGAGTTTCAAAAAACCAGGCAGTTGAAACCCGAAAATAAAGGTTTTAGTGCACTGCAAATTTTTTTCTTGTTCTTCTTCTCTGTTTCTATCACACTTACAGAAAATGGTACATGTCGAGATGGGCAGCTTGGGATGATGAAGGCTAACACCCATGTAGGCTGATCAACTTACAGCAGAAGAAATTGCTGAATACAAGGAAGCTTTCCAATTATTCGACACTGACGGTGATGGTAGCATTACTGCCGTTGAATTAGGCACTGTTCTCCGTAAATTTGGTATGAATCCTAGCGACGCCGAATTGCAAGACATGGTAAGTGCGATCATGGCGTGGAATAGCTTTTGGGTTTGGTAACAGGCTGCTTGCTCAACTAGGTCAATGACGTTGATGCTGATGGCAACGGAAACATCGACTTTACTGAATTTCTGGGCCTCGTAAAGACCATGAAGACGGGCAACGAAGGTGATGATCTTAAGGAAGCCTTCAAGTAAGTGCATCGTGCTATTGGGACAGCTAGGTAGGGATAGAGATTGATACCATTGTTAGGGTGTTTGATGTCGATGGCAACGGTTTAATCGATCGTGAAGAGCTTCGCAAAGTCATGGCTTCATTGAATGAGTCCTTGTCCGAAGAAGAATTGGATGCCATGATCAAGGAAGCCGACATCAACGGTGATGGTCAAATCAGTTTTGACGAATTTAAGATCATGATGGGTGTTTAAATCTGTGTTGCTTTAGTTTCTTTCTCTTTCTCTCTTTTTTGTCATATTCTCATTCTTGTAACAGTAATTTATAAATACACAAATATCATCTTTTTCTCCAAAATTGTTGGGTCATGGCATATCGCACTTTTTGTCTTGGTTTCAAGAGACAAGGGAGCTGTATTTCTACGCTTATTTAACTATGAAATCATTCATGTTGGATTTTTACGATTCAATTTAGAGACTTATTTTTGTGATTCATCACCGTGTCTGAGCCTCACAAAAAAATATATAATATTAAAATGCTCGTGCTACCTGAATCATTGAATGTGTAACCTCTTTTCCAATGTAGGGACACCTTTGCATCATGGATTAATGACAGGAGTGGCTCGAAAGAACTGTGAGTACTGCAGAAACCGTCGATGGAACCGGTCAGAGTGTTGTTGCTATGAGACTCTTTGGACATTGATGTGCACAATGCCTTCGTTTGTCAATGTAATCGTTGTCTCACATGAGATTTTTTTTTAATTACAGTTGACATTTTTGCCTAATTTATGAAGAACCGCGCATTCGTTCTAGATACACTCATTCAGGACATTTCCCTCATTGAAGGACTCCTGATCAACGTTCCCCAGTCATATGACACTGGATCAGTAGCTGACTGGCGTTGTGATCCTATAGCTAAGCGCCCAAATGCCTCGAGAAATGCACCACTGCACCATTACACCAATCTGGCAACTACAGTCAGAACCAAATTATGAATACAGGGTCCAATGCCCACCGACACGACGGGATCATTGCAGCAAATGCTGATTTGCACATCATTCGCGCCAAAAGATAACATCTGTCACCGACAAGCCATGCAACTGCTGCCCTATCGATCTACTTGGCCAAGATAAAGAACACGGCAATGAGCATCATGACACTCGCATCCTTTTAATAGACACATGCACAATAGTATTTGTATTTATGCTAAAAAAAAACACACGAGATATAAATCCCTTTTCTTTATTTAATTTAATTGTTTTTCTTTTATTTAAACAGAAGCTTGGATAGCGGGTTCAACGAAATCCTTGGAAGCCTTAGCACCAGTGTCATCACCAGCGGCAGCAGCACCACCGTGGAGAGCCAAGAGAGCAGAGACATCAAACTTGGGAGCCTTGAGGATCTTGACCTTACGGGTGTAGGTGTTTTGGAGAGGGTAAATACCTTGACAGGCCTTCTCGATACGGACAGCAATAGCGTCTTGAGCAGATTGAGAGGCGCTGGAGGTAACCTTAGCAACGAGTTCCTTAAGGTCACAAGCAACGGCTTCCTCAGTCATGATCTCAAACATCTTCTTACGGATTTGACGGATTTGGGCAGCTTGAGCGTAAGTAGTCTTCTTGATTTGGTTGCGACGACGAGAAGTGAAGGAGACAGTGAAGAGACGAACAAGATAACCATCGGTAGTCTTGACATCAACGAAAGCCTCAATCAAAGATTGCCACTTCTTGACCATGGAACGGAGCTTGTCGGTGGTCATATCCATGCGGTAGAAGTTGGTGAGACAGTTCTTACCTTGGATTTCGTCAACCTTCAATTGGATCTTACGGAAAGAACGAGACTCGTCCTTGGAGAGATCACCGAGAGACATCTCGACGACACGACCGTGAAGAGAGTCGTTGGCGTTACGGAGACCTTGAGTACGGTTGACAAGAGTCTTACCGACTTGACGGACGTCGAACATGGAAGGAGCCTTGATATCATACCAGTCCTTACGGGTGAAGGGGTCAACGCTAGATAAGAGAAAGGTACGTTAAAACACATCGTTCATCCAACAAAGTAGCATGGGCAATTGAAACTGTGAGAGCGAGGTGAGTGCATGCGTGTGCCATCTGGACAGCGTGCAATAGGCTGACAATTGTGATGGAAAATGGGGTCAAGCATTATTCGACTACAGCAACATGTTGCCCCGTAATGCTGCGCTGCTTTGCACTGGATCCATTGGGCTCAGGTGAATGCCTTTTGTGTGTTGGAATATGTATTGCAAAAGAGTCTGAACGGTCCACAAATCATCTGTCTCTCAGCACAGCTTCAATCTCGCCTCATGATTTCCAATGTTACTTACACCTTCTTCTTCAAACCCTTCTTTCCTTTACTAAGGCGCTTGTTCTTGCCAACAGCTACCGGATGAAAATAGATGGATTAGCATGCTTGGATTGATCTCTTTGAATTGCGTGATGGATGGATGGTTGGTTGGTACATACCCATATTGTCGATTAAAAAGAGGGATTGATAGGTTCAGTGAGCTGTCAGTCTATTTTCCTCCAATGTTCAACGCTCTTTGAAAAAAAAAAAGATGGCATTCGAGTTCCTTTCGAGTCACGAACCGGACGCCATCCTTGTTGAATCTTGCTGAATGTGATGATAAGTGTATGGAATGGACTGAATATGTATGCGATCCAGCAGCATTTCGACACTTGCTTAAAAGCTAGGCATATAGCATGAATCATGAAGCTCAATTGGATCTTGGAAACATAGTAGACACAACAATGAGAGAGTCCGGTCCGCAGAAGCAATGTTGCCTACATGCTATGCCATCTACCATGAAACCCAAGTTACGCAGCAGGAGATGACCGGAGGAAGTTGAAAAATTTAGGGCAGCAATTTGATATCAGTAGGATTGATGCGGCAAAGTTGATAGAATCCCTCTCTTTGTAGATTATCATCATCCAATATGGTAAACATCAACAAATAACCCATCCATCCATCCATTCAACAACAACGCTAATGCAAATGATCGAAATTATAGGGTAAAGTTCACGGTTCTCTTGCTCGTGCCGGTAAGGTTAAGTCTCAATGTCCCAAGGTCGCTAAGCAGGAAAAGAAGAAGCCCAAGACTGGTCGCGCCAAGAAGAGACAAGTCTATAAGTGAGTGTTGCTGATTGCATTGCTATGATGTGCTATAACATTGACCATGATTCTTCCTTCTTTACAGCCGTCGTTTCGTTAACGTCACCACTCAAGTTGGTGGTAAGCGTAGAATGAACCCTGCTCCTACTGCTGGTCCTTAAGTTGCTTCACAACTCTGAAAGAAACCAACCGCAATCAAAAAAGCACTCAATAAATAACATTTTTCGACACAACGAAGATCTTATTCATACTATAAAAATTGGAATAAAACATTTACGACATATATCTGTATGATATTATTCTACAAAAAGAAACCGACATGGGAAGGATTGGGTGCAAAGAGCTACATGTGTGTGAATGTGCTGTGTATGTGTGTGGGAAATTGGAGCCATTATTCAAAAGATGAATCTTCCATGCTTTTGTGACATTAGAAGATGGGGGTTGACATGAGCAAACCGATCTCGCAAGATTGGTCTAGTCGTTTCTCTTGGCCAAAACCGCATATATATTTATCAAATCACTTGGTACAACCACTATCTATATGATAATATCTGCCATAATTTATCCATCCGCAATCGTGGTTTACTCGAGACACTCTAATTGAGTGCTTAAAGCATGTGCACCCTAAGATTTCATGCATTGCATAGAAATGGAAGCTTGTACAAACGATGCTTCGTTTTATGTAAAAAAAAAAAAAAAAAAAAAAAAAAATGCCGGTCATTCGTTCAATGTAGGTCTTTCCAATGCACTATGCAATTGATATAGGAGGTTCAGGCCATTGCAATTCATTTTGCTGTTACCGAACGATAGTCAATAGCAGTTCCTGGTTGCCATGTGCAGCACCCGTTGTCTATAAATAGCATGAAATGTTCCTGGTTGCCATGGAAACATGGTACCTGTATAAGGTTGCTCCTACTTTTCATCCTGAGACATTGCAAAGCATGGTAGGTAGCCAATTTGGCTCTAGATTACTATATTGATAACTCTCGGAGGCCGTGCGAATCAAGCGAAATTGATTAGGCAACTACTGAGCGAAAAATAAGAGCTGCTGCTGTATTTGGCTTTGTCAGATCCCACGAAAACTACATTTACATGACTAGATCTCTGTCAACCCTTTCAGAGATCTCGTATTCAAATTGTCCGTCTAATGCAAACCCAGGTTCTTGATCTGTGTGGTGGCTTCAACAACCTTGCGAATGCCATCCCGCTTGTAATAAAACTTGGAGCATGATGCTCTAAAATGGTCATCATGAGAAGGTATTCAAATTGAACACAAGAATGAAACACACTACTTGACACTAAACTTTAACATTCCTCTTTAAAAAAAAACTTAGGAAACGCTTTCGCCTCTCTTATTGTTAATGGAATAGAAACGAATGAACGGAAATGTAGCTTGGATAGATCTCCATGCTATTAGAAACTTAAAGATCGTATTCATGATTGCTTTTTTGACAAGGAATATATATGATGGACAACTTGATGCCCACAAATGATCATGTACATGTGCATTAGAAAGACATGACTTCATATATGTTTCAAGCTACTATCCCGTAGTTAATTGGCACCATATGGTATAAAGTACTGAGCATCCGCATCATACTGACTGATTACAATATTACATGCCTTGAGATCAAACAAAATAACTGAAAACACATAAAAATTTTCTTGTTTGAGAGTGGACCTGACGCAATGTCCATCAGCTAGCCGAAAAGTCGCTCTAAGACTTGTTTGTATCTTCGATCCAAATCTCATAATTCCATTGTAAAATCTGAGAAACTGATAGGGACATTTTAGACTTGAATAAGTAGGTTCAATTTTCAATTGTTTCAAACATGAACACAACAGTTAAACCTTAATTTCTATTAATTAGAAATGCAATTTGATGCTTTGAATTATATAACAACGAGAACTTCCAATGTGAAAATTAGTCATCGTTAGGTAAGTTGAGTTTTATGATTGAACATTGATCTTGGCGCAGGCAATGCATTCTATAGCAAAACATTTGACATATGCCTTGTGATAAATCAGACATGTTGCATAAACAAGAAATTTAGTATATTGCGGAAGAAAAATGAATCCAATTCGCAATAGGCATCTGCAAAGAACAGGCCATTTTTTTTTTTCGGTGGAGTCATTGATAGATTGTACGGGATGCCACATATTCAGATCAGCTCTTCTTACCTGGGTCTTTGTCGCTGCTAATGAGAATGAATGCTGTTACATAATTGTAGAATACTAATTGTGTGTTCTTGATTACCTTCCCGACATGTCCAATCATCAAGAATGTGTTACTATGTAGCACTTTGAAATGAATGTGTCAGGCAGTAACACTAAGCAAAAAGCAATTTCTATGACTCAATATAGAATTCGAAGCAAGCACGATTTCTAGATGATTTCAGTCTAATTTACAAATAAGGAGATAGGCGCTACATTTAAAGTAAAAAGACGATATATCAGAGATTTCTGTATATCGCATTAGCCCAGGATGTGGAGCTGGAGATGTTGCCATCAAGTATACATGATATTAGATGTATTTGAACCGGAACATACCATGGCGAAGTTAACATTGTACCACAATAAGGCAGTTTCACTTTCTCTCTCAATATCACAAGTATCGCTCAATCTTTCACCCGTTTGAAATCGAACGCTCTGCCATCAAATCACGATTTGATCTTCAGGGAAGAAATGCCCAAACAAACCTAAATAGATCAAATGTTTGGAAATCAGACACCCCGCCTTTCGGATTTTTCCCAATCAAGCTGCTAATTGCGTTCGATAATAATCAGTGTAGACTAGAGCATTAATTTAGTGCATATCAAATCCAGATGGTGCAAGTATGGTTAAATCAGAAAAGTTGAATATGCACTTGATCTATGATTTAACCGTGAAACCAGCGAAATATACATGCAAGTAAAAAAGAGGACCATTCAAATGTTGATGGAATACTTCCATTAGCATTTTGCGACATTGCATGCCCTAAAAAAAGAATCCTAAACATTGGAAAGAAAGTAGTGGTCATTTTTCAACAGTGAAACACAACTCTTCGTTATAATATTACCTGGGGGGGAGGGGGAGGGGGGAGGGGGTAGAGAGGGGCAACACGTTTCTTGTGTCAGCAATCAAAATGTACTTTCTAACGCGGAGACATGTCCGAGACGCTGATGCTTGATTGCTACCTATTTATATTGGGTATTACTCTCTTTCTCGCTCTAAGCACAGTGGCATCTTGTATGTGTGTATCGTTTGATACAAATGGAGAACCTTAGAAGATGTGGTTAAACCAAAAGTTTTTTTGTTTTAGTTCCCAGTCTGTACCTGAAACATGCGCCAACCTTTGATAGGGTGTATCAGTGCCTAATTCAATAATATTGGTTACCAAGTAGAATTGCAGCAAGACATGAAAACGAAAAAATTATCACATATATAAATGTCCCTTATTTCTCACTTGTTTTTCTATTTACTCCTTGAATTACATCTTTTCTTTCTCTTTTTCTTCCAATATACCACTCTTACAGCTGCCATGTTTCCAAACCCTATTCTCCAGCAGATATTTGCTTATTTGCCTTTGCCTGATAGATTGAGAGCATCGAGGTAAATAGGCGCTAAAATATTGAAATGTTCATTGAAACTAACATGGCATTCAACTTGCAGAGTATCTCGCAGATGGTATTATAATTGCAACGACCCTCATTTGTATCAGGATGTTGTTTTGAAGGATCTTGAGTTCAATACACTCTTGCTGGCCATGCAGCGTATTGTTCAGATCGGCCCTCGTATTAGAAGCATCACCATCGAAGGCTGTTTCTCTGAATTTATTCAAAACACAGTGGTGCCTGTTCAATTCTCAAATCAGCCTCCCAACAGACCATTGTTGTTTTCGCACATTAGAGCCCTTCAGCCTGCTCGCAGACGGCAAGAATACTTGAAAAATGGATTCGAGCTGCACAACCACTTCTCTGACCTCTTTTCGCAACTCATGGAACTAGGTCTTGCAACTCTTCACACCATCAAAATCCTCAACTGCGACTTAGATTTTGAGATGACTGAGCTCTTTTGCGCTATTGCATGCAATGCCAACTCGCTCAGCACATTCCATTATGTCAACAATGGTGATAAAGGTCTTCATTCATCTGGTTTGTTGCAAGCTATTGTTTCTGGTAGTCCCAAGATGCGCCATTTCCGTGGTTTACATGCTGGCATGAACGACGCTGTGCTAATGACAATGGCAAGACATTGGCCTCTATTGGAATCATTGACTCTCTGCAGCATCAAATCAAAAGATGTGCTTGAACTGACTGGTCTCATCAGCGAAGATGGGCATGAGCTTCGAGGTGCTTCTCCCACAGGTACAATTTCAAGTCGCGCATTCTGGGAACTACTCTGCAAATGCAAGAATCTACGAACACTGGAAGTACATGATTTGGCTTGTATCACAAATAGAGATCTGGCCCTCTACAATTCATTGCGCGATGCTTTACACGACCAACAGTCGAAATCTGCTAGAGAAAGCAACAAGCGTCGTTTCAGACCTTATGATACCCCTTCCCTAAAGCACTCTTACCATCACCATCATTACAAAAAAAGACACCATCAACACCATCAGCAGCAACAACACTTAGATACCTCTCAACTTGATCTTCCTGGCTCCTCCCTGCGAAACCTTAGAGTGACAAAGTTCATTACAACGCCATTATCCACTCCTGGATTTCACGACATTGCAAAGCTGTTTCCAAACTTGAGCCGCTTCGAATATGCTACCAATTTCTATACGTTCAACAACCAATTCGAAGGCGTTACACCTGAAATGTACGAAGCTGAAAGAGCTGCTGTTGCTGGTTTCATGGCCACTCAAAAATCGTTAGTATATGATGGTCAGTGGAATGAGCCCATCACTACAGAGCAGCGCCTCATGGCTGGCATGACCACCAGATCAAACGAACAATAATAATTACACATACTCTAATTGCATATCCCCATTCTCTTTCTCGGTTTGCGCTGAATAAAAAGTCCTTTTTTTTGTTAGTATCATTGTAAATCTCACACCGTACGTCGAAACATGTTTAAGTTTCATGTTGTAGGAATTTCTCTATCTTTAACTGACTATCAAGCCAATCACATTGACAATGTATAATCAGTAGATGGCTGGAAAATCAGAAATAAAGCAAGGTTAATTTGTTGGGTCTTAGATAGACGATACATGCCAAATGTTGATTGTATCTTCATCCATTCCATCTGCATCACAATGTCTTGAACTTTGTATAGGAGGGCTTAGCTTCTTCTCCAGTAACACGACAATACGTGCTAGAATTCATGCCTAACAATGGAGGTAGCAATCATTCAGATTTTCACTTCGTTTTCCAATTATATCATTCGTGTTTTTTTTTCAATGCTAGAAGACAGCAAATCATGAATGGCTTCAAAAGTTTAAACATGTAAAAGTGATACCATTTCTTGGAATGTTTCATTATTAGAATATAGACATATGAAGTATATTCAGAGCTTGTTCAGCGTCAATACGCTGCTTGATCAATTTAATCTTCACAGACAGTACCTCAGTCTTGCTAGTGATGCTTGCAAAGCTCATGCTTCTTGATAGCAGATATGCCAGACTAGCAACTTATACAGTATTGGCCAGAATAAACATCTGCTCTTTATGAGACAAGGCTTCCCTTCAGTTTAAAGCCATTCAGTTCCACAGACTTCAATTTGAATCTTAAGCATGTCTACCTAAAACGGCAAGCGTCGAGCTTATAATTATTATCGTTGACATGAAAAACATTTAATGGTTTGTTACAAATATTTCTATTAATGGGTTTGGGGAAGAGGCTGAGTCTCTACCCCCCCAAGAACATAACGGATCCAATTGAACATTTGGTAATATTGGCCTAAAATAAAAGGGGTTTGCCATACCGCAGCGAGGGTGTGAAACCATAACAACCAAGCATCTAATCCAGCACTGGATGACATTGGCCTTGATAAGGGTTTGCAGTAGCGAAGCGAACGTGTAGAACCATAGTATTCAAGTAGCAAATTCAGCCTTTTATTCCCATCATTAATTATCTACCAACAACATAACGCATCAAAATTTGCATGAATTAGCTTTACCAAAATCAATTTGCCTCCTATTCGAATTAGAAGTCGCACAGGCTGCAGAATTGCCCTTCCTCCAGAAGATTTCAGCTACCAAAGATGCGTAAATAAAAGCCATAAAGCAAAAATACAACCAAATTTGACAGCTTTTAAGCCTTCATATCTTGACATATAGATCTTTCTGAGCCGCCGGAATGACGCCAAACAATTGTACTCGAGTAGCAGTAACTTCCTGGCACCTTTGCTCAACGTTTTGGGAACCCAAAAAACATGGCCAAAAATCGACGAAAAAGTATGGCTTTCTCCGCTAAAGATCATAAAATAGCAAAAAAAAAAAGGTGGAATTTCCAGTAATGGAGGTTCCACGCTGGATTCTAGCCATAATCCAGGCAACAACATTTTTACTTATGCATCACTTTTTCAAGATATCAAGAGTCAGAAGCGAACAACCTTCAACATTGCTCCAGCTATCGACAACAACGCCTCCACAACTGGAAGACCTTTGGACTACAACTCAACATTCGTAGAAGCTAAGGATGACTACTCCTTCGCCATTGATTGTTCTCAATTTGCTGGGATGGTATTCAGAGAGAAGCCCTTGCTCACTTGTCTTTGAGATCACTATTCCAAAGGATTGGGAATTAGAACACGTATGGTTGGCAAGAATCATAAGGTCATTGAAATCAACTTCCCAAGCCAGGAAGATTGCGAGGAGGCTCTGAACAAGGAACTCGTCTTACAAGGGAAGGTAATCAAGGTGAACAAGGCTTTGGACAAAAATGCCAACGTCCTCAGAGTAGGTGTCTCTGAGCTTCCTCACAAAACTGAAGAAGTTTTGAAGCCTTTGATGGTGGAGACCTTCCAAAAATATGGGGACATTCTCAATCTTGGTCTTAGCTATACCAAGGATGGTAATTGGTTTACTGGTCGCGGTTTTGTCACTCTAAATAGGGACAAATTAAAGAGTTATGCAGCTGAACTTACCCCTCAGATCCAGTTTGGGAATTTCAAGGAGAAGCCACATTTGGTTTGGAGTAACATGAACCCAATTTGTCAAGACTGTCACACTGATGATCATATCAAAGCTGATTGTCCTCGAACAAAGAGGAAAGCATGTTTCCGATGCGGAAGCTTGGAACATCTCATCGCCGGGTGCCCATTAGCCTCATGGAATAGAGTGAAGAAAACTAATGATCACAACAAACAAGGTCAACATCGCCAGCAAGAGAATGTTGCCCAACCTAAGCCTATAGGTAGAAAGGTTGACCTTTTAGATCTAATGAATGTGGACCCTCCTAAGTACCTCAACCACAAGAAGGGGAAAAGGAAGGCTACATCCCTTTCGTCGAAATCCCCAAGCGATGATGAGGCACTTTCCAAGGGGGAAGTATCTTCAGCAGACGAGCCAGAGTCTGATTCCGACGCTGAAAACGCCCAAGGACATTCAACCAACTTGAACGACAGCAAGGATATGCAAATGGAAGAAGTTTTTGATAACAGGGGCCAGGAGGAGATGAATGAATCTCAAGTTGGTGCATCTCAGGAAGGTGACTCCCATGATGGTGAATCTCAGGTTGCTGAATTCAAGGGTCGGAAATCTCAGGCCGGTAGCCTCTCACAAGAGGATGCTCCCAATGGACATCTCGAGGAGGAGGACAATAATTCCTTTGGTGATGAGGAGTATGTCAAGTCTACCAGCGAGGAAGATAGCGATGGGGAATCTCCTAAGGTTGTTCAGAACAATGTAAGTAAATATAATTTACGACACTCTGGGCACAAGAAGAGTGTAGATGAACCTACTGAGGAACATCCCAAGCGATCTATTGATGAACTGGCTTCTACCCCTCTAGTAGAGGACAGCGAAGGTCCTAGAAAAAAGCAGATTAAACAGCAAGAGACTAATGCCAGAGATGAAATGGTCTTGGATGGACCACCAACTACAAACACATTATAATTAATTAATGAGTAATACCAACCAAACTAGAAACATTAACATTAGGATAGGTTCCCTCAATTGCAGGAACCTCAACAAACAATACAACACCAATACAACAAATAGGTTCATCACCTACCTTAAGCAGCAAAAGTTAAATATACTACTATGCCAGGAAACAAATATTCCTCACCATTCCTTTGAAAACATCACAACAAATTTTAAATGTCAATTCCAGTGCCACCAAGCAATTTGGACTGGACAATGTGGAGTCATCAACTTCAATCCATCACTGAATCTACAACAAATCAAAATACTAGAAGATGGAAGAGTTATTCTGGCCAAGCTATCACTGGTTAACAATAACATGCCTCCAATTTACATTTTAATCTATGCTCACTCTGATAACTACAGGGCGAGAAATCACTTGTTCGACCAAATCATCAGTCTCCTTAACTCCATGCCTGAGATGATCCCTTCTCACATCATAGCCGGTGACATGAACTGCTGCTTCGACTCCACAAGTCAACGCTATAATCGCCAAATTGGAAAGCCCAAAAGTTTCATTGAATTTTTGAACACTCACTTTTCAGATTGCTTGAACCAACCAAATCTACCGCATGATTACACTTTTAGACATGGATCGTCTCTTTCCACTCTCGACTATATGTTTGCAGGCCGCGATGCTTTCTTCAAGATGAGTGATGGTGATATCATATTTCTCTCTCAAGAATGGACAGACCATGCCTTGTTAACCAAGACATATACTACCGGCATGACTAACTGTGGTAAAGGTGTTTGGCGGGCCAACCCCTTTCTTGCGAAGAACCCTATCTACGTCAATAAATTAAACACTGCTATCTCTAACTGCGTTGAAACCAAATTAGATCCTAACCTATCTGCTCAAGAAAAATGGGACCTGATTAAGAAGAAAACTAAGCAAGTTACTCAAAACTTCAGCCGTACTCACTGTTCATGGAGGAAAGCTAAAATCAAGAAGCTACAAAGTGAGAGGAACAATTTGCTACGTAGGTACCGGGATGACTCCGTCTGTCTCAATATTTTGCTTTCTCCTGTCGAAAAGGAGCTATCCCAACTCCAACAAGAGATAGTTGACGTCCAACGACTGAGAGCAGGACAGAGATGGCACGAGAAGAGTGAAAGGTCTCCAGGTTACATCAAGCAAACATTAGCGGAAAAGGCATCCAAGCGAACAATCTCTAGCCTAAAGCATCCTAATTCCGGGGAACAATGCTGGGAAACTAGTACTAAACTTGATGCTGCCAAAGTCTTTTACCAAGACCTATACACCGAGGAAGAAATTGATCTCAACTGTGTGGAAAGAATGCTACAATATATCGACAAAACAATTCCAGCTGAGGACTCACAGGACATCATTGAAGACATACCTTACGAAGATATCATTCAAGGATCTCAAAGAACGCCAAATGGTAGTAGTCCGGGCCTGGATGGTATATGTTACGAAATTTTACACCTTCTAGTTATCAACCCGAGCTGCGAAGCGATTATTCTGCAAGTGTTCAACGATGCTTTATCATTAGGCAAATTCCCAAAATCCTGGCAGGAATCATGTATTGTGCTGCTACCAAAGAAAAGGGATATGACTGACCTTGGCAACTACCGTCCAATAACCCTAATAGCCTCTGATTGCAAAGTGTTTACCAGACTAATTAACTCACGAGTCATAGAGGTAGCAAGTGACCTTATAGCCCCCCCCCCCCCACCAAAGGGGCTTCCTGAGAGGTAGATACATTGGAGACCATGGGATGTCATTGAAAGTGACTGTAGACAATGCACGTGAAGCAAGATGGAACAATTCTGAAGAATTTGTCGAATATGCTGGGATTATGCTGGACAACGCCAAAGCGTGCGATAGGGTACTTCCCCAGTATATATCCAAGGTCCTAGTGAAGTTTGGTTTTCCAAAACAGTTTGTCCAATGCATCTGCAAGCTATTCTTCGACAACTCAATTTACGTGAATGTCAATGGCTTTTTAACAGATCCTATCGAGCAAAGACGCGGCATCATACAAGGAGACAGTATATCACCAATGTTGTTCAACTTGGCTATCGAACCATTTCTGCTATCTGTGACCAAAAGTACAACTATCTCTGGGTATAGTCTCCAACACGTCAAGCCTATAAGCAAGAGAACAAATAGTTGGGTAGCTCCTCCTCCATTGAAAGTACTCGCATATGCGGATGATGTCCTGACATTCGTCAAGTCTCGGACTGAACTTCTTGATCTGTAAGAAAGATGGAGAACTTACAACAAGGCCTCGAACTCCAAGATCAACTACGACAAGTCCGTGGCCTTCCCTCTTCATGGTGGAAGGATGACAAGCCAAACTGGTGGCCTAATTCAAGATCATGCAAGAAACAATCTCAAAATCAGATGGTATGATTCTACGTCTACAGGATTTATAAAATACCTAGGTTATCCAATTTGGTTCTGCAATCAACAAAGAGACGTATACATTGCTAAACTACTGGGTGATATTACTACTGCTGTTGAAAGGTTTGCAGCACGGCAAGTCTCACTGTATGGCAGAGCGAATATTGCCAACACTATGATATTGTCCAAGCTATGGCATGTCATTCGGATTGTTTCCCTGCCCAAAGACACAGTCAAGAATATAACCTCAATCATTTATCAGTTTGTAATGTCTGGTCTGTATCCACCTCTAAAGGGCAATTCTCTCTTCCTACCAAGGTATCAAGGCGGTTTAGGACTGATTGATATAATGGCGCAACAAAAGGTTCTGCAATTCAGATGTCTGAACGCTTTGCTGACAGAAAACAGCAACAACATACTTGGTCTCACTTATAGGCTACTAGTGGATTATTTGAAGATGTCGCACGACTCACCATCGCACATAATCCATATACTGTTACAAACGGCTAGATACAAAAACCAGTTAAGAGGCTTCCACCCTTATTACATGATGTTCGAGGCAATAGATACCTGTATGGAGCATTCTCCGCTCTCACTCGCTTGGCCTGTCAAACCAAATGTCATGACACTCTTGTCATTGCCAGTGCTGGAAATTCTTGATTTTGACAATGAGGAAGTAGCTATGGGATATACAAGCAGAGACTCGATCAGGGAGAGCAAAGTTCACGACTTCTTCCACATTGATCAGGAAACAAGTACTCTGCAGCTAAAGTCAAGAAGTGAATGCAAGCGACCAAACATCAGGAACCAGATAGAAAGAGGCCTTCTTTGTGGGAACATCAAATTGAAATCCTTTGCGGATACAAGAAACATGGAGGCTCATCTAGATCTACGGCCTTTCGTTGCTATGCTTAATTACCAAGACCGCCCAATGCTTCGAATGACGAACAAAGACTTGAGATCAGTTATGCTGGACATACACAATCTTGATGTTGGACGAAAGTTCAATCATACCATCAGCAAAGTCCAGTGGAAACACTTCTATCATCAAAACATGCACCACTCTGTGAGAAATGTCTGGTATAGAATGATACACAAGCAATGCCCGAGCAAATCAGCTCTTTTCGTTCGACGCCTGAGGAACGTCGAAGATGACAAATGTACCCTCTGCAATGATACTGAAGATGCCAAACATCTCATGGTTAGCTGCCCCCCACAAAAACGACATTTGGTCCAACATCTTTGAACAATTCCTGGAATATCCCAAAGTTGCCAATCCACAACAAGTATACCAATCTATAATTTGAACCTGAAGCAATACTTCATCTACAACTTAGACATCAAGATTACAATATTTGATCTGTTTGCTGCCACCATTCGCATGATATGGAGATTCCGCCTCCTACTGACATTCGAAGGAGTGCCTTTTGATACCAACAATGTCACCACCAAGATCTGTGCTAAAGTGATGAGATTGTCAGATCTCAAGCATTAATATAAGTAGTAGTTTAATTAAATATTATATATGGCAAGTCACTTTGTTACATACACTTGTCCATCATTTGATGTTCTTATTGTATTTGTATACCTACTAATAAATAAGCAACAGCCATACAAAAAAAAAAAAAAAAAAAAATACCAAAAATTAAACGATCGCATTTTTTATCACAAAAACGAAGACTTTTATTATGGCATGTATTGAACCAAAAAGTCTCTTTCGATCCAACGCAACCCCTGAAGCTTTGTTTGTGAGACCTTGATATATAAAATCTCGACATTTTCGCCAAAAACGTCATTTCATAATTTCATAAATTGCTAAACAAGTTCAATCAAAACAGCTATAATAAATAGCACCATTGGATGCGCCTCGAAAAAATCTTCTAGATAGCTTAAGGCTGTAAAGGATGATCACTACAACTTTCATAGTCGAATTTGGTAAAATGAGTCGATCAAGTCGCAAAAGGATCAAAAATCAACGAATTGTGATAGAATGTCAATCGAGATTTTAATTCCTTCTGGCTGGCAAAAAAAAGACTCTCCTTGATTGCTCGAAGCCCTATAATATAGCGGCAATGATACCCACAGAAACGATTATACGAGAAAGCGAGACTTCTCAAATGGATAGCGTACCCAACGTGAGACCCAAAAAGGACAGGCTGGTGACATAATCCAAAGCAACAGAATAGCACACAGACAAAAATGATATTGCAGGTGAAGTTTAATTCAGAAACCTCTTTCTTTTGAAAATCCCACGGCCTTGTTTGATGAATTTCGCGATGTGTACTTTACTTAGAACCCTGAAAATAGTACCATTGGATTCCTCAAGCGATTTGCTTTCTAATGATGTACATACCTTCTAGTAAAATATCCTCTCTTTGACCACAAATTGGCCATTTACTTGCTTATCTCTCTTCAATTCATGTCCTTTTGTTTACTTTACATGTGATTTTTTTTAAAGCTTAATTTTGCCTAGCAAATGAATTATTTTGATCTTGCATGATCCGAATACCTTCTAAAAGAGGACGATCCCTAAAAAAATGATATGAAACGTGTTGACTCTTTATGAGATGCATGTTCTTGGCATAAGAACTAAAAACAGGTTGCAGGAATGATACACGAGAATGACCAACTCACTATGTAAATGTGGGCATATTGATGATATCTAGTAGCGCAAACACTTGATTGACATCATTGACAGCAACCATGATAGCTGGAAACAAGATGACTTGCACTGGTTCGAAAACGATCCATTATGTTCCATTCCATGGAGATTGCCGCAGTAATATTCATATGGCACGCTTGTTTTCCGAGGTGTACACTTGTTTCTTGGTCCAGAATCAGTTATGCTGGCTCCGATGTGATGTAAACGACAAGTAAGCCAACCTTAACACTTGTATTGTCCGATTAGATGGACAGTTTATGGCTGATGTAAACAACAAGAGAGATGGATCGAGAACCGTATGACCTTGGAGAGAGAAATTAAGGAGAGGTAAAAAAAAGATTACTTAATCAAGCAATCAGTTGCATCTGTTTCAGTGTCAAATGACATTTTTTGTTTACTTTTTGATGAGGTTGAACCAGTGAGAAGTTGTCTGTTAATTACATCTAGGAAGAGATGGGGGAACTCGTTTCATGTGAAGGTGGAAAAAGGGCTTTTTGAAGTAGCAAAATGGACATAACTCGAGACAGAAAACAGTTGAAAGCCTCGGACGAAGCGGATCAAATAGAGCAAGTGTCAAGCGTCAAAATGGTACTATTTTCACGCGCTCAAAGTAGTATATCGTGGAGAAAAGTAAAAGGAAACGAATTTGAGTGTGGCAAGGATACTGGACTCACACAAAAGTCGATGAGAAGGATATAAATAGGGATTTGTTTCAACAGCTTTTCCCTCTTCTTCTTCATCTCATCTCTCTACAACAAGCAAAAATACTCTATACATACAAACTCTCTACAAGACATTTGGGTTCTCTCTCTCTCTACATATGGTCATCTAAATCAAATACTCTACTGTCTATTGGCCTCTACTACTGCTACATACAATGCCTTACAAATCCATGGTCCTCTCTACGTCTCTTGGTCCATGCTAGAAAAAGGCCACACTATCTTTGATACATGCAGACCTTGGTGAACTGTGCGAGTGAGTTATTATCTTGTTGGACGTATGAGCCATGTTGACTAACCTATTGATTATATAGTGCCGAAAAACTACTTTGTAGGGACTGAGTAGGATCACCGCTTCATAATCATGGGTAGACTGCAGGACAAATCCATTGGTCATGCTACGGGATGATCACAAGCTTTATTGCCGACGAGAGTAGGGTTTAACCCTATGATCCGGAGATGGAGGCGGCTTGAGCGTGTCGATGATCTTGTGATAGGTGAAGCAAGTTTACACCTTGGTACCTGTTTATATAGTGTTGGTTCCTTTTATTGATGATCAATTTTCTTTGCCCAAATGGTTTGTTACGCACTCATGCCACAGTACTTGTGTACTCATCTCATCTTTATCTAGTTACCTCTACCATCTCATGTTCTATCTCATCTAAAGCAAGCTGTCCTCTCCAAATGCTATCAAGCCAAGTTCTCTGTGCCTCCTACAAGCTCCTAAAATGACAAGACTGTTCAAATATACCATCTCTACATCTATACAAGGTCAAGCCCTACTCTCATCTGTGCTTCCTACAAGCTCCTAAAATGACAAGACTGTTCAAATATGCCATCTCTACATCTATACAAGGTCAAGCCCTACTCTCATCTGTGCTTCCTCTTACTCAATCAATTATCAAGACAATTAATGCCTGACATCTATACAAGGCCAAGTCGTTCTTATATCTCTGCTACCTCTATCTATACAAGTCAAAATAGCCTCAAAAATCTGAAATATTTTAATCCATCAAGTATGGTGATCTCATAAACTCAAATACACATTAATAAAAAAAACAACCACGTCTTGTCATTAGCTTCAATAATATGCTCTTTTATGATTGCATCTTGTTTCAAAGCTTGTACTGTCTATTGATTGCTATGACCAATGTATTTTAAAGCCTGTACATAATTTAATCATATACATATAATTTAACGTCAAGAGATTTTGCCTGTATATACTATCATAACATAATAAATTTATGGTCCCTAAACACTTTCAAAGCCTCAAAAAGGAAAGAAATTGATATAACAAGTATTTTGATAGACTGGCGTTATCAAATATAGATTCAAAAAGAGCAGCATAGCTAACGATGATGCTATATGATCTGCCACCTACTTTCCATACGCTTCAAAAGTATCTATTACTGTATTGCCTTCATGATGAAAAGGGCATTGAGTCTGCCAGCCGGCCGCACCAGCCGCCAAAATTGATTCAAATCCAGAACATTCTTTTCTGTTCAAGATTGGACAGATTTTGCCTTTTTTCGACTCGATTGAACTCTTTTGTAAGATTCGACTATACTAGTTGTGATGATCATCCTTTGCTTCCTAATAAAATTTCGAAGCACTTTTCAAGACGCATCCAATGGTACCAAGTAAGGTAGATGTTTTGAATAAACTTACTGAGCAGTTTATGAAAATATAAAAAGAGGTTTCTGGCCAAAAAGTCGAGATTTTCCATATAAAGGCCCCACAAAGATAGCTTCAGGGGTTGCGTTGGATCGATAGAAACAATTTGATTTAATATATACCATAGTAAAATTCTTCATTATCAAGGTCAAAAACGCGATCGTTTGATTTTTGATGAAAACCATGAGGGCTACCTCATGCTTTTTGGCCATTTTTTGGCCATTTTTTTTTTGGTCCCCAAAAAGTTGAGCAATAGTGGCAATAAGTAACTGCCAGATGAGAGCAATTGTTTGGTGCTATTCTGACAATCTAAAACAGCTTTGAAAGCGAGAAAACGCAGCTCAAATGCGCTCAGATTTTGCTGTTTCAGCCACACTGTCGACTAAGAAGGGATAATACCTGTATGCTACTTGCCTGTATATGAAGTATTTACATGTATACGGATGTGGAACATCGCATAAAAGTCAGATCCACAAATGATGTGAAGGGTTCTCAAGTGCAAGCGGGAAGTTATAATGAAAGTAGCAGTATTTTGATAAGATACGCAAGGGCAATTGGTAGAGAACTATCCGGAGCATAATCACTCGTATATTATAATGCAGAATGCTGCTCTATCATTCCAGATGATCATTGAAAAGTATGGCAATGTGACAATGACACGATCAAGGTCGTGCTTTTTGGCATCTTATATAGTGTGACATTCAGTCATTCTACCAATATATGCTAGGATTTCGCTGTTTAGCCTTCAATTATCGCATGAGAGCCATTTATATACTATCTGGACTACGGAGCCGGCTTTTCAACAATATACCACGCCTATATCAATGGAAATAACCAATATGCGTACAGACAGCACACTTTTATTGTCTCTGACTACCTAAAACTATGCAAAACGCAGCAAAAACTGAGTATATTTAAGCTGTGTTTTCTCGTGTTTGAAGCTGCTTTAGACCACCAGAATGGCACCAAACAATTTCTCTCAACTAGCATTATCTTACTGACACCTTTGCTCAACTTTTTTAGAATCGTCAAAAATCGGCCGAAAACCACGAGGGATACCTCATGGTTTTCATTGAAAATCAAACGATCTCATTTTTTACCTTGAAAATGAAGACTTTTACTATGGCATATATTGAATCAAAGTGTTTCTCTTGGTCAAAAGTAACCCCTGAAACCACTTTTGTAAGGCCTTCATATGCAAAGTCTCGACATTTTAGCCAAAAATCTCATTTAATACTTTGCCTAATTGCTCAGTAATTTTATTCAAGACGCCTATTACAGTTAACACCATTGGAAGCGCCTTGAAAAGCACTCCATGAATGTATTAGGAAGCATAGGATGATCACCACAGCTTATATAGTCGAATATCTAAAAAGAGTTCAATCAAGTCGAGAAATAATAAATTTGTCCAATCTTGGACAGAAAATTATAAGCTGACCTTGAATCAAAGTTGGCGGCGGCGTTGCTGCTGGCTGACCCAAATGCCTTTTGATGATGATAATGATGATGACAGTGATGATTGCGATGCTGATTAAATGAGGATCGTGAATTCAAAAGAACGTTTGCTCAGCTTAAATGCTATAATAAAGGTGTCCTTTGCAATGACAATCGATAAAAAAAAATCGCTGTAGGTCTTATACAAGTCCCGTATTTACGCATGACCAGCTCTATGCCGCCATCTCAAGAGCAACACCAGCGAATGGTATGACAATTCTACTTCCAGAAATGTGGTGTGCAAGCACTGCATAAAACTTGAGCTCTCTTTCGCATCGTCTCAATAATAGATTTCGTTTGATATCCGTGTATAAGCAAAGGGGGGATGCCTCATCCTGACTCTGATATAACCTCTCCTTTGCTATTGATTGATTATTTAAAATCCACTTGATATCCCTGATTTGAAATGTCTTTGGCGACAGCCCGTAGGATGGCGCCATCATTGAGTGTAGCGAGATCAATTGGTTAGTGTATACTTACGGAAGGAAAGAAAAGAGAACGCTATGGTGGATCACAGAGTATCAGAGGCACAAGCCGTTGTGTGCGCTATTTCTCTTGAGCACGATATATCATCAATACCACTCCCAAAATGAACATGAATTAGGACTTTATTGTTATAATGATGCTCTCCATCCAATTCGTTGATGTGATGGCCTTTAGTTATCAAAAGCTGCTTCGTGCATTGCATACTAATTTTAGTGGAATTTTCGGCCATGCGAGGCTTGGAAAGCAATACTAGAAAATCAGAGGCATCGGAGGATATACTTAACATTGCTTTATATCAATAATGCACTCCTTCGATCTGATTATATGCCACCTCGTAGATACTAAATGTCCTTTTGTAGTGCCAAAGCGATTTTGAGCTCCTCAAGCCTTTCCCATAAGGATCCTACTTTGGTGCACACAGGTGAGAGCATTGCCTGAAGATAAACAAGCTTTCAAGTGATTTATGGCGTATAAACTCGTTACGCCATAACAACAATGAGTATAATGGTCCAAGAAATGTTTGATAAACTGAATATCAACCTGTATTTTGAAACGATTTAAATAAGATGAATAAGGAGTACATTTGTATCATACGGGTAGGATGTGTGCTACTATTCGAGATACACAAGACAACAACACGGACCCCTTCTGTGTGTTAATCTTAACCTTGTTTTTCATGTGCTTTGGGTACGTACAACTGTGCGATGAAGATGACTATACTTAATTATCATTTCTTTCATGATTGTATGAATCTCAATCCTCAATGCAGTTGATAATCGTGTCTTTGGACTACTTTCAATGACATAACCAGAACTTATAGCGTCACGACTATTCATGCAATCCAAATTTAAACGCATGATGCAAAGCTACTATGAATGCTCTTCAAAATAAGGTGATTTATATAAGCAATGAATATGATCCTATCTTCAGATGCTGATGATCGATATAGCAGACTCAATAAATTCCGTGCTATTCACATGTTGTACTTGTTTAGCTACTTGTACAACTTGCGATTTAGTCATGACGATAAGTCCAATACTGCGAAATTACACAAATTACTCAATATTGCATACTTGGCTCAGTTGGGTTGTGTGGTTGGATTAGAGTTTGGGTTATTAGGGGCTGTCAGTTTCAGAGCATAATGAAAGTATTCATGTAAACGAACGACGGATAGGCAAGCTTGACCAGCACTCTATTGAGTATAGTCAATAAAAGCCGCATGTATCATAGCATCGAGATTGAGCCTTATTCATGTTTATAAATAAAAGACCATAAGTTAGCCTCATTCCCACACCAATGAAGCACATTTGAAGCTAATACAGCCGCAAATGAGTCGTTGCAAGCCTATCTTTGAGTGTCCCCTATTCTTGATCTCATTATGATATGGGTATATAAAAGAAAGCACCTGTATGCAACAGATGCATCTACATTTATATGTACAAATGAATGGTAAAATAAATGTGTGTACCACCGTCAAATTCTATAATAATGGAGTAAACCCTTTTTGAGCATATTGTACCTCCCTGCAAATATGGATCATGTATAAAATGATTAAAATAGCCATCATGATTTCCACTCTTTTTCTTCTTTTTTTTTTCCTTCTTTCTTTTTCTTGACAAAAAAAAAAAAAAAAACCAAAGCACTATCCACTCGATAATTATATACATCTAAGACCAACAACTAGACTAAAGAACATCTTGTTCTCCAAATACGATTAAAAAACACCCAAAAAAAAATTACAACCCATTCCACTCACTACAACACAACTACAACAGCACAACGCAAAATGACTGATTGCTTTAACCCTGAACCAATTATGCTCCGTAATCCTACTTCCTTAATAGAAGATGAAAAGGTAATTACAATGGAATAAAGAAAGAGAAAAACGTGGTCGTCGGTATGCAATACAGAGCTTACCGTAACACAAATATTTCTCAAATTCATTAAATGTGGATAATTGACTCGTGTGCTCATATGTTTATTATTAGGAATTGATTGAAATCACTCAGCATCTTGCTCCCGAGCAATTCCAATATGAATTCCCTCCCAAATCTCGAATCATGGCCATCGAAGCAGACGATATCGATCAAGAAGACTTTTCATTCTTTGATGAATGCTCGTTTACTTCAAATTCAACAGCGGCATACTCCAATATTCTCTATGAAGAAGACGACGAGCAAGAGGAATATTACAATGACTACCAGAATTCAGATCAATTGCTCGACCAGTATCTCGATTCATTCAAAAACTTAGACATGTCGTTTGTAGCAGACAACCAACTCTCGCCTCTTCAATTGCCCATCCAGGCAAACAGTAACAGCAGTAGCAGCAGCAGAATCCGTGAAGAGTCGTATGATTCTACTGGCACCATCGTCCTCTGCAAATCAGCCGGCTCTTCCTTCCAAGCTGCCCGCCCATCTTCCTTCCTGTCGTCTCATCATCACAAGCAATTCTTGGAGCGTGTAGCCGAGGAAGATAGAATCAATTGGGACAACAACTCGTTCACGTTTCCCGATTACTCCACCCCTCAATCTGAGAACGACAAAGGTAATATTTGACATTACCGCCTGCTAACACATGTACTCAATCTGTCTATTCTGTAGCTTATCGTAGCGTGCATCCTTACTACCGCAGTCGAATGAATTCAGAAGCTGACATGTTCTGTTGTCGTGATGACGATCTCGTCAGTCTGAGTGAAGACGACTCCAGCAACTACTCCAACAACTCCAAGGTGGTTGTTATGAAAATTAGCAAGTCCAATGTGTCTCCTCCTACGTTTATCCACTTTTCTCCATCTGCTGGCAGTTACATTAGCTCCGATGAAGGCTATGATGATGAAGATGATGTCCAAGACAACCACTGCAAGCCTATCGAGTCTGCCTCTGTATTCTTACCCTTGTCAGACCAAGAGCAAGAGTACATGATGCAATTTGATGATCATCGTCATTTGGCTGCTATTAAAATTCAATCTGTTTGGAGAGGTTACATTTTCCGTAAAAAGACCGCTTCTGCTCACCATCCATTGAAGGTATCACATCGAGTGCTTGCTGGTCTTGCACATGTCAATGACACCATTCATCGCCGCAACAACAAGCAGCTTCAAAGCCGTGTCTACATGCTCGAGAATCGTCTAAGCGAAGAGACTGCTATGCGCATGGCTTTCGAAAAGGCTATGGAGGACATGACCATTCTGATGGATCACCAGCATCAGGTGCTGCATCAACGTGTCGAGCAAGAAGTCAATATGAGACAAACGTACGAACGCAAGATGGAACAAGTCATGGCTCAAGTACAGCCTCTCGAATCTCGTCTTCGTCATGAATCCAAGGCAAGAGCTGATATGGAATCCATGATGTCTCGAGTTCTCGATCAACTCCACGAATTGAAGGTACACTCAAAAGAGGAAGCCGAGCGCAGAAAGTCTTTACAACGCAAATTCGACGCTGCAACCGAGGAAATTACCTGCTTGAAGCAGCAACAACGCCCAACAGTACGTCCTAGTAGTAGATCTACTTTAGGGGCTACTCCCACACAGCAATTGCGTTCAACATCTAGACTTTCGACCGCAAGCAAGAGTAACAGAGCATCTCCTATTCCTCCTCCCAAAACACCCACAGCAGATATCGGTGCTAGACGACCCTTGACCTCATCGACTACATCAAGATCTACGGTATCTCGATTATCTAGCCGCACAACAACCCCTTCAACACTACAAACTAGAAGAACTGTAGCAACTACAACAGCACCTTCTAAAAGAACTGTCATTAATAGAAAACCCTAAATATAACAACACCTCCCCTCTCTTGTATATGTATTCTTTATGGTTATGGATTAAAAAGGAAAACACCACTTTATAACTATTCCCATTATTACTACTACCTACTACTACTACTTACTACCTATTCACCACTATAATTTAATTAATTACAAAAAAACTCATACTACACACAACGCAACATTTAGAATCAAATAAAGTACATATTTCATAAAATTGATTGGTTCGAGTTAAGATCTTTTCTTGGTGATTTCGCTAACTACAACCGTAACTGTTATTTGACAACACCAATTAATTAGTTACATATCACTTAATTAAGTAGACCCAAAAAAAAACGTACCAACCACAAGCAGTAAAATGATGATCGAGCTGAATACAATACGAAATCTCCACAATATACCATGATGCGTTGCTGCCGAAGATTTGTCGACTATCACTGGCTCTTGGCTGTACAGTTCCAAATCATTGCCTTTTTCTCTGAATGTGGTTTTGGTGATCTGTATGTCATCCATCATTTGGAATATAACACGGTCGGTCTCTTTGACAGATTGCTTAGGTTCTCGGCTTCCGTAGTATGGTATAGTTGATGTAGAAATAGACGAGCTAGACGATGTGCTGCTATTATTAGCAACCGTTGTTGCATTTTCAATTTCTACTACAGCCACAATGGGTTCTTCTTTCTGTGCTGCTGTTGGTAAGTTATGAGTCATGTCTTTTGTGTGTTTGGCAGGGTTAAAGGAGGACAAGGCTCACAGTTCAGCATCATAGGAATTATAATGCACTGTCTTTTGTTGATTTGTTTGATACATCTATCGATACCAGGTTGATTTCAAAATTAAACCATCAATTAAAATTTGTCGCTTATCTATCGAGGTTTGTCTTTTTTTTTGACATTTTACTAAATATATAAAAGGGCTCTGGCGGCCACGAGGTTATCCAGTTACACATGCTCATCATTGGTGTATCACTCCATAAGGCACTTTTTACAGTGATCCTGCCACGTTGCGTTTTAGCTGCAGCAACTCTCCGATTTTCAGTTACCCCGCTTTAATACGATATCTCGGGAGGTCTTTTTTTGTTACGTTTGTCATACGTGGGATGGCAATGTAAATGGCATAATCCTAGTCAGCTAAAGGAGCTTATCTACCGTTATTATTCTCTGTTAAAGGTTCACAGTTAAAAACCGAATTTTTCATGCACTATTGTGTTCTAACCGGGATATAGCACATTGATGAAAAAAAAAAGGAGGTTGAGGCATATAATGTGATGCTTCTGCCCCAGTCGTTTAAAAGAAAGCACTTTGTATACATGGCATTTGTCTCTCTTTGCATCACACAACATGGAGCAAAATAAATCTAGTCATTTTGAGCACATTGAGGATCATGCAGTGATTCAGGACAAAAGGCTTCTAAAAAACGATACGAGTCTGTCTGATGCCACATTTCTATCAACCTCGTCATCTGCGACTAACGTAGCTATACAAGAAAAAGAAGGAATTGTCGTCATTGAAGAGAAAACAAGTACAGCAGCATGGATCGAGACAATAGTATGTATAGGTGTGAGTACAAGCTGTGCTTTTATGTGGACTACCGGCGCAAGTGCTCCCAATGTTATGTCTCAATGGATGAATGTATCTCTCAGTCAGATTAATTGGCTATCGAATGCTTCTGCTATTTGCAACACGGTATTTTCCCTGTTCACTGCTTGGGCCTACGAGAGGATCGGTATCAAAACATCTGTAATAGCTGACATGGCTTGATGTGTTTAATTATTCACTAATACTTTATCTTGTAGATCATACTATGCGCTGTCTTTAATACTATAGGATGCTGGATAAGGTGTATTGCCATTGTACTCCCTGTTGAAAAAAGATATCCACTAATGATGATGGGGCAATTTATCGCTAGTATTTTTGGGCCTTTAATCTACAATCTGGCGGCCAAGTTTGTTGCCGTATGGTTTGCACCGAAAGATCGTGGTATTGCAAATACAGTTTTGTCGGTACAAGCTGGCATGGCACTTGCTCCCCTTTTACTGCCCATGCTGGCACCCACCATTCAAGACGTACCTAAAATGGTAAAAAGATATCGCTCATACGCATGCATTTATATACTAAATTTATGCAATCATTGCAGCTCATCATTGTAGCTAGCATATCAACTGCATTTACATTGCCAACATTCTTTATACCCAGTAAGCCCAAAGTGCCTCCATCTACCACTGCTACACTGGAAAGAACGCCATTCTGGCAAGGTGTAAAAGAAGTTGTTACCAATATGCAATTCTGGTGGATTGCTATTATCACTTCTGTGTCTATGGGTATGGTGTTCTCTGTTTCTGTACTAATTATCGAAGCAATCTCGCCTCTTGGATACACCGAACAACAAGCCGGACTCTGCGCTGCTTTGATTGTATTCAGCGGTTGCTTTGGTGGTGGCAAGTACATGAGCTACTCATCAAATACTTGACACTCATAATCTATGTACTTTGGTAGGCATGACTGGCTACTGGCTAGGAAAGTCCAGTCAGCACTTTATGCTCATCAAAATGTTCACCCCTATGGTAGTCTTTTCATATGTAGCCTTTATCTTTTTATGTAAGTATTTTAGTTCTATAGACTATCTACATGCATTGAAGTAGGCCTATATTTAGTGAAACCCGACGCATTCTCGGTTGTGATTATTGCCTGCATTATCAACGGCTTTTGCTCGTATGCATTGTTTCCAGTCTACTTGGAGGTTGCCAGCGAAAGTAAGTATTTAATTGCAGGTAAATCAATGAGATGAAAAGTATTCACATCCATGGCTTCCATACAGTTACCTATCCTGTGTCTGAAAGTATTAGCTCATGTGTACTGTGGACTCTCTGTTCATTGGCTATGGTGATCTTTTCACTAGTGATTGACGCACTTCGTGCAGGTCCAGATGCTTCACCTCCTAATAATATGAACACATCTATGATTGTCGTGGCAGGTATCATGTTTGTTGGAAATCTACCCTGTATATGGATCAAGGGTGATTTGAAGCGATCGAAAGTTGATAATGAAAATAGCAAGCAATTGGTGCTTATTGCTTAGCTCTGGCAGATGTCCACCTGCCTATCCCCTTTAAAAGATGACTAATTCAGATAATTAATATTCTAATAAAGATTCTACTTTTTACAACGGAAAAAAGAGGCAAAGATCCATCTGCGCTATAGACTTAATTCACTTTTAGGCTTTCATTTGTAATTCACATAAACAGGCTTTGCTGCTCATATAATTATTGTTGCAGAAGCTGTCTATCTTGCGATTTCTCTCGGCCGGTTTGAACATGAAATTTGCAATAATCTTTATACCAAACCCGTCCATTACAAGTAAGAGCGAGCGATAGATCAGTGGATCAGTATATGAGGTGTTGGAAAACTTGTATTTGAAACCGCTTACTGATATATTGCTTCTCTCCGGTAAGGCGAAGGTTTAAAGCTATTCAGGGCATTTTACCAAAACGGAGGAACAGCGTTTCTAAGCTCTATACTAATGCTAAAGACTTGATATTAGGACCGTTATATGCCCACGGTGGCATACAAGCATGCATCCTAGGCTACATTCACTTTCTCCTCAAGCCACCTTTTACAGTGTAGCAGCTTAGATGATGTTTATTGTATCACATCACATCTATGTTTACAAGTCCAGTCAATTGTGTGTGCACAGGTGCCTCAGGAACTACAATACATTCAATCTCCCTAATGTCAAGATATCGAAATCCACCTACACTACATGAAACATATCGACTTAGGTGGCCTCTCAACAAGCTATACCAACAATCCATAAGGCCCCAGTGGCCTGATATTTATATACCATCTCAACGTAGTAGTCATTGACCAGGGATCTACCATATTTAAGCAAGCTAGATGCCCTGTAATAAAGAAGCTTTTTGCTTTCGTTTTAGATACAATTGACAACTGATTATTATCATCGACTTATTATTACGAATTCATCATTGATCCTCATTCAATCTTGGAATAACTTCATAATATAGTCAGTTCTAATTGTATTTCCTCTGTCTATATTTCGTTATTCTAAACAGTTAATTTTGAATAGATGCTGCTAGTAAAACTTTTTAAATTACTATATGAATGTGAGATGTATGTGTAGTGAAATTTGTAGAGGGTACATTTTTTGACTAGGACATGTTTAATGTGAGGTTATGGAAAGTGATGCCAATGAGTAATGACGGAAGATGTTCCAAATGACCGATTTTCAAAGGGTCATATCTCTGAATTTTACTAAGTGAACGAGAGCTTCAAACCTAATAGCTTCTGTTTCTTTTTCAATTTTCTATACGATGGTATGGTTATTATAGATAAATAAAATAAAAAATGAATATCCCCTGCTTGTAGCTCATAAAATATATGATTTTGAGCAAATTTATGAAGGGAACGTATATCTGGTACTTGAAACCCTTATATTATAATGAATATAATGTAGAGCTATCGAATGATCTTTGTTTTGTGCGAATCCAGTGAGTATTTGTCGAGATATAGTCAAAAAAGAGTATCATGCAAAATCATGGATTTTTCTTCAAAATCTGCCTGTGATAGCAAGCAAAAAATTTGGTGACGATTTTTTGGTCAGGACAAGAGTTTCAATATTTTATAATAGAGTTATGCCAGAGCTTCAAGCAATAGCTCATTCGATAGGAAATTTTTTAGTCTACAATGTTTAGTAATGTTTAACGAAATGTTTTGATGACAGATACTGATTCATCTTTAGAAAACAGTCAAAAAATTGCAAAAACAATCGTACCAAATATCAGGTAAACAATGTACACCAGAGAATTGATATAGATACCATTGTATTTTCCTTTGAATTCTCTGCAAGTTTCATATAAGTTTGAAGGGGTGGTTACTATCAAGAAACGCGTAATTTTAAAGTCGATAGGTTTCGGAATCCCATGGATCATCATTCAGAACATTAGATATTGAAGCTCCGTTGGCCTTCCGCATGTGTACGCCTCACAAGTGTACATTTGACCAAGCATTTTAAAAATCGGAGCGTACGAAAAGGGCTTTATTAACTTGTTGGTTTCAAGTTATCAATAGATACCTGACATGGTGAAGAATCTTGTTGTTAAGACTAGACAACTGTAGCTTGCTTTGTTCAGGAATAATAGTTTTCCATTTAGAGTGTGCATATTCGCCCGCTTAAAAATAGCACCTTCAATGTAGTTTATCTAGCACGTTGTTGTAACAGTCGTGTTTATTCATGTTTAAGATAGTTAAAAACACTGCTGCTGAATTGAGTGAGTCCAGTTAACTTCTGGAAACCTTAACCATCATTATACGCGGTATACTGCGGTGAAGTCTACTATAATACCTCTGGTGCATTTGTTATTTCGAGCACAGCACATGGCTATTGTAATGCCTTTGCAATGAAACCGGGTTATAATATTTCACGAAAGAAAACAAAAGTAGCTTAGGGTAATAGAAAAACAATAAGAATCAACTGTATTTTTAATAGGACGACTCTAAATTCTTCTAGAATTTAGTGTATTTATACAATTGAAGACTTGCTGTTAGGATTAGTCATAACAGGGAACAAGTGTTGCTATTGCAATATCTGGTAAATGTTGTTGATGCTCTGATACAAAGTGCAAAACAATGCAAGAATGCTGGCCATAACAGTTTATTTCAATAACTTTGATGAGCTATTATCTTTATATAATCCATGTGACCTTAACCACCCTTTAAGATCTAAAGTTTGCTATCGAATGGTCGGCAGTATTTCTATCTAAAACACTGTGCAACAACTATGGCTACTGAGCATATTATAGTAGTTGACATATTTGATTATGTTGTTTTTGAGTTCCTTCACTTGGATAAAGAGAGCATCATCACAACGTATGGCGACTCAATCATCCTTAGTGTGGTTGAATGTACTGCGAGTAATAATGGTGAATAGCTCCCACAATGCGCGAGAGGAAGATGTATCTTTACTATATATTTTTGAAAGATTTTTTATGTATGGTACATTTGAATGCTGCTTTAATTTAAGATTCAAGTAGCTTGGGCTCTATTGATTGATATTTGGTGGTTTTCAACTCATAATTATTTCCCTTCAAGCGGCTACTTTATTACACTCTCATTGATCGTCATCGGATATGATACAATCCACTGACGTTGTAGATCATTTTATAGTGGTGTCTCACACATGTTCCTTTTTATTATTATTTTTATCATATTATTACTTCATTATATTTATTGATCTCAAAATAAAATATCATGCGTGTACCACAAAAACTTTGGTTGTAAACAAAGAAAGAAAGAATAGACATCGAAGGACGCTTCGTAATTCTCACCCACTGAATATCCAAACTGATTTAAGTTTTGCACTATTAGGCTGCCTGCTGTGTTGTTGGTATACGCATGGTTTTTGGAATTGAATTAACGTTGTCAACAAAGTCAAAATTGAAGGCACCAGTAAATGTAACATTGCTTTGAAGGCAAGGCAGCATATCAATAGCGAATACATTATTAATACCAATTTTTCAGTACACATTTTTGGTATATATAAAACTAGACGATCTATCTCGCTATGCTCGATGTCAGCGTCGCCTTATGGACTCTTGCCAAAGACATTTTAAACCAGATATAATAAAATTTTGGTATATCAAGTAGATTTTAAACAATTTATTATTAGTTAGTAAAAAAAAATAATAATAATAAGGTTATATTAGAACCTCCAGGCGGAGGAGAGGAGGTATCTGCCTCAGCATCCTTTTTGCTTACACTGATATCAAACAAAGCCTATTATTGGGACAATGTGAAAGAAAATTCAAATTTTCTGCAGCATTTATACATCACAATCGCCATTTTCTGATAGTAGAATTGCCATATCATTCGCTGCTGCTGATACTCTTAATAGGATGGCAACATAAAGCTGGTCATAAGTAAATACAGGACTTGTGTAAGATCTACAGCGACTTTTTTGAAATATTGTCATTGAAAAGACACCTTCATGAGGCAGACCTGCCCCGAAAAAGGTATTTACGCTAAGCAATTATTCTTTCAACTCCATAATACTCATTTAATCAGCATTGCAATCATCATTGTCATCAACAGAAAGGCATTAGGTCAACTAGCAGCAATGCCGCCGCCAAATAGATTAAAACTCAGATTATTTTTTACTGTTCAGTATTGGACAGATATTGTCCTTTTTCGATTTCTTTAATCTATTTTATGAATTTCGACTATATAAATTGTATTGATTACCCTCTGCTTCCTAATACACTCTTGGAGTACTTTTCAAGGCGCTTCCAATGATGCCAAGTAAAATAGATGTTTTGAATAAACTTATTGAGTAGTTTCAGAAAATAGGAAATAAGGTTTTTGCCCAAAAAGTCAAAATTTTGCATATAAAGTCCTCATAAAAGTGGTTTCAGAAATTGCTTTGGATCGAGCGAAACATTTTGATTTGATATATACCATAGTAAAGTCTTCATTTTCGAGGTGAAAAATACGATCGTTTGATTTTCGGTGAAAACCATGAGGGGTACCTCATGCTTTTTGGTCGATATTTGGCCATGTTTTTTTGGTCCCCAAAAAGTTGAGCAAAGGTATCAGGAAGTTACTACTACTCAAATACAATTGTTTGGCGTCATTCCAATGACTCATAAAGGTCTATATGTCAAGATATGAAGGATTGAACGCGGTTAAATTTGGTTATGTATTGCTGTATAGAGTTTATTTACACGGCATAAATCACATCTTTGGTAGCTGCACTTTACTGGAAAGGCAGTTCTGTAGCTTGAGCAATTTTTAATTCGAACAGGAGGCGTATTGATATTGACAAAGCTGTTTCATGCAAATTTTGATGCACTATGTTGCTAGTAAGCTTATTAACAATGGAAATGAAAAACCGAATTTGCTGCTTGAATACTATGGTCTTGCACCTTCACTTCGCTACGGTAAAACTGCTAGGTCAATGTTACCAAATGTTGGGTTAGATGCGTTATGTTCTTGGTGGATGGGCTTAGCACCTCCTCCAAACCCTCTCCCCAATGCCGGCTTCATTCACCTTGTATGGTACTTAATTTTTTAAATTTTTGAAAGGATATGATTTGTCTGTCCACTTTTTTTTTCATAGTTTTTCAGTATATATACCAGAGACTAGCCGATCTATCTCGCTACGCTCGTATACCAGAGATAGGTTCACCCTTTAGCTTAAAATTAATGAGCTTTCTGTGAGCCGCTAAAGTGAACCCCAGTAATATGTGCAGCATTCCTTTAAATACGCAAGGCTTATATTTTCTAGTGCCAATTGTATAATATGAATGATTTGACTTCATCTTGCATGAGAGGTATACTTGAGGCCCAATTCGCGTTACCAATTTGAGTTCGCCGTTTGTTTGATGATCATTATATGTTATTATTACTACATTATCAAATATTTCACAAATGCCGTGCATGATGTGATTAATAATGAGTCAGTAATCAAATGGTCATGATGCTTAGATATCCGTTCATTAACCATCTAAGATTACATGAAGGGTATCGCGAGTCAATAATAGACTGCTGGTAAATGGAATCAAATTTAATGCAAACAGAGAACACTGAACTGAGATTGTATTAAGTTCCTAGACCTGGTATTAGACGCTATTTTTTTTCCACTTTCACTTATACTACATTTACATAAATCAGAAGGATGACAGAACTCGATCCGCAAGTATTTTTCACTGATGCTCGAAATATATTAGATGCTCATGTAGGATTTTTAATGTGTGTTAAAAGAAGCTATATATTAATCGAGGTTCCATCGTGTAGCATGACAGACGAGAAAGAATTATAAAAATGTCGAGGTATGATGATGTTATGCTAGCTTACAGGTCATATACTAAGCTTTAGTTGATACAGGGACATTACAGCACTTAGTAAAAAGATGATATTCGCATTGCACAGGTATGTAGAAACGCGCTCTGATGACAATCAAGACTGACACTAAAACTGAACCATTTCTAGAGCTATTCAGGCAAACAGCAGCAATCCCAATTACAAAGAAGCCGACCAACGCCAGAAAGAAATTATTGCTTTGTTCAGAAAGCTAGCAGGAGATATACAAGGGCTACATTACCATAGGTAACCTTTCCCCAAGCTGTGCTGGATACAGAGGCTGACTAGATATCATAGATACTCCAGAAGCTTCTCGGGTGGATTCGAAGAATTTGTAGGATTTCATTGACGTACCGACATGAGAACACAGCATTGACTATTATTGCTGTATAGATTGAGGCGATCGCATTCTATCACTTTCTGATCCACAAGACGGTTATTACAAAGGAGCAAGTGGATGGCTATTTTAAAGACGAACAAGGACAAATGGTAGAGGCAATCACTTGTAGAACATTGAGGAGTTGAGCTAACTGGATTGTAAACTAATTTAGTGGGTTCCTGTCAAGACAGAGGATTATGTATGTAGCAGAGCCTTTATCGAGTATTTTTTTTTTACCAACACAAACTAACAAGCTGAATAGATTTTAGGTTTGGCGGATTTTACTGGTGAGCTGATGAGGTACGCTATTCACGTAGTGTCTACGGGTAAATATGATCAGGCCATGGTTATTTGTAAGCTTTTAAGGAAAATTGACCTGGGTTAGTGCATATTTCGATGGGAATTCGGTTTAATGACTAATGAGTAAAACAGACTTTGACATAATTGCAACATCCTATATGCCGCAATTGAGCAAGAAGCTAGGAGCTTTGAAAGGAAGTATTCGAAAAGTAGAACAAGGTATATACTATATCTGATTATATGCAAACATGACGCTAACAATGAAATTATAGCCTGCTATACTTTCCAGATCAGAGGTAGCGAATATCCAAAAGAAATGTACCTAACAATCATCAAAAATCACCAAGACCAATATGAACAAGAGCAGAATTCTTAACGCGGCTTTACATGTATACATTAAACATTTATGTAATTGAGAAAATAATAGCTGAAATAAAATACAAAAAATGAATACAGCGCAAGCTTGATGAAGGGGGGGATAAATATGTACACATTTTGTCTAATGCATCTTCTCCATAGCTTCGGCTTCAGCCTCAATAACAGGAGGGGCAATCTTGTCCTCCATTTGATATCCAGCGGCATCTTGATCTGCCATCTTCTTGAGACGAGCCTCTTCATCAATAACATCGTAGTGTCTAAAGACAAAGTAGTAGATGATACCAGTGATGAAAGCAGCTACTGCAACACCGGCGTACAAGTAGGTCATATTGGGGTCATGAGCAGTGGGAGAAATGGCAAGAGAGAGCAAAGCAGCAACACAATTGGGCCACAATGAAAGAGCAGAAACCAAAGACTTCATTGATTTGGGAGCATGAGTATATGCGTATTCCTAAATGATTTCAATGATTAGACGAAATGCCGAGCATTGTTGTATTTGATGATTGCTTACCATGGATGTGATAGAAGCAAAGATTTCAGAGAAAGCAATCAAAACGTAGCATGGGATTTGAAGGAAAACGCTAACATTGGATTGCTTGCCACCGGATGAGATGAACAATTCATCAATGTAGATATAATGTTGAACAACAGAAGCATAGACCATAGCAGCAGCACCGAGGAAGAAACCAACAGTGATACGCTTTTGACTGGCGAAATTGATCTTGTACTTGCGCAACATGGGGTAGAAGAAACCATCGGTGATAGGAATAAAGATGATAAGAGCAATGGGATCAAAGTTGTTCATGATATCATTGGGAAGACCAGCAGGCTTGTTCATGACACCAGCTTGAGAGAGCAGGTTGTTGGACAATTGGTTATAAGACACCCAATAGATGGACAAAGGAATGAAAATCTTACAGGCCATGATGGCTTGCTTCAATTCATCAACAAACGTATCAGTCCATTGCACCTTTTCGCGAGTCTCAGGTGACCATTCACTGACAGCGGGGATGTTGGATTCGCTCTTTGCGAAATCCATGATATCTTTTGATCTCTTGCGAGCTTCCTTGTTCTCGGGTAACTTGGCTTGCTTTGTAGCAAACTTGACGACTCTCCATGCCTTGAGAATGACAGAATCAGTAGCAGCAGGCTTGTAGTACAACTTTGAACCAGCAACGAAGACAAGAATGGCTACAGCAAACATACATGTGGGCAACAAAAATGCGGCATAGAAGCCAACATTCAATTCCAAAAGGGGACAAATAACGCCACCCTAAAATCAATTCAGTCGATGTTCATTTCCGGAAGAATGGCATGAATACTTACAAGCAAAGATCCAACATTGATTGCCCTGTAATCACATTGAAAAATAAAAAGGTTAGCTGCCGATTCCGAATATCACACATGGGGAAATCTCTTACCAGTAGAACCTAATAGAGTAAATAAAAAGTAGATTATCAAAATGAAACGGAGAAACGATTAGGTTTTACGATCTGTAAAGAGGTTTGTTGCACATGAACTTTACCAATTGTACAAGTGTTGAATACTGAGGTCATAATCGACCATGACGAGCTCACCAGACTTAAGTTCCTTGACATAGTTTTCGGTTTTTCTGTATTGATCTGCGCAAAGGGGAGAGACGATACCCTTGATACCACCAGTACCAACTATGGACATTTGAGATCAGTAAATGCTGAAAATTTTTTAAGGTTAAACATCTTACAGCCAATGACAACAAGAGCGACGACGTAACCTGGGAAACCTGCTCCGCTTGCCAAGGAGGAGGGAATGGAGGTGGTTGTGAGAATTAACCAGCCAACCATATACACAATGGAGAAAATGATAATTGTCCAATAACGACCAATGTAACCATCTAAAATTCCACGGATAAAGTTTTAGTGGACAAGCTCCCTACTTTAACAAAGCAATATTGCCACTTACCAGCAACAATGGCACCCAACATGGGCGTAAAGTAACAGAAAAAGGTAAAGAAATTTTGCAAGGCAGTGGCAGTGGATTGACCACGATTCAATTCACCTGCGGGATCATCTCCGGGGCCGTTCTATTAAGAGCAATCCAGAAAAAAAAAGCACACGTACATCAGTTTCATATGTCACAATAAAGTGGGATGTTGCAATAAGCAATCAACACTTACCTGAACATAATTTTGGAAAGGTGTCGAACCACCATAGTAGGCAAATCTAAAAACATCGCAAGAAATGATCGTGAGAAATATATTCTACCTTTTATAGACAAAAATAGCCAAGAACAGAAAGTGAAAAGCTTTCTTGTAGAACAGTAGCGATCTTGATTACCTTTCACTAATGTAGCATTTCAAATGTTAGCTACTGTCATTCATACTATTAGATGCTCATCTTACCAAAATTCATTGACGAGAATGAAGCAGGCAGCGAGAGGAATGCCTTCAGCTACTCGACGCAAATTGGCAGTGTTTTCGTATGCGTTTTGGACGGCATCATCTTCATATTCGACTTCTGTTGTGACATCAAAGTTTGCCTCAAACTTTTTATCATCCTCTTTAAGAACTGACATTTTCTAGGGGGGAGAAAGAAGAAAGAAAAGAGAATAAAGACCCGAGAATATAAAAGTGCCTTTATATGTAATTTATTAAAGGCTATGATTGGAAATCGAGTACAGAAATTTCTTTGTAAGGTTGGATCAAAAAATACAAATGTGCGGAATTAGCCAGCCAGCATGGCTTGCTTCTCTTTGGCTGGTTTGGCGGCTATTCAAGGCAGAGCAAAAATTAGGATTTTACGGTTACATCAGGTAATATAGAAAATAGGTCTTACTTTGCGTATCTTCAGTTTTAGACGATGGTATATGTGTTGGGACGTCCGGTATCTGATCGGGAACCGCCTGAGGTAGTTTATTACTGGGTACACTGGGTAACTCTGCACTCAACTGTATAAAACTGATTAGCTTGATTTGTGCTATATTCCCTTTTTTAAACGAGTTATTCACCTCTTGTTCTCGGAGATCATCCAACTCCTTCATAATCTCTTCTTCATCCTCAGCGCTTATTAATCCACTCAACAATTCATCAATTTCCTGCCGCATAACCATGAGTTTAACACATCAAATGACCCTTTTTTTGCTCTTACATTTTGATAAGCAATTGCATCAGCTGTATCGTCCATCAATTTCTCAACTGCTTCCACTGATGTTTCCTTGTGAATCTCGTTCAATACATCATTGCCATGCTTCAAGCCCTCCAAAATTTGCTTCTCAACCAGTGCATATTCAATAGAATGTGTCTAGAATCTTCTTTAGTACGAGAGCGCTTTACATTGCAGTCGCTCCTCACCAATTCCTCCAAGTTCATCAATTGCTGATCGGTCTTCTCTAATAGTTGAACCTGATATTTCTTCTTTTTCAATGCTAAGAGTGCCTTTTGCTTATTGCCTTGCTGAAGGGCCAACTTGGCTGCTTCCACTTCTTTCTCGATGACCACATTTAACTATGATTTCTCGTCGTGAGACACATGCATTTGATGTGGAGTGCGTTTCATTACATTTTTCTGGTATCTCTTGAGTTTGTCTCGTTGAACCTTTAAATCTAACACTGCTCTATCTTGCGAAGTAACCTTGTTCTTTGACGCGCCTGCTCCCATCTTCTCTAGTTGGTTTCAATAATAGATGAAAAAGAAGAAATATTCAACCCTGCAGAGCTCAAGGCTGTTCCAGTTCAGGTCACATTATCATTTGGGGGGAATTGACGACGGCCAATCACCTCAGATTTGTTATGCTCCTCATCTCGCAAGTGTTCCTTGATATTCAACTTGCCATCAGCTAGCAGAATACCTATAATTATTTGACAAGCGGCGCGAATTGCGTGCTAAAGAATGCACAACAAGATCCAAAGCTCACATATTTTACCATTATGCTCCATACGGACGAGACGGTTTGACCCAAACTCACTCAGTGCTCAACCAAATGTTCCTTTATGCGAGCCTTAAAGTGATATTGTTTATTAAAAGAATATTAAGCAGTGTCGACTAAAGCAAAACGAGAAGCACTGCGATCAAAGAGACTAGACTTCAAGTCAAGGTCTTGTAAGTAAGGATGTTGTGGTGCAACTTCTCTTAATTGACTAAATGCCCCATGTTAGTAATCTGCCCACAAAAACCAGCATGTCTAATGCTTTACCTGACATAGCGGTTGACAATCTCTTGAGACTTTGCTGTCAAAGTAGCGCAGGCAATCATATTGATGAGTGTATCTGGATTATCAGAGTCCTACATATTTACCGTTAGCTTTCTCGAATAAAGCATCTTACTTGATTGATACACTTGCCTTATTTTGAGCCTCCAACAATAAACTTTCGGCTTCGGGATATCTGCCTAATGCAAGATTGGCAGCAGCTTGTCCATTCAACACCTTGACAGTCTGAGCTGTATTTGACTGTCCAAATTCCTCGTAAATGTAGAAAGCTTCTTGATACTTTTCACCACCCTATACATCCATGATTAGTATTCGCTTTTACGATAGCCCTCTTCTTCTATATCTTTACCACGCGAAGGTCAACCCAAGCTTCCATCATTTGCAATAGTAAAGCGTCTTCAGCCCAAGCCTTGACGCTGGCAACTTCATTTCTAGCTAAATCCAAGCGATCTAATTGAAGGTAAATCTGCACGGCCAAGGCAGAGCTGGTCCAAAGGTACGATTTAATATTCATCCTGGATCTCCCCCATCTGCAAACCTACCATTCCAATTTCTTTTGACGAGAGTGAAGGGTTCTCAAAGCATCTTCAAAATGGCCAGTTTGCACCAAGATGGTGGCAAGAGTCACTTGAACTACAGCGTTGATACGGTTGGCACCTTCTTCGAGAAGAGTGTTGGCTTTTACAACATAATCCTCTGCATTAGCAGTGCTGTTCTTTTGCTTGTCTGCCATGTACTCTGCCAACAGTTTGATGGCCTTCAAAGAAGCCTCGTCATTGGAGCCAATATCGTTGATAACCAAGTTGTATTTGCCTTGAGCGACATATGAACGGTACAAAAGTGTTTGGGCTTCCAATTTGGCTTCGGTTGAAAAGAGCCCATTGTTGGAACTAACTTCGTTGATTACTGTTTGGTAGTTTCCAACAGTGAAAAGATTACGGAGACCAAATAAAACTGATTCTTCATCCATGGTTGATACGTTGGTTGGTTCAAAACTACAGTGAAAGAGGGGAAAAGATGTGTTGAATTTAGTTTTGCAACGTGTCGACCTCAATGGGGATTTCGTTGCTGAGTTTTGAAACTGCAAATTGAGGATGGTAGATCAACTCACATTGGAGTCACTGCTCTGGCATTTACATTATGCATGGAAGCTCAATGAGTGCTAGAATTCGGGTGTATTAGACCATTTGAGACACTTATTCATCATTATTACAAGCAAATGCCTATAGGCTAAATATGGCCTGTTTATACAAATCAAGCCGTGTCATATGAGACGACGATGTGGGCATGCTGTAGCGCCAGGGAGCAACTGTAACTCGCAAGGGGCTTGCCCTATACGTTGTCCAAATTTAACCTTTTTGCCATTACAGTTGAAAACAAATGCAAAGTAATGTTTCATACAATAATAGGGAAAAAGGTTTAAAATAGAATCCACAACGAATTCACAAAAGATCATTTGATCCACGCAGTCAAAATTCGTCTATAAAATGTCAATCTTTACAGCTTCTTCATGGTTCTTTCGTCAACTCTCTTATACAAAATGAAGTTTCTCTACTTTCTCCTGATTGCTCTTATCTGCGCCCTTGTACATGCTCAAGATGGTGATAGCTTTGAAATTGTTTTTTATAAGCAACCTAATTACAAGAATGAAAACGGCGTCATTGCTGGATCCGTCTCTCCTGGTGGTAGTGCTGGATCTCGTAGAGGAAACCTGACTGTTGCCTCTTTTAAGGCACCCACTTGGTTGCAAGTTACCTTGTTTGAAGACATTGACTTTGGAGGCAAATCTCATGTCTACAAGGGCCCTCAAAAGAAGATTTCTCCCCCTGTTACTCTTCGTAGCGTCAAATGGAAACATTTGTAATGCTTAAATCTTGCGGACGTGCGCAGCTATTTACTTGAATAGAAGCACATTCACCTTTGAATAAACTTATACACATTTGAAATGAATTTGTATCACATTCTTTCCTGCCAATGATGAGAGCCACCAGCCCAAAATAGATCTACATGATCTAGGCCCTTTTGATTGATATTATGTTTGTATACACAATCTTGTCTCTGCGCCACAGTACATGGGAAATCATAAAACTATTTTTAATCGCAAATAAACTTGATGCTATTCTCCATGCTTTCATCGCATGGAAGTCCACATCATCTGGTGTTGCAAGTTGGCAAGAAATGTTGGATTTTACTTTTAGACTGGCAGTGTCAGTGGATCAAGTCAATTTTGCAGTGGTTAGTATGCATTGTTGATGATCTTACCATAGCTTAAATTGATGAGGGCCTCGATTTCGCATGGGTACGCGTGTTATGTTGGTATATTTGTGTGCGAAAAGCGCAAATACTGCCAAGTCATTGGGACACTCCAAACGGGAAAAGTAGAGTCAATTCTTAAAAGTAGATACAGGCGCCTTCAGATGCGCAATATTACTTTTGCACAATCGATCATACCTGGTTTGAATGAAGGTTCGTGTTTATGTACATAGTTGACTGAAGCGATCTGACCTGCTTTGTACTATTGCTTTCAAAGTGCAAATCAAGATCAATTGCTTTCTAGGCGAACAACCTTACGATCCCTATCCTGTGATACGTGCCAAGTTTATTTGAGCTATATAGAACTATCATGACCTCACACGGAAAGGTGGAATATACTTGATTTTGGCATGAACAGGGAAAGCATGTATAAAATATGTCATTACTTTGCAATAGCTGCTGCTCTTTTTCATTTAGAATGTGTTACGAAATCCCAATTAATATACAAGCTGATTGTGTTGCACTTTGCTTAGAAAGGATCATTGAGTGGGTTCTTGCTGTATAGCTTGCGGCACGCAATTGTTCCACTGATCCACTGACGGACTCTTTTGATACTGTCTGCCTTGGCCTATTGTGTTTATGTATTAGCTGTTCAAACCAAGCAATGGCTGATCATTCACTTACAAACTCGTACTCTTTTTCACTCATTATGTTGCTCAGCAAATCCTTTTGGTGCAACTCGACGTGTGCTTTTATAAGTCTCTTTACATGCAGCATTCTTTCAGTTTCCTGTTCAGGTGGCACATTGAGCTTATACACGGTACATGAAGGGTCACAGAACGGGCATTCCCATAATTCGCCTTGTCCTGAAGGGCAGAATACCTTGACCTGAATCAAATTGCGTGAGTTTGCACCAATTCATGCATGTACCCGAGATACCATTTGGCAGCTATAATTTTTACTTCTTCAATTGTGTTTCTGTTTGTAGTTTGGTTGACGAGCTTGGAAATCATTTTTTTTTTGCAAGCGAGAAGAAAGAGAAAGAAGACGAGAAAATAAAATTAAGGCTTTTACAATGTTATTGTGTTTGACAAGTCAGTAATTTGATACTAATCATCGTGCCCAAGTAGAGCAGTAACTACACATGTGGTGCACTTGGCTCGGAATAAATGCGTTTAAAAGAGAAAAAAAAAAACCATCTGCTTAAACGTTTGTACGGCTTGCGTAGTCCCATTGCCGCCTTGTGTCCTACTTGATATTGCCTTGACATGAAGAATAACCACAATCGACGGTGCTACCCCACAGTCGGATCGAAAAATCACGTAGCTGGCTGAAAAAAAGCCGAGCTTATTAAATGCAGTGCAAAAAATCAATAGATGTTTATTGTACAAGACGGTGTATTGGAGTTAGTACTTAATGCTTGCTATATCCTGCACTAGAAGGTACAAAAAAGCCAGCATGTAGATGACATATTGTACTTGTCGAATCAGCAATGATTAAAACGGTGTTTGCTCATGTACAATTGGCTTCTTACTTGGATAGTAGTGTATAGACTTCTCTGTTCGGGTTCAAGGACAGTTTGTATGATATATTGCATTTGACGGATCTGTACGTTTGTTTTATATGGTGTATCTGCTGCGAAATGCTTGTTTTGATGCACATCTTTGCTTTGGCCTTCTTATCGTTTTTAGTAAATGTCTCTGAGAGATGGACAGCAGCCATGATAAGATGATAATGTAAAGAGGAGGGCCTCACGCCCATTAACACACCACTCTTTATAAGAGATATATGTTTGTTTAGGAGATTACACTTATCAAATAATGCTCCCTTAAGCGCCATGTACCCAACATTCGCTCCTTTATGATTTCATTTTATTACATTTAAAAATCTCTTAAAATCATGACTACAGAATCCATTCTTGATTTAGCAACTTCTAGTCGCTCAATGATCTTATCCATATTTGCAATTTCCTTCTTTTCGCCCTCTCCAAGTAGATCCGGATTCTCCAACACATCTTTTCTGAGGGTTTTATCAATGAGACGCTTGCGAATACTAAGCTCGAATTCTTTGCGTTGTTGCAGGTTGCAGATGGCACGATAGGCATCCACCAATAGCTCTTCATAGCACTTTTCCAGTGGAACATACCACAGGTGGAAGCATCTACCAGGCGCACGATCAGCAGATCTAGGGATTTCCTGAATCTCAACAAAGCCCTTTGTCTTTAGCAATGCTAGTTTTTCTCGAGTGTCTTTAGGGGGTAACATGGCTAATTTCTGAACTTGAGATTCATCTAGTTTACCACGTTCAATGAGGATTCTAAGAATACGACACGTAGCAACGCCATAACGCTCACGGACAAGCCCTTCCACAACTCTTCTCTTCATTGTATGGCGCAATTTTGCAAAATTAACAGCGTACTGACTAGCACCTCGCTCATCTTTTGACTTTACAAAGCCTGCAGTGTCTGTTTTCAGTAAGGTAATGTAACCGCGCACTGTCTCCTGCAAACTAGGGGCTCTTTTAGGGTCAAGAGGGTCCTTTGGTAAGCTGATGTCTCCTCGAGTTGCAATGTCGCTTTTAGCAACAAAGTTGGCGATATGAATTGGGGTTGCAGATGCTATATCATATTCAATATGAGTGTCATGCAACTAAACATGGGCGCACAGCAGCACATTATACACTTACGAGAATCGTCTTCCTTTAAAGAATACATCTTGTCTTTGCCGTATTCTAAAAATGCCTTGACAATCTCACCCGCTGTGCGATTAATGCGCTCTGTTGCAAAGTCAACAATGGATTCGTTTCTAAACACCATGTTGAATTTATCATAGTTGACAGCAAAGAATATCTTCTCGTCCACCTCTTCCGCATTCAAATCTTCAAGATCATCGTTTCCTCCGTATTCATCGATGGCAGCACGTTTGCGTTGATATTCGAGCGGATCCAATGCTTTACGCTTCATACCGACGATCTCAACTGAACTGTACTCTGCATCGATTTGTGCTTTGACGTTGGTTTTCACTTGCTGGAGCTCTTTAGCTGTCATAATGGTGTATTTCTCTGTCTCCTTTTCGGCTGCTGCTAGGTAACGATCCATGGTAGAACGGCTGTGTTCTGGCATTACTGCTTTGATATAGTGAGTGGACACCAGTTTAGTGAATGCCTGTACATGTTTGTCTATTTCTAATGATACAATATGTTAGATCAAAGTCGAGTGGGTGCTATCTATGCATTTACTTGAATATTTGCCGTGCTCATCCAGCCACTTTCTAACAGCTGTCAATGTCATGCGTCCATTAGTAAATAAGAGCTTGCAAATTGTCGTGGCCTACAGAACAACAAGATAGTTAGTGTTTCCAGAGCGTTTTAAACACATCGAGTCTGGTATACCTCATGTCCAAAACGATCCTCGACATCTCGAAGTATAGAGCCCATACGCAGGCGCATCATGATTCTCTCGGCATCGGTGGTATAATAAGTAGGCTCGTTTTTGCCTTCAGGTGATTCTGAAAAGAAGGTGATGCCATGTTGAATAAGCACAACAAGACACTCTCGAACTTGTTTAGCTGGTAGACCGGTGAATCGAACCAAGTCTGAAAGTGTCAATCGACCTTTCAAGAGCATCTGACGGCCCACTTTCTACATACACACATACACATCTTTAGCGCTTGGAATTCTACTGTCTTCAAAGTTACTTACTGATACAAATGGACCAAAATCCTCAATCAAAATTTCTTTACATAAGCGAGATTCAGAGGACATGTTGGGTTGATAGTCTCGCTTAATTGAGAAGTATAAACTGCTTCGAAACAAGTAATGCTTCTGATTTTTTGAACAAAAAATTGAGGCTTGGAAGGATGCACGCTGTGACCCTTTTTTAGACTTGACAAGAAGGTGATCCAACACTTTCTACAGTTGCTCCAAACTGTTATGAAGCTTGGTATCCTGCCAGCAATATGTTGTTGCCATGCAGTGCGTCTTGAATTCTTGAATTGATTGACTTGCTCAAAATCTTTCAGTGAGCAACGCTGTAAAGCATTATACAAGTTCCCATCAACGGAATGTGGGACGTAAAATCTCGACGCTCTGTAGATTTTTTTAGACAAAATAGCTGCTATTATGATATACAAGTGTTTACGCTTCGGATGGTTCTCTACTTTCGCTTCGCTTCTGTGAGAGCCAGCCTAGACAGCGGCAGCTCGCGCTATCAATTTCCCTTGCGCAGCTTAACAAAATACCGCTACTTTCATCTTAATCCTCCACTTACGCATGAAAACCTTTCATGTTACCTGTGTATCTGATTCTTATCTGATGCTATACATCCATATACACGTAGCTATTACATATACGGGTAAGCAGCATATTGGTATTTTCCCTTTTCGGTCCTCAGTGTCCCTGATACAGCAAAATCTGAGTGCATTTGAGCCGTGTTTTCTCGTGTTAGAAGTTGTTTTAGACCGCTAGAATAGCACCAAGCAATTGCTCTCATCTGGCAGTTACTTTCTGACACCTTTGCTCAACTTTTTGAGGACCAAAAAAAACATGATCAAAATTCGACCAAAAAGCATGAGGTACCCCTCATGATTTTCATCGAAAATCAAACGATTGCGTTTTTCACCTTGAAAATGGAGACTTTTACTATGGTATATCTTGAATCAAAATGTTTCTATCGATCCAAAGCAACCTCGGAAATTATCTTTGTGGGACTTTGATATGTAAAATTTCAACATTTTGGCCAGAAACCTCTTTTCATGTTTTCATAAATCATTTGATAAGTTTATTCAAATCATCTATTTTACTTAGTACTATCGGATGCACCTTGAAAAGTACTCCAGGAAAGCTTAAGGAAGCATGGGGTGATCATCATATTTTATATAGTCAAATCTTAAAGAAAAAGTCTAATCGAGTCGAAAACCATTAGAATTTGGCCAATCTGGAGTAGACTAAGAGTCGGAATTGAGATTAATTTTGGCGGCTGACCGGCTGGCAAACTCAATGCCTTTTCCATCATCAAGGCAATACAGTAATATAATAATACTAGCCAATCTATCTCGCTACGCTTAATGTCGGCGCCGCCCTGTGGACTCTCGCCAAAAACATTTTAAATCAGATATTATAATATTTTGGTATATCAAATAGATTTTAAACAATTTATTATTAGTAAGAAAAAAAGAAAGGTTATATCAGAGCCAGGAGGAGGAGAGGAGGTATCTCCCTCAGCATCCTTTTAGCTTACACTGATATCAAACGAAGCCTATTATTGGGACAATGCTAAAGAAAATTCAAATTTTATGCAGCATTTGTACATCACAATCGCCATTTTCTGATAATAGAACTGCCATATCATTCACTGCTGCTGATGCTCTTAATAAGATGATGACATAAAGCTGGTCATAAGTATATACAGGGTTTGTATAAGATCTACAGCGACTTTTTTGAGATATTGTCATTGCAAAAGACACCTTCATGAGGCAAACCTCCCCAAAAAAGGTATTTAAGCTAAGCAATTATTCTTTCAACTCCATGATACTCATTTAATCAGCATTGCAATCATCATTGTCATCAGCAGAAAGGCATTTAGGTCAGCCAGCAGCAAGCTGCCACCAAAATTGATTCAAATTCAGCTGTTTAAGATTGGACAGATTCCGTTTATTTTCGACTTCTTTAATCTATTATGGGATATCCGACTATATAAATTGTGATAATTACCCTACGCTTCCTAATATATGTCCCTGGCGGTAGGGCGAAGTGGCAGAAACTCCCGTATGCCAACGGGAGGATCCCGGTTCAAATCCTGGTGAACGCAAGTTGTTTGATTTTTTTGGCGTAGTACTGATGTCCTCGTTTGGTGTTTTGTGCTCTTATCCATTATCTATATTTTGACGATTTCCGCAAGACTGTATTGGCTCTAGGTGTCGCACCTTATTAGTAGTAGATTTCTTTCCCAACTTAATTCAAAAAATATCTTATTCCCCTTCTTTGCAGACATTGGGTCCACCAACAGTCTTTTCTATCCCTCAGCATGACATTTAAAGGACTTTAAATAAAACCTGGAGCTCGACTCCCCTACAAAAAAAAAAAAACGCTTCCTAATATATTCTTGAAGTACTTTTCAAGGCGCTTCCAGTGGTGCTAACTGTAATAAGTATTTTGACTGAAATTATTGAGCAATTTAATAAAGTTTGAAATAAGGTTTTTGGCGAAAATAGCCATATTTTGCATATGAAAACCTCATAAAAGTGGTTTCAGGGGTTGCTTTGAATCGATAGAAACATTTTGATTCAAGATATACCATAGTAAAAGTCTTCATTTTTAAGGTCAAAAGCGCGACCGTTTGATTTTCGATGAAAACCATGAGGGGTACCTCATGTTTTTTTGGTCGAATTCTGATCATGTTTTTTTGGTCCTCAAAAAGTTGAGCAAAGGTGTCAGGAAGTTACTGCGTCATTCCGATGGCTCATCAAGGTCGACATGTCAAGATATAAAGGTTTGGAAGCTGTCAAATTTGGTTATGTATAGCTTTATAGAGTGTATTTTACACGATATAAATCACATCTTTGGTAGCTGCACTTTACTGGAAAGGCAGTTCTGTAGTTTGAGCAATTTTTAATTTGAATAGGAGACATATTGATTTCGGTAAAGCTGATTCATGCAAATTTTGATGCACTATGTTGCTGGTAAGCTTATTAACAATGGAAATGAAAACCCGAATTTGCTGCTTAGATACTATGGTTTTGCATATTTACTTCGCAACAATCAAGCCCTCGTACAGACCAATGCTACTAAATGCTGGATTGGATGCTTAGTTGTCATAGGTTTGCACCTTTGCTTCGCTACGGTAAAACCCCCCCTATAAATCAATGCTGTCAAGTGTTGAATCAGACGCGTTATGTTCTTTTCCCAAACCCCCCCTCTCCATTGTCGGCTTTGTCTGTGGTTTTATTCACCTTGTACGGCACATAATTTTATAAAATTCGGAAAGGATATGATTTGTTTTTCTTCTTTTTTTTTTGAATGTTTTACGGTATATACATAGTGAAGATAGATACTTTTGAAGTGCATAGAAAGTAGGTGGCAAATTACATAGCACTATCGTTAACCATGCTATTTTCCTTGGATTCTATATTTATTAACGTCAGTCTATCAAAATACTTGTTAGATCAGCTTCTTTACTTTTTGAGACTTTGAAAGTGTCTAATAGGGACCATAAATTTATTACGTTACGATGAGCATTTCGACTCTTCGATTAGTTTCCTGACCTACAGTACGCTTCGCTTTGATGGAAACCAACCTACATTCAGGTGGCTCGCACTGCCACAGACCTTTGGCTAATAATGCAAAATTAATAATAATAGCTAAAATGTTAGAAGAAACTTGGTTGTTGGTTGAAAGTAATATCTCTAATCATACATGAACCATGCCGAACAAATGTCTGGTAACTCAGTTTCCATATTAGAGTTGTAAAAGTGTCCATGAACTATAAGTTTATTATGTTGTGATGGTATATCTTCTTATGAAGTTTATTGACAAAATTGCTGCTTATCCCATCAATGCTGATTAGGATTGGAATGGCCGTTCGAGGTCAACTGCCGATCTTCCGATTTGACTGTACGCAGCAGAGGATACATCTTATCTTGCTGTTGTGCGATAGTGCATAGCTCTTGAAAGAATCTACGAAGCAGAATGGTTTAGATGTGATTTCTGCCAGTATCAATTAGCAAACTTACTTTGTCTTGTCAGACTTCTTGTATGCAGTGACAATGCCGCTTGTACTAGGCATGACAAACATGACAGTTTCACCCTTTTCACCATCTGCGGATAGCCATTTGATATTATGCTCTTTCGGTTGGAGACCCATAGTATTACATTTCTTGTTCGAATATATCTCGTAGATGCCTTTTCCTACAAAGCATGCAACTCTCGGACGAAGTGTCTCAAACTTGTGATTCAGTGTTGGAATGCCTTCTCTCTGTTCCGCGAGCGACAAGTCAGTTTGTCTACGACTTGCTCTTGCAGTCAGATTTGTGAATCCCAATCGATATAGTGCTGGTAAATCTACATCATCTGCAAATGTCACTTTACGATCTACTAAGCCGCTCTCTGATAAACACGGCCAAAAGTGATTTGTGGGACCTGCATAATGATGGCCCTTCGCAGCACTTGTCAGACCTGGATTTATGCCTACAAAGAGTACTTTCAAGTCAACATCTACGTTGTCTGGTACGCTTTGTGGGATGTGCTCGATTTTAGTCTCCTGTTTGATTGTCTTGACTTGCTCCTTCTTGAAGTAGGGTGATGTTTTGGCAGTTTCCTGCTTCAATAACGTGGAGCGTCTGGTTTTCATTGTTTGGATGAAAGGAGATACTAATTTATTTGGTTGTGTTATTCGCAAGGATTTGAATGTCATGAAACAGTCCTCAACTACTAGGAAATTTACAAATCAGAAATCAAATGTTGGGAAAGAATATACAAGCTTGATTTTTAGGAAAAGAAGAAAAAAGGAAAAAGGATTGTATGTGTGTAAATATTATATGGGAAAAGAATTGCAAATAAAATGATACAGAAATGACGGTGGAGAAATTAATAAGAGGAGGTTGGAAGCATGCTGTGAAAAATATTAAATCTAGAGTGTCTACTTTCAAATGCCTGATCTCGGCCTTTCGCTTGTCGAGGATTTCCCTTCTGGCGACGGTTGTGGTGGTATGTTGTTAGGTGTAACCACATTCTTTTCAGTTGGTGAGTTGCTATTTTGCTCCATTGGTGATTGCTTTTGCTGTTGCTGTTTGTCTTGCTGCTTTATCTCTTCCCAAATGTCAACATTTTCGTTGATCTGATCTACGGTGAATTGCATACCTATGATGAAAGCTCCTCAGTATCACTATTCACTCATAACCTCACGCACTATACTTACAGGGAGTTACTTTGCTGACTGACTCGAACAGTTTTAGCGCAACAAATCGTTTGAACGTAAGTTGGAAATCCTCTAAAGGAATCTTTCCTCTTTCATTGATGGGCAAAACGGTCATGCCCAACTCTCTTTCCAGATCGCCTTGCTCAAAAAATTCCTCTGCTAGTATCTTGGCCCATCTTTTGGCGGATTCAAATGGACGAGCCTAGTCAAAAAGTGTCAACTACGAGTGACGCCTCCCTTTATCAAGCGGGCTGCTACTTACACAGTTACTGATATCAGCACATTTGATCAATGCTCCGCAGATCAAAATCTTTTCCTTTTCGCAAGTCGCCTTATTAGTAAAGTCGATTTCCTTCCTTCTCAATCGTTGTGCTTGATCCTGGATTTTTGTGACATACTCATCGTGCATGCCCATATCTGTGGCAAGAATGCTATTCACCACAATTTTACGAAACGCTAATATAATTTTGTAAGCATGGTGATATAATCCCTCTCCATGAGAATAAAAAAAAACTTACTAGCATACTCCGGGTTAGAGCGAAGATCGGTCAGCTGACTAAAGCAATGTTCTTTCAATAAATGAAAAAATGACATGGCGTGGAAGCTCTCTAAAACGGATTTATCATTGTACAGAATGGCTAATGGTGCCGAGGTAGTGATCTAGTCAAAAACGCAAGAGATACTCGGTTAGCGCCGATTTATGCAAAATAATAATAATAATAAAAAAAAAAGTAGCTTGTGCATTACCATAAAACTATTATTCACACCAGGATGTCCAACATCATGACCAATACTGGCCATAAGCAATGCGAATATGTCCAACGGCTGAAATAGATTCTTAATGTCTGACTGAACATGCGCGAACTGCACGTCCGGATTCATTGGCTGTAAAACGCCTAGTCTGCACAAGAAATAATAGTTTGCTTGAAGTACGTCTACTGCATGTCGAAAATTGTGATAAGGATTCGTACTGTGATAGGAATTACAAATGTCAAAGATGAAGTGGTACAAATCACCTAAAGATATTTGTTTTTAGTACGGGTCAAGGCGTCCACGTGTTTTGAGCTTTGTACCACTTACCACTGGGAACACGGAGTGCTTCAAGTTCATCAAAGGTCGAGAGAACTTGGTTCAGAATCATGTAAACAACTTGAATCAAATCCTTGTTATCGAAATCAAGCGGCAGAAAATCCCAAGTACAAATCTGGACTTGAAGGTACTCTTTGCGCTCACTATTCAAACATTGGCATAAGTCCAATTTCTCAATGAGGTCTCTGTGGTGATCGTACTTTAACATGGATGCCATTGAAGATCGTCTGACACTGGGCTTAGGGGTATAATAATCCGCCACAAGTTTTGATAGCCTGACAATCAAAAAGAGTACAGGTCAATGACATTGTTGTTCTATCTTGTACCAAAAAGAGATCACTTACCAATGCTCTTGACGAAACACTCCCTTTAGACGTCCTTTGAACTTTGCCCAAATCTCTCCACATTCCGAATCTTTTTCGTTTGGACACACTTTTGATACTTGATTCACATTCTGCATGGTTTTTTCGCTTCGTTCAATACGATATCGAGTAACATTCTATACAACCCAAAAAATCAATCGGTTGTGCAATGCAAAAAAAGGCAACACTATTCACATACCAAAAATAACGTCTTTATAACATCCTTGGACATTGGTTTGAGTACGAAATCCGCTGCTCCTTCATGTAAACACTTGACCATGAATGCCGGAGAATCCTGATATGAACATACTGAAGGAAAAAGGTCAGTAAAACTGCTGCGTTCTTCAACATTCTTCTTCTTCTACCTATTGGAACTACATTGGTCAAGAGTCCTTGGCGTAATAAGTAAACAATCTGCAGTAATAAATCGGGGCAATCCTCGGGAGCCTTCATATGACATGATTCGGCATCGATCAGCAAGAGAGTCGACGTTGTCTCGTTTTGTTGTTGCTCTTTGAGTTCGGCAATGATGTCTGCTTTTCTGGACTGGACGACAACTAGCCACACAATACAGTATTAGTTCATTGATTTTGATTGTCAATGATAGATTTGCTTCAAAGCTCACCGTTCGAGAATACAGAATAAATCAAATCAAGCATCTGGTTACAATCTTCCTTGGAGTCATTAAATACAACAACCGAACAATTGTTAGGGTTCAAACGCTTCATAATGTCACTACTAGTTGAGGATTATCTGCCGAGATTCATTTAGCATTTTGACATTTCATTTTACAAAAAAAAAACGTTCGATCTTATTTTACCTATGGGAACACACACACAAGCAGAGCCGAGAATATTTATATATGTACAATAACAAAAGAAGGTGAGATTATATATTTTTTCTCAAGCAAGAAAAAGTGAGGGAAGAGAAAGAGAGAAAGAATAAGCGGGGCGCTTCAATGGCCACGCGATATCATATAAAACCACCATATGATTGGCTCTCCAAAACTGTCAAGACATCCCACTTTTTTTCCATGCTGCGATCCTAATCTTTGTTGGCATCGAGTGCCCAAAACAGCACCATAGTCGGGAATAAAAGCGAAACAATCATCTCCCATTTGCTATATAGGATGAGAGAAAAATGCGAAAAGTGAATGGGTTTTCCAATCTTCTTTCGAGAGCCTTTATAGATACTAGAGATTGGATCTCCAATTCAAATTCGAATGTTCGAAATGGTTGCATAGATCCTCCTTTCCTTGAAACCAAGGCATTTACAAATGCTAAATAAGATTGTTTGGGGATGATGGGGGGGTAGTAGAGGCTTTCTAAAAGTAAGGAAATGTGCTTTTGATTGATTGAACAGATCATGAGACACATTTGGATCATCAAAATCTGCTTCAATCACAGGCGAGAGTTGCGTTTAATGAAGCTAGGCGTATATGCTTCTCAAAAAAAAAGAGTTTATAGCATCTGGACGTTTGTAGAAAAATCATGGAAAACCATAAAAGGAGCAATCCTGTCAAATCGTTATAACAGAAACAGTACCATAGCAAAATGTGGATTTCACAGATGACTAATCCTATTCACCAAGTTTCAACTACTCCCAAAGAGCAAAAACAATTCACCAGCATCTTTTAGACGAATCACTAAAACAACAAACTTTTTCGTTGCATTTTGTAAATCCAATTGTAAAACTAGCTATGCAAACTTCTATTCTATATTTTCTTGTGAAGACTTTTGGAATTCTCATTTACGACTCTAGTTGAGCAATCATGCCTTTCCCACATTCAGATCAGGTTGATCTCTTTAGATCTTCCTCAAGCAGCATTTGCAAATGCTTCAAATCCAACTTAAAATGTATTAAAAGACTTGTACTATTTTGGTTAAGCACAGGTTCGAACAATAAAATAGACTACTCTTCAAAAGCACCTTTTCTTGCTATTGAAGTCATAATGATATTCTTTCTCTCCGAACTATACTTTGACCTCATCGGCTGATTCCAATTACACTCGACCCGAAACAGTGGTAAACATCTGTCGCTCGAGTTGCAATGCTCAAGGGCAATAGTGAGGTTCCAAGTTTATGCAGGAACATCATTTTACGAGTGTTTGATATTAAACCCTATTTGTTTAGTCGGTAATGCGCTTAGCTTTGGTATTGACTTGGAATGGTTCCTTGTTTATAGTCAACCTACTGAAAAACTGAAGAACTAACCTTACTGTAAAAGCTAATCGTCGCTTGAGGCTAATCAATAGATGAGCCAATATATACAGCGCTTCTGAAGGCTCACATCACCAAGACATCAACTGATACAAGCTCATATGCGCCTGTCTCATGCATGTCTCATGCTAGTCAATCAATGTGCCGATCGGTTCACCAATTGTCCTATAAAATTGAAGTGATTATTTATCGGACCATTTGCTTGGAAAGATCCCCCCTTCCCCTCTTTTTCTTTCATGAGTGATCCCAAGATTTACAAGTTGGAAACCACATTGGTATATCTGGATCTCTTTAGGTAACAAGAGACAAAGAGCTACTCTAATCCCAAGATCTTTAGACAGGTGTTGGTGTACTCGGATACACCTTTAGAGAAATTTCATGCGGTCATTCAAGCTACCATGGGCTGGTTCAACCGCCATTTACATCAATTTGAAACGAGTGATGGTCAAACAATTACAAACAGCGGTTTTATAAATGGTGCCTTTGACGCCCAGGACGAATTGGATGGTGAAAACATGACAATTGAATCGGTCTTGAAGAGACAGGATGAATGGATGTTGTACACCTATGATATGGAAGATAATCGGGATCACGAGATTGTTTTGCAAGAAATTTTGCCTGTGAATGAGGCCCAGACGTATCCACAATGTATTGGAGGTGCTAATGCATGTCCTATTGAAGACTCAGGAGGCTTGCAAGGATACGAAGACCTTCTTGAAACTCTAAGTGATCCAAATAACCCAGAGTACGAGGAAATAAGTTGTTGGATCCTTCGAGTCACTGGTGTGCCCACATACGATCCAAGACACTTTGACAAGAATGATGCAAACCGTCGTCTGGCAAACCTCAGCTTATATGAACAGTAATCAGGTGTCATGAAATGCTCTTGCTCTAAATTCAACCCTACTAATAAATATTGAGATTTCTCTTTTTAATGTTCAACTATCGCGTTATAACCTTTTATGAGCAGCCTGTAACTATGGATAGGACTCCTTCCGATGCTCCCCACTTGCATTAATAGGAGCAATTCGTATACAGGCAGATGGAATTTTAGCATTACCCCTTTCTTCTCTTTGTTTGTGCCAAGCGCAGCATGAGTTGCATGTGTTTGATTCGTGTTTTCTCGCGTTAAAAGCTGTTCTAGACCTCCAAAATGGAACCAAACAGTTACCCTAGTCCAGCAGCTACTTATTGACACCTTTGCTCAATTTTTTTATGTTGGTCAAAAATCGACCAAAAAACCATGAGGGGTACCTCATGGAATCAGTTGACCGCATCCACGAACCAGTTCACCTCAACATTGCTACCGCCTTAATCCTACCTGTCAAAGCCATTCTGCAGCCGTCTGTCACTGCCTCCAAAATGCCGATTAGGGCCACTCAGTTGCAAGTGAAGGATCTCTATCAACCCAATCCTGACCAACCTCTGCAACTCGAAGCGCGAAAAGCACCAACCATCCCAGCTGACATTCGACGCGCTTGCAAGAAAATCCTGAAGCAAATCAACGAGAACAAAGTACATATCCAACCGTACTTTAGCCTCATGCTACAACCTCCTCAGGATGGCACCAACCGCACAACCGACATCTCCTTCAAACCGTTCATTGACTCCTATGACTTCAACAGCCAGCAAGGCATCACTCGACAGATTTCAACCAGAACATTCCGCACAGCATGCATCGAGGCTCACACCTCCAGCATCGCCAGGTCCAACTGGAATTTCTTCTGGTCTCTGTCCCTGAACCTTGTCCACCGTAATGTCATCGATCGCTTCCTCACCCACACCATCCCGACCAAACGCCTGCTACACTACTTTGAGATAGCTGAATCACCTCTCTGCCCGATCTGTGGTAACGAAGAAAATGCTGTACACTTGCTTTTCCTCTGTTCCAGTAAGGTATCCATCTGGAAAGCTATCATCTTTGAATTCCTGTGGCCAACCGTTTCGATTGGTGATATTATCCAAGCCTGTTCCTCTCTTGACTTTGAAAACATCAAGTATGTCTCCAAATCGTACACCACTGCTCACATGGTCGTACTGGTAACACTTGGCAACATTTGGCGAGCTCAAGTTCGTATGATTTTTCACTCGACTCCATTTACATGGATCGATGTGGTCCAGCAGATCAAGAACGGGCTCCTTCAACTACAAACCCAAACTGAAATTCACAAACAATTGTAATTCTCTAATCACAATTGTCATCTATCATCTGTTCCCGTCATCTATCGCTTAATCCTAAATATAATTGAATATCATATCAATTGCGCCCGCCTCTTGGCAGTGCCCTAGGGACCTACTTACACGGAGCAATCAATAAAAACAATTTACAAAAAAAAAAGTACCTCATGGTTTTCATCGAAAATTGCCGATCCACAACTTATCCACAACTCAATTATGCACTTCAAACTGAAGCATTATTATATCTACAATTATGACTTACACATCACCATATATGACCTCTTTGCCACCATTATGCGTACTATCTGGAGACACCATTATCAACAGTTTTACAACCTCATCCCCTTTAATGCCATCCAATTCTGTCGCCACATCCGCACAGAACTGTTAAGATTGTCAAATCTTAGGCAACTCTCCCATTAGTTTATTATTCGAGATTTATATATGGCGAGTCATTTTGTCTCCATACACTTGTCCATCTCTTTGATGCATTTGTTTTATTTCTAATTACTATTCTAATAAAATAATATCATCCAAAAAAAAACAAAAAGTTTTCATCGAAAATCAAACAATTGCGTTTTTGACCTCAAAAATGAAGACTTTTTCTATAGCATATTGTACATCAAAATGTTTCTCTCAAACCAAAGCATCCCTTGAAAGTTTGTTTGTGGTATCTTCATATGTAGAATTTCGACATTCTCGTCAAAAATGCTATTTCATATTTCACAAATTTGCTCCATAAGCTTATTCAAAACACCTGTTATAATTAACACCATCGGATGCACCTTGAAAAGTACTCCAAGAAAGCTTAAGGAAGTTTGGCATAATCATACTTTACATAGTCGAATCTGACAAGTTTGTCTAAACCAAGTCGATATTGACTAAAATTTAGCAAATCAGAACACTATTTCGAAGCTGCGTTTCAATTAATTTTGGCTGGCAAAGTCGATAAACGCTCTCAAATCATTCTTTTGAAGCGAATAACAAGGGGATTGCCAACTGAAAAGTACTAACACTTAATCCAAACACTATATTGCTGCTTTTTTTTTGCATGTCGTAGTATATGTGATATTTGATTGAGACAAATTGCTCATCCAAATGCGAACTGTAGAATGATATCCGTATTTAGGAAACTGAATATCCTATTTCGAATATGAACCGTACCTTGCGTTCAATTATTTGAGAAATCTGCTTGATGTGCATAGTGTTGGTCTGTCAAAGCAGGCGAGCTAATTGTTTGAACAACATAGCAACGCACACTATCAATGGTTGTACATATTGGCTTTCGTCTTAGAATCGTGCGCTTCAACAATGAGATGTGTAGAAAAGCGGTGACCTCTACAGACTTTGAATGAATGTCAAGCTTACGTTCTGCTTTGCTGTTGTGCGTCTTTGAATCGTCAAATACTTGAAATGAACTAGAATCCTGTATTGACTTAAAGCGGAATGTGATTCTATTGTTCAGAATGATTTCAAATGTATCTTTTTCGGGATGTGCCTCCGTTTACTAAACATTTCATTGTTGCATGCTGTCCCTAAGTTAAACATACCTACATTATACTACAAGCCGACTGAATGTTTTTTTTTTTTCGTAGACTGTTTGGACTGACGCTGATCAGTAACGCCTAGTTTTGCTCTAGTCAACCAAACGATACAATTAAGATGGTGAAACCTGAATTGATAACCAAAGCCAGCCTTAGTTTGTCTTACCAGGACCACCTTTTTTAAAAAACAGAATATAAAGATGAGCTCCTTGTTGCCATTGACCCTTCTTCTCTCATTTTATAATCACCTTACACTGTACAATACAAAGAAAATGTCTGCTAAAATCCATACCTATGAGGAAATCGCTCAACATAACTCTAGAAACGATCTTTGGATTGTTATTGAAGGAAAGGTGTATGACATTACCAAGTTTTTAGATGAGGTAAGTTCAAAACGTTGGCATGTTTCTTGGCAATCCACTCATGCTGCTTGTAATAGCATCCCGGTGGCGAAGAGGTTTTGCTCGACGAAGGAGCCAAGGATGCTACTGCTGCTTTCGAAGATGTTGGTCATACTGATGATGCTCGCGATCTTCTCATCAAGTATTACATTGGCGAGGTGGATCCTAACGTAAGTTTATAAAGAGAGACGTGTGGAATGAAACAAAGGTCTAACATGACTTGAATGCGATAGTCTAAGCCTATCAAGGTAGAGAGAGCTGCCGAAGCTATTCCTGATGCACCCAAGGGAAAGTAAGTATGCCATGCAGGCACTCTCATATTGATGAGGAGGGGATACTATGATTGCTAATCAAACATTCTCCTTGTAGTCCTCTTCGTATCCTTCTTCCTTTGATTTTCCTTGCTATCTATGTTTACTTTAACTATCTTTGAAAATACTAATTTAATAACTCATAGAACACATTCAAAATTTCATATTTATTTCATTTAAACTCTTCATAAAGAAATCATCCAACATTTTATTCAAACCCAAAGTCTGTTGACCTGTTACACACCCAGACATCCTGTTGTTAGTGTCTGTAGCATTCAGGCAGCAGCACATGTAATTTGGCGTGCACCATCACAAGCAATGCATTGCTGTAGCTCTTGCTGAGTAAGGGGACTCTTTCGTCCCTCCATCACTGAACTTGCCTCAGCTTCCAGATGAAATACAAGTTGCATATTGATTGACAGGAGATGAACACACGGTAGCAGCACGTGCCTTCCCAGCATCTAAAACCAGATGAGCATCTGTAGTAACAGAATGCTATAATACGAGTTGCACAAAAAGAAATCTTTAGCGTCCATCTCTTTCTTCTGCATTGCAAAAATGAAGTTAACAGATCATCTTCTCTCATTAGACAAAACCTCCTTTGAAAAGGCAACACAGCACCTATTTCTGACTCAAGTGGGTACCCTTCAAGTGAAGCCTGAGCATCTCAAATCGTGGCTCATCCAAGACAGATATTATACTGGCGGATACATCAAGATGATGGGCATCATGATAGCTAAATTACCGCTTTATCAAGATCAGCGTGAATTGGGCGACAACAATCCATCTTACTCGCCTGAGAAGGCTCAAAACATCATCCGCGTGCTCTCCTTTGCATTATCCAATGTACATCGAGAAAGTCAGTTTTTTACCGACATCTTGAACAGAGATCCTTACAGCAAGTGTCAACAATCCACGCGCCAAAAAGCTTGGACAAGCAAGTACATTGACTTTGTGCGTAAAGTGGCTCAAGAAGGAGGCTATGATTTAGGTGAATCTTTGGTTGTTTTGTGGGCCATGGAGATTATCTTTTTCCGTGCCTGGAACTTTGCCAAGTCTGTCAATGCTGAATTGAAGGAGAAGAATGGAAAGGACTCTCAAGATGTACATATTGCTACTTGTCATGAACTGATGGTTAACTGGACCATGGAAGAGTTTAACGATTTTGTCAATGATTGCGAGAGCCTCGTCAATGAACTCGACACCAGTGATCCTCGTCGTATGGCCAGCTTTGAAAAGGTGTACAGGGACATTTTGGCTCTTGAAGTTGAATTCTGGGATATGGCATACAATTAGCGAACCATTCTGTATGATTGCAGTTACCGTCGTTTCCTAGTAAATAAACAATGGGCTGAACACAATAGATCATAACGTCCTACTACTGACAGGGGCTGCGTAGCGAAGCTCCTCGAGACATGACGAATCGCGTCGCATTTTGTAGCCAACAAACAACATGTGTGACCCTTCAAGTTGCGCGTAGATCGCGTACTCTGAAAACAGACCATCATGTCCGAGAAAATGAAAAAGCACCGTTGTTTCTGTTCATTTACACTCGCACAAGTTATGTCTTTAGAAGAGCCGCCTGTTATTTTGCTGCGATGGTGTAAAGACAGAAGTGGCATTCGACTGAAGAAAGACTATCTCAGATTATGGAAGGCTGCCAAGAGCCAGCCCATTGTCGATTACGAAGCTGCCTACTCTGAACTCGTAGCCGATTTCCTCAAAACTGATATATCAACCACATCAGAGCCTGTTATTCAAGACGAATTTGCTCAGAACCCTGTAGATACATTTCCAGTAGGTCATTTGCGAGAAGGATGTGGTGTCATACTTCAGATACAAGACACTTTGGATATCAGACATTCTACTTTTTCCTTGTTGAATTCTTTGAACAATGCTACGCCAGTACGACAACTATACATCGAGAGAAACGAAGGAGATGATGTTAATCTGCCCAGGGGCATGTTGCAATGGGTGCTAACAGACGGCACCAAACAAATATACGCAATGGAGATTGAGGCCATTCCAGGCTTGGATCTAAAGACTCCTTTTGGCTGCAAGGTAAGCTCTCAAGAGTATATTATATGTGATTTGACTAAGCAGTTTCATACTAGCTGCTCATCAAAGGATGTCGGGTCAGAAGAGGGATGTTGATGCTGACAAAGGACAATGTCAAAGTGCTGGGAGGCGATGTAATGGAGCTATATGGAGGAGACATGATTGCAGAACTGGAGGATCGATTCAAGAGGAAACTGGGCATTATAAACGAGCCAATAACACCAGTGCCTACAGAGAATGGTAATATCCCTGGAGCACACGCCGCGCCTACACAAGCACAAAACAGCAGGAATCCTGCAATGTCCGCACAGAGCATAATGCAGACAGAACAACCAGATAACTTTGACGACGACATAAATTACGATGACTTACCCATGGATTCCTTCGAAACTGACACGGCAAGCTCGAGGGCGATGGAGTCTGTTGGCACAGATTCAAATGCAACACTTCTCAACACTGCCAGCATGGGCTACAGCGATGATGATGATTTCATGGATCCACCGCCACCGCACGTCAGTCCTTCTCGTCCATCCACCAGCATAAACAGAGCCAGCTTGACTAAAAGACCGCAGCAAGCACAAGAAACAACCGCTTCAAGCAAGAGAACCAGAGTAGAGGCCTCATCGCCTGTAGCAGAAGTACCCGCATCGACCACACCAGCACCACCACAGCACGACCAAAATGTTGTAGAACCGACTCCCATGGACACAGACGAAGACGATGAAGATGAACAAGGAGATTTGTCATTTGTGGATCCCAGCGTGTGGGCAAATTTCGAAATGGCAGTTAACAATGACAAGATTCAATACGATGAACAAGGCAGAGCCAACTGCTCATTCGATATACTGAAACAGATATTGATTGACATGCGAGAACAGACAGGTGGCAATGTGCCAGATACACTGCGCGTCAAGGCACAGTGCATCAAGATGGCCAAGCTCAAAATGCATGTAAATCAGTGCTTTTATTTGGAGCTTTTGCTGGGTGATCCTATAGTCAAATACGAAAAGAGTGGGCCTCTGGAAGGCACCATCAGAGCAGTAGTGAATAACGAGGTAAGACAGAACACTACTCGCACCTGTCGATTGGCGTACTCACTGCTCGTTTGCCGTTTAGTTGATGTACAAACTCATGGGTAAAGAAGTACACGAGGTAAAAGAGATCTATGCTAAGGGTGGTCAAGCAGGAATTGCAAACCAAGTGTTGAAGCCAGTGCGCAAGAAGATTACTCAGATTGTGGTGTATCTCACTTTGGACATGACGGTACTGGAGAAGAACTTGGATGATCCACAGCACGCTTTGATGCCACTCATCACCAACTATGAGCCAGCTACCTCTGATTAAGCATTAGACTGCAATATACCCCCTTTTACCCAGATGCACAATTTGTAGAGTAGTTTTATATATACCTCAAAACTAATAAACACAATACAGTACTTGCCATATATGATCAGCGTGAGTAGTAGTACCACAATCACATCTATACAAACATTATGCAAGTGATAGGGGCGATGAAGCTTTTCTCTATCTATGTAGGCACGTCAGCAGATGTTGTCTTTGTAATGCAATGCCATGAGATGCACCTTTTCTTTTTCTTTTCTTTTTCTTTATAAATGGAATCCAATTCAATCGTCTTGTCGGCTGTAAAAGCTGTTACGAGCAAAGCAAACAATCTATCTCGCACACAAAAGGTCATCTCCATCAGCGCTGCTTTAGTCGCCACGCTCACCTATGTGTTGTTCAAAAAGACAACCACACCACCAAAGAGACTCAAGCACATCCCCCATGTGGACTATGTAAAGATGATGATGGCGTTACTTACTGGTAAACCAATGATGGACATCAACAAGACATGCATCGACCCTGTTATTGCCAAGAGCTCCATTGGGCTCTATCTGGTAGGTATAGACTGCAAGAAGTGAGCGATACAAGGCTAATGTGCTTCCAACTGCTGGCTATCATCAGCGACCAAGTAGAAAAGTGTGGAATATCTACGTTACTGAGCCCGAGCTTGCAAAGATCGTATACAACAAGAATGGTATGTAAAAGCCTAATAGTGTGTGATACCAGCATGACCACCATGTGTAACTGTTGAATGGTAGATCTGTTCCCAAAGCTTGATTTGACTCAGTTCAGCGCAGGAACTTACATGGGCAAGTTTTCGGCAAGATCAAACAACTTGTTCTTTTCAACTGGAGATGAATGGAAACGCCAGAGACGAGTAAGCTGTTTATCATAGATGGATGTTGTGTGAGTTATTTACAGGGTGCATTGTGACAGATTGCAAACCCTGCCTTCCATAGAGCAATGCCCATCAGTTTGTTTGGCTTGTACGCTGAAAAGTTGTTTGCATGCATCTCTAAATCACACACCACCAACGGCAGTGTAGTTGATTTGAGCGGCTATGTTACCGATTTCACTTTGGATATCATTGGCGATGCAGGATTTGGCAAGTACCACCATGGTAAAAAAAAAAGACCGCATCGCATTGGGGGCTTACACCTTGATAGACTTTAGATTCAACTCTTTGCAAGACTCCACCAGTGAATACGTTACGAGGTATGAAAAGGTAGTCGAGGCATTGATGGATCCGTTGTTCTATTTGTTCCCTGCTTTGGATAAGGACTATCTATGGCTATTTCCGAAGCGTCAAGAGATTCATAAGGAATTGGGTGTATTTCTGGACATGGTTCAAGAGATCATTGTAAAAAAGAGGCAAACATTGACTGAGCAGAACAGGCTAAAGGAATTGGCAGTGTCAAATGGAGAGGCTGTGGATGAAGTTGAAAAAAGTGCAAATGACAAGGACATTTTGACACTTTTGATTGAGAGTGCTGACGAAGAAGAGAATAAGGATATTTCAGAGATTAGCGACGACATGTTGTTGGTATGGCTGGATTAGATATTGGTTGAAATCACGTACTCATAGATTCACTGCAGAGTAACATGTGTGTGCTATTCACCGCTGGACATGATACAACTACGGCTGCATTATTGTTTTGTATTTATGAGCTAGCTGTCAATCAGGTAATACACACAGATGACGGTAAAAATGAAGTGCTGCATAATGAATAGCATTTTTGTCGATAGAGTATCCAAGAAAAAGCAAGAAGCGAAATCATTTCCATCCTGGGTGATGAAAAGTCAGACGTATTGCCAATAGCAGAGCAACTTGTAAAGATGGAATACCTAAATGCAATCATAAAAGAGGTTAGACATGCCACGGTTATCAGCCTGCTTGATTGTTCGCTGACTAATTTGGTGATAGACACTTCGCTTGCACTCTCCTGTGGCCGTGAGCAGTCCTCGCCTCGCTATGGAAGATTGCATGTTGGGAAGCACTTTGATTCCAAAAGGCTCCACTGTTGTCATTGATGCTATTAGCATCCACAGGAATCCCAAGTACTGGAAGTATCCCGATGTGTTCAACCCTGATCGGTTTGTAGCCGGTGGTGAGGCAGAGACACATGCTGGATCAGGTTTGACATACGTGCCATTTGGCGGTGGTTCTCGTCATTGCATTGGTAGAAATTTTGCTATAAATGAGCAGAAAGTCATGCTGTCCATGTTTTGTAAGTGTATCCTTTGCTTGTTCAAATGGTGACATAATGACTGATGCACATTGTATACATAGTGAGAAAATACACCTGGACATTGTCAGAGGATAGTATGCACAAGAATGGGCTTGTCACCAAAGGCATTTTTCTTTTGAATACGCCTGAAATGAAAGTTGATTTGACATCGCGATACTGAATAAAGATGTTTTTATTGTTGTCACCCAACGGGCACATCAACATCAATGGTATGATGCATAATTATATGAATAACCAAAAAGATGTTCAATGACATCCTGTTATAATATACTTGCCAGCCTTACTTTATTACGTGAAAGCCCTCCTAAACAATCTGTAGATGCGGATCTAAATCTTCTGAATTGCTCCACATCTATACAAATGGAAGCATCTTAATATACAGGCAGACAGCATGCTCGCATTGCCTCTGGCTACTTGAAAATATACAAATATAGCAAAATTTGGATGCATTTGAGCCGTATTTCTCGCATTAAAAGCTTCTTTAGACTAACTGAATAGCACCAAACAGTTACCCTAGTCCAGCAGCTACTTATTGACACCTTTGCTCAACTTTTTTATGTTGGTCAAAAATCGACCAAAAAACCATGAGGGGTACCTTATGGTTTTCATCGAAAATCAAACAATCGCGTTTTTGACCTCAAAAATGAAGACTTTTTCTATAGCATATTGTACATCAAAATGTTTCTCTCAAACCAAAGCATCCCCTGAAAGTTTGTTTGTGGCATTTTCATATGTAAAATTTCGACATTCTCGTCAAAAATGCTATTTCATATTTCACAAATTTGCTCCATAAGTTTATTCAAGACACCTGTTATAATTAACACCATCGGATGCGCCTTGAAAAGTACTCCAAGAAAGCTTAAGGAAGTATGGGGTGATCATCGCGTTTCATATAGTCGATTGTTTTTTTTTTTTTTTGTAGGTTTCATATAGTCGATTGTCGCAAAATAGATAGATCAAGTCGAAAATTGATCAAATCTGGCCAATCTTGAACAGTAAATATAATCGGAAATTGAAAGATTCCTGATGGCCAGCATGCCTTTCAGATCATAAAGGCAATTGAAGCTCATGATGCTAATAAGAAGCGAATTACGCATTCAAAAGAGCTATCACCGAGCCTGGACGTATTGCTTTCATTTACTGCATGTTTTCATATCAGTAACTTCTGATCGTTGCGAATTTCAAAACCAATGCAAAGCTTAATGTCAAATGCATGCATGGCTTTCTCCGCTAAAGATCACAAAATAGCAGAAAAAGGTGGGATTTCCAGTAATGGAGGTTCCACGCTGGATTCTAGCCATAATCCAGGCAACAACATTTTTACCTATGCATCACTTTTTCAAGATATCAAGAGTCAGAAGCGAACAACCTTCAACATTGCTCCAGCTATCGACAACAACGCCTCCACAACTGGAAGACCTTTGGACTACAACTCAACATTCGTAGAAGCTAAAGATGACTACTCTCTCGTCATTGATTGTTCTCAATTTGCTGGGATGGTATTCAGAGAGAAGCCCTTGCTCACTTGTCTTCGAGATCACTATTCCAAAGGATTGGGAATTAGAACACGTATGGTTGGTAAGAACCATAAGGTCATTGAAATCAGCTTTCCAAGCCAGGAAGATTGCGAGGAGGCTCTGAACAAGGAACTCGTCTTACAAGGGAAGATAATTAAGGTGAACAAGACTTTGGACAAAAATGCCAACGTCCTCAGAGTAGGTGTCTCTGAGCTTCCTTACAAAACTGAAGAAGTTTTGAAGCCTTTGATGGTGGAGACCTTCCAAAAATATGGGGACATTCTCAATCTTGGTCTTAGCTATACCAAAGATGGTAATTGGTTTACTGGTCGCGGTTTTGTCACTCTAAATAGGGACAAATTAAAAAGTTACGCAGCTGAACTTACCCCTCAGATCCAGTTTGGGAATTTCAAGGAGAAGCTACATTTGGTTTGGAGTAACATGAACCCAATTTGTCAAGACTGTCACACTGATGATCATATCAAAGCTGATTGTCCTCGAACAAAGAGGAAAGCATGTTTCCGATGCGGAAGCTTGGAACATCTCATCGCCGGGTGCCCATTAGCCTCATGGAATAGAGTGAAGAAAACTAATGATCACAACAAACAAGGTCAACATCGCCAGCAAGAAAATGTTGCCCAACCTAAACCTATAGGTAGAAAGGTTGACCTTTTAGATCTAATGAATGTGGACCCTCCTAAGTACCTCAACCACAAGAAGGGGAAAAGGAAGGCTACATCCCTTTCGTCGAAATCCACAAGCGATGATGAGGCACTTTCCAAGGGGGAAGTATCTTCAGCTGACGAGCCAGAGTCTGATTCCGACGCTGAAAATGTCCAAGAACATTCAACCAACTTGAACGACAGCAAGGATATGCAAATGGAAGAGGAAGGTGACTCCCATGATGGTGAATCTCAGGGTGATGAATCTCAGGTTGCTGAATCCGAGGGTCGGGAATCTCAGGCAGGTAGCCTCTCACAAGAGGATGCTCCCAAGGGACATCTCGAGGAGGAGGAGGACAATAATTCCTTTGGTGATGAGGAGTATGTCAAGTCTACTAGCGAGGAAGATAGCGATGGGGAATCTCCTAAGGTTGTTCAGGACAATGTAAGTAGATATAACTTGCGACACTCTGGGCACAAGAACAGTGTAGATGAACCTACTGAGGAACATCCCAAGCGATCTATCGATGAACTGGCTTCTACCCCTCCAGTAGAGGACAGCGAAGGTCCTAGCAAAAAGCAGATTAAACAGCAAGAGACTAACACCAGAGACGAAATGGTCTTGGATGGATCATCAACCACAAACACATTATAATTAATTAATGAGTAACACCAACCAAACTAGAAACATTAACATTAGGATAGGTTCCCTCAATTGCAGGAACCTCAACAAACAATATAACACCAATACAACAAATAGGTTCATCACCTACCTTAAGCAACAAAAGTTAAATATATTACTATGCCAGGAAACAAATATTCCTCACCATTCCTTTGAAAACATTACAACAAATTTTAAATATCAATTCCAGTACCACCAAGCAATTTGGACTGGACAATGTGGAGTCATCAACTTCAATCCATCACTGAATCTACAACAAATCAAAATACTAGAAGACGGAAGAGTTATTCTGACCAAGCTATCACTGGTTAACAATAACATGCCTCCAATTTACATTTTAAATATCTATGCTCACTCTGATGACTACAGGGCGAGAAATCACTTGTTCGACCAAATCATCAGTCTCCTCAACTCCATGCCTGAGATTATCCCTTCTCTCATCATAGCCGGTGACATGAACTGCTGCTTCGACTCCACAATCCAACGCTATAATCGCCAAACTGGAAAGCCCAAAAGTTTCATTGAATTTTTGAACACTCACTTTTCAGATTGCTTGAACCAACCAAATTTACCGCATGATTACACTTTTAGACGTGGATCGTCTCTTTCCACTCTCGACTATATGTTTGCAGGCCGCGATGCTTTCTTCAAAATGAGTGATGGTGATATCACATTTCTCTCTCAAGAATGGACAGACCATGCCTTGTTAACCAAGACATACACTACCGGCATGACTAACTGTGGTAAAGGTGTTTGGCGGGCCAACCCCTTTCTTGCGAAGAACCCTATCTACGTCAACAAATTAAACACTGCTATCTCTAACTACGTTGAAACCAAATTAGATCCTAACCTATCTGCTCAAGAAAAATGGGACCTGATTAAGAAGAAAACTAAGCAAGTTACTCAAAACTTCAGCCGCACTCACTGTTCATGGAGGAAAGCTAAAATCAAGAAGTTACAGAGCGAGAGGAACAATTTGCTACGTAGGTACCGGGATGATTCCGTCTGTCTTAATCTTTTGCTTTCTCCTGTCGAAAAGGAGCTATCCCAACTCCAACAAGAGATAGTTGACGTCCAACGACTGAGAGCAGGACAGAGATGGCACGAGAAGAGTGAAAAGTCTCCAGGTTACATCAAGCAAACATTAGCGGAAAAGGCATCCAAGCGAACAATCTCTAGCCTAAAGCATCCTACTTCCGGGGAACAATGCTTGGAAACTAGTACTAAACTTGACGCTGCCAAAGTCTTTTATCAAGACCTATACACCGAGGAAGAAATTGATCTCAATTGTGTGGAAAGAATGCTACAATATATCGACAAAACAATTCCAGCTGAGGACTCACAGGACATCATTGAAGACATACCTTACGAAGATATCATTCAAGGATCTCGAAGAACGCCAAATGGTAGTAGTCCGGGCCTGGATGGTATATGTTACGAAATTTTGCACCTTCTAGTAATCAACCCGAGCTGTGAAGCGATTATTCTGCAAGTGTTCAACGATGCTTTATCACTAGGCAAATTCCCAAAATCCTGGCAGGAATCATGTATTGTGCTGCTACCAAAGAAAGGGGATATGACTGACCTTGGCAACTACCGTCCAATAACCCTAATAGCCTCTGATTGCAAAGTGTTTACCAGACTACTTAACTCACGAGTCATAGAGGTAGCAAGTGACCTTATAGGCCCCCACCAAAGTGGTTTCCTGAGAGGTAGATACATTGGAGACCATGGGATGTCGTTGAAAGTGATTGTAGACAATGCACGTGAAGCAAGATGGAACAATTCTGGAGAATTTGTCGAATATGCTGGGATTATGCTGGACAACGCCAAAGCGTATGATAGGGTACATCCCCAGTATCTATCCAAGGTCCTAGTGAAGTTTGGTTTCCCAAAACAGTTTGTCCAATGCATCTGCAAGTTATTCTTCGACAACTCCATTTACGTGAATGTCAATGGCTTTTTAACAGATCCTATCGAGCAAAGACGCGGCATCAGACAAGGAGACAGTATATCACCAATGCTGTTCAACTTGGCTATTGAACCATTTCTGCTATCTGTGACCAAAAGTACAACTATCTCGGGGTATAGTCTCCAGCACGTCAAGCCTATAAGCAAGAGAACAAACAGTTGGGTGGCTCCTCCTCCATTGAAAGTACTCGCATATGCGGATGATGTCCTGACTTTCGTCAAGTCTCGGGCAGAACTTCTTGATCTGGAAGAAAGATTGAGAACTTACAACAAGGCCTCGAACTCCAAGATCAACTACGACAAGTCCGTGGCCTTCCCTCTTCATGGTGGAAGAATGACAAGCCAAACTGGTGGCCTAATTCAAGATCATGCAACAAACAATCTCAAAATCAAATGGTATGATTCTACGTCTACAGGATTTATAAAATACCTAGGTTATCCAATTTGGTTCTGCAATCAACAAAGAGACGTATACATCGCTAAACTGCTGGGTGATATCACTACTGCTGTTGAAAGGTTTGCAGCACGACAAGTCTCACTGTACGGCAGAGCGAATATTGCCAACACTATGATATTGTCCAAACTATGGCATGTCATTCGGATCGTTTCCCTGCCCAAAGACACAGTCAAGAAGATAACCTCAATCATTTATCAGTTTGTAATGTCTGGCCTGTATCCACCTCTAAAGGGCAACTCTCTCTTCCTACCAAGGTATCAAGGCGGTTTAGGACTGATTGATATAATGGCGCAACAAAAGGTTCTGCAATTCAGATACCTGAACGCTTTGCTGACAGAAAACAGCAACAACATACCTGGTCTCACGTATAGGCTACTAGTGGATTATTTGAAGATGTCGCACGACTCACCATCGCACATAATCCCTATACTGTTCCAAACGGCTAGATACAAAAACCAGTTAAGAGGCTTCCACCCTTATCACATGATGTTCGAGGCAATAGATACTTATATGAAGCATTCCCCATTCTCACTCGCTTGGTCTGTCAAACCAAATGTCATGACACTCTTGTCATTGCCAGTGCTGGAAATTCTTGATTTTGTCAATGAGGAAGTAGCCATGGGATACACAAGCAGAGACTCGATCAGGGAGAGTAAAGTTCATGACTTCTTCCACGTCAACCAGGAAACAAGTACTCTGCAGATAAAGCCAAGAAGTGAATGCAAGCGACCAAACATTAGGAATCAGATAGAAAGAGGTCTTCTCTGTGGGAACATCAGATTGGAATCTTTCGCGGATACAAGAAACATGGAGGCTCATCTAGACCTACAGCCTTTCGTTGCTATGCTTAACTACCAAGACCGCCCAATGCTTCAAATGTCAAACAAATACTTGAGATCAATTATGCTGGACATACACAACCTTGATGTTGGACGAAAGTTCAATCATACCATCAGCAAAGTCCAGTGGAAACACTTCTATCATCAAAACATGCATCACTCTGTGAGAAATGTCTGGTATAGAATGATACACAAGCAATGCCCGAGCAAATCAGCTCTTTTCGTTCGACGCCTGAGGAACGTCGAAGATGACAAATGTACCCTCTGCAATGATACTGAAGATGCCAAACATCTCATGGTTAGCTGCCCCCACAAAAACGACATTTGGTCCAACATCTTTGAACAATTCCTGGGATACCCCAAGGTTGCTAATCCACAACAAGTATACCAATCTATAGTTAACTTAAACCTGAAGCAATATTTCATCTACAGCCTCGATATCAAGATTACAATCTTCGACCTGTTTGCTGCCACCATTCGTATGATATGGAGATTCCACCTCCTACAAACATTCGAAGGAGTGCCATTTGATACCAACAATGTCACCAACAAGATCAGTGCTGAAGTGATGAGATTGTCAGATCTCAAGCATCAATATTAGTAGTAGCTTTAATAGATTTTATATATGGCAAGTCACTTTGTTACATACACTTGTCCATCATTTGATGTTATTATAATGTATATTTACTAATAAATAAGCAGCATCCATACAAAAAAAAAAAAAAAAAATTAATGTCAAATGCAACATTATCATCCTATTCAAAATTGCATAGGACGCTTGGAGAATGAAACCCGGCTGCTTGTACAATGCATGTCCGTCTTTTGATGCCAATCTTTGAAGCAGCCTCTATTACAATGATGGTGCTATGCATTACATAAATCAATGGTGTACAGCCATTTGTCTAATGCCACTCTATTTCACCATGATTGTCCACTACCTTTTGCTTTCAAAGCTTTTCAATCACCCAACCAAACAACGAACTACGAGATACAGGCATTTTATGGCTGAGCATGAGTCAGGACAAGCGGCTAGTACGCTTGAACTAAAAAATGGCTGCCCTGAGGCTTGAAATTTATGAATAATGCAACTTCTCACGCACGAAAAGACTCCTCCCCAAGTTATTTAAACTTCAATCTTGGGGTTTTGTATCATTTTTATCTCTTGTTTTCGCGCGCGTCAAAAGAAGAATACATTGAAAATGAAGGTTGTTCATATCGGTGAGTAGCGCGGTAATATCAGACATATCATTTGACTTGCTAAATGTGTCTTGATCCTTCAGTGATTGTCAAATTCAAGCCTGAAGTTACAGACGACATCAAAGAGGGGGCCATCAAGGATATTTTAGCTCTCAAGAATACCATTCCTCAGATTACAGATATCAGTGCTGGCAAGAACTTTACAGACAGAGGCAAAGGATATGAATACGGTAACGTATATTGTCATGTCTTTTATGTAGATATCGCGTGCTCATTGTTTGAGATGTTTTTTTTTTAGGTTGGGTTATTGAAATAGAAAAGAAGGAGGTTCGTGTATATTTGGTACATGATAGATACTGTGCATGACCTACTAACGCTTCGTCGGTTTATTAGGATCTTCCTGTTTATGCCAATCATCAATCTCATTTGGACTTTTTGGCCAAATATAAACCCACATTCGAAGATGTTCTTGCATTTGATTATGAATTTTAAAAATTAAATGAGTACAAGGTTTTGTTTTAGTTTATCAAAAGAAAGAAAAGAAGAAAGAAGGGGAATATGCTGATTATTAAAATTATTGTGAGGATGTAATTGTGGGTGCAGGAGAAGCACCAAACATTTTTCTATCATTAAATATGGTACCAAAAGATGAAACAGTAGCAGGCGTAACTGTGTTTTTACCGTCAAATGCTGCAGGTGAATCGAGAGGCGTCTTGAGTGTCATCTTCTTGTTGAATTTCTGACCTGTTCTCTCAGTCTCCCAGTCCTCCCACTTCTTCATGACAAGGCGAGTTGGATCGAATTTACCGTCTGCGTCTCCATGCGAATCACCCTTCTTTTCGCCTACTACAACACGCGTAGCGCCCCAACTGAAGTCATCGAAATGCCAGAATGAGTAGAGGGGCAGAACAAGATTCCAAATGGGCAAAGCAATGAGGTACACTATGATCAGCACAAATAGTCAATGTCATTGCACACACACACACACACAAACAATTGCTCAAAATAACTTACCAAGCATCCATAGCACATAAATGAATTTAAAGGTGGTGATTGAAATCAGGACTGCAGGAAGACCAAGAATAGCAATCAACAGAGCAAGCGATTGCCATTGAGGGTCACTTGAAATGGCTGTATTCACAATCAAGTAAACGGTCATGACGATAGCAGCAGGCAATACCAGAGTACCGATCAAATCAATAAACACAGAGAACTGCATGGACAAACAAGCAATACCACAGAGGTCAGATACCAACACCAATTCCATCAAGTTGTGCACAGTCGAATTGATCCAACGACGACGCTGAGAGAGCAGCACCTTGAACTCATCAGGTACCACTGTCTTACAGCGTGCCTGAGGTACAAACATCATTTGACGTCTGGGGAATGTACGCAACATCAGAGTCGACAAGAAACGATCTTCACCGAGCAACAGCAGATTCTTTTCATGCAATGTAGTCACCACGTTCTGATTGTACTCCAAGATGATATCAGGGTTAGCCAAGATGGGCACCCAGGCACCGTTCTTGGGCGACTTGATACGGTACATACTGAAACAACCAGGCAAGCAAGTGACAATACCAAACAGGGATTCAAATGCTTTGGCATAGTGATGAGAAATGTAGTATTCAAAGACCTGAATAGCAGTGACCCCTATAATATGAGTTAATATAAGCGTATCCGTGATGTGCATGTTGGGGCGGTAGCACTTACAGGATGATCGTTTGTTGGCAATTCTGGTTTCACCACACAAGCCCATGATAGTAATGTCGTTAGCCATAGCAGCCACCATATAAGTCAAAGCATCAGGTAGAACCTTGGTATCAGCATCCACCTATGCGGAACACAAGTTAATATGACACACGCACACACACACACACACACACATCATGTGTGGCTGCTTACCATCAAGACCAATTCAAATTTATCAGGTGTAACACCTTTCATCAACCATGTCATCTTCCAGAATATTTCATAATCCAGCTCGGATAAGCGATCATTGAACAAGACACGTTGAAAGTAACTCATTAAGATGAGCTATGATCAAAGTGGAGATGGTTTGTTAGGACATGGTGTCATGACAGCATCATCTTGGTCGAATTACTTACTTGGGAATCACGTTTACCACGATTACCAGCTTTAGGAAGATTAGCTTCTTCTTCTGTACCACATTTAACAATGGTAATACAAGGAACACCTTTGTAATGGCCGGCATACTACAAAGCTCTATATCAATACCATGTCCGCCTCTTTTCTTGTGTAAAAGCTTACCACTTTAGCCATGTTCAGTTGCTTCTCTCCGTCCGCAATGGCAAGGTATGATGCTGGCTTAGGATTAGTCATGGTAGGATCGAGATCCATCATGCTGACAACAATGTCCGGAGTCGATTTGGTCTCACCATGACCTGTAATCATACCATCAGCAATAACAAAGAAAATCTGTATGTGCGTGTCAACACAATCAATGTCCAAAATATACCATTCTACGACACATACCTTGTGCTTCTTGGAAAAGGTAGTTTCCGCCAAACTGTCCATGGTGATGCGAAGACCTTCTTCGCCTTCAGAGTAACATGTTACCAACATGACGGTGTACAGCTCAGTAGTGACAATATCGGATTGTGCGCCACCTAAACCAACAGCAGAGCTTTGCTCGCTAAAAGGGGTGTTACGAGATGAACCTGAACCCAACGAAGTTGAAGATGCGTTCTGAACCACGCCGTAGTTGTTGTAGGGTCCAGGAATATGGTTTGCAGGATCGTTATTACCACCTTTGATGGAACGCCAAGCTAACCAATTTGATCTGCCACCAGGCTTGGTCAATCGACGACTGATGAACCATTGGAAGAGCAATGCCATCGAATAACGAATGACAATCATGACAATGATAACCACCAACATGAGTGTCATGATCATGGAATCCGCGATACAGCCACCCGTCTCGGTTTCCATGATGCCGACCTTGTAGCGAGCGACAAGACACTTGCGAGCATCTTTGCCTGCTTGAGAGTACAGGAGAGCATATGATAAATCATTTGCTAGGTTGTTACGTATAGCACGATCCACATCGGCCCCAAAAGGAGGAGTGGGATTATTCAGGAATTTTGTCAGATTCAGTACTACAAGTTTCAAGCGTTTAGTGTGCATACATCACAACAATGATGTTCCCTTTTATATATATATATACCTGAATCACCTACTAAGGCTAGGCCACGACCATACACCAAGTTTTTATTTAGGTCTTGCCAGTCAAAGCCAAGAACAGCTGAAGATCTAAAGAAGCGCTGCAGTTCAACAAGAGAGAAACAGGTATTGTTGGGAGCAGGGAAGGTGCCGCCGTAGGGGTTGTTGAGAGCACAGTTGGTCAGTTTCATGGAGGGGTATTTGGCGCATGCACCCGTCGTATCACCGTCAAAAATGCTGCTAATGTCAGTGTTCTCATAGTCGTTTGTCAAGTTCATGCCCTTGTTCTGGAAAAATTGCTTCATGACGTCCATGGGGTAGATGGTACCAAATACTCGAACATCGCTGTAATACACTGGAATACGGGCACCGTTTGTCACTCTGGAGAAGGGCGAATTGACATCAGGTGTAGGACACAGTGTCTTATTGAGACCGTAGGTAATAAAGGCAAGCGCACCACACAAGAGCAGGATGATATAACACAAGGACAATTTTTCTCTCCATGCTTGCTGCACCATAGCGTTTCGTTTTCTCAAGCATACACGTAAAAACCAATTAGGAATACAGCAGGTCATCAAGAAAGCGAGCCATGCCCACCAACTGGTGAGCACTTTGACCTTTTCTTCTGGCACAGGTGGCTTCTTCTGCTGCTGTTGTGACATTTGCGGCTGATTCAATAGGGCCTCTTGCTGCTGCTGTTGTTGTTGCATTTTTTGTTGCTGCAATTGACTCTGCAGGCGATTGGGCATTGGATAGTTATTAGGACGAGGTCTCTGTTGTGGGTGACCGGCGCCAGGCTGCTGTTGCTGCATATTTCCACCATAGTATCTCTGCTGCTGTTGCATGCGCTGCTGTTGAGAAGGAGATCGAATCATACCTTGACGAGGACGCTGTCTCTCAGGACGAGAGAGAGATCTAGATCGATTCATACTCACTCTGCGATAAGGGCCCTGACCACCCATTGGGCCCGGAGGTACCATGGGCTGCTGCTGTGGAGGTCTCATGGGTCTTCCACCACCTTGAGGCATGCGCTGTGGAGAAGGTTGTTGATTTGGCTGTCTGGAGGACTGATACATGTAGTTGCCAGACTGTCTGGATTGCGGTTGTTGATGAGAGGGAGGGCGTCTTTGCTGCTGTTGCTGTTGCTGGTTATGAGGTGGAGGACGAGGACGATTAAACTGATCCATGCCGTAAGATTGAACTCTTCCTCTTGACTGCTGCTGCTGTTGATGCTGCATCTGAGGCGATGATGATGGCGGTCTCATTGCATAAGGTGATTGTGATAATCGAGGATCAGGTCTATACCCGCCAGATCGATTATTTGGATTTGACATGATCTGAAATTTCAGACGCTCAGAAGAGAATATTTACAGTATTGGAAAAAGAAGAGAAGGAAAGAAAAGGGAAGAAAAGAAAAAGGGAAAGGAATCCCCTCTTTTTAAGGTGATTGTTACTATTTTCATCCATTTGGAAGAAAGAAATCTTTGTGTGTGTAAATGTAATACTATTCTTTATTGGGTGCAACTTTTTTTATGTGTGTGTGTGTGTGTGTGTGTGTGTGTGTGTGTGTGGCCCCTGGAAAACATGGTTTATTATTGATTCAAGTGTAACCACAGAAGCTATTTTTATATCGCGTACATTTTGGGATAATGGGTGTTTAAACAAGATGTGCTAGCCAAACAAAAAAATTTCGTTAGATGTCTTGTGTAAACATGTAAAATATTCTATAGAAAACCTACATTGCGATGGGCCAATCAAAGCAGAGGTGTCTTGCACAGTTACTTGATGAAGTCTATTATTAAATCTATATTGCACTCGAAGGCGCTTCTTCTCGCCCAAGCATGGATCATAGAATCCCAGAATGTTTGTCTAAACTTATTTAGTGTCCCATCCTCATAATTAATCAGAAACCCAACACCAAACTTACCTTTGAATGGCCGCCTGGGATTGTCAGTCGAGACTCATTGACTAGTGTTTGAATCACGGTGGTAACGTCGATCACTCCCTCGACCTCATCTTCCTTGTCATTGTCATTTTCTAAATTCTCTAAATGACCGTACCAAGCCTTGACAATAACAAGACCTATTTGGCAATTCAGATAATTACAGTCAGCATCTCATCCCATCCCTTTAAGCCTCCATTTTTATATATAAACAAACATTACCGTTAGACTTTTTCTCTTCTTGCTTCTTCTTTCTATCAGCAATATCCATCATCAAGGTTTGTGCATCCAAAGCTTCTTGCTTGCGATTAGCAAGATACTCTGAATGCTCTTCTCTCAGTTCATTGATTTTTCTATTGTAAGAATGTATGAGCATCTAATAGCTTGTATAGAACACACAGAACTTCATCATCTGCAACAACAATAACTTACTCTTTGATGAGCCTCTTGCGGCGGGGTTTCAAGACCAACTGATCAAGGGCTACCGCAACGGAAGCTGGGATCACAGCACCGAAGAACGCTAATTTAAGGTCAAACTCGGATGCAAGAATTATAGGTAATACAGCCTTTTGTCCAAGACGAGAAACCCTAATAGGATGTGATATTAATACCCCTCTCTGTGTCTCTCTTTGTATAATTATCTGCCCCCCCTTTATTTCCTTGGTCTCCTTACCTGAATTTCACGACAACTCCAAGAGGCAATCCACATTCCATCGACATGCCAATTCGTACATGTTCCGTCATTTTATGATCGCTGCCAATGCTAACCACAACACCGCCTTCTGATGATAAGGTGCAGGACATACGAAGACGTGCTTGATTGGGCAATTTGTAGGTATGTTCACCAGCAATGTGGGACGACATGATACCCGTCTATTCTCGTGAGATGGTGAGTACTGGTTTTTGGTACATCAAAGACACTTTACCTGAATTTCTCCACTGTAATTACCATGTTTATTCATGCCTGCCATACCAAGTGATACAGAAGATCTGTCCATCTTTTGGGAGATATCGCCACCCCACCCAAACAAAGACCATTCACCAGTGCGATACGTCATGTAACCTGTAGTGGCCGAGAAAAGTCGGCGCCCGACAGTGGCAGAAAGTACAGGAGGGTCGTACACGGAGTTGAGTTGAGCGGTGGTATTTACAAAGCTATATACACAGTATAATTGTGAGTCTGTCAAGATCGTCAACATTTGGTTTATATTACCTGTCTGCAGAAATTGAATAATAAGTTTTTAATGAAAGCATTCTTGGCTTGAGCAATGTAGCAGTAATCTATCAAATGATACACAAATTTAGTTAATATCATTGGCACCATCGTGATATTAAGGGTACTGCTGCTGCTGCTGCTGCTGCCCTTTCCCCCCTTACCTCTCCCCATAATTTAGGGGACACTGTATGACGAATAGTACCCAAGACGTTACCACCACCCATACCAGATCTGGAGACCATGGATCCACCGATCACTACATGAGTCTGAGGTCCAATTTGCGTCTAGTGATGAATGGCAACATGTTAATGTTATGAATCTTCACCGTTTTGTCTCATTTTAATACCTCGAATGAATGGCGCATAAATAATTGCTGTGTCTGTGCTTTGGAAAGTGCATGAACAATACGGTTTCTCTTTTTGGCAGGTTGAATTTGTTGTCCAAATCCAGCAAATACAGGTGGCTCGTAAGGATCAAACACTTGTGTTGCGTTCAATGTCAATTGGAATTCTCCTCTGGATCTCACTAGATTTTCCAAATCCTGCTCTCTCTTTTGGCGAGCCTTCTTTTCGTATTCTTCTCTCAACTAGAGTGACATGCGTTAGCTTGGCTGGATCTGATGCAGCTGCAAGGAGCTTCTTACTTCCTCAGTTGATTTGTAACGAGGTCCAATGTCCCATGATGCATTCAATCCCTCTTCGCCGTATGTGTCATAAATGATTCTCTTTTGGGGATCAGATAGAACTATGTTGTGTGGTTTCAACATTCGATTGAATTGAATGATCCTGTTGCTAGTGTGCCTACCTTCATATGCCTTTTGAATCACTTGGAATCTCGATTCTGCCATCTTCTTCTTGCTCTCATCGGTATGCTACGTAACAAGTCAATATACATATCTTTATCGACGCATTGAGGGAGTCTACCTTATCAGGATGGAAGAAACGGCATAACTTCTTGTAAGATTCTTTAATCTCTTCGTCGGTTGCCTACACCATACATATGATTGCACATACCGTGAATAACGTATCATCAGGCGAGTATATTAAAAGTTACCTTCTTGGAAATGTTCAGAATGCCGTAGAAATCAGCAGACGAAGGTGCCAGGTCTTTTTCAAGTTTCTTTAAATCATCGTCATCTACTTCATGTTCTGTAGGATCGTTCACTGTGTGCGTATACTCATAAGGATCCATCTTGAGATAATTATAGCGTGTGGCAAAAGAAGAAAAAAAAAAGCAGGATACCCTTGTGAGGGTGGGGTGAAATGTATATAATGCGCTTTAGGAATACAAAGTGACTCTTTCGGCCGGGCAGCTGTGTATCTATCGTTGCCCCTGTTGCCGCTCTTCTGTTGGCGAATTGTCTATAACAGTTTGATTTCGTGCCACACCCAATCATAACAAGATAAATTTATGGCCCCTACACACTTTCGAAGCCTCAAAAAGAAAAGTTGATCTTACACACAATTTGGTGGATTGGCGTTATTCAATAAAAGGCTTCAAAAAATAGCATGGCTAAAAACAGTGCTATGCAATTTGCCACCTACTTTCCATATGCTTCAAAAGCATCTATCGCTGTATTGCCTTGATGATGGAAAGAGCATTGAATTTGCCAGCCGGCCCACAAGCTGCCAAAATTGATTCAAATCCAGAACATTTATTCTGTTAAAGATTGGCCAAATCTCGCTTTTTTTCGACTTGATTGAACTCTTTTGCGAGATTCGACTATATAAGTTGTAATGATCATCCTTTGCTTCCTAATACAATCTCGAAGTACTTTTCAAGGCGCATCCAATGGTACCAAGTAAGGTAGATGTCTTGAGTAAATTTACTGAGCAATTTATGAAAATATGAAAAGAGCTTTTTGGCCAAAATGTCGAAATTGTACATATCAAAATCCCACAAAGATGATTTCAGTGGTTACGTTAAATTGATAGAAACATTTTGATTCAAGATATACCATAGTAAAAGTCTCCATTTTCAAGGTGAAAAACGCAATCGTTTGATTTTCGATGAAAACCATGAGGGGTACCTCATGCTTTTTGGTCGAATTTTGACCATGTTTTTTTGATCCCCAAAAAATTGAGAAATAGTGGCAATAAGTAACTGCCAGATGAGAGCAATTGCTTGGTGCTATTCTAGCGGTCTAAAACAACTTCTAACGCAAGAAAACGCGACTCAAATGCACTCAGATTTTGCTGTATTAGGGACACTAAGGACTGAAAAGGGGAAATACCAGTATGCTGCTTACCCGTATATGTAATAGCTACGTGTATATGGATGTATAGCATCAGATAAGAATCAGATACACAGGTAACATGAAAGGTTTTCATGCGTAAGGGGAGGATTAAGATGGAAGTAGCAGTATTTTGTTAAGCTGCGCAAGGGCAATTGGTAGCGCGAGCTGCCGCTGTCTAGGCTGGTTCTCACCAAAGAAGCGAAGGTAGACGGCCACCCGAAGCATAAACACGCTCGTACAATATATTATATTTTGCTCCGAGACTACAAATGCAAGGCTATAGATCTGGCTCTCGCCTATTGATATCATTCATAAAAGTATCGCGTTAAATTGACGGCATGGTACTGGAACAAAAAGACGCCTTCAAACTTGGACTTGCTGGTGAGCAACACATTGTTAATGGCACCAACTTGAGCTCTTTTATCAATTCGGAGGCCTCGAAGCGCAATGCGCTTAGGCACAAAAAGCACAAAGATCTCGATGTAACGCTTGCCTTGAGAGCCATTGAGCTGTATGTGGCAAAAAAAAATACCATAGAAGATCTTTGCAATGCCTTGATGTGTATGTTGTCGCATTACATATACCTTCGTAATGGCTCTTCTCGTGGTGCAGAGCTGGTAGTTCCCCAGTTTGTGGTATACGAAAATAAAGAGCCAACGCTTCGTTCAGGTCTGCTCTTCTCTGATGACTGAAAGCATAACCAACCAGTTTCACCATCTACAGACTGGTGGGTATATCCACAACATGCTTGTAGAGACATGTCCGCTGATGCTGCCCTTTATTTACTTATTTACTAGTTTTCAACCCAACGGTAAACCTTTCCCCAGTCTGTACACATCCAGAGATTGTTTCGCAATCAAGCTTTTCAAGTCATCAAGTTCTACAGAGAGTATGAATTCTACGACGCACGGCGCTGCAGTGAAGCGTGGTCTGCTACTTGTATCAATTTCTCCAAGGCTACTCACGTGTTTCATGGTGCTTGTGCTCGTATAACTGATGTATTTCGGGTCTATGAGAGCCAAATACGCAGAAATGGCCACTGGAACTGTAGCAGCATGAATAAACTGCTTTATGGGCCTACCTCTAAATCTGATGAGACAGCTTCATGGCCCTCCGAAGGAGATGAGTCAGGAATCCGGACGCTCAGGTCATGGGTGCTCTCTCAATTAACTGGAGCTAACTGGGTTGCCTTTACCTATGTCCTTTCTGAAATCTACTCCTCATGGTACTTTGAAAGTGCAGTTGGAACAATGCTTGACCGTTTTATCTACCAAGGAGTACTTTTGTACCGCCGAAGGAATTGCAGCGAATGGCGTTTACAAAAGCAGAGCAATGCTTTGATTGTATTAACAAGGGTAATGCGTAGAAGACGGCTACTGCAGTTGGTTTCCTCGCGCTGTTGCGATCTTTTTGAGAACAATTTCCCTTCATAACTCTGTACAAATGCGAAAGCGATTCCCTGACCATTTTATCTGGCATCATGTCATATTGGAACAACCATTGTACAAGAAATTCAACGAGTAAGTTGTAGGCGTATTTACAATCACTCTCCTTGAAGTAAGCTCGTTGAAATTTCAAAGATTTGTCTGTCAAGGCACAAGACCAAGAGGCCAAAAATCCAGTTAGTATGCAACTATATGCTATTGTGTTTTTCATCGAGCAAAAATCGACGACAATTGAATCGCAAATGGCATCAAATATGTTGCAAATAAGCAGCAAGATAAAGTAGATAATACAGCATGTCAGTGACATCTCAACTGGCCGTGCCCCACTCAATATCAATATCACAATCCCAAAAAAAAAGATTAACCACGCCTGTTGTTACAACAAACGCCGCTGCTTCCGATGCCGCCTCCTCCAGTGTTGCTGTCTCCAATGCTGCTCTCTCCAACAGTATGGCTCCTATGTTGGCACTTCTCAGACCCAACGCTCCCCAATTCCTGTTCCTTTTGTCATTCGTACGGTTCTATATACTTACAAACTGAGCAGAAAAACGTAGATTTAAAGGCTTTGTAGCGAGAATGGCATATTGAGCTTGGTGGTCAGCCTTCTGCTGTTTCATGGAGCAAGGAGAATCCTAGTTGATAGTACGACGACAAGACATTTTATTACAAAAGACTTCGAATCATCGACAAGATCCAGTCATACGCTGAAGAGAAGGGCATCGCTTAGAAAACTACTTTAAAACTAGCAATGAATCTTCAGAATTACCACAAGACTAAGTTGTGTGCCATGTCCAAAGTTTTAAGTCTGGTTTTTGGCGTTTGACTTATATACTGTATATGTATTTCATTTCATCGTTTTCTTTAAACGTTTATCAATGAATAAAAAATGGCTTCTGTGCCCTTCAATGACGGCTGAGACGATCCTAGTATATCCTATCTATTGAAGTTGATGAAATTTTCTGTTATTCATGTTCTCTGTAGCTTTTGATGTGTTGATTCAAGTAATTTTGAAGCTCTTATATATCGAAATTAGCCAATTTCGATATTATATCATTGAATTTGGGGAACTTTAATGACTTTATTTACTTTGAACTTTCATTTGGCTATACCTGCTTTTCGATTTGTTCAGCTACCGTAAGGCTACTATACCAGAGAGGCTGTTAATCAATATCTACGTCCCAAGCTTTTTCTTGCTGTAACATTGATAGTAATGAAACAAAATTGTGTACCGTATAGTGATAAGCTCAAGAGTACAAAAAGTAGAAAGACTCACTTTTGCATTATGAGCTTGATCCAGTTTCTTGTCTTAATTTATATTCATGTTTAATCGAGCGATAAGGTTTCTAGTCTATTTCCCATCTTGATATAGACTTTATCTATATTGAATACATTTGCTACAATTTCTTCTATAACTTGAGGTGGTATATGGATTGATGCTATTGTTGATTGTTTCAATGACCATGCTATGCTTGCATGAAAGCGAGGAGGATTGTAAAAGACAGGCTTATGATATTCTCTCATGACATTGTCAACATGTTTCATGCATTTGAACAACTACCAACAGACGCAATCAGTATATGATCGGAACAACTAAAAGTAATGCCTACTTGATTGTATCCGTGTCCTATCTCTAAGGTCAAGAAGGATCGAGTCTTTTCGTCATTTGTCAGATGTGATACTTGAGCAAAAGAAACATCAAATCTCTTTATATTACGGAGTGCAGCTTTGATGGATCTTGTGAATGGAGCCAATTGATATTTTCGCAAATAGACAGGCCTGCTCAAGCTGATATGTTGTTCGGGAAGCATCTCTGCATGTTTGAGATAAGGATGAAACGCTAGCAATTCATGAGAGAGCTCAACTTTGATGTAATTTAGTCAGTCAAAGAATTTGGTTTTTTCCCAATTCAAATATCAAACCTTTGCAATAGACATAAGTGGCCCAACTATCGTATTGATGCGGTACAGTGCGAACACGCCCTTGATGGTCGTAAGAGCTATCGGTTCTACTAGACTCTGGTTTATCAAAAAACGATGGTAGTTTTGGCATACTAGATATACTTGAAGGTGGTTTAATTGCAAATCAAGAATGAGAAATGAGAGTTGGTGTACCTTTCGTATGAAGTATTGCTAAATGTATTTCGTTTCGAATTGACAATGTGTTCATTTTGATCGTCAATATCTTGATCATCATCAGAGGATTCGTATTGCACAAGTGAATTCATGGAGAGATAGATGTAGAAAGAGCAATGACAACTTCTGCAGAAGATGAATTCAAATGATTTGATGACTGTTGCTTTTACAACTCAGTGTTGTTGTGATGTTCTTGTGAATCTCATTTTCTTTCTTATATACCAAACACAACTACAATAGCATGAAACAGGAGTCCATGTTGAGCCCAATAAACAACGATGATGGTTAGTTTTGATATAAGGCAAATGTTCTTTACGAGTGACATTTTCTTTTTGTGATTGTCAGACATGGATGTTGTCTTGTCTGCCGCTGGTATGACTGAAGATATTGTAGAGGACTTCGCCAGACAGCTCGATGAAGGTATTTGCAAATGCGACGGTGAAGCGACTTTTGGCTCATAAGCAACATGCTCTTAGTCGTGCGTATACAGGATGCGATGGATGCAGAGGTGGATGAAGTTCAGGAACAACGATCGCAAGCAAATGATAGTGATGAAGACGACGATGATGATCGCATGTTTGGATACCAACAGCTACCTCAAGATGATGATGAGGAGGAGGAGCACATGTACGGACAGCTAGCTTCTGAAGATGATGACGACGAAAATCAAATTGACATCAAAGGTCCACTGCAGATTGATGTAGCAGAAGCAGATCAGTTGCAGCCAGGTATCCATGGCAATGGTTGCCTAGCAACGCACATGTCTAACATGTTCATTGATATCTGCTAGAAACTTTTGATCAAATCAAGTCGATTATGAGCAACATCAGGCTATCTGAGGAGGCAATTCCAGGTAAATCACTGAAAGAAAGATGGAAAAAATGAAATTCAATCAACTAAATGTCTGCACTTTTTTTCAAAAAATTTTTTTTTCTTGCAACAAAAAAAATAGAATGGGCAAAAAAAATTCCAGAGGAAGCTTGGCTACCGCGTACCGCGATTGAGAAAAATTAATTTCTCATTTAAAATGTTCAAATAAAAAAAACTGTGTAAAAAAAAAATCGTAGGCAAGGGGAACGAATAGCAATGTGTGCTAGCATCTAATATAGTAAAAACAGATGTTGTGCGGTGACTGGTACAGCATACAATGCCCTATCTATTGGTCAAATCTTTAATGCAAAAAGTATTACCACCTTCACACACTCAGATATCTCCTGTCCCTTTCAAAGCCCAAAAGGAAAAAATTCGCCCTCCTCACAATAATACACCTTTTATTACACTAAGAATTTTATTCTGAAAAATAATTAAAGTAAGTTTTTGACTATGAGATTCAATTTCTAGGTAGATCAATTAACATGTACACATTACAGAATGGCCAAAGAAACTGCTAAGGTTACCAAGCGTGCTACCAAGACTGATGATGCTCAAAAGAAGAAGAGAACCAAGAAGGATCCCTCTGCTCCCAAGCGTGGTTTATCTGCATACATGTTTTTCTCTCAAGATCAAAGAACTACTGTAAAGGAAGAGAATCCTGAGGCCACATTTGGTAGGTTTGGAGCGGTATTGGTAGCTGGTTTCTGTTATTAATTGACTCTTTGATTAGGTCAAATTGGCAAGCTTCTTGGTGAAAAGTGGAAGAACATGTCTGATGAGGAGAAGAAGGTAAATGTCTTGATTGTTTCGACGTTTTGGTCAGATTGACTCATCCTTCATTGATCATGTAGCCCTATGTCAAGAAGGCTGAAGCTGATAAGAAGCGTTATGAAGATGAAAAGGCTGCTGTAAGTTGTTCATGAGTGAAATTGATGCTAAATCGTGATCTAACGTGAAATTTATGCTAATAGCAATAAGAAATTGTTGACTTGAATAATTTCCCCTCTTCTCCCTTCACCATCGCTCTGTTCTATTATCCCCAAGCTCTGTTTTTTTTTTCCTTCTTTTTTTCAAAAATCTAAAGAAAAAACTGCTATCCAATTTATATACATATAACTATTAAAAAAATATGAAACTCGCTTGAAAACTTTATAAACGCGTCTATTGTATTTTATATTAATACTGTAATCTAAGAGAGCATCACATTAAACAACAGATCAGGCTTCTGGAAGTCATTGTGAACTACATTAACAAGCCAGTATCTATCGCCAATCTCTTTGAGGATCTTTTGACTGAAGCTGTTCGGAGCATATTGCTCTTCCCATTCTGTCCATAAACCGAAGGCTTCGTCCTTTGGATTGCATTGATTAGTAAAATACGCGTTTCTAGCTCTAAAATCGATCAATTTACCTTCCATGCTTCAAAACTAGCCTTTTCGATGATGGTAGGTTGAATGATTTCTTTGCCAGGGAAGACGCCCCAGGTAACAGCATTTTGTGCCTCAGCATCTGATACATTGGTTGAGAAATCGCCCTACATTTTTTGATTTAGCGTGCAGTCGACGCATAATATGTCTCATTTCACTCATACCTTTCGATTTGTTGCATAGTAAGTGATCGAATCATCTTTACCGAGACGAGCAAGCAGTTCGGCTACTTGTTGATCAGACACAAAGAATTCAATAAATGCCTTTTGATAGACATAGCCGTTCTTTGGACCCCATCCGTAGATCTTATCTTGACTGGATGCACCATTTACTGCGGGCTGAGAGCTTACAGTCCAATAGCCACGCTGATTGATATCTGTTAATCTTTGTCGAATAGTTTCACTCTCTGTATGCAGAGCCTCTTCACACCATGGGAGCGATTTGACTTGCCCGTTGATATAATTAATGAATAATTGAGCAATGTCTCGTTCCGTTTCAGGCTCTCCCCATTTCAAAATAGCTTGAGATGTCTATTTTACTTGAGTTATATACGTGCCATTCATATACAGCATCTTATACCTACAGGCAAAATTTGGCCCGAACTGTATGTATTTTCACCATAAGCTGCAAATTGGTCAACATCGATAATCTTAAACAATATAAGGTTTCTTCTGTATTACCTGGTGAGCGAGAATCACCATAACGGCCATTAGGGAACTCATCCCATAACTCGGCTTTGGCGGGATCATGTATAGGAGCCCAAGGTGATACCTTATTGACATGCAAACCATTCTAATATGTTTCATGCTGAGCAGCCAGCTTTCTAAACAAATAGCAGACTTACCTCCTTATGCAAATGCAAAGCTTCCAAGATCAATCGAGTAGATCTCTCCAAATTAAGTGTAGAAATGTGGAAATTGCAAATACCTGCCTCGTTGTGCAATCTTTGAATCATTTTCACGGCAAGATTGACACCATATTCCTTGACTTTTTGATCGTCACCCTGACATGTATTTACTTCAGTTGACTGATTTCGAAATACACGCAATAAAACTTTACCTTGATGGCATCCAGATCAGACATGACGTTATCGGGTACCTTGACATTACATAGATTGATCATACGACGGAAGCTTTGGTAGGTTGGAATGGGCATAATGCCAGGTACAATTGGTACCTGAATACCATGAGCTCGGCAGTTTTGCATCCATGTCACACAGGCATCAACGTCGTAGAATAGTTGTGTCATAACAAAGTCAGCACCTGCGTCCACCTTCTCTTTGAGATATTGCATGTCTTGTTCCTTGTCGGGGCAATCAATATGACCTTCGGGATAACCAGCAACACCAATGCAAAATGTATCTCCATATTGCTTGCGAATATACTTGACCAGATCAATAGCATGTTGAAACTCACTATCCACTGGTGTCCAATATTCATGACCTCGAGGTGGATCACCACGCAATGCCAAAATGTTTCGAATACCTGCCATCTTGGCTTGTTCCAGCGCCTCGTCAATTTTTGCTTTTTCCATGTTGGTACAAGTCAAATGCATCAGTGTATCCAAACCGTACAGACTTTGAGCAGTAGTACACAGCTCCAGTGTGCGTTCGTGCGTCGATCCACCAGCTCCCCATGTACATGAGATGAAATCGGGCTCAAGCTGAGCCATACGACCGAGACGATCAATCAAATTGGCAAAACCCTATAAGAAGCATGAATATAAAATGCTTAATCAACATGATGCATGATTTGAATTTACGAGTTCGGTCTTTGGTGGAAAGTATTCAAAACTGTAAGCAATATTGTTGCTCTTTTGTGCCTGCTCGATTTTGTCAATGATTTTCATTTGGATGGGAATAAAGGAATCAAGAAAGTGGGGAATGATGGTGGATAGATGTAAGTTTATAGATGTGACTATTGATGAACGAAGGAACCAAAGCCTTTTTGTGGAGAGAAAGACGCGGCTAATCAATTGAAAGAAGATGATTAACCTTCTATACACTCTCTGATAGGGCATGTCTTATTTCCCGCCTTGCCTCGAGGCATGAATCACTGACCTTCAATGACCAGTACTCTTTTCTGTTTAAACATTGGAAGTAAAACAGGAGATTGAAGCATATCTGCTTAGCTTTGCTTGATCAATACACATCTTATTCCTGAAAGCCAAAAAATTTTATGGCTTATTTTGACAGACACGAGTCAGATGTCAAAACGGCAACAGCTTTTTACTGTTGTTCTGTAGCATTTGGTCCCATTGCTGTAACTCAAAGCGCTCTCTCCTTGGTTGTGCCTTGATCACTACCATTTTTATGGCAAAATTTCGTAATGAGAACATGTTATTTACAAAGTTCTGGCTTCAATATTTCAAAACTAGATCTTGGATGATTTTAAAAATTGACATCCAAAATCGTTTTGTGCATTCAGTATCTGAGGCGAGGTGAGAAATAACGCCTCACAGCAATAATAAGATCTGTGGTAGATCCATGTTAAAGGACATTTAACATTGGGGAGCTGGAAAATCCTAGTGGATAAGTTAGATGACATTGTACGGGTGGCATTTTTAAGCGGGGAGAACGAGTATACCCTAGATTGTAAGGCTTAATAGCGTAAAACACAACAAGCTACAGCTGTCTAGTCCTAAAGGCATAATTCACCAACATGTCAAGTATCTATAAATAACCTGAAAATAGCAAGTTAATGTGAGCCTTTTCGTACGCTCCCATTTTAAAAGTGCCTTCTCAAAATGATGAATGTATGCTATACACTTGCGGAAGTCGGACGGGAGATTGAACATCGATTTTTGAAAAATTGATGCTAGAGCTTTGAAAGTAGCAGGTTGCTATGACAGTTTCCTGCGTAGAAAATGACGGTGCAATTAGATTTCAGATTGGATGCGGCGATGATGAGAAAAGCGAGATTTGAGAAATTTGCAAATTCTGGACAGATGCTGTTGGTAAAATCTTTTGATTAGTATATAAACCGGGGTCATATGTCTATTAAAGATTATAGAGAGTACTTTGGTTGATTAGAGCATGTTTGACTTGGGGTTATTAAAAAGGATGTTGATGAGTAATGAGGGAAAATGTTCCAAATGACCGATTTTCAAAGGGCCATATCTCTGAATTTTACTAAGTGAACGAGAGCTTCAAACTTAATAGCTTCTGTTTTTTTTCAATTCTCTATACGATGGTATGGTTATTATAGATAAATAAAACAAAAAGTTGAATATCCCGTGCATGTAGCTCATAAAATATATGATTTTGAGCAAATTTATGAAGGGAACGTACATCTGGTACTTGGAACTTTTATATTATAATGGATATAACATAGAGCTATTGAATAGTCTTTGTTTTGTGCGAATCCAGTGAGTATTTGTCGAGATATGGTCAAAAAAGAGTATCATGCAAAATCAACGATTTTTCTTCAAAATCTACGTGTGATGGTAAGGAAAAAATTAGGTGATGATTTTTTGGTCAGGACAATATTGTCAATATTTCATGATAGAGTTATGCCAGAGCTTCAAGCAATAGCTCTTTCGATAGGAAATGTTTTGGTCTATAATGTTTAGTAATGCTTAACAAAATGTTTTGATGACAGATACTGATTAATCTTTTGAAAACAGTCAAAAAAATTGCAAAAACAATCGTACCAAATATCAGGTGAACAATGTACACCAGAGACTTGAAACAAATGCCATTTTATTTTCCTTTAAATTCTCTACAAGTTTTATATAAGCTTAAAGGGGTGTTTACTATCAAGAAACGCGTAATTTTAAGGTCGATAGATTTCGGAATCCTATTGATCATCATTCAGAACAATAGAAATTGAAGCTCCGTTGACCTTCCACATATGTACACGACACATGTATGAATTTGACTGAGCATGTTAAAAATCGGAGCGTACGAAAAGGGCCATATTAACTTACTGGTTTCAAGTTATCAATAGATACTTGACATGATGGAGAATCTTGCTTTTAAGGTTAGATAGCTGTAACTTACTTTGTTCAATAATGATAAGATTTGCAGTTTAAAGCATGCACATTCCCCTGCTTAAAAATATCATCTCCAATGTGGATTATCTCATGAAACAGACGTTTCCAATATAATGTTCCCACTAAGAACTTGCTCCAATATCATTATTCTACAACTTATTTAAGTTTGACGAGATTCTAATTTTTTTTACTTATGAGGACCTGGATGTACAAAATATTTTTTAATTTTGAGGTTTTCAACTTTTGGACGATCGAACATCGATTTTTGAAAAAGTGATGCTAGAGCTTTGAAAGTAGCATGTTCTTATATCAGTTTTTTGCCGAGATGACGATGGTGCAATTTAAATTTGCGTAGGTAGCATGGTTGGTGAGAGATGGGAGATCTTTGAAAATAGCTAATTTTGAATAGATGCTGCTAGTAAAACTTTTTATATTATTATATGAATGTGAGATGTATGTGTAGTGAAAGTTGTTGAGGGTACATTTTTTGACTAGGACATGTTTGATGTGAGGTTATGGAAAGTGATGCCAATGAGTAATGACGGAAGATGTTCCAAATGACCGATTTTCAAAGGGCCTGTAATGAAATAGCCACCCAAACGCAACTTAATTGAAAACCAAAGTTCATCAAATAGCACTCATTCAAATTCATGCTATTTGGATCTATTAATGAAAGCGCTCAAATGTACATCAAAAACCCATTTAAAAATACTAAAGTAAAGATACACGCTTATATCGCACATCGTGTGAATGAATCACTCCTGATCACAGTGTATTCAATCACACCCATGATGGTCGTAATAGGTGATGGTATCTTTATCCAAATAGAATTAAATCAATAACAAGCATTTTCAAATATGACAACTATGCCCTGCTGCCATAGTTGCACAATATCCCAGATAAAGGGTTCCACACTTCAATAAAAAACAGCACACCTTAAACTGTCAAGGCTACATTAAATCATGCTATGACAATAGCTCACCCAAGCCCATCAAGGTTACTCAAATCGACCCTTATGGCCAGTGCTCTTGCATTGATTATCACTTTAAATCAAATATCAACAACATTTGCCAGATATCGTAAGAGCAGCACCTACTGCTCTCTATCATCACTAAGCCTACAAGCTAGTTGCAAAGGTATAAATAATCTTCTCTTTTTTTTACTCAATTCCAGGGTCTTCAGTTCATTTTATACACAAAATAAAATACAGTTGATTTCTATTGTATTTTTGTTATTGCTTTATTTTTTTTTGTGAAATCTATCTAAACCTGATTTCACTGCATCGCTGACGCTCAAGTTTTAAAATCACTGTAATCGAGCATCTCAAAAAGAAAGATCTGAAAGATCTGATAGTCAGGATTAGAGTAAAAGTGTCTATAACTTAGAGATTGAACTCTATACAATGCAAAACATCAGGGACATTAGACAGAACTGTAATTTACTCACATCTTTGTCAGCACAAAATACTACTACGCCTTATTTTCAGGCCAAATTCTGTCCAAACGTAGCCATTTTGAAGCGCGAATTACTCATGCTACAAAGCGTTTTGAGCGCTTGGAATAGCCCCACACGCCTTCTCTTGGCCACGCTTCTATTACTGGTGCTTTATCTCAATTTTTTTGGGTCATTGCAAATTTACTAAAAATCGTCATTTTCACATGAGTATTAGCAAGGGAAGATTCTTGAAAATCAAACGATCGCGTTTTTCACCGCAAAAATGAAGACTTTTCCTATGATACATATTAGATCAAATTAATCGTAAAGATAAAATAAAACATCAGAAGTTGTTTCTCTGGAGCTTTCATAAGCTAAATTTTGACATATTTACAGAAAACCTGTTTTCATACTTTTGCAAATTGCTCATTATTTTCAGTCTGAAAGCTGAACGCAACCAGCATCATTCGATGCGCCTTCATTAACTCTTTATAGACGCATCAGAAAGTAAAGTATAACAAGGACAATTTTCATAGTCAAATTTAGCAAAAACGTTTAAAGAATGTGAAATCAAGTCGAATTTGAACACGAAAAAAATACCCACTGCACAATTTCAAATTAAAGTGCAGCAGTTACGGCTGCCACGGCAGAAGGCTGAGGCCAAATCTACTGGCCGTGACGTCGGTTAAGGCGTCCACTCATTTTTTCCATACCCTCGTTTTTTTTTTTTTTACCCTTTTTGCAAAACGCGTTTAATATCAAACCACATTGGTTTTGGAACCCTTTTGATTGAAAATAACACTCTAGCTTCTGATAACACGGCCTTGCATTGTTAAAAGCACTTGATACTGCTTCTTTAAAGTGGAATATAGTAGGTACTATTCGATAACGAGCACTAGAAGACGTAAAATCAGTACTAATCGAATTTGTTTATTAGGTTTCGATAATTTTCTGCCTGTTTGACGTCGGTGCTGCTGCCATTACTTCTCTGCTATCTCTGCTATTTGCTTCTCTGGTTTACTATGTCTGGTGGTTGCTTCGTTGGTCTCTATCTCTGGTGGTTGCTTCTTTAATCTTTGTCTGGTCTCTGGTGCCGTTCGTTCTTTGGTTTTTCTATGATGCTGGTGTTGCTGCTGGTGTTGCTGCTGCTAGTCTGGTCTTTCTTCTTGGTCTGCTGTCTCGGTTGTATGTTTGTTCTCTGGTCTATCTCTGGTAGTTGTCTATTCTCTGCTGGTCTATCCGTGGCTGTGGCAAGTGGTAAGTAACTTTTTTCTTTTGGTCGCAATGATATAAAACTTCTCTGGACGTTTGTATTATTGCTTTTTTTTCTCGTGATAATGCATTCATGATGTTTGCTTTGTTACGATTTCTTTTTCTTTTGTTGGCTGTGATATGATCAGCTCAACGGATGCTTGCGATGTTGTTGCTTCGTATGTACGAACAACAAGCATGATGTACTGCTATATATCTGTATTGCCGTTGTAATACTATTTTGTTATATGGCCGTGGGTTGTTGTTTGTGTTGCCTCTGTCGCTTCACATGAAACAACATTAGTTACTATGTTGTATTGCACACTTATAATACTGCTGTTGCTCATGCAATTGTGCGTGTTTGTGTTGCTTGACATCCGACTATTACCACCATGCACGTTGCTCATGCATGCATTTTTGTTGCAACAACAATGAGCTGTTCTTAACATCTTTGATGTTGTATTTGTTGTTATGCTCTTCTTTTGACTCACTTTTTTGTGTGAGTGTTCCTTTTTTTTATCTACATGCTACTATACCCCTATAGTAGTATGTTCTTTTCTTCTTTTCCTTTTTTTTTATTATGTTTCTTTCGAAGCATACCTCTTTATTACGTTGTGGTGGATGTGCCTATCGCTGAAGCTCAACAAGACTTTATCCGAGACTAGGAGGTAGATAGGCCGCCTCCACTTGGTTATTGCTACTTACTTTAGTGATGATTGAGAGTCTCAACGCCTGAATCTAAAGCTAGGTGGTGTAAGTAAGGCATGCTCTAGCACCTGAGGGAAATTTGATGATAGTAACAGCTATATTGCTATTATAGCGGCGCTTAAAATTTTGCCTCACATCAAAACAGAGGGAAACCCTCGCAAAATTTTTTTTAGGTCAGCGGAGTTTTCAAGCAATCTGATTGGCTGAGAGGTTGAAGTAGCAAAGGGTTACAACTAGTTAGTTTCCTATTGATCTGTCATTTATGATAGTTTTGTGTTTGTAATAAAAGAGTATCCAAATGGATGCAACTTGTTTAGGATCTATATATCATATCTGAGAGCCACATGTTCAGTAAAAAAAAGGTTTAAAAAAAGCAGATAGAATACTTTTAGAACCCTTTGTATTCGAAATTAGGATAATGTGCAATGAAATGTATATTCTACGACGTCTGTCCTACTGTAAATACGTTAGAAATTTGCTCTAGTTCTAATCTCATTCAATCTTGGAATAATATAATAAATATATTCAGTTCGAATTATATTTCCTCTGTTTATGTTTCGTTATTCTAAACAACAAGAGTCAATATCGAAAGACTACTGTAGTAAAATCGGGTTTAAATGGTATCACCATGGAGCTAATCTGCTGCCTAAAAGACCAGCCTCAGCCGAATAATAGCCCAAAATCAACTGTTTATCAAAGCTAACTCTTGCTACAGCAGCAGTGCATATCAAGTCCTCTTTGTGCGTCAGCATTAGCCAATGCACGCCCTGAATTTATTTCATAGACTTGAGTATCACATGGATGTTTCTGTACTCTTAAATTTGAAAGCATCGTAGGTTCTCGACCGGGTGTCATTTTGTAGAGCAAATACAGGAACAATAGAAAAGAAGCTTGGCTAAGTTGGCGTTTGCACTGATAATAGTATTGAAACACTGTTTTTTCAACACTGATTATTTTACACTTTACTCGCTTAATTGTTTGACAACCTACAGAGTAACTAAAAAATCCTTTCATATGCTGCCTATTAAGCCCCCCCACCCCCAAAGTAGGCATAATATATTGATCCTAGAAAGAAGTCTCTGGCATCAACATGGGGCGAGAAAAGGCTATTCCCCTCGTTTGGTAAAATGCGTAGCATATTTTCGACCCCTTGCCACGCCACAACAAAGCAAGGTGTAGCCACGCGGGTTTGAGTATAACATTTCCCTACACTTAATCTATCAGTCAATTTGAATCACTTGTAATTAACAGATTTTCATGCTTCAACATTGGCTTAATTGGAAAATCAACGGCTTTATTGTTTTTGTTTAATTTTTGGTTGGTCTTCTACGACCACCAACCTTGGCACCCATCACATTGACTTTTTCTCCACCGCCTCTCTTACGAAGAGACTTCTTCTTGGTATTCGAGGTGTCAGCAGCCTTCTTTTGATCTTTTCCTGATACCTCTTCCTCTTCACCTTCGACCATTTCCTCTTCAAACTCTTCTTCAAATTCGTCTTTCTTGCCTAATGCCTTGTAGATCCAACGTTTGGGCCAAGCAACAATGAAAAGATTGCTGACCGTTGGCTTGGTTACCCACTCGGTATTCAAATGAATAGGCTCTCCTGTACGTTCATCAGGGTACACCACAATGTAGTTATCACTCTTGACTTCACAGCGCATATTTCTTTGACCTACTTCAACATAGCTACGACCTAGAGTGGCAGCACGACCTTTAGGAGCATCGTGAATCATGTGGGATCTGGCTTCAGCAACGAATTGAGCAATTTTACGTTTCTCTTGATAGTAGTTGATTTGACCAGCAATGTGTTGCATACCGGCAGCAATCAGCAAAAGTACAACAGTAACTGTGCCTAATCCAGGTCTGAAACGGCTGTACAAGTAACCAGTACCACGCCAGCGAGGTACGCCATTCTTGTAAAAGAAGTTATAGCGTTCACGGCTAGTGGGATCACGCAAAATTGACACAATAACACCCAAACGCGTGAATCTCTCCTTTGCCTTAGGATCGCCCTTATTCTTGTCAGGACTACGTTGAAAGAACAGTTAAATATTGATTCTGTTGTATCGTCAGAGAGTTAACTTACTGCCACTTCAATGAAAGCTTACGATAAGCCTTACTGATCTCATTTTGGCTTGCTGAGGGCTATTTGAAAGTTGGTTAATCTACTAAATGCATGCTCCGCATTCATCAGACTTACAGCTACGCCCAGCCAGTTATAAAAGTTGGTATCCTTGCCTTCAGCCTTCTCCAAGGCGTCAACGATATCAAAAATCTCAAAGTCGGCTGTGGAAGAGTTAGCCATCCATTTGTAGTATTTCAAGAGAGCATTGATTGACATGTTACCTTCTGTCCAAGCTTTCACCTTGGGAACCATGGAGAACACAACCATGACAATCAAGAGCAATCTCAAGATGCCTTGATTTTTGAAGAGCTTTACACGTGCCATGCGAAAACGAGTAATGTCTACAGAAGAGAAAGAAGAAAAGAGCTTAAAGGAACCTGATTAACAGTAATTTATCGTAGGCGGAGTGATAATATCAATAGCAAAGGAGAAGTCGACATGTGTATGGCAATAGCATATGCTGATTACAGTCAAATTGCGGGTTTACGGCAACTCATATTTGGATGTGTATATAGTATCAATGGTTGATTTATTAGGTACACATGTATACAGGGTCGTATAGCTATAGCTTTATTTAAAACCACCTCTTCCTCTGCCTCTAGCACCTCTACCTCTACTGCTGTAACTACTATTTCTGTTATTATCATCCCCATTTTGTTGCTGTTGCTGCTGTCTATATTGATTATGATGATCGTAATGATCCTGATCGTATAGTTGAGTATAATGGACTTGATGGTTATAGTAAGGCTGTTGTGGCTGGCCAGCCATGTAGTACATGGGTTGCATGTATTGTTGCTGTTGATGATGGGGATCGGGATGATAGCCGTACATAACAGCTGGTAAACCAGTATTTGGATCAATAGGCACCATCATGTTGTAATCCACCATAGGAGCGTAAGCAGGTTGCTGATGATAGTAGTAATCTGCCGTTGAATAGGGCTGTTGCATTTGATGCTGGTTTGCATTATAGTAGGACTGATCTACTGTGGTGGGATGGTTGTTGGGAATAGCATTGTTTTCACTGCTGTATTGTGGTGTGGTACTTTCTGCAGGAGTAGTAGTAGTAGCAGTAGTAGTAGCGCTGACAATAGATGCGTCAACAGGCGAGGAGTTGGATGAAGTTGCTGCCTTGTGTTGCTCTTTAGGTGCTGTTGCTAGTTCTTCTTTTGAATTGGCATTTTGCACATCCTCTGGCTTTTCAGTAGAAATAGTGAAAGATTTCGTTTCTACAGATGTGGGCTGCTCATCTTTACGCTGTCCTCGTTCTCGCGGCTTTCGCTCTCGCTTAGATTTTGGTTTGTTGCTGTGTTTGCTGTCCTTGTCAGATTCACCTGATTTGTCCGTTGAAGTAGGAGGAGGTGTTGGCACGTCTTTATCATTCACTGGTTTACTTTTTGTCTTCTTTCGCTGTTGTTGTGATTGTTTGCTTGCATCAGAGTCATTCGCTTCTTCAAGAACCATCTTCTTCTCGCTTGCTTTTCTAGGCTTCTTCTTCTTTTCAGGTGCTTCAGCGGTTGTTGTGGATGTTGCAGTTTCCTCTAATTTCGATTCAGCAGTAGTATCAGCCTTTGCTGAAGTTGCGGCCGACTTTTTCTTTCTAGCTGGCTTCTCTTTTGGTTTGACAGGCGTAGATTCGATCATGTCATCTGCCCATGATATCTGTTTGTCATTTTGTTGCTGCTGAGGTGCTTTGGAAGATTTCTTCTTTCTGCTAGATTTCCTGTCTTCTGCTGCTAAAATAGGTGTCGTTGTGCCTGATGAAGGAACAGGGCTCGAAGTACTAGACTCTGTTGCTGCTGCCTGGCTATCTCTGTTTTGTTTGGATTGAGATTTCGTCTTGGCAGCTGGTAAACTACCCTCTTTTTGCTCTGCAGACTTTTCTTGCTTCTTTCTAGATCTATCACGTCGCTCGACTTTCTCTGCCTTGTTGGAAGCGTTTTCAAGAGGTACTCTCTCAAGAGGGATGTCCTTTTTCTCAACTTTACCCATGAACTCCTCCGATCTCTCAGTCTTGCTCTTTCGCTTGTCCTTTTTAGTATCCCCATTTGATTTGAAATCCTCCTTCTTTGCCTTGCTGTTGACATCTCTGGTTTGTTCAATCTTCTCCTTTGTAGCATCCTTCTTCTGATTGATTTCTCGAGAACTCTCCTTCTTTTGCTCTCTTTTTCCACTTGGCTGCTCTGGCTTGTCATCTGGCTTGCTACTGTCGGTCTGCTTGTTATCTGATTTTGCTTTCTTGCCTCTCTTATCGGTCGATTTATCACTCTTGGTTGAGGTGATGTCTTTGGAGGCCGCCGATTTCTTCACTTTTGGTTCTTTATCGACAGTTTGTGGCTATATCGAGAAGCGTCATCAGTCATCAAGACTATTCCAGCCACTGAACTGTATTTACCTTGACCTTGAATGGCACAAATGCTGGTGGGCCCTGCTCTGATTCATCCTCGCCGTCTTTGGCAGCTGACTTTCCTCGATATCGCTTCAAAAATTGCTTTGGAATAACGTTAGTAACGGCAAATGCCTTGCTGTTGCATCGTAGTTACCTTTCCAGCTCTCCAAGCTTGTACCAACTCTTGCACATGTCCACCAATTTCCGTCAGCATGTCAGGGCCCAAAACAAGAATTTGATCCCTGATTTCGATTGGTTTTTTAACCAAAAATTTCGTGCCAGGAGGGGTGTGAAGCCTGCAACAGACAAGTGATTTAGTACCGAAGAAAATGCGACAAAACAGGGTATGACTTACTTGAGGCAATCGACTTTCCCAAGCACTTCCACTCCTTTGTACTTTTTCTTGCTGCCGTCAGTGAAGGTAACACTCAGCAACCTTGGGTGTTCGACTTGGTTGACAGATGGCATGGCAACATTGCGAACTTCCAATACTTGCAACACGAGTGGACTAGGGATTTCACTAGGTTTCTCTGCGGTTTTACTGAATCCTTTTGTAGTCAACAGTCGAAGATCCATCTAGGATATGTGTAGTGTTAGCAGCCAGCTGAGCTAGCATAAGGGCTATACCCTAAAACTTACGTCTTTAGCACATGCGATATAGTCATCTAATGTGGATACAGCATCATTTTCTGCGGCAATAAGGTCGATGCCTTCTTGAGACAAGAACCAGCCTTTAGCTTCGAATTCGGCAATTGAAGGAGTCATTGTAAGAAATTGAAGAATAAGAAGACGAAATTTTGCATATTCGCAAGTTGCTCTTTTATGGATGGAACTGCGGTGTGTGTGTGTGTACTCGCGTTCTTGACGGTCACTGAGCTTCTCAAACCAACACATGGAAATGATGAATGTGTAACAACGATGTTATTTGTGAAAGGGCAGAAAGCAATTTTAATGATTAGAATAAGTAAAATAAGATTAACGATAACAGCAGTGAGGTCTATGCAAGGTGCTTGGGAAGACCATCTTGCTTCAAAAGAGATTCATCTTGGCTCAATACACGAGGTCCATCGTCCACCTTGGTATGTAATAATCTACTGACACTGCCAGCAGGTTGGACAGGAATGACATTTTGATTAAAGTTGGTATGGTCCTTGGGGATGAAGTCTTGACCGATTTTACCGCTAATGGCATTGTAAGGGTTGGCAAAGAATTCAGTGGGCTCTTTGTTGCTAGGGAAGTAGTGGCCGATCAATTGGATGATTTCAGCCATGTTTTCCTTGGGTGCATAGATGACAGCATTTGGTCCAGCATCGTAGGTATAAGCAGCTTTCAATTTACCATCAGGCGAAGTAGCGTTGTATTCGTGGATAAGCTGAATGATGGCACGAGAGGTATCGTTCATGTAAAAGATGGGAGGATAGGTGTCGAGGCAGACAGCATGGAATTGGTTGGAATCACGCATGGTCAACTCGGCAAACGATTGGAAATCCTTATCCAAAACAGCCTTCTTCATAGCTTCCATACGAGCAGGAACAATGTTGTTGATACGCTCGTTCATCAAAAGACTGGTCTTGATGGTAGACTGCATGCCTGCAGTAGAAGAAGTACCCTTCTTGGCGTCAGAAACCACACAGATCAAGGCTTGCAAATCAGGCCAGTGAGTTTCAGGAGCAATTTGCACAGCATATGAGTCAGATCCATCATCCTTCTCTCCCATCTCCCAAGCAACAAACCCACCAAACAAGGAGCGACAAGCAGATCCAGAGCCTTGACGAGCAATTCTGGATACTTCAGATGTTGAGATGGTCAATTCAAACAGTTGAGACAAGGTGTATACTAAAGCAGCTAATCCAGAGGCTGAAGAAGCAAGACCAGCGGCAGTGGGAAAGTTGTTCTCGGAGCAAACGTGAACAGGGTAGGTAGAGAGAGGCTCAATGGGGTTGCCTTCAGTTTCAGCCTTGGCTTCCATGGCTTGACGGATAGCACGAGTTTCACGGAAACAGTTGTGCATACGCTTGTTCTTGGTGATGTCTTCCTCGATGCCGTTCAACCAGAGACGATCATGAGAGAATTCCTTGGCAGCAGAGATGGTGGTCTTGCTGTGAAGAATGTCTTGAGATAATGTCACAGACAAGGAGCTGTTGGTAGGTAAAATAAGCTCTGTATCGCGCTTGCCCCAATATTTAATGACCTGTGTGTTGTTCAGTAACAGAACAAAAGGTGTCAAAAAATCAAACCGGTTTACTTACAGCGATATTGACGGGAGCAGTACAGGTAACAGTCTTCATTCTGGTCTGATGAATATGATAAAGAAGAAGAAGAAGAAGAAGAAGAAGAGAGGCGAAAAATTTGATTGTTGTTCCCTTTTGAGCGCGATGAAGGGGACAACAAATCCAACTTTTTTTTGTGTGTGTGTGTGTGTGTGTGCGTACACAATGGTTTAAGTTTAGGAAGGCGCCCAAACGATTGTGTAAAATGTGAACATCAAATAGCACACAAAAAAGTGTGGAACCAGGAAGCTTAAACAGCATAGGCTCAATGGCTAAATGACAGATCAGTTATTTGGCATGAAGCCTACTAAACAATATTACCAGCCGTGAGTCTTGAAGCCTACTCAGCTCAGCTCTGTTTGGCATTGAAATGCTGATACGAAACGGCATCAAATGTTTGTGAAATTTGTTCTGCGGCATGCCCCGCTATTATACATGTGTTTAACTGTTTAATGTGGATATGTTTTCTAAAAAAAAAAATTGGCCTGATTTACTGCTTATTCATGCCTGATTCTTTTATCGTCCACCTTTGAATGCACTATTGGCACAATAGTTGCATAGTAGCGGGTGCTCAGCGTTGGTTTGTAAGCCTATTGGAGAGCAGTTCAGTAATTCTTATATCACCATTTGAAACAAGGTTATGTCTGTAGTCAAGCACATCTTTAGCACATGGATTCCAAGGCATTGGCAAGTGATTGACATATTGTTAGCAAGGACATCTCCAATAGACAGTGTTTGCATGTTCAGCATCCGCTGTCAGTTGAACTTTGAAAGGGCATTTTCCGGGGTTAATTCCATAAAATATTCTCTTTTGCTTTTTTTTTTTTTTTTTCTAACAACATGTTACTTCGATTGCAACAATTGCCACGAAAAAGCAGCTCTCTCATCTTTACTATCACTAGCAAGCGATTCTTAAATGCGCCTACCAGAGTCCGTTTTGCTCCCAGTCCAACGGGTCAGTTGCATTTGGGTGGTTTGAGAACGGCTCTTTTCAATTACTTGCTTGCAAAGAAGACGGGTGGACAATTCATACTTCGTATCGAGGACACAGATCAAGTAAGACATGCATTCCAGTTGATAACTCTTCAGTGACAACCAACAGACGGTAGACTAGATATGTGGAAGGTGCTGTCGAAAGTTTAGTCAAAGCCTTAAAATGGGCTGGTATTCCCCATGATGAAGGTAGGTCTTTGAGGAAGCATTAGATCATGCTAGAGTGCTTAAAGATGGACATATTATAGGGCCAAATGTAGAAGGACCTCATTCACCTTATTATCAGGCAAGTTCTCTTTGAAACAGGGTATATCAGTCAGATGGTAATAACGCGTGCACATTAGTCTGAGCGAACAGAGTTATACAGGGAGCATGCCAAAAGGTTGGTTGAATCAGGACATGCCTATAGATGCTTCTGTACACCTGAGAGATTGAGCCGAGTCAAAGAAGCCAGACAAAAGAAAGGCAACTACATTGCATACGACAAGCATTGCTCTTATTTGAGTGACGAGGAGATCCAGGAGGGTTTGGACAAGAAACTGCCATATACGATACGGTTGATGGTAAGCTGAATCAATTCAAGGGCCACGTCTGCGAGGATCTCAACATTGTTGTTGCATAGACGCCGTACGAAGGATCAACAGAGCACAACGATTTGGTATATGGAAAGATCAACTTTAGCAACAAGACGATAGACGACACAATCCTGATCAAGAGTGATGGCTATCCTACATATCATTTGGCCAATGTCGTCGACGATCATTTGATGAAAATCACACATGTTTTGAGAGGAGAGGAATGGCTTTCATCCACACCCAAGCACATCTTATTGTACAAGGCTCTTGGATGGACACCACCATTATTTGCTCATTTGCCACTTTTGCTAAACCCAGATGGATCGAAATTGTCAAAAAGATCAGGCGATGTTCATGTAGAGCATTACATTGAGAAGGGCTATTTACCAGAGGCCATTGACAACTTTGTGGCACTACTAGGATGGCATCCCAATGACAATAGCGAGGCGTTGTTTACCATGAAAGAATTGATTGAACAAGCAAGTAGTAGTTTTGCGGTTGAGGGAAGCTCTTAATCTAACCCATTTGTCTATAGTTCGACATCCAAGACATCAACCATTCTGGCGCCGTTGTAGACCATCAAAAATTAGACTGGATCAACAAGCATCATATATTGAAACGTGCACAGACGAAAGATGGCCTCAGCAGCCTAGTTGACATCTTGAAGCCCTTTGTGGACAGACAGTATATCTCAGCTTTGCAAGGAACACCAAGCGAATACAGATTGGAATCGAATTATCTCTCGCAAGTGATTGACACCATCAAGGAGCGTATTCGCAACGTGTCAGATATACCAACACTCTGCAGTTACTACTTTGAAGAACCCAACTATGAATCTACAGATGCATTAGCATTGAAAAAGAAGCTGAAACAGCCAGCAGTGGACCTAATCAACAAAGCTGAATTTATTCAAGAATTCAAGTCAATCGAGCCATTTGACGCCGCAACGATCAAGCCTTGGCTCTATTCGCTGGCAGAATCCAAAGGCATGAATCCAAATCATCTCATGATGGCATTACGATATAAAGTCACTGGATCCAGAGTTGGAGCAGGTGTTGCAGAGACGATCCAAACGCTAGGCAAAGACACGACCATCCGTAGATTAGAAAACCAAATATGATAGACATGTAAATAAATGTATGTTTTATTCAACAAAAATATGATAAAAAAAAGATTACTTCAGATCAACAAGCAACCTTACTTGCCAACGTGAGGTTTCCTCCTTCATCAATTTATTGGGCGCTCAAGATATCAGAGTCACCAGCATCAGTGATGGAGAGAACACTGGTACGGAAGAGCTTACCACAAGCGGTACCAAGATCGATGTTGTTACCATTGTAGTGGTGAACACCAGTCTTGGACAACATGGCGTAGTACTCGATCTCAGACTTGCGGAGAGGAGGACAGTTACCAGCAATGATGATCAACTTGGCTACAATAGATGCAGATGTTAGCAAAACGGCTCGGGGGAACAATCTCTGCCCAAGGGACAGAAGACTACAATGGTTTTAAATGGGCTCCTGCCCCCCGATAAAGATATAAAGTGTAGTCTATAGAGTGCTTACCCTTTCCTTGACGGACAGTCTTCAAGGTAGTCTTGTAACCAAGAGTATACTTGCCAGACTTGGTGACGAGTTGGAGACGAGAGTTGATGGACTCGGCGTTCTTCTTGGACTTGACAGTAGGGGCCATTTTTTTTATCTATGTTGCATGCCAATGAATATTTCTCTCCAAATGGTTGCAAATGTTGAATGTACACTTACAAGTTGTGGACACGAAAGAGGAGGATTATAATAGGATTCTGGATTTCACTTGACTTTTGTGCTTGCCGAACAAGAAAAAAATTTTACGAGCGACTACCATTGGCCTAGTCAAACAAGCCACTTTATCGTGATCTATACACTCTCCCCTTGAAAATGCAGGTTGAGTTAACAAACACTCGATCATGATCCTCTCTTGGATGTAGTCTGTCGCTTGCAGAATCATGGATATTAAGCCATTGCATGGGGTCTAGCTGGCATAGCTTGCGTACAAAAACCATCCACCCATATTTATACATGTCAAGATTAGATCAGCTCCTGAACCCATTGGGGCAACCAATCTCCTATGGAGCCCAGGTAACCTACATTTAGAATCCGCATAGTAGTCAAAGTATCGCCTACCTTTTGCTTTTATCAAGATCAATATGTCTGAAGAGCGTAATATACCCATTGATGTTGCACTATTCCAATCACTCGAATCCAAATCAGCCGAGCTATCATCTCAATTTATGGCGCAAGTGGAAAATATACAAAAGCAATTGAAACAGGTGTGTAGCTACTGAATTAAAGTGAGTGTATGCTTGTACTCAGAACCTGGTAGATGACTCAATCCACAACAGAAGCAGAGCATGTCTACAACTTGTCAGTCAAGAATCTAGCAAACGAAATAGACTCGAGTACAAAAAAGACGGTTGAGTTGATCACCCATTGTGATGAGCTCGATAAAGATCTAGCACAACTATCCGAGCTATCGAGACAAGTGTAATAACTCGAGCTCTTGTTAGACTTGCATATACTAAACATCCCATCATAGAAAATCTGTCAACAAAGCACTGGATCAACTTCAGCAAATGTTGTCCCAGAAATAAGCGTGTCTTTGTTGACGTACATGCCACATCACACTATTGGAGATATTTACGTGCACTGTTGAACGAAGAATACATCAAATGTTGGAGACAATCATGCGGCATTATGCTAATGATTTTATTGTCACATCAAACAGCTAAATCCATCGAAAAACTAATAAAAGGACACAAAAATCAATTGTAATATGTGATGTTTGTTACAAATCAACCAGTCTTCAACTCTATAGATCTCGCTGCCCGCATAAAACTGATGGTTATACACCGTTTATACTGTACACCCCATCAAACTCAATTTCCACCATATCCTCCTCCAATCCCTGTACCTTCCTGCTGTTGTGCATTAGGATTAGCCATACCACACTTGGCACATTGAGTACGTTTGGCAAAGTCTATGAACATCAATGTTAACCGCATGCTTGCTTTTGTTTCCCTATTGATGACTTACTATGGAAAGAACAATTCTCATTTCTACACATCCAATCTCCAGCTACAAACAGAGGGCAGGTCAGACAATGGCTATACAAGATGGCATTTCTAATACATACGTTTCATGGGAGGAGTGCTTGTGGTGTATCCAGCTGGAGGTGCTCCAGTTGCGTTGTATGGCTTTGCAGTGTTACATTTGAGACACTGGAATCTAGAAGCAAAGTTATGAGAGTTACAGGAAGGACTATAGGTGAATGCGTGTTAGTCAGGTTCAATGGAACGCTATCAAATGCATCATACCAAATCCAATCGCCAGCTCTGAATTGCGTGTTGTGAGGACCAGAGCCTCCTGGAGGTCCACCTTGATGCACTCCACCATAAGCATACCCGCTACCACTTGGAGGATGTCCCCCACCGTACGAATACCCTCCACTATTACCGCCACCCGAATATCCTCCACCAGGAGGAGCATAACCACCGCTACCATATCCGCCGCTAGCATGATTGTACCCGTAGCCTCCTCCACCGCCATTCACACCGCCATTTCCTTGCGCATAACCCATATTATAACCTGATTGATTGCTATTCGGTTCTGGCGAATATCCATAATTTGGTTGATGAGGAGAATATTGGCTGTGTTGTGGTTGTTGCTGTTGCTGTTGATTAGGGGCCTGTTGCTGTTGGTTAGGCACTTGTTGGTTTGGATTAGGTGTATGACAACGGAAACAAGTGTTTCGAGAAGCAAAGTTCTGGAACCCACAAGCTTGGTTGGGACAATACCAATCACCAGGTCTGAAGGAGATGTGATGGTGAGGTCTTGGACCACTGTTATAGCCACCGTGGTAACCAGCATTGGGAGGTGGGGGTCCACCAGGAGCACCTCCACTGTGTATGTTGGGATATGGTTGAGGATGCGATGGTGGTGGTTGTTGCATAGGCGGGCCATTGATCAGCTTCTTGTTAGCACCCTTCATCGCCGGTCTAGGTGGCTTTGGTCCAGCACATTTCTTGCAGTGCATACGAGAGGAGTAATTGTGGAAGTTACAAGAGGGACACATCCAGTCGCCATGAGAAAAGGGCTGAGCAGGTGGGCCTTGGCCAGCTTGTGGTCCTGGATTGGGGTTTTCAGCATTACACTTGAAACAATACAAACGAGAAGCAAAGTTGTGGAAGGAGCAGTTGAAGCAGTTCCAATCACCAGGGCGTAACTGTCTGCTCTTGGCCTGCAAAGGAAAAGGAACCAGCATGTTGCCAGCAGCTTCAATCACTCTGGCAGAGCTAGGACAGACTTCAATGGGACGATCACCCAAGCAACGACCATTCAGTGCAAGCGCACGCATAGCGTCATCGTGTTGCTGAAATACAACAAATCCAGAAATACTAGGCTTTGAGTTATCCGAAGGTTGAATCATCCACATGGTCGTGGGTCGAAGTCCGTTGGAAGAGAACCAAGCTTCTAATTCACCTTGAGTCACTTCAAAGGGCAGACCAGCCAAATGAATCACTTGAGATTCCTCCTTTTTAAATTGCTTGAGATCCGCATTGGTATCGATAGGGTGTACAAAAACATCGGCATGACGAAATCCTAAAAGGTATCGCAAGACCTCCACTGTAGTCAAGGCATTGTTCAAGCCAACAGTTTGATCAGTGACACGAGTCAGGTCGAAGATTTCGCACAGGTCGCGAATGGAGGTGGATCGTAAGCTGACTTCAGGGTGGTGTACTTGCCAACGTTGGATTTCCTGCTTCAAGTCAAACATGCGACAGAATGACAGGTAGTTGGGCAAGGTGATATTCTTGTCACGCGCTTCACGAGGCAGCTGAATGCGAAGAGGCCATCCACCATGAGTAACAAAGCAAAAACTCTTGGGCTCGACTTGGTGTTGTATAAAATTATCCAAGGCAACGACGGCATCACTCAACGATCCTGCAGTCTCCAGCATGCTTGATTTAATACCAGTAACTTCGCTACAAAAAGCTGTGAGGGGTGTGCGTTCAGGTTTGACAAATATTTGTTGCTTATGAAGCACTTCCAAGTTGGAAGCATCAACTACAACAAATGACAGCTCTACAAAAGGTTGGTCAGACAGCAACTCTAGACTTCCTTTTGGATGACATGCCACCTACCTATGATTTCTGAATTCTCCTTGGTAACCTGAACTGCAGCAGGGTTTGTTGGGTTTTCGTCGCAGGTGGCTTCCAGGTGGATGAGGATCAATCTATCAAAGGGAACCAAGGTCTCCAGAGGAGCAGCAGCAGCAGCAGCAGCAGCAGCAGCAGTAGCAGTGGGTGTGGTATCAACCTTAACATCGACAGAAGGTTCTGCCTTGGGCTCAATCTCGGCTTCATCCTTGTTGATAGATGCTGCTGTTTCTTTTTGGTCCTCTTCCACAGCGTTTGCAGACTCTTGATTGCCTTGTTCTTCCTTCGTCTCTGTAATGGCGTCGTAAAAGGGTTCCTCTGAATTTTGTTGTTCTACTTGATGTTGTTGTGGTTCTTGTTCTTGTTTAACTTGGTCATCGTTTCTCAATGCAAAATCAGTCTCCAAAACAGGACGTTTAGAAGGTGCTTCTTCTTGATGCGGTTCTTCTTGATCTTCTGCTTTACGTTTACGTTCGGTTTCCATTTTTGATATTAGCTAAAGAAAAATTGAAAAAGGAGAGAAAAAGCTGCTTTTCATCTCCACCCCCTTGGAGCTGGCTCTATTACATGAAACTACGCTTATACAAGCCACATGACACCACATTAACAAAAGACATTAAATGGTAATTTGTAAATATAGCTAGACTATATTAGAAAAGGTTGTAATGCGTCTGTGCCAATGCCTTATATATTATATGAGTCTTTGACATGTATTACCCATGTACATCTCTAGGATCTTCAAGAGCATGCCTTGGTTAGCTTTGCGCTAGCTGTATATACTACAGTATGTATCTACGAGTGTATCTACAATTGTAGATATTCTTATTTTCGATTTAGTGAGAATAAAGCTACGAGGCTACGATTCTCTTCATGCATGTCACTAAAAAAAAACTGTACGTTTTATTTAATAGCCTACAGTGGGCTTTTTTAGCTTTCCACCATCATGCGAGAGCATTCCATTACTGTGAATTTGAGTCTTTTACAACCCTCTATATCTATATCAATGGGAACAATTCATCTACAGGCAGGCAATATACTTGCATTGCCTCTTAATACTCAAATCCATGCAAAATACAGCGAAATCTGGGTGCATTGGAGTCCTATTTTCTCATGATAGAAGCCGATTTAGACCGCCGGAATAGCGCCAAACAGTTACTTGTGCCCAGCAGTAACTCACTGACACCTCTGCTCAACTTTTTTTGGGATCGTCAAAAATCGACCAGAAACCATGAGGGATACCTCATGCTTTTTATCAAAAATCAAACGATCGAGTTTTTGGTCTCAAAAATGAAGACTTTTACTATGGTGTATATTATATCAAAACGTTTTCCTCGATCCAAGGCAACCCTTGAAAGTTCGATTATGAGACTTTTACATGTAAAATGTTAACAAATGGGCGCAAAAACCTCATTTCATATTTTCATGAATTGCTAAATAAGCTTGTTTAAAGCATCTATTGTAATTAGCATTATTGGATGCGCCTTAAAAAGTGCTTCAAAAAAATTAAGGGTGTATAGGATAATCATCACAACTTCTATAGTAAAATATTCCAAAATAGAGGATTAGGTTCGTTTTTGGAACAAAATTTTTCTATTTCGAGCAGAAAATTCAAATCGGAGATTGAATTAATTTTTGGCTGGCAAAATCAATGCCATCCTTATTTTCAAGAAAGCAGGTGCTAATGAAGCTTATATAAAGGACATTGAGTGATTCGAAATACTTGTGTTTGGTTTGGCTACTGCTGTTTTGCTTTTGTTGAGTATTCGTATATATGAGAACGCCAGTCAGCCTGATTAACTATCGAGAAATTTGTAAGCTCAATTTCTTTATTCAAGGTCTGAAAACACCTAGCAACTTCAGATTATTTGCTGCAACGTATCTTTGACATCTGGTTTATATACATTTTTATTTTAATTATGGAATTATAGGAACAAAAGGATGAAATGCCACCTTAAAACATCTTGGTATATCACCCGGAGGTTGAATCTAATATGCAAAAGAATTTTGACATATGAACTCAGCTCAGGCACGAATTTGATTTCAATGTTTACAGACTTGTAGTGGTTGTCAGACACAAAGGCACTCTAATTGAATGTCTTTTAATGCAAAATGACACTAGCTTTGTTGTAAGTTTTTTGTTTAGCCGTTGTGCATTTGATAGTGGTAGCGACTACATGCTGATCATGCATTTCATTGCTGCTCTCCTTGTCATCGTCATACAGCCCTTAATGCTTGTTGATTTTGCTGCTACATCCTTGAGAGCAAGTAGCAGTCATTTCGTTATTACCTGCCTTATGTAGTATGACCCTTTGTTGAAGATGCATCACACAGTAACTCGGATAATATATATTGCATAGCTTCAAGCACCGAGATGTTGTAAGGGGTTTTTAGAGATGTGTCTAGTAACACTACACTCAACGTTAAGGACATCTTTGTGTTTGTGTGTGTGTGTGTGTGTGTGAAAATGCTGCTCTCAGTAAAGCATGGCTTGATTTTTTTTTTTTTTTTTTTTTTTTTTTTTTAGCTTCAAACAAATTTGCAAACTATGTTGAATTAATGATTTTGACTTGACTTGATTGGCTTGGAAAACTAAAGTTCAAACTTTGTAAAGCATTTTTTGCTGACAATCAAATGAAAAAGTTTTTTTTTTTTTCTCCTTCTTATTCATGACAATAACATCTCGTATACTCAAGATGATAAAAGACCCTCTTGTATGGATTGATTGTGAGGTACTACTTATAGATAGCAGCATTATACGTCATGAATTTGGGCTCTAAATATATACGGATGCAGATGACAGGCCTCGATATTAAGAAAGATCATTTGATTGAAATCGCGGTATTGATCACTGATGGAGACCTTAATGTTGTAGCCAAAGTATGTTGTATACATGAGCAAGCGAGCCAAATGTAACGTAACGATGTAAATCAAGGGACCTGAGTTGATCATTCACCAACCAAAGCAAGTAATGGATAATATGAACGGTAAAGTGGGGTTATTTTAGCTTACTGATAGGGATATTTATTTTACCATTTTCACAAAGAATGGTGTATCCAGCATCATGGAGATGTAAGTTGTTTTGTGAGCCGTGTTTCGTTTGAGGCTATAAATAACATGTTAATGTGGGGATCCTTTGTTACAGTCTGGCTTAACTCAGCAAGTGCTCGAATCTAAAACCACAGTGCAAGAAGCAGAAAAGCAAGTGTATGAATTTTTGAAACAACACATCCCTGCAGGAGTTGCACCCTTAGCTGGAAATACAGTGCATGAAGATAAGAAATTTCTTTGCAAGGAAATGCCCAGTATTGTTGACCATTTGCATTATCGTATCGTTGGTAAATAAGATTCATACAACGTACATGGAATTACAATTTAAACCTCATTATTTAATGCAAGATGTAAGCACAATTAAGGAACTATCCAAGAGGTGGTACCCCGAGATTGCATCAGGTGTTGTTAAGAAGGCTACACATAGAGCGCTGGATGATATCATTGAAAGCATCGAAGAGCTAAAATACTACAGACAACATGTATTTATCAGCAAACCATAAATCAAAATAAAACAGAAGAAGCGTATTCTGAAAACTGCGGGTAAAATGCATTCGGTTCCGAATAGTTCTAAAACTCAACATTTAGTTTTGTGAGATGAGTGAGTTGATTTCATGGGCTCTGTAAGATTGCAATTGCGGGGTGAGATGGATTTTAGCTTTTTTTTTTTTTTTTTTTTTTTTTTTTTTTTTTTACATTTTTGCGGGGGAGCCTTTATACAATGTATAACGGCATTCCATACAATACAGTAAAATGCTCTTTCAGATGAAAGGTTCGGAACATATTTGCGATTTCACATGGTGACTCAAGAGAGTACTGGAGAAACACTCACGGTCCATGCCGACATCTGTAAGTGTGTACTTCATAATACGCATGAGTAATTATCATTTGAAACGATTTTTAAAAGTCAATGTTGATTTAGATCAAATACATGATGGATCCAATATTACAGTTTAAAAAGTGTGTGAAATTTACTTGAATTCTCCTATTTACCTTGGTTTGCAATGCGAGACGAAAAAATATATCCTTTTTGGCTCATTTCTCTACATATATTGCGCATGCATATTCTTGTAAATCTATGCAAAAGCTTGGACATAGTATTTTTATCCTAATAGTGTAACAATATAGTGATACAACATGAAAACTCTATCGACCCTTTAAAATTTGGTTGTTGCACACGGAATCAAGTAGATTAGGATTGATATTAATAATAATTTATTAGAAATAAATACTATCATCACTTGTAATAATAAAAAGAAATAGTATATATATACAACTATATCATGTTTCCGAGTTGGAAAGGGCAAGATATAGTAGGGTTTGGGGGAGATGGATAAGGTGTGATAAATAAGACGGAGGCACGGCCCCTTGATGTGTAAAAATAGTAATAATGGTAGTAGTAAATGTGTGTAAGTTTGCTGTTTACTTGTAGTTGGGACCTCTCTTTTCATCGTCCTTGATGTAGTCTTGTCTAATTTCAGCAGCCTCGGTATCGCGAGCGGGTTTGTCGTTGACAACAGGTTGAGTCATACCACTGTTGCGACCAGAGAAGTTGCTAGGGAAACGACGAGAGCTGGGACGAGAAGCACGTTCAAGAGCGGATTGAGCATCTTGCTTTTGATCGTACATGGAAGTGGATCCGATGTGAGAGGCAATAGACTTGGCGTCTTCTTGAACGTCGTGGCTGGCAAACAAAACTTCGATTTCTTCCAAAGACTTGCCCTTGGTTTCAGGGTACCAAAGATAGATGGGAACCAAGAAGATGACATTGAGAATACCAAATAACAAGAAGGTCCAGTACTTGGCATATTCGAACAAGACAGGGGCAATCATAGCGACAACAAAGTTACCAAGCCAGTTGGCAGCAGTAGACATGGAGTTACCCTTGGCTCTGAGACCAGTAGAGAAAATTTCAGAAGGATATAACCAAGCAAGACCCAACCAGGCAGCACCGAATACAAAGTTATAGAGCATAACGAAAGCAATAACAGTGCTTGATGCTTGAGGGTTACCATCTTTTTCAACAAGGTATTGACAACCACCAACGATCAACAAGGTGACAGCTTGGCCGATGAGACCAGCATACATGAGGAAGCGACGACCCAAACGCTCAATAGTAAAGATAGGAGTAACAGCGCCCAGGAAATAGATGATGGAGTCCACACCAGCCATCAACATGGCCTTTTCAGTTGTCATACCAGCTTGCTTGAAGACATCAGTCAAGTAGTAACTGATAACATTGATACCACCAAATTGTTGAATCAATTGACCACCCATACCAAGCAATACACGATAACGGTTGTTCATCTTGCCCTTCTTGAAGAGCTCAACATAAGAGGAAACACCTTCACGACGTTCGAGTTCAATACCATCACGGATTTCTTCCCATTCGGCAATACAACGAGGATGAGTAGTGTCGCAATCAGACCAGAGACGAGCCAAAACTTCCTTACAGTCCTCTTCTTTACCGTGGGCTTGAAGCCAACGAGGAGATTCAGGGAGGATGAAGGAAGCAACGCCCAAAATGATAGCGAAGACCATTTGGAAAGCCAATGGGAATCTCCAAGCGAAATCACCATTAACAAAGTACAGACCATATTCTAGCCAGTAGGCGATGGCAACACCAACAGTCAATAGAGAGGCTTCAAATGCAACGTGAGCACCTCTGGACTTGGGAGGTGATAATTCAGCTTGATAAACAGGGATGGTAGCAGTGTTCATACCGTTTCCGATACCAGTGATGATTCTGGCGACAATCATCATAGGAGCGTCTAGATGAAAAGATGCTTGTTAGTATTTCTGATTAAAAGAGCTGGGGGAGCCTGGGGATGCCTTACTTATACTACATGTTTGAATAATAGCTCCAATGCATAGAATCAAACATCCTAATCTGATTGTGACACGACGGCCAAGCAGATCACCGACTTTACCAGTACTCAAGGCGCCAGCCATACAACCTAAGAGATTTTTAATATAAACTCACACTATTTCAGCGTATAAATGCCATACCAATTTCATATAAAGCTACAATTGCACCCATCAAAGCTGAACTGGGATTACCCATAGTTCCAATGAACAATTCGTTTGCTACAACACCAGACATGACACCCTGTAGAGTTGAGGAATATTAGATCTCAATTCGCCTTAACAGGTCAACTCCGATGTTGATTTACCTGGTCATAACCAAACAATAAGAAACCGATAGCAGCCAACAGAGTCGATGCTCTGAACAATGCTGCTCCTTTTAGTACGAAGCAAGACATGTTTTGTATATATATTTGTTTGTAGATCAGAAATCAGAAAAGAAAAATGTACAGATCAGGATCAAAGAAAGAGGGATGAGTACTTCTTTTTGAGATTGAAATGAAAAAAGGTAAAAGAAAGATAATTTTCCCCACATTCACGAAAAACAGGGAGGTTTTTATATCTTTTTTCCCTAATGTAGTGTCTTACTTGAGCATTTAAACTTTGTTAAGTCGACCGGATACATTTGCCATATGAGACGCCGGAGTTTCATGTAAAGTAAAGGTACCCAACTTGTTTTTTTTTTGTGGAGCTAAACTTTACAGTTGGACAAATGGATTTCAACATGAGCGTCATTTTCAGCTGTGCAACATGCCGTTTCACACTACTGAGTATTTCATTGTATTAGTATAAAGCTCCGTCCTGTGCTAAAATGTTTTCTTAACTAAACATGGCCTCTGGGATTATCTGGGAGTAGTTGTTATTGGCCTTACTTGATGTCATGTCTTGATTTCAATTGATTTGCCGATCTTGAATCTTTTCTACATTTTGATTTGTAATTTAGGGCAATTAAACCCATTCGAGAAATTTAAATGACTAAACAGTAATTGATTGCTAGCGAAGATCAGCATCCAAAATGTTACATGATTTTTCCTCGATTATTAGCTTTTTTTTCTGCTGAAAAATAGAGAAAAAGAAATCACATGTGTCTCGGTAAATAAGTTGTGTTATCTTTGTTTCTATTACATGTATCGAGAAATTTTTACGGAGGTACAGGGTCTAAGCGAAAATAACATGATGTAGCTTCGTATATATAAAAAAAAAAAAATTAGTTAGTTGAAGTAATTATAATGAATCTGATCCACTCCAAAAAAGTGAAAACTAGCCTCTTATGGTCAAATAATGGCGAACATTGAAGCTCAATTGGGCATTGCCTTTTATAAGATGTTTGCAAAAGAAAAAGTGTCAGATTTGGACATATTCGTATGTGATCATGGTAGTTGATACATAGCAATTACCAAGGGCGAGTACAAGTTACTACATTTTGGAGCTGATAAGAGCCATACCATTAAGCTTCGGTCTATACAGAGCAAATGTCTGGATATCCATGGTTCAAGAATATAAGCTTTCATGATCTAATCACGTTTAGAACTGTATGGACTTCCAAACCACCCGGAATATCAGTATGAAATGATGATCAACTTGGAATAATCAAGATTATTGCATCTGTTTAAAAGCAACACCTAATAAGAGTTAAGTTTACTGAGTAACGAATAATGTATGCCAAGATGGATATCGAAATTGCTGGGTCTTGCGCACTGTTTAGCTCAAAATGATAGCCCTTCAAGAATTGTAGGAAGCTTTTCTGTACGCTGTGCATCTGCGGAACCTCAGGCACTCAAATGCAAGCTGACCAAGATGTGATGTACCCTGTAACACAAAGCGGCGCTGTATCATGTAGTGAATAGTGGTTGCATCTTGCCACTACTACATGCGTCACTACCATCAGCATGCTGTTCTACCATGTATTTGAGAACGGCTTGAGCAACCTCGTCTAAAAAACTGCAATCATCATCGGATAATGGCATCATAGCTCAATGACAGTCAAGATGATAGCCATCTATACACTCGACTAGAAGCGACCTCACTTGCGCTATATAGAATACCTATGGCATTCACTTCATCTAGTGCTGACTGGGAGAGTTGGAGACAAAATGAGCTTGATTTGCTTATTGCTCACTGTTTTGTAATGATCGTAATGATGATTACAGAATTTCAAGCATGTCTGAGCTTCAACTGATTCAAATGATACAGAGCAATTGACATGACCGATGGCATCAAATGTAACGAAAAATGGATTTGGCAACCAAGCTATAAGCTGTGCAAATGTTCACTCTTCAGCATGAGATGTTTGTGTGTTTTGTGTCAGATTTAGAGTGCTTTCACTGAGACAAACCAGTCCGGTCGGTTTAACAAAAAAAAATCAGCATATTCTTGGTTCTGTGAACGACATGAGATGGCAATGGAAAAAAGGAATGTTTGGGGGTTTTTTTTTATCATATTCATATTAAACAGATGAGTCAACCACCACAAGCGTTCAGCAATGATAGAAGAAAGACCTTGCCGGTAGTCAAAGTAGAAAAAGACCTCGATGAAGACACGATTCCACAGCGCGTATTACCAATCCTTGCGGCTCCTCATGCAAGCCCCGTCCAAGATAAAGAAGAAAGCGAGACATCTGTGCAAGAGTCAGAGACATTGCCACCTTTAGTATCTGCTCCCACACCAAAAGCACCTTCAGCTGTACCAAGCTGGCTCAAGTTGAATGCAGACGACTCTGGGAAAGAAGCTACTAGAGTGCGCCATTCGGTAGGATTAGATGTTCCCGGCGCAGTTCATACCATCACAACACCTAGTAAGGCATCCATCGTAGCATACGCATGCCACTCGTCATATACTCATGTTATCCCACACGTAGAACTTAAAACGGAACGTCAATTAGACAGCAAACTGGTTGTGATTATGGGTATGACAAACATTTGAAAGAAATGGCAAATTCATGCATTAACTGTATACACAATGGTAGTCGGTTTACCCGCACGTGGAAAAAGTTATCTCGTCAAAAAGCTGAGACGATATCTGAATTGGCTGCAATACGAGACCAAAGTGTTCAATGTGGGTAATATGCGTCGAGTATGTGAAGCAAGCTCTCAAGATCAAAACGCCAGCTTTTTTGATCCCAACAACAAGGATATGAAACGCATTCGTGATGAGATTGCTCTGAGCGTGCTGGAACAGTTGATTGAGTGGCTCAGGGAAGGTGGCCGTGTGGCTATCCATGACGCTACTAACTCAACCTTGGCGAGAAGAAAGTTGCTGATAGACAGATTGGAGCGAGAGCCTGAGATTAGAGTATTGTTGATTGAATCAGTCTGCACAGATCAAATGGTACATACATTGCATATTGGCGTATCGATATACAACTAACCCTGGTGAAAAAAAGATGCTGGAACGCAACTTTAGATTGAAGCTATCAGGGCCAGATTACAAAAACAAGGATCCTGTGGAAGCTCTGGCTGATTTCAGATCTCGAGTAGCAAACTATGAAAAAGCGTATCAGCCTATTGGGGATTGGGAAGAGGAACATGATATCCAATTTTGTAAATTGATCAACGTTGGCAAGAAGGTCATTGCTTACAATATCTCTGGCTATCTGTCTGGTCAATGCATATTCTATCTCATGAACTTTAACCTCAACGGTAAGCCTCGCATCATTGTTATTCAATGTCCATCTTGTACTGATCTACCGCGAAAAAAAAAAGAGCGTCAAATTTTTGTCACTCGTCATGGTGAAAGTGAAGACAATATTACTGGTAGAATTGGTGGCGATGCTCCTTTATCGCCTGCAGGTCGCAAATTTGCCAAAGCATTAGCCAAGTTCACTCAGACACAACGCATCAAATTTGCTTGTGAAATGGCGTCCAAAGCAAACGAGCTGGAGCCCGAGGAAAATCAAACGCCTGCCCGTGCCTTAGAGAAGACTGCTCAGTTCTGTAACTCCCAATTCACAGTCTGGACAAGTATGTTGCAAAGGTCTATGCAGACAGCTGAACATTTTGATCCGGATGATTATGACGTAAAACACATTCGTTTCTTGAATGAGATCAATTCTGGTGTAATGTATTTTGCCATGTGTGTTACCTTTGGGTAGATGAACTAAATTGCTCTTTCACTGAAATAGATCTGCGAAGGCATGTCATATCAGGAGATTCAGCAAAAGCATCCACAGGAATATAAATCAAGACAGGCAAACAAGTTATTTTATAGATATCCAGGCATGGGAGGCGAATCTTACATTGATGTTATCCACCGATTACAACCAATGATTGTTGAGCTGGAGAGAATGACCCAATCGTGTTTAATCATCACACACAGAGTTGTGATGCGTATTCTACTTGGCTATCTTCTTGATTGGACTAGAGAAGAGATGCCTCATATGATGGTTCCTATTCATACGTAATGTCATTTAAACATTGAAACATAATTCTTATCTAACATTTTTAAATATGCACAGCGTCTACGAGCTTCGACCTAAACCATACGGCACCGAATTGAAGAAATGGCAATACATTGAGGAGACGGATTCTTTTGTAGAATTTTAGTATGCATTAAACAGCGTCGCATTTTGGTAAAATATTATAAACTTTCGAGCATCTATTAAAGTACTCCTTTTCTCTAGAAAAGGTTTACATTACATACCTTTCCTACAATGTACAGCAATAATGATTGATATTCACACTTGAGATCGAGACACTCTCTCCCTCGCTACAATAGCAGCATTACATATATACTTCGTCAATAACAGCAATCAGCACCAATAATGCCTCGATAATAGTGATATAATAACACATTTATCATGTGAATTGTTAAAATTACATTGTCGCCCTGAAAAGAAAGTTCTTGTCATTTACGTAATGGTAACCATCAGTTGAAACTCATTTTTGGTTTTTGAAAGCTTGTTTTTGCCAATGACGATGCTTATTCATTCGATCATCCTTAGCGAGTTATTCAGTGTGCACACAATTATTTCATCGAGGCAATTCTATTGAATGCTTTCATAATTTTGAATGTGCACGCATTGCATTTGAGCAAACTGGGCAGTATGGACACTTGTGATCTATATTAGATCTGCCACTTTAGTTTTCATAATTATGATAATGAGGCCGTCATTTACTATGAGGAACTGCCCTTCTGTGTGCCTGTAAGCTATTTAGTAGGCACTTTATACCACTTTTTAATTTTCTACCGTCTCTGTAAGCAACCTGAAGCTGTCGATCTAACTCTCCTGGGACGTTCCACGTCTGTATCAACAGAAATATATCATATACAGACGTATAATATATTGTTACTACCTCTTACCACTTGAAATTATGCAAATCACGACGAAATTTGGATATAATCGAGCCGTGTTTTCTCGTGTTAGAAGCGGTTTTAGACGGCCAGAATAGCACCAAGCAATTGTTCTCACCTAGCGTTAACTCCTTGAGCCCTTTGCTCAACGTTTTGGAGATCAAAAAAATCATGGCCAAAATTCGACTAAAAGGCATGAGGTACCCCTCATGGTTTTCATCGAAAATCAAACGATCGCATTTTTGACCTCAAAAATGAAGACTTTTATCATGGTATATATTACATCAAAATGTTTCTTTCGACCCAATGCAGCTTTTGAACGTTCGCTTGAGAGATCTTCATAGGTAAAATGTCAACATTTTTGCAGAAAACCTCATTTTATAATCTTTAGTTTTGTTCAATAAGTTCAGTCAAAATTTCTCTTATAGTTTGTACCGTCGGATGTGCCTCGAAAAGTACTCCAAAACAGCTTAGGAAAGTATGGGATGATCATCACAATTCATATAGTCGAATTTGGCAAAATAGATATATTAGATCCAAAATACAGCAAGTCTAGCCAATCTTCAATGAAAGTTTTATCGAAGTATGAATTGCTTTTTTTTAGCTGGCAGAAGCACTGCCACTTCATTCATTACAGTGAACGAGAGGCCACTGGGGAGTATAGATTTATGTGCTTCTTGTAGAGGATATAGAAAAGTATAATGATCGTGCAAGCTAACTGAACACTGCCTTGAAAATGCACCTGGCACAAGCATTTGATAAAACAAAAAATTTGCGTATACAAAGTACATTAGAATGGTTTATTTATAGAAAAGTGAGAAATTGTCATGGATTGGTCGAGTGATTTAGGCATAAAAAAAAGTGTATAGAAGAAGATCTATAATGGAATAATGGTGATTTAAGCAAACTTGACATCAACATTTGCTTCTCTAGCTAATGTAACAATCTTGGAGAACTTGACGGCCTTTTGAGCAGCAAGATCCAGATCATCTTGAGCAAAGATACGAAGACCAGATTCAGCAATCAACTTCTTGGCTTCATCAACCTTAGTACCCTTAAGACGAACAATCAAAGGAATTTGGAGATCTAAATCCTTAGCAGCGGCAATGATACCTTCAGCGATAACATCACAACGCATAATACCACCAAAAATGTTGACAAAGGCAGAAGAAACGGAGGGATCAGATGTAATAATTTCGAAAGCAGCCTTGACAGCTTCAGGGGTAGCAGCACCACCAACATCTAAAAAGTTAGCGGGCTTACCGCCGTGAAGTTGGATGATATCCATAGTGGCCATGGCGAGACCAGCACCATTGACTATAAATTCCCTTGAATAAGAAGAAAGAAAACCACTGACAAATGTTGTACAACTTTACCTAAACAACCAATGTTACCATCTAAACCAATGTAATTCAAGCTGTATTTAGCAGCAGCAATTTCACGAGGATCTTCTTGAGTGAAATCACGGAGGTCAAAGACTTCCTTTTGCTTGAAACTGGCGTTATCGTCAAAGTTCAGCTTGGCATCCATACAGAGAACTAATAGCATACTACAGTTAACACAGGACATTCATCCAACAATAAAATATAACTTACCTTGGTTATCACTAGATTCAGACAAGGGATTGATTTCAACTTGAGTGGCATCCTTCTCGTTGAAGAGCTTGAAAAGACCCAAGAAGGTATCAGCAGCTTGCTCTTGACCCTTGGGAGTGAAACCCATCTTCTTGGCAAGATCCAAGGCCTTCTCCTTTGTAAGACCTTCCTTAGCATCAATAGGAACAGTGATGATAGCTTCAGGGTTGGTAGCAGCAACGCCTTCAATATCAACACCACCTTGAGAAGAGGCAACAATGACGGGGCCGGCAGACTTGCGATCCAACAAGATGGCAAAGTAGTATTCGTTACGAGCGTATTTACGTTCACAAATGTAGACGGCGTTACATGGCTTGCCCTCGGCGCCAGTTTGTTTGGTAATCAAGTTATGACCAAGCATCTTTTCAGCAAGTTCCTTAGCTTCTTCGGGTCTATAAATTTTTCTTTAGACCCCCACATACTCTCTCTCAAACGCAATGGACAATACTTACGTATTGAAAGTCTTGACACCACCCTTATAACCGTTATCAAAAGTACCCTTACCACGACCACCAGCAAGAACTTGAGCCTTAATAACAAGATCATCAGAACCTGGAATGGGGAAATTTAAAGATGATCAGTAAATTTAAAACTTTTGTGGGGAAGACAATGAAAAACTTTACCGAGACTCTTTGCAATGTCATAGGCTTCTTGAGGAGTGTTAGCGACCTCACCCTTGGGAGCATTGATACCGTATTCTCTCAAGAGCTTGACAGAGAGATATTCATGGATGTTGAGGAAACGCTTTTGTTGTTGTTGGATAGGCTTACGGGCAACCTGTAAATCATTAAAGAATCAGTTACCAGAGCAGCAGATACAATGTGGATGAAATTACCAAAGAAGCACGTTGTGCGATAGAAGTAGCAGCACGCAAAGAATTGAACATTTTGTTGTGAATAAATAAAATAAATACTGAGAAAAGAGAAAAAAGAAAAAGGGAAACAACTAGATTAGTTTTAAGGAAAAAGGGAAGGGGGGAAGGACCCACTAACAAGCTTATTTCAATCGCTATTTCATTTTCATTACACTTCTCCACTTGTTTCTCCAAACAAAAAAGCGGGTAAGTACGGAATAAATTAAAGAAAAGACTTGGTCACCCGAAGTGCACTTACAACATCCGCGATAGATGCGCTACATTGCTAAATCAATACTCAAATAGATAGATTCTTGAGATATAACTGAAAAATGTCAAATGTAGTCATGCCAGTGTTGCAGCTAAGAAGCACCATCTGACATGGCATCTGATGGATCAAAGCTATGGAATGAACACTGTTGATGGTTGTCACATCACAAGCCCGGGTTGTCCCGTTGTTCATTTTGAGGGTTAGAATCGCAGAGCGAGATGATATGTGGCATTGACAAGCACAACATTGATCCAAACATTGATTATACACTTTAATCTAAAGAAAAAAAACTTGGCATCTTTCTTTTATCTGACAAACATCGTCAATGAATCCATTAGACTTTTTCGATTTATAAACTCATCCTGAATTAATTGCAATGAATAATATCATTAAATACTCCGGCATCGAATGCATCGAGTGCAAGAGAGAGGACAACACAGAGTTTGACGTTTATTCAAATGAAACTACTAAATTTCAGGGAGAGATTGTTAACCAGGGGCATCCCATAACACAGCAATGGCATGAAATGTGGGGTTTTCCATTTTCTTATTATGCGCTCCGAAATGTATGAAATGTTGGGTCAAGTTCATTTCATGTGTCTTAATTAAACAAGATCAAAAGGTTGACATGTATCCCTTCTTTTCTCAATAGTTTTTAGCGGGAAAATCTAGTGTAAACGAAGGTTTTTATTACCAATCAAAGTCGCTAAATCTTATTGAGATTTATGATTGAAATTTCCCTAGATGTTCAATGTTGTTTATCAATGAAAGAAAAAAGGAGGTAGAATATGTCAAGCATCATGCATCTAGGCGTAAGAGCTACAAAAGCTTGGGAAAAAAGCCAAATTTAATTGATGAATACAAAAAAATACACGCTTTTTTTCTTTCACGATTCATTGGGGGGGACCACAACATCAAAGTAAGGAACTCCATTGAAAGTCAGTACAAAGCATATGAAAATATTCCCACCTTTCATCATGTAAATGTAAAATCTCACTAAGGCATGTTCCTGAAATCTAGTTAGTTATCTCACAGGCATACAGCCTTTACTGGGCAACTGTAGTTGAAGTTATAGTATTTGGGTCCTGGAGGGGACCTGGAAGCTTGTGCCCATTGCATAATAAAGATTAATCATCGAAATTATTACTCATCCACAAAGAAGAAAGGCATTGCAAAAGTTATTTATCAGGACAGATCCGGAAAAATAGGAGCTCTTTCAAATTTATGTCTAGTTTAATCAATGATAAATGTAATCCTTAAAATCATTTAAGACTTACAGAACTTAACTATATGTGCGGGCCAATAATTTCGGACAACATCAAACTGTACTCGTTGAACGAGGTGAAATTGAACTCACTGGAAGATGAGACATAGGCAGAGTTGACTGTTAGAACATATACTTTTATTGAGCAGCCTCTGCTGCTTTATCTTGTCTAATTACCTTTACAAATATGCAACATAGTGAGGATGATTTTTTCCCAGGATATTGAGTAGTCCATGTGAAGTTTATTTATACACTTTTTTTTTCAGGGAAAGTGCAAAGTTACACAACGTAAACGTCTAAAACCAGAGTCTGTTGGTTCTCGATTTGAGTATAAAACTAAAGTGTAGCAGTAATGTTTAGTTGTTGCTTAAGTATCATGTATAAATTTGACCACAGGCACTGCGAAGTAGGTTGCCCTGGTATCAACATTTGACAGATGCATTAAATCTCCACCATAGCAACCAGGGGTAAAGCATGTATGTCGATCATAGCAACCAATTGCATGTAGGCCACGGTCAAATCAACAAGTATGCAAATCAGAATTTCTATTTCAAAAGCGGATTCTTTACTGCCCAACGCCCTTTTGTATTATTGATATTATGTTGAGATTCTAGCTTCATTATGAAATTAGAGATGCTTGATTTAATGGTCCCTGAGAAAAACAAAAGTTATTATATGAAATGTTGGGGATTGTGCGCCCAAAATAACGTTACGGTGAAGAAAAGCCACTTTTCAGTATACATGTCCAAGTTGTAGCCATTAGTATTTGCGCTGTAATGCGATATGGCTGTCATTGAGTAAACGTTATTGCATGCCACGATGTTGTTTGGATCCTGCTAGTATCCGGACAAAAAACATATAGGGTCAAGTATGCTTTTAAAATCTGCTGTAAAGCACTTTAATCAACACCAACGCTGTGCCTGAAGGAAGTTGCATTGCCATGTGATGCAATCTTGATTTGAGTAGCATTCTATAATACAAACATATGAAATACTGCATTCATGCCAAGTATTTCTAAAAGTACTCTGTGAATCATGAACTTTACAACTGGTGAAAGCGTTAATTTCATATGTTTTTCTTTGAAGATGTGAAGTATAGTCCATGTTTTACATTTGCTTCTTAATCTTGATCGTAGTTGAAGAAGGGCTTTACACCTCAACGGTCAATTCAAATGTAAATTGTAGATTTTCGCAGATCAATTGACATTTGATTTTGAAATTATAGTCATACTTGCCCCACATCAAATACAAAAAAGCAAATAGTTGTGTACGGTGCATGTGAAGTAACATCTAAGCTGAAAAATTCAGTTGCACATCGCGGCAAAGCCTGTAAAAATTGTGATGCTTCCGTTACTTGTATACAAACCACTGCTGGATCAGAATTACTAAAACTGTCATCCAAATACCAATGAGTACTGCAAATATCACAAGAAACATGATAATTTTACACAACCTGGCAACTTGATAGTTACTGCATGAATGGTTAACTGCCTACTTTAACATTTGTACGTTATCTTAAAGTTATACGTTTCATTTACCATATATACAAATGATACTCAAAGCAATGTGTTAATTACATTGAGCTACCAAGACTTTTTTGTGGACAGAAATTGCCCTGCTTCCCCACATTAAATTGTTTATGGTAATAAAGTTGTCAGAGAATCTCACACGCAACTTATTGTATGACCCTTTTCTTTGACTAGTTGCCTTTATGTGCAACGCTCGTGCCTCTCATTCTGCAATGAGTTCAATTGCATAATATTTTTTTTATATATATTACACTTTTTTTTCGCAATTCCTTTCTTTCTTTCTTCAAATTAAACTACTGCATCGTGCGCAATTACATACTGCAATTCATCATCTATATGAGCGATCAGCAAATCCAGCAGCAGTCGACATTTTGGAGAGTATGCGATGAATTTGGAGAGTGTCATTGCGATTTTCGATACACGATCTACGATTGCGAAGAAACCTACATTGCAAAGATACTATACACTGTAACAGCTGTCGTATCAGGCGTTCTTGCACTGATAGCTATTATTGTGCTGTATTTTCGACTCAATTACAGAAATCAGAAGATATTCGAGATGAGAAATGGATTTCCTCGACCAAAGCCCATTGAATCAATGGGCTTGTTTGGCATCATTTTCAATCTGTGTAAATAACATACATTACATTGCATGCATATAATACAATTAAACTAATTCATGCATCCCTGTGCAGTGCAAATGGTTCATGCTATATTCATGTTGACCAATTCAATCCCCAACCCGGTCTTCAGATCTTGTAAGGCTTTACTTTTGTGATGTGTTACACATTACTATTCCATTTTCATGTATTGATTCATTGGTTATTGACAATCTTCCATTTTTGTTGTGTATAGTCATGTTTGAAGTAGGCTTTCAGTTTGGCTACTGCTGTTTCGCTTGCTATTTGTTTGGAGTAGCGTATACATTGTCCGAGGTATACATGATAAAAACCAACCATGAAGGCTTGTAATAAAACTAACACTGGTTATAATTGCACATATAGAGCAGTCGAGTGATATACAGTAACTGGGTGAAATCACACACTGCAGTCAACATACTATGTCTAGCAACCATGACGTTTCCATTTCTGACCAATACAAGCTGTGCTCTTGCCGCTGGTATTTATGCTATTCGCGGCAATGATGAAATGGCATCCAAACTGACCATGGCTCAATACTATTTTTGGACATTCTATTGTGGCTACCTGGGCACGCTCTTGCTATTTGCTGGTGTTCGCTTGATGCGGCTACTAGATAAACATTTGCTAGTGCAATCTGAATTAAGGGTCAATATCCAAAAGGTGAAAACTGGTGCCCTGAAAGTTCGAATTATCGTTGTCGTAGGCACATCATGCATGTGGATCTTCGCATTTTTATTGGGACTGTACAGCGCATGTCGTGAAGCTGTCATGATGAATCAAGCTACCAATATGGTTGTTGCTGCTGTGTGGCTATTTGCAGGTCCAATTGCCACATTCTTTGTTGAAATTGCCGTGCTAATCAAGTGAGTTTTCAAATTAAGCGTATCATTTACCAAATCTAATTGACATTTTACTGTTTCTGTAGCCCTGAAATCGCTGCTCAACTAGGGCATCTTTCTTTTGGATCTTCATCTGATTCTCGCATGTCGCATGAGCAGCTTGGATGCAATAGCCGGAAGTTGACATCTTTTGAACTGGGTCTTTCATCTAAAGTCAAATCAACCCAGAGCAATTTCATCATAAGCAAATGTCAATTAGATGAAGATGCTCGCTTTTCTTTCAACATTATTAAGCGACCAGAAGATTCAAAAGATGTATTGCTGCTTGACGAAAAAGACAGCATTACTACTAGCAATGACAGCAGCAAATTAACAAAAGTAGAGCAAGAGCAACAAAAGTACAATGCCACAATAGGCAGAGTGCGTACTCCCCCTCCTTTTAGAGCCGCCGCTAGCAGCAGCACAAACAGTAATACGTTGTTCTGAACACGATATTCATTATTACCACTACACTTTCCTTGATGAGCTGTGATCATACATACATAGACTTTGTTTCTTATACACTATACCTGTACATAGATCTTTTAATTACTCTTTATATATATCAACTTTTTTAACCCATGAATAAACTCAACAATCTACTTCTTCGATGTCATCTTAAACCAATAGTGGTTGGGAAGATCTTTTATAAAACTATCATAGCGCGAGCATTATTTTAATGAAATTTTGTAGATAAAATATGCAATGGCTTCTTTGCTTATACTGATTGGCAGGGTGCAAGATGTTTGGTGATTTCATTTATCTTTTCTTCTCTTGGCATCATCAGCCAGTTCATCTTCTAGCTTGTTTAATTCCAACAAAACTTCCAGCTTCCTCTTTTTTCGTCTGATTCTCTCATTTTCCTCATTGTCATCGGGTTTTTTCTCCAGCAGCATTTCCGATTTTACTAAATCAGCCATAGTGTCAACAAGCTCGTCTTTAAGCAAAGATGAGTAAGGTAACAAGCCTGTATTCACAACTGCTGTCACTGTTGCAGATGCAGATGCAGATGCTGTTGTGGTAGTGGTGGATGCTCTTGCTGTTGCCTTTGCATTTGCTGACGACGAAGTAGCCGATGCTTCTGAGTGATCAAGAGAAGGAGAAGTAGAATGATAATCTATATTACATTTAGCAAGCAGTTGCGTTAAGAAATCGGTTAGATTTGTGTTCAATGAAGAAATGTATGCTCTCAATCAATATATTTATATACTTTTCGAGTAGTTTTACCTGATGATGAGTCGCTACTAGACATATGTTTGAAGGTGTAATTTGTATGGAAGAAAAGAACAGGACATTGACTCAAAGCCATCATAGATATATACTTTTTGGATGTGAATGGTAAATAGCTTTTCTGTTTAGCTGGACAATGCTGCATGAAAGCAACCCAAAATGGCTACAGCAAATGCATTTATCACACCCGTTTTCATCAAGCTTGACGCATAATAGCTAGAAAGCATCAAACACATGTGATTTAGCGAACATTATGGGCAGCAAAAATATAACCCATCATCTAGACGCCTTTGAATGATTATAAGTTTTTTCAATAGAGAGACTACATGCTGTCGAAGCCATTGGTCCTCAAAATCCATTTGTAAGTGAATTTCATTAAATACAATAGCAATTAAACTGATGTGTAGTGCCAATGTTTCTTGCATATGTATATGTAAGGTAGCTATGGATGCGGCTTTCTCTTATTTACGCACGGCATAGATACAAATTTGACTGACTTAATATTACTACACGTTGCGATTTGTGAAACTACTACGTTCAACCTTCGTAAGATGTGGGATAATCAATGATAAAATATTGTTTATTGCTCATTGTACAGATAGTAACGATTGAGACCAGTGAAACAGGAATGCTACTAATCAAAATGCGCTTTTGGATCTCGCTTTCTCGGATCTGGCATCCATGGCACAGTTTGATGTGAAGGATTTCTGGACTTATTATGTGAGGAAAGTTATGTAGGTACAGCAGTACACTAGGTACCGGTTCTTCTCAGTACCAAATGCCCTGCCAAACATGCGTTGTATATAATTGAGTTCCAATATGTCTTAATTTCAGGGTTGTAACTTTTTATCTCTTATCAAAGATTCTACATATACAAAAGTATTTCTAGTTTTGAGGTTTAACCCATCCAGAATCAAGCGTTGAAATATTAATCCTAGAGCTCCGAAAGTAGCATTTTACTATAGCGAAATGTTGATGAATTCGTAATAATAAGTCGATGATAATAATCAGTTGTCAGCTGTATCTAAAACGAAAGCAAAAAGCTTCTTTATTACAGGGCATCTAGCTTGCTTAAATATGGTAGATCCCTGGTCAATGACTACTACGTTGAGATGGTATATAAATAGCAGGCCACTGGGGCCTTATGGATTGTTGGTATAGCTTGTTGAGAGGCCACCTAAGTCGATATGTTTCATGTAGTGTAGGTGTATCTCGATATCTTGACATTGGGAAGATTGAATGTATTGTAGTTCCTGAGGCACCTGTGCACACACAATTGACTGGACTTGTAAACATAGATGTGATGTGATACGATAAACATCATCTATGCTGCTACACTGTAATAAAAGGTGGCTTGAGGAGAAAGTGAATGTAGCCTAAGATGCATGCTTGTATGCAACAATGTTCAGGATAATAGATTGGATCTATTATCCTATCACCCAAATCAACCCATCTAATACCTTATCCTCACATCAAATCCCTCAATTCGAATAGTATATAAACCCTGTTATTTCCAATGTAATAAACGACATTCTTTACCTGATTAACTTCATACTCTTTTTTATAAATAATTTATTTCTGATAAATCACTTATTACGACCATCACGGGTGTGATTGAGTACACTGTGACCAGGAGTGATTCATTCACACGATGTGAGAGATAAGTGTGCATCTTTACTTTAGTATGCTTAAGTGGTTATTGATATACATTTGAGCGCTTTTATTAATACATCCAAATAACATGAATTTGAATGAGAACTATTCGATGAATTTTGGTTTTCAATCAAATTGAGTTTGGGTGGCTGTTACATTGCAGGTACATCGCATGTTTGGCGGGACATTTGGTACTGGGAGAACCCTGTACCTAATGTACCGTACTACTGTAGTACCACCTATTATATAATATTCCCTGGAAAATACCGGTACATTTTAAAAAGCATTGCTCACATAAAATTATTTACTGGATAATGAACTCAACGATTGCACCTTATATTACTCTTGAATAAAGAAGGATTTAAATTGTTTCCGTCTAATTACGCTTTTATTATTACAAACGACAAAATCATGATAAATGATAGATCAACAGAAAACCAACCCGTTGTAAACCGTTTCTCTTTCAATCCCTCAGCCAATCAGATTGCTTAAAAACTCCGCTGACCTAAAAAAAAATTTGCGAGGGTTTCCCTCTGTTTTGATGTGAGGCAAAATTTTAAGCGCCGCTATAATAGCAATATAGCTGTCACTATCATCAAATTTCCCTCAGGTGCTAGAGCATGCCTTACTTACACCACCTAGCTTTAGATTCAGGAGTTGAGACTCTCAATCATCACTAAAGTAAGTAGCGATAACCAGGTGGAGGCGGCCTATCCATCTCCTAGTCTCGGATAAAGTCTTGTTGAGCTTCAGCGATAGGCACATCCACCACAACGTAATAAAGAGGTATGCTTCGAAAGAAACATAATAAAAAAAAAAGGAAAAGAAGAAAAGAATATACTACTATAGGGGTATAGTAGCATGTAGATAAAAAAGGAACACTCACACAAAAAAGTGAGTCAAAAGAAGAGCATAACAACAAATACAACATCAAAGATGTTAAGAACAGCTCATTGTTGTTGCAACAAAAATGCATGCATGAGCAACGTGCATGGTGGTAATAGTCGGATGTCAAGCAACACAAACACGCACAATTGCATGAGCAACAGCAGTATTATAAGTGTGCAATACAACATAGTAACTAATGTTGTTTCATGTGAAGCGACAGAGGCAACACAAACAACAACCCACGGCCATATAACAAAATAGTATTACAACGGCAATACAGATATATAGCAGTACATCATGCTTGTTGTTCGTACATACGAAGCAACAACATCGCAAGCATCCGTTGAGCTGATCATATCACAGCCAACAAAAGAAAAAGAAATCGTAACAAAGCAAACATCATGAATGCATTATCACGAGAAAAAAAAGCAATAATACAAACGTCCAGAGAAGTTTTATATCATTGCGACCAAAAGAAAAAAGTTACTTACCACTTGCCACAGCCACGGATAGACCAGCAGAGAATAGACAACTACCAGAGATAGACCAGAGAACAAACATACAACCGAGAGAGCAGACCAAGAAGAAAGACCAGACTAGCAGCAGCAACATCAACAGCAACACCAGCAACACCAGCATCATAGAAAAACCAAAGAACGAACGGCACCAGAGACCAGACAAAGATTAAAGAAGCAACCACCAGAGATAGAGACCAACGAAGCAACCACCAGACATAGTAAACCAAAGAAGCAAATAGCAGAGATAGCAGAGAAGTAATGGCAGCAGCACCGACGTCAAACAGGCAGAAAAATAAGGAAACCTAATAAACAAATTCGATTAGTACTGATTTTACGTCTTCTAGTGCTCGTTATCGAATAGTACCTACTATATTCCACTTTAAAGAAGCAGTATCAAGTGCTTTTAACAATGCAAGGCCGTGTTATCAGACGCTAGAGTGTTATTTTCAATCAAAAGGGTTCTAAAACGAATATGGTTTGATACTGAACGCAATTTGCAAAAAGGATAAAAAACGAGGGTATGGAAAAAATGAGTGAGCGCCTTAACCGACGTCACGGCCAGTAGATTTGGCCTCAGCCTTTTGCCTTCAAGGTAGCCGTAACTGCTGTAGTTTAATTTGAAATTGTGCAGTGGGTATTTTCGTGTTCAAATTCGACTTGATTTCACATTCTTTAAACGTTTTTGCTAAATTTGACTATGAAAACTCTCCTTGTTATACTTTACTTTCTGATGCATCTATAAAGAGTTAATGAAGGCGCATCGAATGATGCTGGTTGCGTTCAGCTTTCAGACTGAAAATAATGAGCAATTTGCAAAAGTATGAAAACAGGTTTTCTGTAAATATGTCAAAATTTAGCTTGTGAAAGCTCCAGAGAAACAATTTCTGATGATTTATTTTATCTTTACGATTAATTTGATCTAATATGTATCATAAGAAAAGCCTTTATTTTCGCGGTGAAAAACGCGATCGTTTGATTTTCAAGAATCTTCCCTTGCTAATACTCATGTGAAAATGACGATTTTTAGTAAATTTGCAATGACCCAAAAAAATTGAGATAAAGCACCAGTAAGAGGAGCGTTGCCAAGAGAAGGCGTGTGGGGCTATTCCAAGCGCTCAAAACGCTTTGTAGCATGAGTTATTCGCGCTTCAAAATGGCTAAGTTTGGACAGAATTTGGCCTGAAAATAAGGCGTAGTAGTATTTTGTGCTGACAAAGATGTGAGTAAATTACAGTTCTGTCTAATGTCCCTGATGTTTTGCATTGTATAGAGTTCAATCTCTAAGTTATAGACACTTTTACTCTAATCCTGACCATCAGATCTTTCAGATCTTTCTTTTTGAGATGCTCGATTACAGTGATTTTAAAACTTGAGCGTCAGCGATGCAGTGAAATCAGGTTTAGATAGATTTCACAAAAAAAAATAAAGCAATAACAAAAATACAATAGAAATCAACTGTATTTTATTTTGTGTATAAAATGAACTGAAGACCCTGGAATTGAGTAAAAAAAAAGAAGATTATTTATACCTTTGCAACTAGCTTGTAGGCTTAGTGATGATAGAGAGCAGTAGGTGCTGCTATTACGATATCTGGCAAATGTTGTTGATATTTGATTTAAAGTGATAATCAATGCAAGAGCACTGGCCATAAGGGTCGATTTGAGTAACCTTGATGGGCTTGGGTGAGCTATCGTCATAGCATGATTTAATGTAGCCTTGACAGTTTAAGGTGTGCTGTTTTTTATTGAAGTGTGGAACCCTTTATCTGGAATATTGTGCAACTATGGCAGCAGGGCATAGTTGCCATATTTGAAAATGCTTGTTATTGATTTGTGTTAAGCACAAAGAATAAAAGGATTATTATTTGTAGCTTATAAAAAATGTTCGATATTATAAAAACAAGAAAAGACTTATTTGAATAAGATCAGACACAAAAACTAAAGATTTATTGATGAAGACAAGAGTTATTCTATTTATACTAAGTTCTGAATGCCAAAGTAGCAATTTATCTTGTACAACGCTTATCACATCTGGTGAACCTCAGTATTTAGATAGCTGAGATGCACTTCAGTTATCATAGCTTGTCCATGTTGTTGCACAACACAGACATATCTACCCATCAAGAATGCCTTAATCTTTATAGACAGTTGTAGCCCTTCTGGCACAACATACGCATTTCTGGACGATCAGTATCTCAGCAAGTGCATTTATCAAGATGGTTCTTGCTGTACCTGAGTCAAATGCAAGGTTCATAACTTTTACTACTTCTACTTCAAATTTGTTTGGTGGCATTTGCCCTCCAGACCATTTTATAAGAAACCTGCCACGGAACAGGTACGTCTGTCGACGTTCAAGTCTTTACGTGTATACAGAAGTCCAGCTGTTTCTCAATACAGAACCATACAGCAGCTTCATTAGAGCCATATCAAAACAATGAAGATGCTTAAACATCACGGAAGCAAAGAAGTAATCTTCTGAATCTCCAAGGGTCCTTTGTACCAAACACCCAGAGTCCACTGAGGTTGTCTCTGATGTACAGCTTCTTTTTATTAAAGCGTTTATTATACGGCCATCTCAGTTGTGTGAATTTAGGTATGGTTTAGAGACACGAACTCGAGAAGTGTAAATACAAGGAAACACACGTAATCTTTGATTTCGATAAGTCCCCCCTCCCAAACTGTCGCTCAGAAGTCAACGACAGAGTCCGTAGACTGTTTCCTTGGCTCAAAATGCAGGTCCATTCACTCTTGACCAGCTACAGTGAGGCTCCTTGATCTTTGTATGTTTGCGTGCTGGCCATCTCGGATTCCTATTTCAGACTCTAAGAGTGATTTGACAAAGAGTATTGTTAAGAACCTGTATTCTAATGGGCATTTGTAACCTAAAGTAAAAACGCGAATATCAGCAATGAAAGTAAATTTGGTTTTGACAATGAATAGATACTTAGCTACTACATTTGGCTCGGCAAACTCGTAATTGCAATAATGACATGCCACACAAACTACTTTGATTGCACCAGTGAAGCTGAAACGTGTTCAGATGTTGAGCAAAACGTATTTGCAGCAACAGCCTTCACTATAGCTCTATATGCTGGAACAGGCTGTCTCAAAGTATGGGGAACCCTCAAACAAGCCATTGCAGCTTGTCGAGTTGTTCACTTCTTGATCGGATGCCCACATCAGGGAAGCTGAAACGTATTCAGACGGCAACGTAAAACGTATTCACAAGGCCTCCTTCTAGACCATTTAGAACCAAATACCAAGTTACAAACAGGCCATACATAATAGATGATGCAATAGAGAAAAAGAGGAGAAATGGTCATATCGCAACTGGTAGGCTCACCAAGCTTTCTTCAGTTTTAATGGTTTTATGAAGAGGTCTTCAGCAAGAGAGAAATGTAAAATAAATACGTAACAATAAATGTTGGTCATTCTTTCGTCCCTAAATTCCCATTTACAATCCACCAACATCACAGCCTTCAACTACTCACATTTTGCATTTTCTTTAACACTCAAATTTATGAAATGCCATTACACTACTTTGAAACTACATCACCAGGTGATTGGCGAATAAAGAACATCTTTGAAGCTATTCAGAAAAAGTATTATCCAGATAAAGAACGATCCTACCACGGGCTTGCGACGAAAAAAGAGCTAAGAGAGCTTGAAAACTCATCCAAAACAGTCTTTTCGAGAACGCGCACAAAGTTTGTTGGAAGATTTCAAGATACCCCCAGCAGATCAAGAAAGCATCACATCATATATCCAGTTGGCAAATACAATTGTGAACAAAGCCCAAACTATAAATCAAGCTACACACCAAACCATCCAGCAAAATGTATCAGAAAACTCAGTTCATCCAAGAAAGCGTTTGCGCAGCGAGCTTGAAAATGTACCCGTATCCAGTAATGATTGCGAAGATGACGATCTTGATGACCTCTTTCCTTCTGCTACTGATCAAGACGACAAGGACGACGACTCCATGTAGGTGTTCGTAAAGTGCTCTTTATGCAGAGCGTTGTACTCATATTATGTGTGCAGTGACAGATTATTTAATTCAAATAATGAGTAAGTCTGATAAAATAGCATGGATGAGGGTGCTGATGTAGGATTTTAGTGCTGAGGCAAACGTTGATTTCGATAGTTTACCCACGATGGTGAATCCAAAATTGAACCAAGCAGTTCGCAGCAAGCTTCAAACTAATGCCAAGTATGCTGTCGGTGATACTGAATACCAAAATCTGTTCGCGCAATATAAGAAGAAACGCCTCAACGATCTTTCATAACTGGACGCCATTTATCTCGAGCCAAATTTCCACAAGCTTATGTAAGTGTTTTTGTTTGTGTAAGTACTCTTACTTATTCCTTTTGGTAGAGCTCTTGAAAACATTCTGTTCTTGAGGCCTGGCTCCTACTCCACTGACATGTTGCGTCTTTTTGGAGAAGCAAACCTGAACAAGCTCTACAAACATTTGTTGAAAACTCATTACTCTTTCGACACAACTAAACACACAGACCTGCTTAATCTCATCGATGATGTATTTGAAAAGGCGTTTTTCGATTATTTTGAAGTAGAGGCAAATCTTGAACAATTATTATAAAGCACAAAAGATGTATGGCACAAGAGAATAATTCGATGCGTCCGAGAACTTTTTGGAGTTTTTACCTCGATATAAAGAGGTTGAAGCTTTCAACGAATGTGACCTAAGGACTAGATTTCTAGACCCAGTGGTTAAATACTTCCTCAGCGACATCAATGACACATTCCGCCTTCGCTACCCAGAGCCGAATCCCAACGAGAGGAAGCTCGTAAAGAAGGAAGTATTGCGCCCAGATTGTCTCGTAACCAATATCTCTCAGTCTCAGTATCGTGAAAATATCGCCTATGGTGAGGTGAAATCGTCTTACTACACAAATCGCACTCGGGCTCTCATTCTGTATATGTACCTATTGGTGTATTTCAGCAAGTCAACGATAGATACTCACAAAATCAATGCGCCCATCATGCTACAAGTCGTGGGATTGAAAGTCAATGTGTATACGCTTGTGCTCATATCCCAGAAGTTCTATGTTACTTTATTCTTATTCGATTTCATCTTGCCTCAATGCAAATCAGAAATTAAAGATTTTTTTACCCAGCATCAAAAAACTAGTCGCAATGAATGAAGCTTCAGTCAAATGTAGCAACGGAGACAACAAGGCCGATAGCGAAATGATATGCCCTAGCAACAATACCCCTTTATTCGAAAGACGAGTTGAAACCAAAATTGCCAAAGAAGATTCCGACAGCATTCATCTCTGTTAGTTTAGTTCATTACCACAAAGACCTTTTCGAACAATTTGACGGCCAGGTTAGATCAAGCATTATTAGGCAAGTTAAATGCATTTTGTGGGCATTACACATAATAACTTTTTACTATAGTAGTTCCTGAACCTTCTGATCCATTAACCTGCTTATTCATTATATGTATAACTCCAGTGATCCTTTGAATTGCTTAAAATATACACATGGTATGCCTCAGTTATCGCACATCACATACGAAAACTAAAGAGACTGTCAAAAGAGAAGATGCTCCCAACTGTGCTAACACGGTGGTAAATAGAGTGAAAAAATTTCTTGATGCCATGCTTTCAAGTAACGTCAAATCTGATTGACAGAATTATAAGTTCCCACCTGATAGTGCAAGCTTGAAAGGTTGCATTTGAAAAGAGAATTACTGGAGCCTGGAACTCGTTTAGAATCTGATACTATTCAAGTAGCTCAATTTGAAAATAACCATACAAATGCTGAAGAGTATTACTTGGTGATCTCTATTGAAAGATTTTGGTTCGTATTGATGGCGTCTATTCCACTTTTAGCTGCCGTCAAGGAGATGAACATTACTTCCAACTTATGATACACCCCTAATACGCATTGTCTTTAATATATACGAGTGTTTATGCTTCGGATGATTCTCTACCTTTACTTAGCTTGGGTGAGAGCCAACCTGCGTAGTGGCAGTTCGTGCTACCAATTGTTTTTGTTCGTCTCATCAAAATACTGCTATTTTCATTTTGATCCTCCACTTACACATGGAAACACTTTATGTTATCTGTGGATCTGATTCTTGCGTGATGCTCTACATCCATATACGCGTAGCTACTTCATATACGGGCAAGCAGCATACTGGTGTTTCTTCTTTTTAGCCCTTAGTGTCCCCTGATACAGCAAAATATGAGTGCATTTGAGCTGCATTTTCTTGCGTTCAAGGCCGTTTTAGATCGTCAGAATAGCCCCAAATGGTTGCTCTCATCTGGCAGTTACTTTCTGACACTTTTGCTCGACTTTTTGGGAACCAGAAAAACATGGTAAAAAATCGACCAAAAAGCATGAGGTACCCCTCATGGTTTTCATCGAAAATCAAACGATCGCGTTTTTCACCATGATAACGAAGACTTTTACGATGGTATATATTGAATCAAAATGTTTCTATCAATCTAACGTAACCCCTGAAACCATCTTTGTGGGACCTTGATATGTAAAATCTCGACATTTTGGCCGGAAACCTCTTTTCATATTTCTACAAATCATTCAATAAGTGTATTAAAAACATCTATATAACTTGGTACCATTAAAAGCGCCTTGAAAAGTACTCCAGGAAAGCTTAAGGAAGCATGGGGTGATTATCATACTTCACTTAGTCGAATCTGCAAAAATAGCTCGATCGAGTCCAGAATCATCAAAATTTGTCCAATCTGGAACAGACTATGATTCTGGGTTTGAATTAATTCTGGCTGGTGGGGCCAGCTGGAAAACTCATGTCCTTTTCATAAGGCAATACAATAGTAAATGCCTTTGAAGCGTATAGAAAGTAGGTGGCAGGTCATAGCACTATCGTTTATGATGATATTTTACTGCATTCTATATTTAATAACGTTAGTCTGGACATTGACGATGCATGGGTTGCATAAAATGTCTGAAGTAAGTAGTGAAATCTCTGAGGCTCCGAGCCGTCGTTCAAAGAAAACGTTGGTAGCATTGAGCAGAGGAAAGAGGGCAGAAATTACAGTGGTTTTTGTTGATTGATTGTAAAATCATTATTCTCATATGAGCCAGGTCTGATAGATGTCTTGAAACTCAGGTTCCATATTAGGGTTGTAAAGTGCAAAAGGACTGAACATTTATTATGTTATTATATTGAACCAAAATGTTTCTATTGATCTAACGTAACATCTGAAATTTTCTTTGTGGGACTTTGATATGTAAAATTTCGACTTTTTGGCCAGAAACCTCATTTCATATTTTCATAATTTGCTCAATAAATCTATTCAAAACATTTACCTTACTTGGTACCATTGGATGCGTTTTGAAAAGTACTTTGAGATTGTATTAGGAAGCAAAGGATGATCTTCACAACTTATATAGTCGAATCTCACAAAATAGTTGAATCAAGTCGAAGAAAGACACTTTCTGTCCAATCTTCAACAGAAAAAAATGATCTGGATTTGAATCAATTTTGGCGGCTGTTGCGGCCGGCTGGCAGACTCAATGCCCTTCTTTTCATCATGAAGGCAATACAGTAATAGATACTTTTGAAGCGTATGGAAAGTAGGTGGCAGATCATATAGCATCATCGTTAGCTATGTTGCTCTTTTTGAATCTATATTTGATAACGCCAGTCTATCAAAATACTTGTTAGATCAATTTCTTTCCTTTTTAAGGCTTTGAAAGTGTTTAGGGACCATAAATTTATCATGTTATGATATTATATACAGGCAAAATCTCTTGACGTTAAATTATATGTATATGATTAAATTATGTACAGGCTTTAGAGTACATTGGTCATAGCAATCAATGGACAGTACAAGCTTTGAAACAAGATGCAATCATAAAAGAGCATAATATTGAAGCTAATGACAAGACGTGGTTGTTTTTTTTATTAATGTGTATTTGAGTTTATGAGATCACCATACTTGATGGATTAAAATATTTCAGATTTTTGAGGCTATTTTGGCTTGTATAGATAGAGGTAGCAGAGATATAAGAACGACTTGGCCTTGTATAGATGTCAGGCATTAATTGTCTTGATAATTGATTGAGTAAGAGGAAGCACAGATGAGAGTAGGGCTTGACCTTGTATAGATGTAGAGATGGTATATTTGAACAGTCTTGTCATTTTAGGAGCTTGTAGGAGGCACAGAGAACTTGGCTTGATAGCATTTGGAGAGGACAGCTTGCTTTAGATGAGATAGAACATGAGATGGCAGAGGCAACTAGATAAAGATGAGATGAGTACACAAGTACTGTGACATGAGTGCGTAACAAACCATTTGGGCAAAGAAAATTGACCATCAATAAAAGGAACCAACACTATATAAACAGGTACCAAGGTGTAAACTTGCTTCACCTATCACAAGATTATCGACACGCTCAAGACACCTTTATCTCGGATCATAGGGCTGAACCCAATTCTCGTCGGCAATAAAGCCTGTGGTCATCCCGTAGCATGACCAAAGGATTTGTCCTGCAGTCTACTCATGATTATGAAGCTGTGATCCTACTCAGTCCCTACAAAAAAGTAGTTTTTCGGCACTATGTAATCAATAGGTTAGTCAACATGGCTCGTACGTCCAACAAGATAATAACTTACTCGCACAGTTCACCAAGGTCTGCATGTATCAAAGATAGTGTGGCCTTTTTCTAGCATGGACCAAGAGACGTAGAGAGGACCATGGATTTGTAAGGCATTGTATGTAGCAGTAGTAGAGGCCAATAGACAGTAGAGTATTTGATTTAGATGACCATATGTAGAGAGAGAGAGCCCAAATGTCTTGTAGAGAGTTTGTATATATAGAGTATTTTTGCTTGTTGTAGAGAGATGAGATGAAGAAGAAGAGGGAAAAGCTGTTGAAAAAAATCCCTATTTATATCCTTCTCATCGACTTTTGTGTGAGTCTAGTATCCTTGCCACACTCAAATTCGTTTCCTTTTACTTTTCTCCACGATATACTACTTTGAGCGCGTGAAAATAGTACCATTTTGACGTTTGGCACTTGCTCTATTTGATCCGCTTCGTCCGAGGCTTTCAACTGTTTTCTGTCTCGAGTTATGTCCATTTTGCTACTTCAAAAAGTCCTTTTTCCACCTTCACATGAAACGAGTTCCCCCATCTCTTCCTAGATGCAATTAACAGAAAACTTCTCACGGGCTCAGCCTCATCAAAAAGTAAACAAAAAATGTCATTTGACACTGAAACAAATGCAGCTGGTTGCTTGATTAAGTAATCTTTCTCTACCTCCCCTTAAT